CTGGCCGCGCACGAAAGCGGCGTCGATATAAATCGCGCGCGTTTAAGCGTGCGCGCGCACCGGACTTTATGTTGCCTCGTGGCCGGAATATATTATTTACCGTTAATATTTAAGGGCGAGTGCGTGCGCGTGCACGCGTGGATCGTTACGCATTAACGCGACGTGTGCGCCGCGCCGGGGCGTCACCGTGACGAAACGGCGCGCGTTTTACGCGCGCGAATCTACGAGAGGAGAATTTGTCGCGGCGCGGAAGTTGCGCCAAGTGACAAATGGAAAGCCAGTCGATCGGAAAACAGCCGAGTCACGCCACCCTTTGCCGCTAAGACGTGAGAAATCGATCGTCCAGGAATTCTCACGATTATTACGATTTCGCGATCGTATAGAAAATCCATCCGGAAAACAGAAGAAAAGAAAGGAACGAGGTCTCTCGCAGAGAGAGAGAGAGAGAGAGAGAGGGAGAGAAAGAGAGAGAGAGAGAGAGATTCAACGCCCCTCGCTGCGCTCTCGCTGAGAGGAAAAATGCTTTCGTTATAGCGCGACGCGATTCGCTTCTACGAAGCTCGGGGAGAAGCCCAGGTATTATTTGCCCACCACAACGGCCTCCAGCTCAGCCTCGAAAGGTATTTTGCACCGGCTATATTTACGCAGAGCAAACACGCATGACCGCGCGAGCTACGGGCCGGACCTCGCGAGCGCGTGAGACGCACAAAAGCGGTCCGTGCCCGGCGCGTAATATAAGGGGTAGTAACTTTATGATATCGTGAACGCGCTTCGGCTCACGTTGCCCCGAAACGTAGTCCTCGGGCGTGCAAAACCTCGCGCGAGAAACTCGCGCGCCCGTATCGTCGTTTTTGCGTCGCCAACGGCGTTATTTGCGGCGGATAAATTCGCCCCGAGCTCCACCGAGTCGCGAAGGGTGAGAGGCGGCGGTTCCTCGAAAGCGACGACTTTCGTCCGAGAGAGAGAGAGAGAGAGAGAGAGAGAGAGAGGGAGAGAGAGAGAGAGAGAGAGAGAGAGAGAGAGAGCCGGCCGCGAACAGATAGCTCGATCGGGTAATCGGAATCTCGGGGGGTAAAAGATGAGAGGAGAGGGGGGAGGGGAATTCGCGCGAAAATAATACTCATTGCAAACGGAGGATAAACAGAGTTCGTATTCCGGATGAAAATTCATAGCGAATAGGGCTGTTATTTTTCGGCAGCTTCGAAGTTTTGAATGATTCGAAGCTTTGAGGTTTTTTATGCCGAAGCTTCGAAGCTTCGAAGACTTGTCTTCGAGGATGTCACTCTTCGAAGCTTCGATATATTGAAAGCTTCGAAGGATGCGCGGCGGTTATTTCTGAGTCTGCGCTCTTTGTTTCTGCATGCATGCTAAGCCATTTACATTCTCCACCATTCTACATTTCGCGGTACAACAAAAGTATAAAAAATCAAGCAATATATAATTCTCGAAATTTCGAAGTTCGAAGAGACTTGGTCGATCGTCGGATATTTTCCATCGAGGCTTCGTTTCTTCGAAGCTTCGAATACGAGGACTTCGAAGAAAAATTACACCTCCAACAGCGAACTCGGCCGCTTGCTTGCACCGGTGCGCACCAAGGTCATATTCATAGTCTGTTTCGCCGCGAGTTACGCCCTTTTAATTTCAAGTGTTTCTCACGTTTCTACGAAATGTAAAAGAAACTTGGGAGGCTAAGAGAAGGCTAGCTTAATTTTCGCACATACGTTCGGGAATAAAGAACCTCTCAGCTCTCGTTCGTTCTCCTCGCGCGACGACAAATCGGCCGACTTCGAGTAGGATCCTTCGAGCGGCGCGGCGCGGCGCGGCGCGGCGCGTCTCGCGATACGCAGGAGTATTGCGTGTCTCTGGATACACGACGTGCTCGACCCGGAAACGTCTGACTTCATACGCGAAGGTGCATACACGAGACTGAGCATGCGATGACTGGCGACATTGTAGTCTACCGTTTCTTACGTATTAACATTCAACGTGGCGTAGCACGATAGACGGCGTCGCCGCTGGAAAACCGTTCCGCGTGCGCGCGCCTACAATCAAGTACTTCTGTACTGTTAAGGCTGCGCCTCTACTCGCGCGATCCTGTACACTCTCAGCGCGAAGGAGAGAACACGGAGTAGGAGAGCGTGCTTACTAAGGGTGAGTTGAGAATTGGGTGTATGTGTGTGCGTGTGCTAGTGCTTCCGCACTCGTTCCTTTCGCACGTCTTCCGACATATTTTCGACATATTTTCGTGAAGAACGCGCCTATGCAACCACTACGTGTCGCGATTGCTGTTCCTCAGGAAATAGGACGCGCGACCGCGCGGCGAGAGAACGCCAACGATAAACTCGCGATACGCCTCGGGCATGTCCCTCGGACGATAAACGAAAGCGACTTTTGTGTAAAACGAACCGACGAGAAATCCATCTCGCTTCTCATTCAACGGGTCGCGCCCGAAGACGGAGGACGGAGCGCGTCCTTCTTGCAGCGAGTTCTCGCTCCGCGACTGCTCCGTCCCGCTTTACTCGCACTCTAATTAATCCCAGGCGCAATCGGAGGACGTGCACTCGAAGCATCGCAATTTTACATTCTCGCAGACGCGTGCGTATCTGGCAAAAGCCCGAGCCGAGTAGAGTTCCCCGCATCGCGCGGCACTGCATAGAATCAGCAGCGTGGAATCCTGTCCCGAATTCCGTTGCGAATTGCAGATCGTCTAAAGTAGGCTTCATACGTGCTACGTTCTTCACGCTCCTCGACTTCGACGACGTACGCTCAAACGAATGTTCCGCGAGCCGCCGAGCGGCTACGAACACGCCAACGAGCCGCGCCGTGCCGCGTGCGAGTTGCGAGCGTGCGCAGTCGCGTTCGCTTTGGAATGCACGCTCTCTCGTGCTCCTCTCTCGCCCCCTCCCCCGTCACATCCAAATGGCCCTACTCCTCTCTGATCCCCACTTTGCGAAGCCCTTGCGATCTCCCCTTCGCCGTGCCACGCTGCGCCGCGCCGCGCCGCGCGTTCGTCCGTTCGATACGGCTATCTTCTCGCGCTGTGCCACGCGGCGGCCCGTTCCATTCCGCGACGCGCTGTCACATGGCGGTATCGAGTATGCGCATGGTGTATGTTGGAGGCAAAAAATGCCCCGGCTATAGGGATGCAACGACTTCTCAAAATATCGATAACGATAATATCGATAATTTTGAAAAATATCGATATTTTTATATATATTATATATATATATTATATAAAAAAAAAAATATATATATATAGGGGTATGTATATGAAGGGTATGCCCGAAAAATTTGAAAAGATAAATTTAAAAAATTTTTATCTTCATATAATTTATTGTCGTATTCTTATTAGAAAATATATGAACCGCAGTCGTTTGCCGGAGATCACCACATACATAGAGCAGGAGGTCTATTACGGTTCAACGATTGAGGTGGAAAGTATAAAAGTGAGCGAATTTACTAGACATCGAGCAATTACATAATATATATTCTAGTGAATTCACTCACTTTTGTAATTTTCATCTCGGTCGTAGAACCGTAATAAGTCCCCCAGAGCTGTAACTGAAAAATACGAAAATCAGTAAAATTCATATCGATATGTCGATTTTATCGGAGACAAAAAAATATCGATAAATATTCGATATTTGTCTCTCGAGATATCGATATTTCAATATTATCGACTTATCGTTGCATCTCTACCCGGCTATCTGTTCCCTCAATTTTCTGCGAAGAACATCCACACGAGTCCGCCGAGAACTCACGAGCGTTGTTTCATTTTTATTGTTATATCTTATTGTTATTTTATCGTTATTTATAATTGTAAGAGATTATTTAGAGATTTAATTTAATCGTCAGGGACGAGCTCGCGATATCCTTACGCACGACACGATTTACATATCGCGCGAGGAAGATCTCACGAGAAAGAACGCAGGCGCAACACGATTTTGTAGGGAAAATTCCATGATGAAAAAAAAAATATATATATATACTCCAGTTTCTAACGTTTTATCTAGCAAGCGCTCTCGATAAGATTCAGATAGTTCGCGTGGCATCTCAATGACATGTGTCTTTACTCATCATACGTGATCGTACACACGTATATGTCTCGAAAATCGTGATTGTATCTATGTAATTAAATCGAATTTTTCGTGTTTACACTTGCATCACTCGACGGAATGGTCTACCGGATTTTATCATTTCCAAGAAACATAATTATATAAATAACCCTAGTAGCATACTTCATTGGCGTTACATTGGTGTTGCATTGGCTATGGTGACATAAATTGAGGTTACATCGGCCCAGTGTGTCCCAATATACAGCCAATATTAATTAGATATTAAATTACAATATAACCATAGCCAATATTGCATAGCATTGTTACACCAATACTGACTTACATTGGGGTTACATTGGCCAATATTAGGGGCCCAATTTGTAGCCAATATTGGTCCAACAATATGTGCTACTAGAGAAGATTCGACAGATTCGTGAAGACGTCAGAAGGGTTCGATCTACGAAGACAGAAGACGTGTCGCCGCAGATAAGGGCTCCTCACTTTTCATTCGCGAGGAATGCTAATTGCGTTTCTGCTCGGAGCCATCTGCGAATCTCTCGTCCGAGTGTCAATTTCAACGCTACCGCTACCGGGTATCGAGTCAGAAGCATAACGTTGATTCGACGTTGATTTGATGTCGAAATGGTCGATGAAACGTCGAATCGACGTTGTGGTTCGACCAAGTACTTGACAAACTTGCGACTCGCTCGGGAAAGCGTAAGGAAGGAACACCGAACGAGCGAGTACGCGCTCGTTCATTAATAATCAAGCACGGGAAACGAGTCGCGCGAGCGCGAATTAGTGTCAATGTTATGCCGCGGCGATTACACGAATCCCGACGAAGCGGCGCCGCCGCCGCGCCGTTCACTCGGACGAAAAGCGAGGAACGCGAACGCACGCATGCACGCACCGAGACGCACGCGTGGGGTCATTCGCTCGCCTTACCTTTCCTCTCCTCTCGCGTCTCTCCTGCTGCTTTTGACTTTGGCGGCGTCCCCAACGGCTGATGATTTATCTCCGCGCGTAGGGTATCCCGGCGGCGCGCGTAATCCGGTTAATCCAACGTGACACAAGAGGGACGTTTGCGCGGGTTAACCGCGCAACAGGTGGTCGTCGAAGGTAAACACTCGCGGGCCGAGATACATGTGTGTACATAAATATATGTATATATCTATATATATATTTATATATTTATATATCTATATGTACAAGATGCACAGCACAGCACAAATTGCACGCTCCTGCGAACCCCCGGCATTGAAATTTCGCCTTAAGATCACCGCTCTCGCGTTTCGCCTCGGTCACGCATCAACTCGCTCTCGCGACCACGGAATGCACATAGTCTGTGTCTCTCTCTCTCTCCCTCTCTCTCTCTCTCTCTCTCTCTCTCTCTCTCTCTGTCTCTCGTAGCGGCTTCTCGTCACAGACCGATCGCGACGGTGAGCGGTCCCTTCAACAGCCCGGCGAATGGCATTCTCTCTCTCTCTCTCTCTCTCTCTCTCTCTCTCTCTCTCTCTCTCTCTCTCTCTCTCTCTCTCTCTCTCTCTTTCTCTCTCTCTCTCCCTCGACCGGCGTTCCAACGAACGTGACAGAGTTCCGGCAACGCGGAGGCGTCAACGAAACCGCACGATGGACGCAATCGCGACACACTGCACCAGCGGCCGGCGAATGACTGACTGACTGGCTGCCGGCACACGCCGGCTCGCATACCCGTCCGCGTACCCCGTCGACTCCCGACTCCGGCCCCGGTATCGGAGGAGACCGTCTAGCCGCGAGTAACGATGACTGGAGGTCCGAGGCGAATGAATGTTAATGAAAAACTCCTCGGACTTTTTCGGAAATTTTGCCGGAAACTCGAGTGTCTCGAGTGTTTAGGTAACGATGTAATAGGTTATGATGAATCGTGCGAAAATAATCGAGTGAAAGGGCAAACCGAAGTCCCGAGGTTGCGCAGAGTTTGTCGCGCAAATTGAAATCGAGTCGGATCCGATACGGATCGAATCGGACGCGGATCAACACGCGGGAATTTAGACCACGAAATCTAGTCGACGATGAAGGATTAACGGAACTGAAATGTAGCTGAAATGTAGATATCCCCTCCGACTGTCGAAAGATTGATTGATTTGACTGCGCAACACAAGTAATTTGGCAGAAAGTTAAGTAGACGATGGGTAATTAAATAATAATAACAATAATATGTCGCGTCAACTTTGTAATCGTCTCACTGAACTAGATTTGGATCTCGTTTTATGTACGCTGAACAAGATCGTTACTCGGGGAGTCGAGTGTTCTCTTGAAAAGACGCAAATTTCGTCGAACATCCGGCGTTACGATGCAAAATGTAATTTTCGCGCACAATCAGATGAAATTTGTCGTGGCTTCTACTGTTTCGGTACTCACCGACTGCTCCTGCTTCGGCAAGTCGGAAGTGCAAAATGCAGCTACAACTGCTATTATGTGGGCGATATTTTGCTCGGTACTCTTGGCTTCCACGAGATCTTCATTTTTCGCGGTTGTTTAACAACACCAACGCGTTTAACAATAATAATGCCGACGTGCGTGACGACTCTCCTTTGGCGAGTCGACGAGTCGATAATTTGAACCTTGAGTTGCCGACACAACACGACGAACACGCGGCATTTCACTCGGCACTCCCGACGCTCGCGATTTTCACTTTCGACTGTTGACTGTTTCGACTCAATGGCACTCGGTTACGAGGAACCCGCGAAACTCACGACAAAAGCCACGGCGACGATCATTCGCGCGTGAAAACTCACCTCCGACAAACTGCAATCGCGGCAACTGCTCGTACGAATCGTCCATCTTGCAACGGTTGCGATTCTCGAACCGATCGATATTATCGATATGTCCGACAAGTCGACTCATACATATTGAAAATTTCGCGTGCACTTTAGAGCGAGATATAACCGAGTGAGATATAATCGTAATGTTATTCGAAGAAACTATATTATGTATGTCATGTTACGTTATTATGCAGTCAAACGATTGTTTACAGATATATCGTGATGAAAATGTTCAATTTTCGTGTGGTAGCGCCATGTCGTTTCAGAATGAAGTCTGTTCTTTTTAACTTATTAACTGCAACGAAACTTTGTTCCTTCTCGTTTCAACTCTTTGTTTTATTCTAACGGCAAAAAGTATAACCTAATTCAAATTTGAGACAAATCTCAAATTCATTCGCTGCCATCTGACGAAACGAATTCTCGACACTCGACGCTAATATTAAGTTGATTCCGGAACTTTCTCACAAGCACTGGACGAGTATTAACACGAAGAAAGCACTTTTCACATGAAACGTGTCGTCAAATAAAAAGTAAAATTAAATAATTGTAACGGTTACGCTCTTGTTCAACGGGAAAAGACATCTCAGTCAGCCCAACAATGGTTGCGTTCAGAAAACAAAGCGCTCACTGAGCGCTTAGTAACTATTGGTCCTTACTGTTAGATCCTTACATTCAGACCAATAACGTTGACGAATTACTCAACCGTTGTGTTTTCTGAACGCAGCCAATGATACATTCTGTTGCTTCGATAAGACCGCACTTTTCGCCGCTTTAGTGTAACTAATCTCGCGTAAATATTACAATAAAACGGAAGCAACAAACCTGAAAAATATCGGTCATCGCGTGGTGCTCATCGTGCCGCGTTTTAGCCGACCTGTAAGCAGCATCTTGCGGCGAATTATGACAACCGAGTGAATGCAGATGCGTAGAAAATCTCGAAAGCGACCGTGACCACCGACAAGGTAATATAAAGACTGACAGCCCTGGGTAAATTTTCGTATCAGCCAAGGGAGACTCAAAGGGCCCACAGGTAATTGAAGAGCGATGATAATACCGACTGCTTTAACTACGCTCAAGATAATACAGCTAGCAACTATTGCCGGTACAGTCGTGGACAGAAAGGTTGTCAGGTTTTTTATAGTGAGTTTCGGAACGTATTCTGTCTTGACGAGAATGAGAGCTTCTGCTCTGACACGCCTGCGCAGTCATCGATTGAAGAATAGAGAAAATGTGTCATTTAAGGGTCTACAGGAGCCAGAGACAAATCCAGCGTTGACTTTGGAGGTCTCGTGTGGCGAGATCGCGAACCAACACCGTGCGCGCGAGCATAAGAGCAGGAGGTTGGGTCAAGTCAGTTTGACAAGGACGAACAATCGATCGCACCGTCCTTGTCTTACTCACTCGAGCATTTCGCCGGCCGATACACGGCAAGAAAATGCTTTTCAGGCTTTTGGGTGAGTGAGCTAAGTGTCGCAGCGACTCACGTGCAATACCATTTTACAAATTGACGTATTTTGTCTAACTGACGTTATATATCACCGCCAAATTATTATAGCATGTTCCTTATATTATTTCCGAGATCCCCACAAAGCCAGATTTTGCAATCCGGCCGTCTAAAATTTATGAAAAATAAATGAAGCGTCCGCCGTACCAAGCATTGCAGCGAATCACTCCAAAAATTATCTTACAAGATGCAAAATTTCGCCTCGTTGACGATACGTATAATTGCTAAACTGTTACAGCATCTTCCTTGAACTATCCCTGAGGACCTTACACAGCCAGATTTTACAATCCGGCCGTCCAAAATTTATAATATATAAATAAAGTATCAGCCGTACCAGGAGTTGCAGCAAGTCAGGTGGAATACCATTTTACAAGAAGCAATATTTTGCCTTATTGACGTAATATATGATCATGAACTTGTTATAGCATCTTCCTACAATTATTTCCGAGATCTGTACAGAGTTAGATTTTACAAATAGGCTATCAACAATTTATTATACATAAATAAAACGTCAGCTGTACCAAATCGCAGCGAGTCAGGCGGAATACAATTTTACTAGAACAGATTTATTGCCTCGTTGACAATATATATAATCGCCAAATTATTATGGTATTTTCCTTGAACTATCCCCGAGAACCCTACAAAGCCAGATTTTGCAATCTGGCCGTCAAAAATATATCATACATTAATAAAGCGTTCGCTGTACTAAGCGTCGCTGAGAGTCACTCGAAATATTATTTTACGAGATGCAATATTTCGTCTCTTTGACGATACGTATTATTACCAAATTGTTACAGCATCTTCTTCGTACTATACCCGAGATCGGTACAAAGCCGGATTTTGCAATCCGGTCGTCAAAAATGTATAATATATAAATAAAGCGCCCGTCGTACCAGTATGTATCTCCGAACCGGTCGAAGTACAAACGAAATGTAAAGTGGTACAAACGGGTACAAACGATTATCTATCGAACCCCGTTGTCCGTTTTAAGATATCTTAAAAAATAGCGGAAGTACCATTTTAGCGTTACATGACAGAAATTGAAAATTGCTGTATCTCCGAACCGGTCGAAGTACAAACGAAATGCAAAGTGGTACAAACGGGTATAAACGATTCTATATTGAACCCCGTTGTCCGTTTTAAGATATCTTAAAAAATAGCAGAAGTACCATTTTAGCGTTACATGACAGAAATTGAAAATTGCTGTATCTCCGAACCGGTCGAGGTACAAACGAAATGCAAAGTGGTACAAACGGGTACAAACGATTCTCTATCGAACCCCGTCGTCCGTTTTAAGATATCTTAAAAAATAACGGAAGTACCATTTTAGCGTTACATGACAGAAATTGAAAATTGCTGTATCTCCGAACCGGTTGAAGTACAAACGAAATGCAAAGTGGTACAAACGGGTACAAACGATTCTCTATCGAACCCCGTTGTCCGTTTTAAGATATCTTAAAAATAGCGGAAGTACCATTTTAGCGTTACATGACAGAAATTGAAAATTGCTGTATTTCCGAACCGGTCGAAGTACAAACGAAATGCAAAGTGGTACAAACGGGTACAAATGATTCTCTATCGAATCTTTTTTTTGGTAACGCAGGGGAATCCATCATGGATACCTCCGACCCTTTGGGGGAGGGTCGGGAGTTATGTCAGACTCACACTGACTAAAACCCCTGCGGAATGTCTACCATCGGACCGTTGTGAGGGGAGTTAGGGGAACTGCTCCCGCATTCCGTCCCCAACACCCCGGCCCCAGGGCTCTTCGGGAGCCCCACGCCATCGATTACCGCGCCCTGTCCCACGCAGGGGGTCCAGGGCGCTGTCCCCCGGTCGGTTCCCCGACCGGGTTCCCCGACCTTCCGATGATTACTTTGAAGGGGGGTCATTCACCCCCTCTCCGCGCCTCCTATTGCTCCCCTCCAAAGGAGAGGGGGCGGGGGAGTGGAGCCCAGCCCCAAACCGGGCTTCCACTCCTTCTTTTCCTACCCTATCCGACGCCTAGAGGGGTGGCGGGCGGGCATCACGCACCCATCGCTCCCCTCCCCGCGCGGTCCGAAGACGTGGCCGAGGCGGCCGAGGGGGTGGCCTCCGTCTAGCCCGTAGCCTATCCTCTTCCTCGGCCGGCGCCTCCTCGGGCTCGCTGCCAAAACCCGGGGAGCGCCGCTGCCTGTGGCGGTCTCCAGGGCGACGCTCCCACTCGGCGGCCTCTTTCCGCGACAGAACACTGGGACAGAAGGAGGCCACCTTTCCCCATACCTCCTCGTTCCCGCACATGGCTCTTGCCATGCGCGGAAGCGACAACTCATTCTCCCCGCACCCCACTGACCAGGCCAGGACACCGCGTTCCCTGCTCCAAGCTACACACTCGGCCAGGTGTGGTGCACGGTGTTGTCCGGCTCCGGGCAGTGGTGGCACCCGGTGGTGGGCTCCTTCTTTATCTGGTGCAGGTAATGACCAAAACATCCATGTCCAGTCATCACCTGCACCAGATGAAATGTAAGTCCGCGCCCCCTCCTGCCTGCAAATTCTGCAAGGCAGGGGCGGATAGCCGTCGTCATCAGCGGCCCGAACTCCCGCGGAGCAGACATCGCGTCCGCCCACCGCTCCAGAGTTCGGGCAGCCACCCGGGATCTCAGGGCCGTTAATTCCCTGGCCGTTAATTCTCCCGTTTCGCGGAGCTCCTTGAGAGGATACTTCGTTCCTCGGCAAGGTTCTCCACGGGAGGAGTGAGCCGACCAGGGTCGTCGCCGCCATATATGAAATGGAGCGGAACCCCCGAATCGGCCTCACAGCCACCGCCCTCAGCGCTTGGCGCATTAGGCGTTTGCTTTGAGCGGTGGCCAACAATTGGGGCGTCCATATTGGCGCCCCATAGAGGGCGATCGAGAGAACCACTCCAACATATAGGCGGCGCGCGTGCCAACCCGGACCCTCTAGGTCTGCATTAGTCTGGCTAGGGCCAGACCTGCCTTTCTGATCCGGGGGGCCAGATCCCTGAAATGGGCCCTGAAGTCCCACCGGCCGTCCAGTGTCAGGCCCGGATACTTTATGCTGGGCACGACGCGGACGCAGACTCCGTCCACCACGACCTGGGTCTCCGGTGGCGCCTCACGGTTGCCGTCGTGAAAAAAGACGGCCTCCGTTTTTTGGGGCGCCACCTTCAGACCCAGGTCACGAATGGTGCCCACCACCGACGCCAAGGCCACCTCCGCGTAGAGGCGGGCCTCCCACCAGTCCTCCCCCCCGGCTAGCACTAGGGTGTCATCTGCGTAGCAGATGACGTGGCAGCCTGAGGGGAGGGGGGTTCGCAAAACCCTATCGAACGCGATGTCCCATAGCAGGGGGCCCAGACCGGACCCTTGTGCGTGCAATATTTTTTATTGCATTGTTATAATACTTAATTTGTTACAATAACAAGTACAATAACAAGTAAAATATAACAATAACAAGTAAAATAACCATATAACTCAGTTTTCTAATAAATAGTGATAAATTTTATTTATAAAAATTTATTATTTTATTAAAAAATTTTTCGAACGAAAGTTGCATGGTTTGAAGGACGACACATGACGGAAATGTGGACTTGACCTTGAGTGACCTTGTCAAAATCAGGCCAAGGTCATTAATGTTTTTTTAAATAGAAACTACGATTTTTTATTACATATTCTTGTAGCTTATCTCGAGAGCATTCCAAAACACTCTAACAAAGTTACATTTCATCGAGTACTTTCCGAGTTATGAGGCTTGGAACTTAAGGCAAGACCGATCACTGATCCGACCAATTAAGGCAAGATCAATTCGAATATGTCTTTAGCCGTTAATAAGTCTTGGCCTTAGAAGTACGAAATAAAACCTCCTTGCTTTTATTACAATATCCTGTAAGTTAGCAAATATTCTTCACACATACAAACATAGTATTATTATATTTTTATTGAGTAGTGCACTGAACAACTATCACATTGTTCTGAGAGTTTTCTCATTTAGAGCGACGAAACAAATGTATTTTATGAATTTTTTTTTCGCGCAGATAGAAAATTTCACGGATGTAATTGTTTTTGGAGATTATTTAATACTGTATGAAAAATATTTATTAACTTACAGGATATTGTAATAAAAGCAAAGAGGTTTCATTTCGTACTTCTTGATTCTGTTACAATATTCTTTTATATTTCATACTACATCCTTGTATAACTTAAAATTATTCTTAAAATATTATTAAACAATTCAATAATCAAACCTGTGAACCTGCCCGACTCCGCAAAATAATTAATAAAATATATTTCATTTTCTTGGCGCCGAATATTATTAATACTATTACAAATAATATTACAAATGATATAAATTTTTACAAATAATAAAATTTGTAAAAATTTATATTATTTGTAACATTATTATACAATTACAAATAAAATTACAAATAATAATATTACAAATAATATATACAAATAATAATATTATTAATAATAAAATATTATTTGTAATAATTTCGGTGCGCCGAGTAGACAAAACTTTCAGTATTGTCATAGAGAGGAAAGGAGAGAGAGAGAGAGACGTTTGCGCCCGCGATTCAGATTATGGGCAAGAAAGAATTAGGCTCGCTGAGCGAGAACGAAAGCGACAAGGAGGGAATGATATTCTCTCTCTTTCTCTCTCTCTAGCTCGCTCGGCGCGTCAACAATTGCCGATCGCGTGGCTCACACGGATTGACCGAGCTGGCTGTGTGCGTGCATGGGGGGGGGGAATCCTCGTGCAAGCCCGTCACCAATTCGCATCACTGATACCAATGATGTCAAAACCGAACAAGCTGCGGACAAGCGTAACTTGTAAATACCAGAGATCAACTGTTTATCAGGTCATAGACAATTAATATGACGAGATACCCGCGGAGACCCGTGTACTTCTCTTTCGTCTTTGCGTACAATTGCGATCAATAAAAAATTTTCATGAATTGTTCGGTTTTGACATCATTGGTATACGTGTGTACGTGTGTGTGTATGTGTACACGTATAATTGCGATATATACTTATCACGTTAGCATTGATCATTTTTATTCATGCTAAAAGAAATAAGTATGATTATGTAAAGAATTTGTCTGCATATTATTATACATTCTACATAGTTTTCCCTGTGATAGCAAAAATAACACTTGAACAACCTCTACGTTTATATCACAAAGCCTGATCCACTGCACTACTGAAGCAAATTGGTAATTCTTCTGCTATAACGACATTAACAGAAAAGACTAAACTTCAAACTGTATTTCTCAAAAACGTTTAAGATTTATACCGTTTTTGGATAGCATTTGTTACTATTACATCAATATTATACTTTTCTAAAAGCAAAATCGCGCGGTGATTTCAAGGATGAAGATTCCTCTTGTATGAGATATTAATTATTCATTCTTTATTAATGGGAGAAGATTTTCCTTTGATTTAAATGTTCAAGAAAAGTTATTTGTTCTCTGAGAATCTTTCAATTTTTATGTTCGTGAAAAGTTATAAAATTCGTAAAGGAAGAAAAAGTTATAAAATTCGTAAAGGAAGAAAATTATTTTACTACTTACCTGTTCAAGAGTTGCGCATAAGAGATATTTTAACAAATCTGAATCTGAATCAGTCAACAAATTAAATTTTTCATTCAAAGAAGCATATGTAGGGTAAGCATAAGTAAGATAAGTATAAATAATAAATTAAATATTATTCTCTGAATATAATAATAAATAAATATTTTTTTCTTTAGCTGAATCATCGAAGTAAATATTCTATTATAAATTGACTTTCCGGATTACAATATTAATTTGATTTTTCAGAGTACGCTTTAAAATTGACTCTTCGGAATACGCTATTAAATTGACTTTTCGGAGTACACTTTTAAATTGACTCTTCTGACTACACATTTTTAGTTCATTCTGGAGTACATATTTTTTAATTAACTCTTCGGAGAGAAGAGAAGAGAAACATTATATATTTTATTTAAAAAATCGTAATTTTTGCAGAAAACTGATTGATGAAGAAAAAAATTAATTCACGACCTCAACGAAGATCTTAAAAAAATTACTGCAAGAAATGAAGTTGTTGTTATTATATACCATATTGCACAATATTAAAACATATGCGCAATAATTATCTATAATTTGCATATATGGGCGTTTATGTAATTACAAGTAATATAAAAGTCATGACAAATTAATGTGGCCGCGCGTTATCTCTGTCGCGTCATTGCTAGAAATCATCCGAACTCTCGAAATTATTTTCTTCCCGAATTATGAATATAAAACAATGTGGAAAGGAAAACAAGGGGGTGAAAGGGGGGATGACGTCTGCCTTACGATAACATCGCTGCTAGCTCGCTTTGTCGCGATTGTCTATTCACTGGTGGTGAGACAAAGACCGATTCTTCGTTTTTATCTAACTAATCTAGCTCACTCGTGAACATAGCACAGAACAGAACCAAATAATTATGGACATAGCACGGAATAGTACCAACAAATCGTGGACATTGGCTTAGTAGTTCATGTCCATGAAAAATGGACCCAGTTAGCGCTGCGAATCAGCCAACTTTTCCATAACGCTGTAAATGCAGCCATGCCCGCTCTCAGGCTTCTCTCTGCTGTGTAAATGCAGCCATGCCTGCTCTCAGGCTTCTCTCTGCCAACAGTCTTTGTAGTATCTCGTCGGTGCCGTAGCGAAATGACCGACCGGACAGTCCGCGGTGCGGAACACATGTACATAGGGGGCGTAATCATCGTCGGCCAGCCTATCCGCAAGGAGAGTACGGCGTGACGTAAACGACGATCCAAACAAGTATCAGCTGTGTTGCAGTCATTGTTCCCTGGCTTGCCATCCGTTTCGGTAGGCGTACGAACGGCTTCGCTTCTCTGTGTTCTCCGTGTTATCTCCGATCGAGTGGAACGACATCGGCAAGACGGCTGCGAGAGTGACGACCCTGTGATCCGGACGGGACACGCGACAAGTCGTACGAGCGCTTTTAGGTTCTGGGCACGGCAAGTGGCGAGGAGAAGAAAAAAAAGAGGGGAGGCTAGGACGGGACGAGGACAGGATCTTTTTTCGTTCTCTTAACGCAATCGTGGCTGCGTGCGTGCTCAGGAGCCCCCGACCCCAGCTCCGGCCGCCGATCACCGACGATAACCACCCACGGGAGACAATAATCGTGTGAAAAACGGGGCGGTACGCGCATAAGCCTGGCCTCGAGCGGCGAGTCGGACGACGGTGGACTCGCTCCGCCACCGTGCAAAAGGTCCCGTAGTAGTTCTCAGCCGGCTAGCGTACCACCAGCGGACGAGAACCACTCTTCCTCTAGCCTGGACATGGATAATTATCGGTAACGTGTAGTCCCTTCTCTCTCCTTTCTCTTGCTCTTTCTCTCTCTCTCTCTCTCTCTCTCTCTCTTCCTCTCCCTCTCTCTGTGTCTCTGTCGCCCCCTGCTTTCTGTTTCTATCTCTCTCGCTCTTGCTCACATACTCCCTCCCTCCTTCTGTTCTTGCTTTCTGTCTCTGCCTCGCTTTCTATCGCATTTTTTTTCTCTTTCTCTTTTAAATTCTTTCAAAATTTCTCTTTCAGTGCGCGAATGCATTGATAGAGTGACAGAATTTTTTTTTTTCGCTCGCATCGTCCTTGAATTTTCTCGTACGATCATTGTGATTTCCAAAATCACGGATTCACCGTTTTCATTCCGTATATGTCGTGTCCTTCGCACGATTTTCTTGTTTATTTAGCTCCTTGCCATCTTTTTCTGCTCCCTCTCTCTCTCTCTCTCTCTCTCTCTCTCTCTCTCTCTCTCTCTCTCTCTCTCTCTCTCTCTCTCTCTCTCTCTCTCTCTCTCTCTCTCTCTCTCTTTGCTGCTGTCACTTTTCTTTCTCTACCTCTTCCTGCATTCCCCCATTTTCTCCACCTAATATGCATCTCACAACAAGACTTTTAAATAGACTTCTCAAGACTTTTAAAGATTACTATGAGAAAACATTTCTTCTGAGATAGGACTTGCCGATTATTATGTCATTGTGTTAGTATTGTGGCATTGTCAGTATTGCCATCATGGATAACATTCCAGTATGCGCTACAGCTTAATGCAACAGCAAGCCGCAAACAGTGGCGTATCTTCTGGACTACAACAGAATGGAGACACAGCAGATTCTGGTGGATCGCAAATTGCCAATGGCAATTTGTTGCCAGAAACAGATAATGATGTCAGTGGTGTGAATGGGGAAGCAAATCCAAGTTCAGGACCTCCAAAGATAATGGACAAAACTAATCAGGACATTGTGAGACTGATCGGACAACACTTGAAGACAGTTGGTTTAGAGTATGTAACACTTTATAACTTTTTAATATTTTAATATGCTAATCAAATAGTCTTGTTTAGAAAAGAAAGATAACCTATACACTATTTCCATAGTGTAGCAGTATTAGAACACATACGTAAATTATTACTGATAGCTATTATTATAATGATTATCATACTTAGTGTATAAATATATACATAATAATTATTACTGATTATTAATGATTATTATTAATTATTATATAATAGCAACTAAGTATGACTTTGTAATATTGTTGCAGTTTGCATATGCGTTCTAATCTTGGTAGGCTATGGAGATAGGAGAAGGATGGAGTAGGTCATTTTTCTTTATTATCGTAGTCATTTCTTGATTACTAATTGGAATTTCATAGATAGAATCACATTCTTTACTGTCTTTATTCTTGCGTATGCATGAAGAAGATGGTATCAAACTATCTGCATCTCATCCTACATAGTGGGAGAAAGCTAATTATAGAACTTTGAAATACATGTATATCTGTCAGTTATATTTACTTTATAACAGCAGGCAATGTAAAAATGGCAAATGGCATTGAAAATATTCAAGCTCATTGAAACCTCAAATGTTTATGTATATTTGGTTTAGTTTGAGTAATATTACGTTTATAAAATTTCGTAATTATAAGATACTTTAATAATAATAAAAAATATAACAAAAGCCAATATGTTCACCATCGCGACATATAAATTGATACAGATAAGATATTGACACATTTGTTGTAACACTTGTTACACCTTGTTACGTCGATATTTAATGTAGATTCTCAAAGAACTATGTGACTTCATAAGATTGTATGCTGTGCAACACAATTAATAACAATATAACGAAAAAAATATCACTTTCAGTCGTACTGCGGATCTGCTCATGCAAGAATCAGGATGTCGACTAGATCATCCCGCTGCGGCAAAATTTAGACAACACGTTATGGACGGCGACTGGAGCAAAGCGGATCACGACCTCAATGAACTCAAGTCTTTTCTAAACAGTGCAAACCAAAGTTTAGTGGTGAGTTCTTACCTCCACCTCCACATAACTATACGATAGTCAGATACTTAATTTTAACAATATGTTTTACATCCGCAGGAGATGAAGTTCTTATTATTGGAACAGAAATATTTGGAATACTTAGAAGAGGGTAAAGTATTGGAAGCATTACAAGTATTACGTAACGAGCTTACACCTTTGGGCCATAATACCGGTCGCGTTCATCAGTTGTCCGCATTTATGATGTGCAGTGGACGAGATGAATTACAGGTATATTTTATTTTAGATACGGAATATGATGTTAAAACATTAAAGTGATTAAAATATATAACGCTTCGAACAAATTTCTGTACGCGTTTGCGTTAACACATTTCCGCAAGGATCGATTCTTGTAAGATTATCCTTGAGATATCTTCAAAATTCTGATTTATAACTAAAAATTCGATCACTTTGACAAATGTATATATGTATATTTCGACAGATACGTGCAGGCTGGGATGGTAAAGGACCAGCTTCCAGAGCTGCTCTTATGGATAGACTACAAAGATACCTGCCACCCTCCATTATGTTACCACCGCGCAGACTTCATTCTTTACTTTGTCAAGCTGTGGAAATGCAAAATCAACAATGCACGTATCATGTAACACATACGCAGGTATATTGATGAGTTCTATCGTTATTAAATTAAATTTTAAATTATTTTCTTTCTTTCCTTTATAATATTATATTACTGTGATACGCATGTACGCACACATACACACATATGCGAGCGCGCGCGTGCGTGTACAGTTGAAATTATTACAGAAATCAAAAGAAAGATAAATTTAGTGAGATAAATCTCTCTACTGCTCTGCTGAAATTACCAATCATTTTCCTTCCAAAGCAGACAAGTCTAGAAAACGTCTCTCTGCTTGTGGATCACAGCTGTAGCAAGGAAGAATTTCCGTGCCATACCATACAAATACTCAATGACCATTGCGACGAAGTTTGGTATTGTAAATTCTCGCCCGATGGTCTCAAACTCGCCACAGGTTCTAAAGATATGACTGTAATTATATGGGATGTAGATCCAGTAAGTATATATCAATACATCGTGCTGAAAATCGTCGATACAGTATTTTATATCTTGGAGGAAGAGAAACCGATGCACGTTTCCCTTCAGTTCTTCTTTATCGAAATCTTGGAATTTCCAAATATTTCAAACCAACATATACCGCGTTAACTACAGCGATTGATTATTATGTTAAATATGAAATTGATGGTTGTGTGTTTGGAAATTTTGAAAGATAAATTGAAAATTGAAGTAACTTATATCGGCTGTTTCTCTCCCAAGTCATACGTTTTGCCTTCTTCGGTTAAGTACCTCGGTGAACACTTATCTGAATATGATGCAGGAAACGTTGAAAGTAACACATAGAAAAACACTCGAAGGACATACATATGGCGTAGCGTTAATCACTTGGAGCCCCGATAGCACTCATCTGATCGCTTGCGGTCCTGAGGATTGCCCCGAGTTGTGGCTCTGGAATGTTGACACGCCAGATTGTGAGTTACGTGTAAAACTAACTCAAAGTACGGATGACTCGTTAACGGCCTGCGCATGGCATCGTGATTCGAACAAGTTCGTCGCGGGAGGTCTCCGTGGTCAATTCTACCAATGTGTACGTGTGCATCTTTAGAAATCATTAGTAATAATTACAATTTGCGATATTCGATATAATAGGATATGTGTAATGAGAAGATTTCTGCGAGACGAAAATTCATTCAATATGCATATTGAATATGCTGTTTGAAGTATTCGATCGTAGTGTGTAAATTTGGCAATTTTAACCAATTTAGGATATGGATGGCAATGTTTCTGAGACGTGGGAAGGGATAAGAGTAAAATGTCTATGGTGTCGAAACGATGGCAAAACAGTCTTAGCGGCCGATTCACATCATCGAATTCGCGGATACAACTTCGACGATTTATGCGATTTCACAATGTATGTTCTCTATAAAGACCTGTGAGACGTGGGTTGCCCGACTGCTTCGTCTAGCAAGAGTTTTAATAGGATTCTCCCGTGAACTGTATTACAGATTACAAGAGGATCATCCTGTCATGTCATTTAGCGTAAATAAAACTGATCGACTTGCGTTACTTAACGTTGCGAATCAAGGTGTTCACCTTTGGGACTTACATGATAGATGTCTTGTAAGACGTTTTCAAGGTGTCACTCAGGGACATTTCACTATTCACAGCTGTTTTGGAGGAGTTAATCAGGACTTTATTGCATCTGGCAGTGAAGGTTTGTCATGCATGATGAAAAAAATGTATTTTTGCACTTACCTATACCTTTTGTTTCGTACGGAGTCGAAATCGCGAAAAAGAACAACGTCATAATAATATTTCTTCATTTTATCATAGACAATAAAGTATATGTATGGCATATCAAAAGAGAACAACCTATAGCGACCCTCATAGGACACAGTAGGACAGTCAATTGTGTTTCGTGGAATCCCGTTTATCACCAAATGATGGCTTCCGTATCGGATGATTGTACAGTAAGGATATGGGGTCCAAGATCAGCCTGTCCGGAAGGATCCGATTACGATAAAGCTGGTAAGTGTTTCAAAATGCTATGAGTGTCGTAATTGTGTCTTGAATAAAGCATTGCTCGTTTATCGAGAAAAAACAAGCGTGTGTACGTATGTGTGTAATTTTTCCTTTTCTCACATATTTTGTCATTGTTTTCAGCGCTAGAAGCTCCCCCTTCAAATATTGACATCTGGCGCGCAATGGTATCGTAGCGAACTACAGCGCATCAGGGTTCCCATGACCTCATGGTGTTCAAAAGACTGTCGTGTTGATTGTCATACTGACATTTTTCTGCCTTCTGCAGTTGCCCTTCTATACCTCACTACTGTCGCTCTTAGCCACCATCCAATGCGTACGGAGATAATAGGAGGGATGTATATGTTAGCAACAACTGCTAACCATTAAAAACCGAAGCCAACCATCGAGTGTAATTTTCACATTTGTGCATATATACTTTTTGTTTCATATTATCTTACGGATTTTATATACATCATGGAATTCGTTGTGTTATCTCGATTGAAAACGTTGAGTGATTTAATTACGAGAACTAATAATCGAGAATACGGTATAATACGGTATAATATAATAAAGTAATGTTATACGGCAGAGTAGAAAATGAAGAAAATTCCGTCTTAGAGAATTGGTGTCTAAAGATAAAATTATATCCAACAACAAACGGCAACATATTGTGCATGGAATGAATCCACATAATAATCTTGGAACAATATCGTAGAGATATTATGTTTCGACGAGAATTTTGTCAGATTTGACTCTAATTGTACTAATAAGCACTGTAAAAAGATACCACAGTCTCGGGTCTAGAGTTTTATTCGAAATTGGTCATCTCGATTAGTGATATATATATATACATTATTTTAATGTGTTATGTTTTGCAGTTTTCGTCTTTTCTTAAGAGACTGTATAAATTTTCAAGTATGTATCGTAATCTTGTGAGGGATTATCGGAACTTTTGGCGGACTGAGCGGGAATTCGAAAATGTTTAGTGGAGAAATAAATATTTTGCTGCGTTTCTAGTGCAGCGTAACGAACTACAGAATTTAAAGAGCGATATTTGTAAATGTGTGAAATCTTTTCCTTCTATTTGTTCAAGCATTTATAAAGAAAAAAAAGAAAAAAAAGAAAAACACGATGATATATCAATTTTTAGTTGGATTTATAATCGTGTGATTTGCATGAAAAAAATTATCCAGTCTATGTGTATTATCGAGAAGGTCTCTAGGGAATGGGGATCGAGTGCGCTCCGAGTTTTATCGATACCATCCGCAGCGTGTTCGAAACTTGCAGTATTATGAGTATTGTGAAGCGTAACGGTATCTAATCACAAATCGCAATCTCACAAGGGTTTATCGGTCTTTTGCGGATTGAACGGAAAAATTCGATGAAGAAATACAAATTTTGCTGCTGCTTGTGATATTTTTATCGCAGCATGACAAATCATACTACGCTAGCTTTAAGGGAATGAGTGGGTTTATTTACATGTTTTCTCATTTCATAATGTTAAACATTAATGTTAAACATTTCATAATGTTAAACATTTCATAATGTTAAACATAAGGCAGCGAATAGAACTTTTAAAATCGATGTTACTTTTGGCACTGCAAAATCTTGGCAACAATCTCCCATTGGAAATTCATACTAGTCGACTGCTCCTCGCTGTTGTTACCATTCTTTGACTTTATGAGTTCGTTTCCTCGATCGTTTATGCTTTACGATGTGACATGTTTTGCATCTCCAATCGATTGCTTTCTATGAATTTTTCCGCGCTTTCTGATCTTGAGAATCCTTGTTAAACGATCATATCCTTATAAATAAATGGTTTTGAAATTCTAGATTATAAATTGTGGGCACATGTGTATACTCAAGTGGTATATCTGCATCTTGAGTGCATGAAAAAAAAAAGTCCAATACCTACGTCTTCATTGTTTACGATTGTATAAGTGTGAGTTTATAAGCATTTCAAGATTTGTGTGTATGTATGTGTTTGTGCGTATAACATATATACTATGAATTGATTAACTGATATTTTAAATAACATTTTAGGATTATATAAAGAATGAAATTTATGACTGAACTTAAGAAATTTTTAGAAATTCTGAAACATTTACAAATTCTAAAACTTCTATAACTGGAAACTGAATAAATGAACAAATGGAATCAGTCCTTTTTCTTCCGAGGTACAGATACACATCTGTACAAAGTTTATACACACATATATATGTATATGTGTGTGTATATATATACATATATATTTACCTGTATATTCGTTTTACGTTTCAAGGTACTCATAATAATTTCAAAAAGACACCTCATCTTTCGATTATATTTTATTCCAACAGATTTTAGGTGGTATCGATGTTACTTGGTATGTACTCGTTTTTTCGATTCTTGCAATTCTTTGCAGATGACAAATCCACGATTTTTGGAGGCATTATTCACGATTTAAATTGAACGATATTTAAATATCGAAATAAGAGAGATTGCGACTCATGATTACATATTGATGAATTCGGCTTTGTCTTTAGGCGTCTATTAGGGAACTGTACGAATAGTGACCTAGAGTTCTAAAACGATGGATAACGAGTTTGGTAGATTGTGCAAAATGCATAAGTGAATTTCACCATTCGTGTAGTACCCTTGTGATTGCCACAGGCAGATCTTTAACTAATGGACCGCCCCGCACCACTCTATTATTGTTATTAATATTATTTTTTATTATAATTATATTATTATGTACGTCATTAGGCTATATAATTTTTTCTTCAGTCGAGCATTTAACGTGAATAACGAAAATGTTTTTAAGTGAAATTTAATTTATTTATGTGTAATTAAACAATTTGTGAAATGACAAACATACATAGGTAATGTTGAAGAATTACGAATGTTGTACTCGTCTTATTAACTGCCATGAATCGAAGGATGTAATGTGTTCTTTTTCGTCACTTATAACTTGACAAATGGTTATAGTAGATACATTACGCAGTATTACTAGAATGAGAAGATCGGTGTAGCGACGATACACAATATTCAAGAAGATTCTTAGATTCGCTTCTTTTTTTTCAAATTATTGTCTGCACTCTCATAAACATAGTTTTTTAATTCTGAAGATTACACGTGAAGAAAAATTGGAATACAGAAAATAAAATTTTGACAGAGATACACACTTAGAACACAATGGCAATTAACGGGATGAGTATATTAAAGAAAAAAAAACGTTCAATTTATTTTACTGTCCGGAGTAAACAAGAAGTCTGAGAATATCGAGAGATGTAGGATATACCTATATATATATGTAAACTTGTACAAACAAAAAAAAAGAAGAATAATAATACCTTTGCAACATGTACAACTATTAAACACATTTACATGCAAAGAAAACTTCTGTAGTTGATGATTCTAATGTTAAAACAGGAAATAACGTAATGTCAGTCACACTATTATCATTTGCATTTAGCAACATTTACCTCTGGTGCCTTAGCACTTTACGATCCGAACGAAAATTCATAAATCTCTCGCGTAATTCAAAACGTTATTTCACTCGTGACGCGACGGATTCTACAGTCCTGGGTATAACGAAGCTGTATAGTAATAATTCCAACAAGCTACCTTTATAAATATCCTTTAAAATTCACTCGCATATGCATACTTGAATTAATCTTACGCATTCTTACGTTAGCCCGATACACATGAAACTTCAACTAGATACTACGAATCCACTATTGTATAACGTTGAATGTTGAATTGTCCGTTTGTTATAAGTATTTGTATATCTACCGTTGTACGATACTCTGAGAGAGAGAGAGAGAGAGAGAGAGAGAGAGAGAGAGAGAGAGAAAGCAATAATAATAGCTTCCGAAATTTTTAATTTTCATAGATAAATGTGCAAAAACGAAATGGTTGTGTATAATGAAGAACGAATTAGTGTATTACTATACGGTCAAATATCTCGATTTATCTTTTATCACTAGACAAATAAAGGCAAAGCTCTCAATTGTACTTTTAACTTTGTGATAAAGTATACGTTCATCGCATCAAATTGCGTTCACATATATAACGCGTATTCTACAGACTATGTCCGAAATTAAATCACGATTTTTTCAGACGCAGATTCTTTGGCGAATTTAATGTCGATTTTCTCGTGGCGAAAATGTCAAAAGTGCACTTTCGAAAACTTGTTTCACAAAATTTACCAGTGTTCTGATATTCTTTTACCGAAGAAACGTGGAACCGAAGAAACTTAAAATTGGTCAAAGAATTGGCATTTTTTTCTTTTTTCAAGAAGCTCGAATGGTGTCAAATGTTTTACATAAGTATGTTTCGATATAATTGATCTAGTTTAGTGACAGTGTGCGACGTGTGTTAAATTACATACTCGTGTTTCGGCTATAAATGAGGAGAACAGATCTTCAAGTCACTTTTTAACACAAATGAATTATAGTGATATGCAGATGTTTTATCACGTACATCTTCTTAACATAGGTAGTGAAAACGGTATATTTTAAGATAATCGATTATATGATATAGTGTCTGCTTATATATGATAGGGTGATTACAAAGTTTTATAGAATGGTATAAAGCTGCATAAATAATACAAAATATTCTACAAAAGAATAAAAGACATAAGAAGTATATTACGTATATTATCATTATACTTTACTTTCACGCAATTGTTACTTTTTACTTTATTATCTGCTAGATACATATCTAAATTAAAAGATAATTATATAGGATACTACTCATGCCAATATATAACAATTATGTTAATAATTTGTATCAATAAGTTTAATATGGGAACATGTTCTCCTCTTTCCTACATATTATTTTTTTGTCAACTGGTTTTTACAAGTTTATTTAACATAAAATCAGCATTTGTAAGGTAAATGCAGTTTCATGCAACAAAACTAAAACATAACATATAAAAATATTCTTTTTTTTAATTAAATGCATTTATTTCTTAAGAAATTAGTATATTAAAGTATATTAAACTCATGTAGCTAAATGGAGACTAAATTTTTGAAAAGTCTAAAATTCTAATTTCTAATGAAGCCTTCCATATATAATTTAATTATACAGATGACTTGTATGATAGAATAATCTGGCAGGAGAACGATTGAGATTTTAATATATTTCTAATTTATTTAAATAAAAATACAAAAGCATTATAGCAAGAAGTCATTTGAAAAGTCTGTGAACATTCCATAACAAAAAAAAAACTGAACCACTTTCTATATTTTGAAGTTTACATCTCAAGTGTAATTGTGGTACTAATGTTAATAGATTCAAGTACTATTCAATTATCCACTGATGATATTGTCAAATCACTTCGTAAAAACCAATTAAACGATGAATTCTTGAGAATGCCAATTAACCACCAAGAAGACCGATTAAGAATGAGGTTCAGCGTTTCTCAAATCGCACCATTTTGCGGCTGCCATATTTCTAATATTCTATATTCGCAACATCTTCAACGGGGCGAATATTAACATTGCTCTCACATCATAACGAGTCGACGGAGAAAAGGACATTTTGAGTGAAGAAAAAGTTAAAAAAGTTATCGATGTCTCGACACATTTTCGTTGAGGTTCCACTCGAACGGAATTTCACAATTGTGCATAACGCGTGTATACAACACGAAGTAATCGATCGATCGCGCGTTTAAAGCGCACAGAACGCCATGTCAGCGCGCATTCTTGACATTACGGACGCACGGTCGGTTTAAGCGCGGACTTGCGGCAAAGTCGACGCCAAATCGGTCGAGGTCAAACTGTCGTTAAAAAACACGACGAAGAAACGGGGGAGTCCGTCTGGTGATGGAGCGCGGGCGCCGAGTGAGAACCACTGCACACAGTGTTGGAGGAGCACAATATCGCATATACTCACGCACTATTTTCCTTATATTACGCCACATTGCGCTACGAAGAAGCGTGGCGTGAGAGGCGAGAAACGTTAGGCAAACTCGGCTGGTCTTCGATTCTCATCCGGTGATTTACGGCCAAGTGGACGGTAACACGTCACTACCTCCTGTCCCCGCTCCCACCATCGCTGCGTTGTACGCCATTGGTACGCGCCGTGACGAAGCAGTCGCCGCGCTGGTTGGTCGGACACGGTTAGTCACTGTCGAAGTCTCGTAGCGCCAGTTCATCATTGAAGACCTTACCGCCTCGTTCGCCAGAAGGAACCCGCCGTCCCCGATATCACAAAATGGTTGGAGAGGTGTGCCTCATCGAAAACTTAGTAAGTAATCGACGAAGTAGCGAGATACGCGAACGAGCGCGCGAGAGACGTTTCAACGCCAGTTGCAATGATATTCCGTAATAAAAAAATGAGATAACTGTGGGTGTTAAAAAGCCGCGAGCGCGCGACGGCTTTCGTATTCTGTGTACCATGAGACAATATTGCTAGATCAACATGCGGTACCAACTACCAACCTGGTGAAATAAAGGATGTGCATCATGCACAATGCGTACAAAAAATACCGGACCGAGTGGTCGCGGTAAATGTTTGTGAAATGTAGTTCATATAATATAGAACGCGCAAAAAAGAGAGGGAGTTCGAGATAGATAGAGATAGATAAAAATAAGTTGGTGTATGTGAGAGAGAGAGAGAGAGAAAGTCGCATATACTAGGCTAGGCGAAATAGTCGTATCACGTGACAAGATATTGATTTTTACCGACATTTCTTTCAAGAGAATTACACTCACGGGGATTGCGACTCAATTATGGTAAATTAAATATCGTGCGGATGGAAAAAGCCGCGTGACGTCCCATCTCATGCGTGACGAGATATAACGGAATAACTGCATAAAGCTCGAGCACGATTATGTGGTCTGGCAACACTGGCGTATTCGCGCGTGAGTTGTCACACTTTTTCGCGAAATCGTCCCCGACCTTGGAGGCATTGATTCCGCCTTCGTTCCTTTCGCTCAACTGCAGCTGCGAATACCGCAGAACAACTCATCGAGCGTTACGTCAGTCATAAATGATTCCGATTACGCCATCCAGCCGCGCGCGAGACTGATCGCATCGGCGCTGAAGCTGGAAAAATAATAATAAGCCTGGATACTTTTCCATCGGCGAGACAATTACACTAGCAATAATCAGCTTAATTAATTATTAGGGCCTGTCCAAACAGATTCGCACAGTCGTACAGAGCGTGCTCGAGCGAGAGATTAAATCGTATCGTTAATCAATGACGAACGGTGCTGCATTTGTTTCATTTTACGAACTTACATTTTGTCGTATTCATGCAGTCGCATACGTCGTGTCTGTAATTTGGAAGGATAAGAGCGAACTTTCGAATTTTTTCGCATTCGATGAAGAGCCAAATTTTGTACAAAATATATTTATTTTTAATTATAAATTTGAAAGTTTAAATATTTGAAAACTGTTGTTATGGAGATTGTTCGTATTGAGTGAAATTATAAGTCTTTAAATACAATGCCATATTTTGCATATGTCGACTGTTTGTTATTATATCTTATCACTAACATGATTGTCAGATATTTGTTCTTTTCCCCTATATCTGTTTTATTACATTAATATATATTTAAACAGCTGATATTCAATAAACAGAAATATTCTGTTAAGAACACATGTCATTAATATGATCAATTTTTATAGGAAGACTTGACCAGCAAGCTTGAGAAAGCAGGTGATAAGTTGGTGGTGATTGATTTCTTTGCTATATGGTGTGGACCATGCAAGATGATTGGACCTAAGGTGGCGGAGTTGGCAAAGGTTTTTTATCATATCATTAATTGCTATATTAAATTGAATTATTATATTATTTATTTAATATATTTACACACACACACAAATATATACATTATAGGAAATGGAGGATGTTATCTTTCTCAAAGTTGATGTGGATGAATGTGAAGATGTTGCTGCACAATATCAAATAAGCAGTATGCCCACATTTGTTTTTATAAAAAACTCCAAAGTGGTATGTATTAAATTTAAATTAATTTAACAAGTTCAACCAATTGAATATTAGATTTTTCTGCATTAATAATAGAATTGGCTAAATAGAGATACAATTTTGTCAATAATTAAATTTTTATTTTCAGCTGGAGTCCTTTGCTGGCGCAAATTACGATAAACTTAAAAATACAATTCAAAAGCACAAGTAATTCGCTCTGTCATGATCGTTTAAATATATTATATTTTTAAGTGAAATTACTTAATTAGCATTGTTTTACACAAACAATATATATAGCTTCTATATATAATATATAGAGGTTTTAAATATGAATGAAATTTTACTTAGCTTTATGCATGTTGAAAAGGGATGAGGCAAAGTCAGTTTTTCTGCAAAAAAGATGTAATCAGCTTATAAATATCTATAAACAATATATTAAGTAAACAAAAGCAGTTTACAATATTTATATGTAACTAGTTATGAAAATTTATCCACGACTGCAAATATTTAATGCAAAATGATAAAATTGTAGTTATGATATTGTTAAGCCTGTTATAATAATAGCATGCTATGCTACAATTTGCACGATTAAACATGCATTTGTAAATGTATACTAGTATATATTTTATATTTGTCATTTTACGTATGAATATGCCATGCGAATCGATACTGCTAATAAACTACAACAAATTTCTTAACAATGCAAATACTTTTTGAGTAGTTGATTCAACGTATGATACGTATAATCTAAGAATAGAAGTATATCCGAGTACTCGTTAAATACAAGAATACTTAAGCTATTTCAGGAATGAGACTAATTTGAGTGGCTCAGAAATAATAATTTACATGAAAAATTTTAATTATTTAGATGTAAACATCAGCAATAAAGATATTAGAAAAAGAATATTCTACAAGTTATATATACAAGAGGAATTCCTACCACTATAATAATAGTTTCATATTTATCTAAGCACGAAAAATAAATTATTTATTACAATACATAATTTTGCATGAATGATGGTGAAGTATGACAAGGCATTTGTTTACAGTCCTTTTTTACGTTTGATTTCAACAGGGCTCTATTTGACGCGCTTATAATATCTATTTAATCTTTAGGCCTTCTGGCTTACAAGTGAGCTGATCTAATTAGAAATATAAAGAATTCTTAAATTGATATATTAAGCCGTAAGAGACTTGAAAATAAAGATGTTTGACATATAATTGAATTATATTACATCTGACTTACGATTGAGTCATGTCACAACACTCGATTCTTCTTTAAAGATAGTGGCGACTCTCAGCGGAGATTTTGACACTAAGGAAAGTGGTTAATCGACTTTCTGGCGCTGTCTGGTGGTGTCGTGGCAAAAAGCGATACGAGTAGTACGACTCAACGATAGGTGAGCCATTCTTTTTATTCCACAGTTTTACGACTCAACGGTGGGTCAGCCAACATTTTTTATTTCGTAAGTAGTACAGTCTAGACAAACTTTCAGCTTTGATGCTTCCTTTTCAGAACGCTCCATTCGGTGTGTAACTTACGTACGTATGTAAATAGATTAAATTATCGTTATTAAATAATTGAATAATACACGAGTTCATCGATTTCTTGCGGTGTGATTTTTATATCTGCCACTATTTATTCTTAGGACCCGTGATCCGGTGACACCGGTAAGAAAATATTTCGCTAAGCGGTATATTGTCACAATAACATAAGACTAATTATGCAATATATAAAAAGTTTACGTAAATCTTATTCACGTTGCGATCTCTATCGTAAATATATACATACATGACGCAATATCGGAGTTAATATTTTGCTAATTTTATTATCTATAACATTTTTTAACGTGTCCGTTTTAGAAACGTCAACACGAACACCGTCAAACACGGCGTTATTTTTATCTTATCGTGAGAAATATAATTTATCCACAGTAGAATTAAGAGATTAAGCTAACACCTTCATTCTTGTTTCAGGAATATGAAATGGCAAAATTCGTAGCGTGTATTGTATTAGTTTATTTAGGTGTATGTTGTAATATATTAAATGCAGATGAAAGTCATGATGAGGATGTTAGGAATGCGACACATAAGCCACCTTACAAGAGTCCAGAACCTTCCGGCTTTGCTTACTTAGCAGAGCACTTTGACAGTAAAGAAAGGTTTAAAAACACATGGGTATTATCAGAAGCAAAGAAGGATGATATTGATGAAGATATTGCAAAATATGATGGTAAAGCTTTTATATTTTTATACAAGTTTTTATTTATTATTATATGTAATTTTTACTTATATATTTATATTTATATTTTATATTGTTTTAAACAAATTCCATCTAGTAAAACATTAAATAAATATTCATTACTTTACCATCCTTTTATTATTTATTAGGAAGTTGGTCCACCGAAGAGCTGAAAAGACATGCCGAGAATGGAGATTTTGGACTAGTGCTTAAAAGCAAAGCTAGACATGCTGCCATTTCTACATTATTAACTAAGCCATTTTATTTTAAAGACAAACCTTTGATTGTACAATATGAAGTTAATTTCCAAGAAGGACAGGAATGTGGTGGTGCCTACCTTAAGTTACTCACATTGGATGATAATTATAGTGACTTGAAACAGTTTCAAGATAAAACACCATATGTGATAATGTTTGGGCCTGATAAATGTGGCAATGATCATAAGGTATTATTTACTTTTTCCAAATTATGTTGATACAACTAATAGCATATATTTTGCTTTCTCCTGTTTTATTGTATTATAATAGCAGGAGGAAAAGATAAGTTAAAGTTCAGTTGATTCAGCTTTAATGTTGTGGAAATGTTTTGAGCTTTACACTTAAAACTTATATTTCCTTCTGCACTTTTAGCTGCATTTTATATTCCGACATCAGAACCCACTAAATGGTACAATCACAGAGAAACACTGTAAGAAGGCAAAGGATCGGCTAGAAGACTATTTCAAGGATAAAAATCCACATCTGTACACTCTGATTATACGGCCTGATAACAGCTACGAGATTAAAGTGGACAATAAAATACTAAATTCAGGTTCATTGATGGATGATTTTATTCCACCAGTGAATCCACCTCTAGAGATAGAGGATCCCGACGACAAGCAACCAGAGGATTGGGATGATAGAGAAAAAATCCCCGACCCATTGGCGGTTAAGCCAGACGACTGGGACGAAGATGCACCAGTGCAAATTGTCGATGAGACGGATATTATGCCTGAGGGATGGCTCGAGGACGAACCACCCACGATATCGAATCCGAATGCGGTCAAACCCGACGATTGGGACGATGTGATGGATGGCGAATGGGAGGCACCGGAAGTATTGAATCCGAAATGCGCCGACGCTCCCGGCTGCGGACCATACAAGCAGAATATGAAGAAGAATCCGCGATATAAGGGGAAATGGCTGGCGCCGCTTATTAACAATCCCAATTACAAAGGAAAGTGGAAGCCTAGACTTATACATAACCCCGACTACTTTAACGACGAACATCCGTTCGAAATGTTACCGATTGTACGTAGCCGATAACAAATCGCTGTTATCTCTCTGTCTCTTTATCTCTCTATTCTTCATTTCCTTTAATGTATGAAAACTTAGGTCTTGTGGAGGGTACAATTTGCGATGCTCGACATGAAATTGTTTTAGAGCGCTGTTGGTTTTGAGCTGTGGTCAATGTCACCCGACATATATTTTGATAATATTATTATCACGGACGATGAAGAAGTCGCGAGGAAATGGGCGGACGATACCTTCGAGATTCGACGTGTTAAGATCGCCAAGGAAAATGTAAGTGTTTTTTTCAGTCACGATTTAGACGTTCTTTCGTTGTCATATACATTGAAAATAAGTAGACCCATGCGAGCAGATCACATTTTATCAAAATCAAAATTCGATGTTTAACAAATCCTTCATCTTGTTGCGAATTGTGATACGCAGGACTCTTTGTGGGGTCGAATGATGAAAGCGATGAATTATAAGCCAGGCTGGTGGGCATTATATTTCGTGTATTGTGCGATACCAGTTGTAGCTTACATCTGGTATTTGTACAAGCGATGTCGTGAGGTATAACACTCACGTAGATATTTAATGCAAAGTATAAAAGACACTGAAGAAGTACTCGCTTAGTGATGTATCAATTCTGAAATATTGGAGCAATTGATTAAATCTGGAGATACGAAAACTTCAAGTATTTTGAATCTTTCTCTGCGAAAGAATCGACATTTTTTTCTTTAGCCTTTTTCTTTGGATCTTATTTTATTGAAATTCGTTTGTCTTATATACATAAGATTAAAAAATAAATTTATCTATTCCAATCTTCCAGAATTAAGATATATTATTGTATATACAAAAGTCAATAACATACATGTTTTAGATATGTATTTATACCTAAATCATTCGTATAATACTTGCTTTACGGTAGATATTGATGAACTCTAATTATAGAATAATGTTAGTCTTCATTTCACAATCCCTATGTATTTATCCTCAAAGTGCTAAGAAAAATCAAAACATTACCCTCGTAATGTCTCACGAATGGTTCTAAATGTTTATAATAGCTTTGTTCGTACGCTAGAAAACGTGTACATATACATTTGGTATTTATTTGATTCAGTGGAGCATATGGAAACGGATCGTGAACTTTACCACGGATCATCCGTGGATATGGACAGTATATATATCAGTATTTTTAATCCCAATAGTGCTGATAGTATATTGTTGCTGCTATGAGGTAAATACATAAAATTAGTGCGATGTATATATGTGTGCGTAATATAAATGCGTAATCAAAATCGGCTAGAGTACATAATGCGCACTTGTAAATATTAATCCTATTGAAGGTACGATCTAGTTTATTCCCATAAATATCTCGAAATTGTGAATGTTATATTTTATGTCTTTCTACTACATTTTCCCATCGGTTGCTTCGTTGAGTATATTAGATTCTAATCATTGTACGTGGTATTGTTTATTATCCTCGTTGCTACATTAACGCAAAGTATAGTGAGTTAAAAATGTTGTTTATATCATGTCAAAGGATAATGTCATGTATCAGGATAAATCGGAATCGAAAGAAGAGGAAGATAAACAGCTCATGGATATAAACGATGATCTCGCGGACATCGCGAAAGATGAATTGCAATCCCCGAATCTTGAGCTTTCTGATCAGCAGCCTATTATCGAAGAAATAGAAGATAAAGAGACTGGAACAGAGGAAATAATCGAGGGCGATAAGGTCAGCAATCAAAGCGTAAAACACGATAGTGAAAATCTTAAATTTGAAATTTCTACTTGTACGATATATAAACTTTTCTTTTTGCTGCAGGATGCACCACTACTCAGTGGCGAAGGACCACGTCGAAGAAAACCAAATAAAGAGTAATACAAAAAATTTTTAAAGAAAATTATTGCGCTGGTATTTATGTAATATTATCACATTCCACACTACACTTGCCACTGTGGATAGTAGGGTTACCAAATCACTAGTAAAGTCAGTCACTGAGATGTGATCAATAGTATTTAATTCCATGTCTATATAAGAGGGTACTGACACGACTTCGTATATAAATTGTCACCGATATATTTGAGGAAGCTGTTCTTGGATTATATACGCTTTCATATGAGAATGCATATACGATGCATCTGTATTACAAAAAAAAAAAAAGAAAAAACAAAACATTGCAAAAGTATCGTCCATTAGAGAACAGGAAATGCTCTAATAGCACATGATGTTTCTCTCTCTGTATTTGTGTTTTTCTGATTATGATCTTATGAAGTGTTGTAGCGTTAAGAGAATAGGCTCGTTTCGTTCGGTTCATAGACGGTTCATTAATACAATTGGGCAAATAGATGTTTGTAGAGAAATCGACCGATTATAAGTGAAACATATGAATAAGAGAGACGTGTCATTCGATACCGTATATACCGTATACTTTAACTATTATGGTGGAGTCAAATGTAGCTGCAGTTCCTAGGTAGCATTGCCCGACAATGCTGTACAAAAACGTGCAAACTAATTTTTATTTCACCTACAACTCTACGCATATACAGCCGTTTTTTCTTGAATATTATAAAAATACACGATAGAAAATGCAAAGGAGATAGATTTCTATTCATAGAATCCCATCTGCCTGAAACACAAGGACATTTTTATGTGTGCACACTGATCTGCCACCATAATAGTTGAGAGATAAAATTTATCTTTATCATTAATTATTCCATATACTATTCGTCAATTTCGATGTGTTATCGAGCTCTTTGAGTTAAGAATAAGTCCATCTATAAGGTACATATAAATGTAATCAGGTACTACGTTATTTGTATCGATTGATCGTGAAATAAAATCCAAAGAGACAAAAATAAAGGAGCTAAATAGTCGAAATGTAATATTGCTTCACATATGCTACGCTTCCTTGTTAAATCACATAAAAGACATTGCGCGAGTAAATATAGACTGTAGATACACGTCGACGATAAAATACATTTTTCGTTCAACAGGACGCAATTACGACGCGATCGCTCTCAGCGAGTTGATTTAACCAAACAACGACACTAATTTCTCCGCGGTAATAATGTCTACTCGTGATCGCCACGTTTCTTCCTGATGACACGTTGACCAAAGTGGCCAATTCACGAATATTCAGCGGAATATTCGAACTGTTTTGAACGCCCATTGATCGGCTGCGAAGCGTCTCATTCCGCTGAACGCAGCCATTGACTAGCAGAGCTTATCGCTGAGCTCTGATGGCATGATTTGCACGTGGGCACGGCACGTTGCGACAAATGTCCGGGCAATTTCGTGTGCACCGCCATACACCTCGTGCACAACACACAGCCGCAGGACCAACAGTGATGCTGAAACGGGATGGTTGTTATCAAACAGAAAGAATGAACATGTGTTTCAATCAATATCCGAATAACACTTCAGCGAGTATACCTTTTTATTAAAAGCATCAAATGTGGTAGAGCACCCGCATTCTTCCATATTTCGCGACGACTTCCAATCCAAAGCGACCGTCTTCAATTCATTCTCCAATTGATTCATTTTTAACTTCGCCTTCATCTTTTCATCGTGGTTCGCGGTATTCTCGATTATGGTCTTCGGCAGAGTCTCCATGAATTTATTGTCGAACTTATGCTTTCCTTTTTTTTGCGTGTTATTTATATTTAGAAGTTGCCCCAGAGAATTGACTTGCTGTCAAGGGCAGAGAATCGGAATTTTAAATGCGACTGTCAATAGCAATTCTTCAAAGTTACACGGGTCTAGCAAAGAATCCATTCGTCTACAGATCATTCGAATCAATCCATACACTTGTGCTCTTCATCGAACTTGCAATATGTACCTTCAATAGAAGCTTCACATGATCTTCCAAGGAGCTGGTGTGATCGTAGATTGATAAAAGCAAGTCTTCGCACGATTCTCTCGGGTGTACACCGTTCTCGAATCTGAAGTACAAGCCCCTCCAAAGACTAGAAAATAGTTTGAATTAAATTGCGGACTATGAGGCTACACGGATTAACGTGTGTTCGTATAAAAGATACATATTTATTACACGATAGATTGGGGTGCCAATTTAGGTTGAAGAACATCGGTGGAGTCGTCGCTGTTATAACGACTGCATCTGTAGATCGGGTTTATATACTCATTCGTGTTATTCGCGAAGTAACCCCACAACGAATACGTACGTTCAGATAATCTAAAACGATAATTTCTGCTTACATTTTCTCTTCATAAAAACTCATCACAGGAGAGCAAAAGATGTCGAGAAGCGAGGTGATACCTTAATATCTGCCTTTCTTTCTCCGAATTGCCGATAAACGTGCCGTGTTGACAACTATGTACATGATCGTGTAACGTCAGCAGGAAATATTCGTTAAATTGAAATTTGTATGGATACTGTCGTAACAACTGGTACGTTGCGTCTATGAACTGTGTAAATACTGGAGCGAGTTCTTTACCGTCACTGCTGACGTAGCCACACCGGTCGCTGAATTTGTGACCAAACGATAGCCAGTCTTTTTCTATTAAAGCCTTACAAAAAAAGTTTTCTGAATAAAAACACAAAAACACACACACATATATACATAGCCTCTTAAAAAATATATTTTTGCGATTACTCACTTGAAAACCTTGAATAGTTCTGTAAAATGGATCTAGCAATAATGCAGCCAGAGAGCACACTTGCGCGGTACGATCCCATCCGTCGCTGCAGTGCACAACCACGCTTACACCGTTTGAAACTGCCCGTGCGATAAACCAAGCTGTCTCCAAGATGGAGCGAATATGTTTCAACCAACCGCTGCTTTCTAGACCACTTAAAAACGCACTCATGGAAGTCGATCTTTGTACTAAATTCGAAGAGACGTAAGTATGGATCCAATATACTTCTATCAGATAATTGTTTTAGAGAAAGGTGTCATACTCACGGTCCATAAGCTTATTTAAACTTGTCCTCATCACGTGGATGTTTTCTATCCCAAAGAAATGAAATTTAATATTGTCATAGAAATTCTCATTTTCGTATCCTTTTCCTGCAGCTCTATTAGCAAAAGCATTAATCTAATCCAAACAAAAAGAAAAATGTCGGTTTTAATTCAATTTAATTTTTAATATCTCATATTTTATGAATAGAATTATAATTTGAAAGCTATGTATTTTTATTGATTATGCAGCAGGAAAGATAAATTTTATAGTTTAATTCAAATACTCACTCGTGGCCTTGTATCTACTACATACATGTATCTTGAATTAGGATTTGTACATAATATATTATACATCATTTCTTCATCCTCTGGACATCTTGCACTAAATCCTGAAAGTGGTTGACTACAACGACAAATGGCAGCCTAAAAATTCATTTGTATATTTATTTCATTCAGTAAATAAATGCTGTGCTATTTAGTTTGTTATTCTTTGCAAACCTTGTTTGAGTGCAAGTAAGTTAAAACTGGTAACCTTCCTCTGCTTCTAAACTTTGCACTACCCAATAGAACATTATTAGTGCTTTTACTAGGAACATATAAGTACCTTGGATAAGTATCACAAAGCTAAAAAATTAATGTAACTTAATTATATACACATAAAAGAGAAGAAAAATACAAGAAAAGGATATTTACTTCATAATTAGAATTTAAATATGAAAGTGACCATTCTTCATTTGGGACACCTTGCCGTTGAAATTCACTTTGTACATTGAAAAAATTCCATCCTGCATGTTTAGGTAACATATCTTCACTTCCTTGATAATTGAAGCAATATAAATCTTCTAGACTAGCTGTAGATGAAAAAAAGGAAAAAAACATGAATATTGAATCACGTCATACATATATACATGTATATTGATATGTACCTAAGAAAAAGATTGTATAGCTAAATAATTGTTTTTTAACACTAATTCCTTGTTATATAACTATATCTATACAACATATTTTTTTAGCAAAGATGGTTGTATCTATTTCTTAATCAGAAATTTCAATTTTAAATATAGATATATCTATAAGATGTGCACATAAGACACAATTAATTTTTTTTTACCTGGACAAGATAATTTCAATAAAGTGAGATAAATCTCATGGCAATCACGTTCCTTTGGAATAACAAATGTGGTAATAAAGAAATGTTTACACTTAATATACAATGGCGATCCTCTTGTAGTCAATGGTTGTTTTTCTATATTAGATATATGCGTATATAATACCTGCAAGGATAATGATATGCCACTGTTAAATAATAAATCATCTCTGTAACTCTGAATCAAACAACTATTAATGACTATATAACTTACCCATATTTTCTTCTTCCCACTTCTCTCAACAAATATAAGATGTGTCACTGTTAGATAAAGCGTACCAATAGAATGATTGATACTATATTTATCCAACATTCTTACATTTTCTACCTGCAAATATACTACTTTATAAAAAAATTTACACTATATACAAATATTAAATAAAAAGTCGTTTAATACCTTAGGAACCTTTATTTGCTCCATCTTTATAGCTTATAAGAAATCGCGTTTATATCGAATAGCTATCTATTTTGCGTAGGCGATTACAGCAATTAACATACATACACGTAATTCGCGTTTCATGATATAATTACGGATTAAGAAAGATTCATTTATTATAAATGTTCGTGTATGCTATTTATATACCGACACCTGTTATATATCTAAACTAATAGACAAGGTTGCTATTCCTTTTTGGAATGACAGGAGGAAAACACTATGCACTAGATTTGTTCTTTTTGGTTAATCTTCCCGCATTAGATTATATTAAAAAAATATATATAAATAAATATATCTGTAAGAGAATAATAAGTAAATAATAAGTAAGTTAATAATAAATATATCTGTAAGTTAATAATCCTATGTAAACTCTGTATTGGCCCGTTAAAAGAACGGGTCGAATAATTCCCTAAGGCCTGGTCTACAATACATGTCGTAAAGTTGTAAGCTGTAAAGGTTTCTACAATGAGGTTGTAGTAGTATGCAGTAGGCAAATTGACCAATCACAGTCGATTATTCTTCGATCGTAAAGAGAACAATCGATCGTGATTGGTCAATTTGCCTACTGCACTACTACAACCTCATTGTAGAATGACCTTAAGAACTGACCAATTAAAGGTCATTCTACAATACGTGTCGTAGTTGTAAGCCGTAAGAACTGACCAATTATAGCCGATTATTTTTGTAATAATCGACTGTGATTCGCCAATTCTTACGGTTTACAACTTACGACACGTATTGTAGAATGACCTTTATAGCCGATTATTTTTGTAAAGCCCTTTGCACAATGCCAGGCAACAGGCAATAAGAATAAAAATAGATCAATCACAATAGATTATTCGTGTAATAGTCGATTGTGATTGGTCTATTTTTATTCTTATTGCTTGTTGCCTGGCATTGTGCAAGGGGCCTGATAATCGACTGCCAATTCTTTTGCCAATTTTTACGGCTTACAACTTACAACTTACGACTATTGTAGACCAGGCCTTAAGGAAAGTAGAGTGAACAAGAACCGTGCACGCTTTGCTATTGGTCTATTCTTTTTAGATGCACTACTAAACTGGTGCAATAAGTTAAAGTGAAAAAAAATATAGTTGTCTTATTCTAACTTATTGCACTAGTTCCACAGTGCAGCTAAAAAGAACAATTTTCTCAGAGGGCGGCGACGAAATTCGGTGGAAAAAGCGTCCCAGTCCCCAGTAATCGGTCCGGTGGCCGCTCTCAGGTTTCTCTCTGCATATAATTTTGTTTATAACGCAGCTGGAGAATGGCGTATGGGTACACCTTACTACCTAAAGCCATATACCGAACGAACGAACGAACGATAATTTTATTTAGCGTAAAGCTAAAGCTAAGACTCCATGCATGCGGTGAACTGCGGCAAACGGTTGCGGTGACCAATCAGGAGGGAGGCGCAAGTCCGGTTGCGGCAAGCTCCGGCATGCGTCTGTCTCCTGATTGGTCACCGCAACCGTTTGCCGCAGCTCACCGCATGCATGGAGTCTTAGCTTAATAGGGTGCAATGAAGCGGTCCGATTATTACATCAGATTGTACCACCACTATCTTATTACACTGCGCGTAGCTCCGAATTAAATCGATCTACCATCGATTGCTTTCACCCGCACCTTGTACACTTTGTGCAGATAAATAGTTCCACTACGGAAAGGAATGAATCAACGCGATTGGTCGACCCAGCTTCCCGAGTATTCCGCTTGTGGCGCTGTTCGCAGTTGCTTCGTATTTAGTTATGGCGCCGATTACGAGTTGTGTAGTGTGCGAGAAACCGTCGCGCGTGATTTCTCGTAATTTTGACTCGTCGTAGCTGAGTCTCGTGCCTTAAATCGTTACCGGGAGTGCCGAAAGTAAATTTCGCGCGTATGTTATGGCGGAATGATGTTCCGTTGCGCAAAGTGAAGTGAGATGAATCATCGGAATACCGAGGAAAGTTCAGTGCACCAGCTGTGTAAAGGCAACTCGGTTTTCACATCACGGAACTTCATTTTCGACTCATCAGCCGAGTCTCGGTCGCGAATTATCGTTAAACATCGATCATGGCACAGCTTCCATTAAATATTCGCTGAAAATGTGCATTGTTCGTCGGGAAGGTCGAATAAAGTTTCGGGGATTTTTTCTGTCGGCCGACTTCTTGGAATATTTCAAACGGATGTTTTAGTTAGTCATTACTAGAAGTTTTCTGCGTGGTCTCGAAATATTTCTTTCCGAATTGCGAGCAGTGCGTTGCGTGAAAAATGAGAAGTCGAAGGGCAAGACGGGAAAGATTTAGCTTAGCGATAAGATCTGCCGCTGAGTCGCCTCGTACTTCCTCCGCGCCGCGTATACGCTCATCGGTGCGACAAAAACGGAAAGCGATTGATCATCTGTGCTTGTCTAAAGCCAGCGGCACACGGTGCTTGTTTTTGTGCTGGATTGCTTGCTGGATGAAAATACTACGTTCTGATTGGTGTATTTCCATCCATCTTCGGAAATGTACCAATCAGAACGCAGTATTTTCATCCAGCAAGCAATCCAGCACGAAAACAAGCACCGTGTGCCGCCGCTGGCTTTACTATTTCTTGTAAAGAGAGTAGATTGAGTAAGAACCATGCACGCTTTGTCGTTACCGTCAGGACGGATGTAGTGTGTACACATTTTCTCAGAGGGCGCAACAGAATTCGGTGGAAAAAGCGTCCCAGCGTAATCGGCTCGGTGGCCGCTCTCAGGTTTCTCTTTGCTTGCACTTTTGACATCTTTTACTATTTAATGCCCGTTTCACACCAGACACGACGAACGATATTCAATGAGAGTTCTTTTTGAAGAAAGACCGGTATGCAACGGATATGAGATATAAAGTATCGAAAATACAAGCAACGGAACGGACTTACATTTATTATATATGTATATATAAATACATTTAAATATTTCTTAAATAATTTATTCTTTTGTATATATCTATACGTGCTAATTATGTCAGATAATTTTTTAGTTAATTATTCAATTATTTGTAAAAATGATTAGGAAGTTTAAATAAAATATAATGCACGAATATACACTTATTTTTACTTGTGATAAATTTTATTTTGAGAAAAATATAAAATATAATATAATCGCGAAATATCTTTCCTGTTGTAACAAATAATTAAAAGTGTAAATAAGAACGTCAACTTATCATGAAATACAATAGATGGCGATATATTTGGCAAGGTCGTTTCTCATAGACAAATCGTTCATATCCAACTGTGATGACAGGCAGGTGAAAAGGTTGGAGAAGAATCAACTGTCAAACTTGATTTAATTCGTTCAATCAAACGAATTGTGTTGGTATATTTAATAGTATAATAACAAAATATATTCTATGTTATAATGCAACTCAATGGTGCCTGTTGTTAAAAGAAAACAGACATGGAGAAGACTACAGCGGACAAGTTGATCCCGAAATTAATCTCCGGGACATACGAAGAATTTTGTGAGAACATTATTGTATTTTTAGACACTGTGAGTATATTGTTGTTAAAACTTAGAAACTATTATGCTTTTATATAGATTATATTTATATTAAATATTCAATATTTATATCATATACTTTCATACATTGCTTTTCTTTCTTAATTTTGAATATAATTTGAATTATTAATATTTCAGTACAATAAAAAGACCAGTTTTGATGAATTAAATAGTAACTGTTTACGAGAGAAACTATGGAAGATGTTATTTCATCATTTAACAAATCAAATGTATATAGATCACCGACATCATTGCTTGGCTGCATTGAGAATACTCAGGTAATTTAATTATATGTAGAATTAATCGTGGTAATTATAAGAATTATAGCAGATTTTATATTTTTATATTTCTATGTATTTCAGTCGAGACAAAACTAATTTAGATGAATTAATTACTGATAATGCAGTAAAGATTATATTGTTAAATACAGGCCTGACAAAAATATACGATGAAGAACAAATTTCATATACAGTAGGTAAGTGATGGAAATAATTTCAATGTAAAACAGTATAAAATATCAATAAAATTTAAATGGCATTCTTGTTAAGAAAATTTTGTATAAAACTTATTAATTTAATTTTATTTATATAAATATTTCTCTCATTTTTTCTTGTTCTGATTGCAGTCATGATAGAATCATTAAAGTTGTTATGCAACTTATTATTCAATAGCGTAAAAATGCAACAATCGAAAGTACTAATATCCTCTTTGCCTTATCTGATGGATCGTGTTAGAAATTATACAAATGATACTCCATATGATGTCAAATTATTTGACATGAGAATATTGTTTCTTATCACTGCGTTAAATACTTCGACCAGAAACATAATTAAACATGACTTGTGTGGTGATGTATGTCTTATAAAAATAATAGAGGATTTTGTGACAAGAAATCAAGATAATAATGAAACAACTATTATTAAGGTAAAAGCATTTACAGTGCTAATATTCTCTATATAAAATTATTTTATATCACAATAAGTGATTCATAATTTATATTGTTATATTATATTACTCATGTAAAATCAACAATATGATTTAAGCTTTTTCATTATTTTAGACTGAAGAAATCACAGTAATTTGTGAAGTTTTAAAAGTTCTGTTTAATTTATACATACAATCGGACGATACTGGGATTGAGGATCAAGAGAAACATAAAAATTTGATGTTGATTTTATATAAATTATTAATTCTTAAATACTCGATGCAACAGGACGATCTTGAGAGGTGAGATATATGTGTAAAGATGTAGAGGAAATACATATGAGGAATTCTTGGGAAAAATGTTACATTTATTCTTGTGTTGCAGCAATGTCATCAACTTGTTAACTGTAATATTGTATAGTTGTTACACACCAATTATACAACCCGTCAAATACAACGACCGTAAGAGTGTGTATCAAGGTATGGACATGAGTGCAATATGCGTTTTACTTAGATTTTTGGATCAAAGATTGGATTGTAAAACGCATTTGATCGAGAACATCTCTCCGGTAGTTACCGCTCTAATTAGACTCGTTAAATCAGAGAGAATAATTCGCAAATACGTGAGATTGCAGGTAAGGCAAGATTTTTAATTTTATAATCCATTTGTAAAACGTAAACTTTTTAATTGTATATATATGCATGCGTACAAATACACAAAATGTTTCAGATTCTACCTCCGTTGAAGGACGTGATGAATCGGCCCGAAGAAGGGACAACATTGAGAGCCAAATTATGCAAGTTATTAACGTCGCCTCTCATAGAGCTACGTGATCTCGTTGCAGAGCTATTATTTATCCTTTGTAAAGAAAATGGTAATTTATCTATCTGCCCCTTGTGTCATAACTTATGTTACAAAAGAAACATTCATATTTACTCATTATTGGATTATTTTGGCGCTCATAATATAGCATGATTTTATCTGGAGCGAGTAACAGCATTGTTAAGATCGTGTCGTTGTTATTTACAGTTAATCGCATGGTAAAGTATACGGGATACGGAAATGCGGCTGGAATGTTCGCCAAGAAAGGATTGTTGGGACGCAACCAGGCGGAAACGGCGTATTCTTCCGAATCAGAAGACAGTGAAACGGAAGAATACCTCAAGTACAAAGAGCAGTGAGTGATCTCGAATTCATAATAATATCCAGAAACAGGAAAACAAACTGTTTTCTTACATTGCTCCATAGAGTTTTTTGCAACATTTGTGTTAATTAGAAATATTTGGCGATTAAATTGTGTATATTCATTGTTCACAGAATAAATCCAGTAACAGGGTGTTTCGAGCATCCCAAGCCAAATCCGCTTGAAGGAATGACGGAAGAACAAAAAGAATTTGAAGCTTTACAGCTAGTAGATCTTGTTGATAAGCTGACAAGGTGAGCTGTGTGTGTGTGTGTGTGTATGTATGTATATATATATATATAGAAATTATTTTTTATCAATATGGCTTATATGCCATGTTAATGAAAAATAGTTATGCTAATTTTAGATATGTTAATTTTAAGAGCCATCGTTTTTCCGCGTAACTGTAGTAATTGTAGCCTGCGCGTGCATACATGTTTATTTAAATGAATAAATCATATATACACAATGAAATACATTCGAACGATTTATCGGCTAGAGAGGGAGTCGTACGTCCTTGCCGCATCGGAGAAGACGGGAAGCCGAAACCCATAGAACACGTCCTTGAGTTGCAGAGTGAATTACCGAAACAACAATACAGTCGAAAAGACTCGGACTCTGAATAAATATATTATACACATGTTTAAAGTATACGAGAAAGAAATTTGTGTGTAAAGATGTAACTATATTACAAATATAGACATTTCAATTGAATCGATTTCTCTCTTATCTCTCTTTTTTATTGCACCTGTATTAAATCGTAAATCGGGCAAGCAATGCTAACTAAGAGACCAAGGTGTAGTCAATAACAGAAAGAATGCAACATTCGGTCGATTACTTTATTGAAAAAGAACAAAGAACAACATTACAAATTAAACAATTGGCAGGAAATAAAAAATATAACAGTTTCCAAAATCACATGAAATATTTAAACATTATAATTTTGGTAAATTGTGTTATATGTGCTTTGTGAGCATCACAATATATTTATTATTGCATTGCAGCTATGCGCAGACAAGAATGTATACTTCTACACGTTTTCAAATAACTGCATAGTGATATCATTTGAGAATATCTTAGTATAGGATAGTACCATATGAATTGACAGGTAATGGCAAAATTGAGTTGATATGATGAAGCAATGTACGATCAACAGAGAACATTTACTTTAAGGCTAAATCTTTTGTCCATCCTATAATAAAATATTTTCAATATAATACATTTGACAAATATATAAGTATAGCAAATGTTCCATATCTTTATAATTATGTAATACATTATGTAGATTAAAATATTTTTTTTTCTTTTTTGTAAAAGTGTATATAGATGTGTATACGTATATAATACCATAAATTTGAATATTTCATATAAAAATGAAACTAAAATTTTCTTTTATAGGTACAAGGTAGAAAAAAGCTGATTCGCGGTAAACAGAGAGAAAAAAAATAAAGAAAAGAGTTAGATCTGTGTTATATAGGTATCTTGGGGACTAGCCTTGACAAACTTTGGAAGATTAAAAATCGTAAGACTCGTAAACTTAAGAGATAGATACAGTGAAATACTTGAGAAATTCAAGTAGTCCGATGACGTGTGTTTAATATAAAGGCTGAGTAGAGTTTCCGGGGGACTTGAGGATGAGAACTGATTTGCGTACACAGTCAATCTGGACGTGTGAACTCTAAATAATATGTTTACATTACAAGATGACCATGCTCCTTGGCATCCCATTAGCATATAAAAAATATATATCGGTATACACGCTTTCCATATTGCATTACAATTTACCTTTTCATCAGTTGTACTATTCTTATACAGTTTACATTTTGAAGTATAAGTGATGTCGGAACATTTAAAACTTTTCCCTTTCCTTCGTTCTGTCTTCTTTTCCTTCTTTTTTTTCTTTTCAGAGATAATCGTTCTATGTAAAATACCAATGGAGGTTTCAGGAAAACATGGTTTACACACAGTAATCCGCAGTATCGATTTAAAACAGCTATAATATCGACAAGACGAATCGTCGTAAATAACACAAGCCGAATCGTTAAGAAGTACCGTTCCAGATACTCGGTGGTGGTGTATGCGTATAGTAGTTTAATTAGATAGATTCGAGAAAGTGATGCTATAAACTAATTTTGCATAGAGAAACGTGACAATAGTTCGGGCTCGATTCTGCTGGAGCAATCGCTCGACGTACAAACGGAAGCTTATTTCTCGCTTAACGATTAAAAAGCTCGCAGTGTGACTTCTCATTCTCATTCTCATGCTCATGCTCTCTCTCTCTCTCTCTCTCTCTCTCTCTCTCTCTCTCTCTCTCTCTCTCTCTCTCTCTCCCTCTCTCTCTCTCTCTCTCTCTATTTCTTGCTATAATAAGCCTCATGAACGATAACGCAGCCTATGACAATGTCACTCTCAGCGCAAACGATTTCTCTCAGTCAGTCTCGCGATCGCTACTTAAAAGTAAGTGTGGAAACACGGAGATCACCGAACTTCAACGGTACGCTATGATGCAAGTTGATACTGTTTCAGCATACCGATGGAATGCAACTGTATGTGTAATGTGTTTTAGTGGTCAATTTGATATGTAAACAAAGTACCTCCAAAAAGGAACATGTGTTTTAATATCAAAATAATATTACACGTGTATAGGGCAATGGCAAAAGCTTTTCTTTACCCTCTCTCTCTCTCTCTCTTACACATATTACATACATGCGCTCTCCCTCTCTCTCTCTCTCTCTCTCCTCTCTCTCGTTCGTTCGTTCGCTCGCTCTCAGCCTGTTAAGTATTACATCGAGTAACTAATGCGAATAAATAAAGCTAGTGCTGTTTGAGGAATGAAACCAAGTAACAGTATATACGCGATTACACGCCTCTCATTACTTATCGCCTAAAGATAGAATACATTAAATATTTGTACTTTAACTGACTAAGCAAGGATTTAACTGTAATATTTTTTTGTTTTCTTACTCTAAGAGCTTCGATACCCACACACGACGCAAACTCAAAACACGAATAAGATAAACTTATGAGAAATAAAAAATAAATCATAAGCAATACGTGTTGTGTATAAAATACTCTGATTAGTCTGTCCTTTTTCTTTTTTTTTTCCTTCTTCTTTTGGCACTAAGGAATTTAAATTTTTATATCTCATAAAAGTGAAAGATAAAATGATCTATTTGGAATGCAGTTAAATCGTAAATAGAATCAACAACAATACTCGTTACATCTAATTCACTATATACGAATAAATCGCCTTCTCATTTTGAATGAGACAGCACGACGAGCTATGTATACAATTTGTTGTCACCTCACGTCAGACTGAGTATTTGAAACAAAGAGAAAAAGAACGAAAAATAAAAGATAAACATTGAAGAAAAAAAAAGAAAAACAACTAAAATGCAATGAATGGTATAATAAAAACACCGTTCGATAACGCTTCTTTATCTTTTTAAGTAAGATATACAACTGATAAGAAATTATAAAACCAATGAAACAAAAAAATATATAAATAATAATATAAATACGGCTTATGGAAGCAACTTTATTCCGTCCAATTGCGCAAATAAAAACGTAATAGATCAAAATAGCAGGCCTTAATACCGTGCCTTCAACAACGCCTGCCGAAGGAACGATACTTTAACGTATCCGAGTAGTACGCTGAGATAGTATCGGAAACAGCCAATGGAACACATAATGCTCGCGTAAAGAATTAAAATTAATGATACATATATATATATATAATAAGACAATGTATAAGAGCGAGTAAGGAATAAAAATATCGTTACAAAAATAACGCGGAACTCTTATACACGGTGAACCATCGCGATTTTTTTTCTCTTTTGATCGTAGATTTTTCTCTTGTTTTCGTATAAATATAAATTATGCTGAAAGAAAAAATATGAGGGAGAAAAAACAGAAAAAAAAAAAGAAGAGAAGATTGCGGACTCTCTAATGTATAAGCCATGTCTAATATATATAAAACGATATAGAGCTGTTAATTTAGGGTACTCCTGGAGAAGTAACTCCTTCGTTACGCATTTCCTCGTTTATAACCAGCTATATAGTGTTAATTGGCCATGCCCTAATCAATATAGCAAAGTCATACTCTTCTTTAGGATTCTAGGAAGACTATGATTAACCGTAGGCTAGAATTCAGTTTATGTCGTGTCATGTTAGTCCTCTATCTTTCACATAATTGTAGATGTCTCCGTTAATGCTTATAAATCTTGCGGTTAATTCTTATTATATATAATACGACGCGAAAGGTTTTTTCTCTTTCTCGAAATCAGGAACATATTCGCGTGATATATGTAGCAACAATTTGTCATCGTCGGAGATACACGACATACGACGTACAATTCACAAATATCGTGTGTCTTACACAATTCGGATCATGTGTGAAATTGGAGTAGAACAGTTCCAGGTGCTCATAAATATATCTTCCTCATATGTTTGTCAAGTATCGTAAAACAGCTTGTAAAACGGCACGTTGAGAGCAATTTTTTGAAAAATCGAAGAAAACAAGTATGCACATACTACAACGCTGATTTATAAATAAAACAAGCGACAACTACAATTATCAAAGTAAACAGTACTCATAATTGAAATTCCACAGTAAACACAGCATCAAAAATTCGGACACAATAATAATTTCGTTTGTAACATGTAAAGTCAAGCAGTACCATTTGTAATGATGTCGAGAAATTAATGGCACCTAAAAGGCCTTGGAAGTTTTGTAGCAATAAAAACAGTACTGCTAAAGTAATACACACAGAACCTATCGCATATTCAAAATATGATCTTCGATTACGCTGCCAGTTGTAAAACTGTTTAGTATGGATTATGAGAGCTTTTAATATTAGTTTAACAATGTAAGCAAAGTTTATCTAGTACGTACAGAGTGACTATATAATTCTATACATATTAGGATAATAAGACTTTTGAGATTGTAAAAATCATCAAAAAATCTATCACAATTACCATTTACGTAACAAGTAATTCTCGTTCTTTTTTTCCTTTTAATATTATTGTTGTAATTTAAACATCAAGGCAAATAAGGGGTGAATTTCAACAGTGGCCTAAATTAGCCAAGTAGTCTTTCACAGATAAAAATATGTAAATAGAGTAAATCTATACTAAAATATTCAAGTATATATAAGGTGAGCGTAATATAATAATTTTGTGAGGTAAAAGACCCTCTCGTTAATGGTCATCCATTTCGTTACACTATGAGTTTTTTAATGACTGGCAAAAATTTTGCAACATGTTCTCTTTATTTTGAATATCCTCTTTTCTTTTTCATATGTAACGTATCATCAGAGACTATTGATGGCTCTGCATTAGGTGTTATTGTGCATAAATACACCATTCAGACGGCACCAATGGTATCTCTCATTGATACTTCTAATTATATTTACCTAGCAACAACATCAGAGACTCTTTAAGGACACAACTTATCCTGACGATACTATTATCACAGGCATTATTTATATAACTCTGCTAACCATGACTATTAAATATTTCAAGATTAGTTTTTCTCTCTTTTCTTTTTTTCTTCTTTATATATAAAATTAAAACTTCTAACATTATATATATACGAGATGAGTACGACTGATTAGCTTAGGTGTATGTACGTAGGCTTCGTGCAATTTTTACTACAAATTCTGATGTTATGCGCGAATTTTAAAATAGCCTCCTATTACTGCTCTTCCTTTTCTATATTCGTCGTTCCTCTAATTTCACGTTTGTTCCACACGAATAATAAAATCAGACAATTTTCTGTTTGCAAAACAAACCCGATAAAAGCTAGTCAAGTATAAATATAAATATATATATATATATATATGTATATATATGTATATTTATGTATATATGGATGTGCTACCTAGCATTTGGTATGGCAAGATAGTATTCGTAATTAAACATTATTGTAGATAATATAAGGTAACACAGTGTAGCAATCTGCCAAATATCTGATGTACATTGTTGTATACACATTGCATTTTAGTTCAATCAAATCTTAAGGCTGATCATGTAAACAACCCTAAAAAATATGTGTATTTCTATATATGTATGTGTCTTATGTGGTTTTCCTCCTTTCTCTCATAGATCGTATTAATATGTACATAAATAGAGGTTGTTTAGCAAACTGTACGTTATCTTCCCTCTCTTTACATAGATAAAGTATCGTCCCTATATGATACCAGTGGCGTATGTTCTTACGAATCTTATATAATACATTACGCAGAATCGTTACCCTTGCATCTACAAAATGCGGGGGCAGCGATTCCTGTAATTTTATAACAAATACATTTACATGGTATGGATACATTATTCGCTAGCACCACGAACCAATAATTCACACACGTATATATATTATATTCATATAGTGGACCATAATAATAAAGCATCCTGAGTAAATATTGTAACCATTATGTGTCTCGTCTAATTTTAACAATGCACAAATGGGATCTACTCGATTTTATTTTTCGTTAAGTGTAAATAATTATTTCACTTTTTATGCTCACAAAGTATCCTCTCTGTGTATGACATCTTTCTTATAAGATATTAAATGTTTGATTTTCAACATACCATAATCTATTCCTTGCACATTAACGTTGCTTTTATATTAATGTTCTCAACTATCATTTTCAAACGCGCAGAAAGAAATCAGGAACATAGCTCTCTCGTTAAGCTTCGTGCCTGCTGCAATGAGGAGTATCGTTTCGTTCTCTTCTTTAGAAATACGATATGATAAGAGCAGGAGTACTACCAACTACCTCGCAGCATGCAACGTTTTTTTTTTGTCATTTTTCTGTTAAGCGAAAAATTTTGATCCTCACGTCATGAAAGTTATCCTGCTGAGCTTATTAGTTACTTATAGAATTCTTAAAAGAAAAATTTTGAACATAATATATGTGCACTCTTGTGTATATCCTGAAGCATCGGTTAAGACTAAGAGACCGATATTGTTCTCAAATGTAATTAAAATCAAGACGAGAACGTCTTATTTCCCGAGCACAAATCGAAATTATCGGCATATAAAAGGTGCTCGCTGGAGACTAGAATAATTTGATTTACATACTTAAAATACTGATGTGTCAAAAATGATGTACAACAACCAATTTTGACGGAAGGCCATATGTAGATTGCTTTCTCTACTACAAGCGACCCGACTGGCTTCGGTCGATATAGCTTACTGCTTCTTTAACTGGTTCCACTTAGTTAATTTAATTTACTTTGGCAGTTTACCAAAATGCAAGTTGCTAAGTTACTATTATACTGTTTGGTCGGAGACGTACATTACCTTTTTGCTTTTTTTTCAACATTGTTACTTTCATAAAACAGGGACGCATTATACTTTTATAACTATTAAAGCTGCATGCTGCACTTGTTTCTATTGCTTCAATAGGCCCAAAATTCGAACATAATTCCTTGGGCATGCCTTTCCCATCTTTCGTTGAGAGCGGTTTCCGAGGGTTTCCACTTGTAGGAAAGAAGTTATACTTATCCGTCTGATTCCACTTCATAATATATAAAGTGTGTTCAATACGAGGACATGGTGGTTGTTTTTTGCCAGTGTCACTATATATCCTTCCGAAGTTATTTTTAAGCCACAACATCGAGATACCTATTACATTGTAATACCACGATATAATACCAGAATAAATAAGCTGTTGCTAACACGATGGAGGAAATCTTTTTGCTACAGAGATATTAATACGAATTCTAATGTTAATGAGGATGAAATATACATACGAAAGTATATCAAGAAATTTCATATATGCAAGATTGCTCAGTACAATATTAAATTATTACTGGCAATCGGATCTCTTAATTAAGTGTAAAAAAAATTTTAGTGATCGTGCAGTGTGATAAAAAATGTAGAGCATCTTACCTTCACATATGGACATTCAAATTCCGAAATTAAAGACCCGTCTCTGGAAAAGACAGCTACATGGAAACGGTTGCCATGAGAATCTCCAATTAATACATCTCCCGCATCGCTAATATCGATCCCATTTGGGAAGTTGGTTAAATTTTCACAGCCAATGCGACGCAGGAATTTGCCGTCTTCGTTAAATACCACAACACAATGTCCTTTGAAGTCGCAAACAAAATATTCCTTGCCTAGAAATATGCATAAAGTTCATTCACGAGAGATCGCAATATCAATAAGATCATAATAATTGTCGTATGTATTATCGCAATACATCGTTACAAGCAAAGTATAATTTTTCCCAAACTATGTTATGCTAGCAGTGATAATATCAACAGCAGGAAAAAAAGAAAATAAATGCTCACCACTGATAGCGATATCACTTGGTTCTCTCATGTAGTCACTACAATCAAACCACCTTAAGAGGTCTCCGGTATCACTGATTACGAACACAGTTGGAGACACACTGTCAACAGCCACAATGTGCCCTTGACTGGTAACAGCTAGGCCAGCTACGATATCGATGTAACGAATAGCGATCTTCTTTATAAAGTGACCACTCTTCGTAAATATTTGCATTCGGGATCGTTCGTTTCCCCGATCGCACACAACAAATTTGCCATTATTCTTCATAACGGCCACTTTCCTGGGATACCATAATTGTCCTTCTTCTTTGCCAGGAACACCGAATTGAAACTTGAACGTACCAGTCTTATCAAAAATCTGGAATCAGTACATAATATTTGTACATAATATATTGTATAACATCTCTGTAATTTCATTTATAATGAAATATTATTGAGCTTATTAATTATGTATCTCATTATGAAGTCCTTACCTGAATTCTATGATTATTCGTATCTGCGACAATAATGTCCTCATCTGTTCCCAGACAAAATCCATGCGGCGAATTAAACTGCCCTTTACTAGGTCCTAATTGTCCAAACTTGCTGCGGATATGCATTGGCGTCAATTTTGCATTGTTTGAACGCGGGTGAGCATAATTCGCCGTCCCTGATCCCGTTACATTGGCAACAGTATTCCCTACTACTACAGGCATGTTATGCATGGAATCACCTATTAAATCGTCTAAAAATAAAATATCGATATAAACTATGGTAAGCCAATGCAATCATTACAATGATAAAATTTTCTTCTTAACATCTTTCAAATAATATAATTAAACAAAATATGTTGTGTGTTATTTATAAAATAAGCAGAATGATTTTTTTTCAACACTAAATTATTAAATATTAACAATCACGGACGATTATATTCTTATTAATTTTTAACATTTAACTTCTTTATCAATTATTTGCGTTATTTAATTAGATCTACCAAAATGATCACAATAACCTGTTTACAATTTCTTATAAAAATTACTCTAATTTTTACATAATTTATATTTTTTAATGAACGTTAAATGTATAGCTAAAGGAAATACATAATACATATTTTTACTTGTATATCTTTTTTTTTTTTCAAAATCTGTATCATTTTGACTAACTTCGTTAACTGTTTCGCATTAACACCAATTGTATTCTAGTATTAATTCAAATTTGTAAAAAACGCAACATATCATTTGTGAGTATAATACATGTGTTTTTACAATACTCGTAACTAATAGAGTACTCGATATATATTTGGATTAAGATGGTCTTACCAGTACCCTGTGAAAGTATTGGCGAAGTGGAAGAGGACATTGACTGGAATCCTCCATTTAATAAACTATTGGCAGCCAGAGGACCCACCATGGGGGTGTCCACAATGGCTGGTGAAGGTCCACGTCCCAATACTAATCCACCACCACCATTAATTGTAGCATTTACCAGATCTAGGTTAAAAATAAATCAATCGTGCACGTTACACTTATTTCTATTAAGTAAATGAAAATTTTTCTTATTTTATAATTCGTAATTTATAGTTCTACTATTTCGTTCAATTATCCTTTCCTTCAATTATCAAAGTGTAAAGTTTTATTCGGATCGCGAAGAAATACATAATTATTATGTTGAATCTTATTATTTGTCGTCGTACATCATGCGAATCGTTTTATCTCAGATTGTTTTGTTTTTCTTTATAAGATAAAATGGAGGGCACTGTGTGAGGTTAAAGTTCTTTTTACAAAACTAACGGGCCAATGGACCTTCCTTTCAGTGGAAAAATTTGAAAACAATTGACGTATAGACGAATATGGTATCAGAGAAAGAAGAAATATGATTAGTAAGGAAAAATATAAAATATTAATAGACGATCATGGTAAGTACAGATGCAAATTATTTTGCAACTTCATTTTTGACAGCACAGTTTGTTGACAATTTCTTACCTTGATTACCAAGAGTATTTCCTAATTTTGCAAGAGCCTGTAAATTGTTAATGGCGTGGCTCGTTGAACTTAGGTCCCCGGCAAACAGATCTGCCAATGTAAAGGACGGAGTTGGACTAGGGTTCGAGCTAGGTCCTACGACACCAGTGTCACCCACCATGTCCACTTTTTCCGCTAAACTGGCCAGTTGCTGTAGATTATATTCCTGTATGCTAGTCAGTCCGTGGATAGGACCTGGTGGAAGAGGTACAGGTGGTGGAGGAGGTGGGATATTTTGAGGACTCGTGGTTGGCGGAATAACGAACGAGGGTTCACCTTCGAACGAGGATTGCATTGACGCGGGAAGCGAGATAGGAGAGCTTGTGCTAAGAGAGCTTGCACAACCGATCGAGGTATGGATCATTTGCTGATTTGTAGAGACTCCTGACACAGTTGAGATCGGCTCGGGAAGAGTCTTGACGGAGGTCGAAGTATCTTCAGTGCGAAATTTTCCAAACACCTCCTACAATTTTTTTGTAAACTCATTATAACATTATATTATTTAACAAAATAAAACAAAATAAAAAGAGAAGGAAAATGTATTACATTTAATTGAGTGTATATTTACCTTAACAGTTTTTTCAAAATGATTATAATCAGTTTGAAACTCGATAGAGTACGTTACACTATGTTTTGGAGTGTTTTTTATTAGGTTCATCAATTGTGTTCCTACGACGCGACGAAGGGCTAGAATTTCTACTGCGTCGCCGTGCTCGAGGAGTCTTGACGTAAAACGACAAGCGTCCTCTATTTTTTCTACAGTCTTTTCAACACTGCAATACATTTCAATACAGTAAGAACTTGTTCTCTGTGAAAACTATAATATGCAAGATACAATAACAATACAATGATACAGATGAATGAAGGTGCAAGTGATTAAAAGTAATTATATCTCCTATTTTATTTTGGCATTTTGTTTTTCTATTTATAATGCATATCTTCATTCACTTGTTTCATTGATTATTTTAAATATGCATACTTGTGAAAAGTATCCATTATCTCAAGTTCTCTGGTTTCATGAAGCTTTCCAAGCTCTTCCAATGCATTAGCTTTACATTTTTCCAGTATGGCCTTGTAACTTTGAAAAGTTTCCATAATTAGATCTTTTGCTTGGTCATGTTGCACTTGCAGCTCGTTAAGTGCAGTATCTAATTGCGTCGAAATCTGATCGCATTCAGTAATTTTCGCTTTACTTTCAGTCATTAGATTAAATAATTCTTCTTTCTGTCGTGGTTCTGCATCTGTTAATCGTTCGTACTGATGCTCTGGAGCTTTATGTTCCACAAGTAGACATTCATTGCAAATAGGTTCCTGATTATACATAAGATATACATATTTGAGTTCTATTTAAAGCTTTAGAGCTCTATTTATTTTTTATTTTAATAATGATAGTTAAATATTGCAATAAAATATCTTTTATAAAGTAGTATATTTTATGTCAGAAAAGTTTAAGAAACTACACACATACACACACATACAAAATATAATATAGTTTTCATTATAAAATATTTCTTAGAAAATGTTATTTCTTCTATAGAATCACCTTTCTAAATTTTTATGCGAAAGTTTTTATAACCAAAAATATGTAACAATCAACTGGTATGTATCATGAATATGAAATTATAAATGAATATTAAATATAAGTTAATTAAATATAAGTTGCAAAATATCTTCCTGAAATTTCAATCTTTTTAACAAATAAGTACCAACTTACTTGACATGTATGACAGTAGAACTTCATATTCTCAGCAGGATGACACTCACAAAATATCGGCTTGTGTATCGGAATAGCTTCCTTGGATTGCTTCAAGTCCTCAAAAGCTACAACTTTGTGACTCTCAAAGCAGCGCATAAACTGGTGTGCCGTGTTGCAGTTTGGACATAGGAAATTGGCGCAATCAGAGCAGCGCGCCACGGCACTCTCTTTGGCCTTGCACGAGGTACATAGTACAGCCATATTCTCAATAGCAGACATATCCAGTATATTGGTGAGAACGTAGTCGCACGTGAGCGACGCAGCACCCTTAGAACTAACGGAAGTCTCTTGCTGGCATATAGGACAGCTGATGACCGAGACCACCTTGGAGTCTCCGGCTTCATCCATTAGCAGTTTATCTAAACAAACTTCGCAGAACACGTGGAGACAAGACAGCACACGGGGCGAGCACAGTTTGCTTCTGCACAAAGTGCAACCTTGCTCGTTGTTCTCGCCGTTGCCGCATGTTATCTCCTCCAGAGCGTCGCCCGGATTGCCACTGCTGTTATTATAACCGCCTCCGATAGCGTTCACGGAGTTGCGATTGTCATTGCCATATATATCACTACCGTCGATCTCCTCGGTGCCGTTGCCGATACCGCCGCTTGTCGTGCCAACCGACGGTACCGAGGCTGCTCCGGATGGAACAGCCACCGTGGACGATGCCATCGCGCGATGTCGTTCGCGCGCGATCCAGCAGAAAAGGGAGCCTCGAATGGGACGTCGATGACCTCGACGTTTTCTGGCCGTATACTGACTAATGAATCGCTCACGAATTCGATTTGTGTCAGGAAATTACTCGCTACTTCTCTCCTCTTTTTTCTTTTTTTACTCGCCTCCGTACCGTCTTTGCTCGTTTCTGCGCCGTTACCGTCACCGCCGCCGCCGCCGTCGTTGTCGTCGTCGTCGTCGTCGGACCGAGAGAACGGATGACGGGGGAATGACGATTCCTCGGAGAAATTTCACGAGGCGCTCGTACTCCGAAACATTGCACTGTCGCGCTCTCGCTCGCTCGCTTGCTCGCACGAAGAAACAAAACACGAGGTGATCGCGAGGAAGGCGAGGAAGTCGCGCGTACACGACGAAACGAGCTTGGTAACGCAAAAGCACACGCCAAAAGGAGAGGGCCCGGGGAGGGGGAGAGAGAAAGAGAGACAGATGGAGAGAATAGGGGGAGAGGGAAAGAGGAAGAAAGACAGAGACAGAGTGTGAGCGCGCGCTTGAAAAAATCGAATCGTCCGTGCAGAGTCTGGTTCGCGAGACTATGCGCGTGTCGCGCAGCTAACGGTCTACAATGTGTAGATATACGTTACGCAGTCAGCTTCGTTCTTCACGACTCGGGAGTTACGTAGCTAGCACGACCAGTCATGCACCTACGTGCATTTATTTACAGTTGTCCTCTCGAGACGTTGTGGATCACTCACTACTGTTGTCGCCGCTGCCGTCGTCGTTATCCTCACCACCACCACTGTCGTCGTCGTCGTCGTCGTCGTCGACGTCGTTGTCGTCGTCGTTGTCGTCGACGTCGTCGTCGTCGTCGTCGTTGTCGCACACTATAACTTGCCAATCGTTGATTCGCTACAGCTCGACGTTATAGCTCGAATAATGCGAGTACTTTCAGCATTATCAGTTTCGCGGTGCGCGCGCGAGATCACTTCGCGATTACACGCGACGACGGCTAAAAGCTCTTCTGTCTTGCGATCGACGCTTCGGCCGCGAGTATTTCGCACTTTCTCATACGTGGAACGAAGCGAATAAAGCTTTCGTACCGTGGAACGAGCTCGTCCCCTCGATATGCAGTCTTGGAATAGTCGGAATAGAGATTGGAATATTAGGTGTTCACGAACGGTATGCTCTAGGAATATAAACGTGACTAGGCTGAAGTTCGTAGAGAACGAATTTCCCTATTGAGTGTTGGAACTACGATCATAGCATTGGGTGATATTTAGCTCACAGTGATGTGTCATTGGATAATCTTAACATCAAAGATAGATTTTCTTATTGGATATTAAATGTGTTCTGAAATGTATCGAGATAAAGTGTTCAACCCTTTAACTTTGAGTATATTGGAAAAAGTGGTGTGAATTTTATATAATATTTTGATTGTCAAACGCACTGATTAGACAAATAATCGTATGACAGATAAAATTTATTTGAAATTTGTGATTCAGACTTTTTATATAATAGCGCATTGTTTATCTGCATAAAAGAACATAGTTAAATTATGTTTAATTTAGATTGAGGTGTGTCTGTTTGTGTATATGCGTATGTTATGTGTGCTGCGTAGGTGTGAGTTATGTATAGATTGAGTATGATTGAGTAAATCTAAATGTTATTAAGTTGAAATTTGTCTAATTAAAGTATACAAAGGTTGGAATCAGCTGGTAATAAAAGAACAAAATATATAGAATCATTTATTATTGCAAGTTTCGACATATATACTTTTTTACATGATTACTACTATGGTTTAGAAATTTATTGTAGCGAGACATTAAATTTTTTGCATTTCCTTATTAGAAGACATTTCCTTATTAGAAGACATTACCATTTGTTTATTTTAGAAAGTTTAATGAAATTGAACAAAAATATTTTAATTCTTTTGTGACTCAAAAGAATTGGAATATTTACAATTTTATTTTAATCAAAATATTAATTTAGATTTCAAAGTAGATCTTAATATTTTATATGTGTGTAATAATCATATAAACTTCTATTGTTCCTTGTGATATATATAATGAAGTGTTTCCAGATTTATATTTCTATAACATTTTTATTTTTTTTACTCATAAAATATATTGGAGAAATTTCATCTTTTAACTTAAAGATATCCTGTATATAAGATTTTTGTATATTTTAGGACAATGGTAACAGGTCCTACAGATCAAGGAATGCAAGCTGATGTTATATTTGTCATTGAAGGAACAGCTGTTAACAGTGCATATCTTAATGATCTCAAAGCAAGTTATATTATACCAACATTAGAGTAAGTAAATTAGAGAAGAAGTAGAGTACTGAAATATACATACAATATATGATACATGATTTTATATATAAATATATTTATATGTATATGTACAAAATTTATTTTATACTATATATTTTATATATTTTTATATTATAGATATTTTAACCAAGGTGGCATAGAAGATAGAGAATATATTTCTGAGGTATGATATGCTACAGTTATATATTGTTACTATTTATCATTTATGTGCTTATATTATTTATCTATTTATATTTACAATATAAATGATGAAATAATAATGTTAGAACTTTTTTTATTACAAATGGAATTTATATAGCAGAATAGTACAACATTGTATGGGATAGTTGTTTATCATGCGGCTGATTGTTTGCCAGCACCTAGTACAGAAACATTTGGACCTTATACAAATCCACACAAAGTACTGGTAATACTAGATAAACTTGAGTAAGTACAAAATGTATAATTTAACTTGTACAATAAATTTTAATCAATTTTAACTATTTTAACTGTTATAAATTTATTAACTATTATTATATTAGTTCAATAGTAATATAAAATGTTATAACCATAATGTTACATTTATCAGAATGGTTGGTGGGAAGGGCGAATCCTATGCAAACATAGGTGAAGGTCTAGCAACAGGATTGCAGTGTTTCGAAGATTTACAGCTGAAACGAGAGCCTAATACAGCATCACAGAAACATTGTATTTTAATATGCAATTCACCTCCATATCAAATTATGATTCAAGAATGTTACAAGTTTGCTGGTCATACTATTGAACAATTAGCCACCATTTATCAAGAGGTAAACAATATAAATGTTATTTATTAAAATATAGCTCTGAGAATATCTAAAATAAATAATTATGATGTATGTTATTTTTATATTACTTTCCAGAGAAATATTAACATCTCTATATTATCACCAAGAAAGATCCCAGCATTATTTAAGTTATTCGAGAAAGCTGGTGGTGACTTGCAGTCGTCACAAAAGAAGAATTATGCCAAGGATCCACGACATTTGGTGCTCCTACGTAATTATAACTTGAAAGAGCGTCCTGTTAGTCCCGCAACAGGTGGCAACGTTCATAATACCACTGCTACCGCGGCGCAAATTCCTTTGAGTCCTTTACAAAGTAACGATAGTCCGAACACGAATCAGGTGCAACAAAACATCGCTCCGCCGAGCCAACCGCAAGGGTCTCCCTTTAGGAACCAAACGCCTCAAAATATCACTTCTGTGCATCAGACTGTGACATCATCCATGGCGGCTCCGATGAATACCGCGCGACCGCCTTACAATTCACAGATTGCCGCACCGCCAAATTATCATCCGACGAGTTTGAGTCCAAGGACAACACATACTAGATGGATGCGGCCGTTCATAGCTCCTGGGACAACTGCGCCTACAAATGCACAAAACAGCAGCGCGCTGATAGCGCAACTAACACAACCACCTTCGCTGGGACTTAACGTAGCTACGTTTGGCCAAAGATTAGATGGTAAGACTATCGTCATTTGATGTATATTTCACTTATAAGAATGATTTGAAATTGAGCTGAGACAAAGAAACTATCATTGACTATATCATTATCTTTGTATCATTGTGCATAAATAAGAGTAATAAAAAGAAATATCTATAATTTACTAGCAAATCATACAACAATTTACTTTAGTAGGTGGAAACAATGTTATGGCACCTAATCCACAACAACAGCAGCAACTCACGCAGCAACAACAGCAACAAATGAGACTGACGATGCAGCTGCAGCAACAAAATGCCCAACAAGCTACTATGTCCATGAACGCTCAACCGACTCACAGTCAGCCAGGATCACAGCTTACTGTATCTTGTATGAGCCAATCAGTGCCCACTCAAGTACCACAAACTGTCACAGCTTCGCAAGCACCAGTCTCGGTGTCCTCTGTTACACAACAAATTGCTCCTCCTCAGACACAGGTAATTAAATGAGATTATATTTATATACTTCTATAATCAAAAAGTATCGGGAATGATTCATTTAAATTACGCGCGTGCAAGATGGCGCTGTTGTCATTTTTTACCAGATTGATACGACTTTCATCGACATCTAGCCGCAATTCGTATGTCATTGTCTATTTTTGTTTACGAATAACCGCTTGTTTTTTGTGCAAAGAATTTTTGTTCCGGCGATTTTTAAAAATGTCGAACATAATTGAGCAAAGAACGTGCATTAAATTTTGTTTTCACAATGGAATTACTGCTACAACAACGTTGAAAATGTTGCAAAGAGCTTTTGGTGACGATTCTCTACCACAAAAGATAGTTTTCAAGTGGTACGAGATGTTCAAGAAACGCAGGGAACGAATCAAGGTAATGTTGACTGTTTTTTTTTTCAACTGTCATGTTGTACATCACGAATTCCTTCCGACTGGCCAAACTGTCAACAAAGAATATAATTCAAGCGTTTTGCGTTGTTTGCATGAAGCAATTTGTAGAAAACGATCTGATTTGTGGCGAGATAACTTATGGATTTTGCACCACGATAATGCACCTGCTTACAATGCTCTTGTTCGTGAATTTTTGGCCAAAAATTCTACAAATACAGTTCCGCAAGCTTCTTATTCACCTGATATAGCACCGTGTAATTTTTTCCTGTTTCCTCGACTAAAATTTCCGCTTCGTGGTCACCGTTTTGAATTGATTCATGCCATAAAAGAAAATTCACTGCGAGTCCTAAAGGGATTTCACGAAAACGACTTTTTAAGGCATGTTTTGAGGATTGGAAAAAATGTTGGCATAAGTGCATTGCAGTGGGAGGGGGTTACTTTGAACAAAATAAATTTTGATGAATAAATTCAAATCTTACGTTTTATTGAACCATTTCCGATACTTTTTGATCACATTAGTATATAGTGAGCTTGTGTACTATAAGACATATTTTATATAATTTTTCTATGTTGTGATACTTTCTAGGGCAACGTATCCACTGTACAAGGTCCTGTGCAAGGTCAACAACTTGTACAACGTGAACGCCAGAATATTTGGCAAGGTATTTTAGAGTGGATCGAGAAAGCCAAAAATCCCACAGATGCGCAAAAACAGACGAGACATGTGCCATGTCAAGTGTCGGCTAATTCAAAAGACGGAGATCCAGAATTGTAAGTTATTTTAATCATCAAAAACAAATAATAATATTAATTTTTTTTATATTTGTTTTTGATATTATTTCTCGTCATCCCAATGATCTTACTTTCATTTTACATGACTTTCATTCTTCAGGAAAGCAGATACATGGCCACCAAAATTGATAATGCAATTAATGCCAAAGCAGTTGATAGGAAACATTGGCAGTTCCTATCTAAAAAATTCCAAATCCGTTATTTTCCATCCTACACCATGTGAAGCACTAGAGTCTTTGACAAAAATGATGAGCGCCGGATTTGTGAGTATATATTAATCATAGGTATATACTTTGATATATAGATATATATATATATATACATATATATATATATATAATATCTAAATTATGAACTTACTTTACAGGCTGGTTGCGTTCATTTCACATCAGTTCCGCCAAGCCCAGCTTGCGAAATTAAAGTGCTTATACTTTTGTATACTTTAGAGAAAAAATCATACTTAGGTTTTATCCCAAACGACCAAACAGCTTTCGTGGATAGTCTGCGTAAAGTGATACAACAACAGAAAACATCTCATGCTTCCATGAGACATGGACAAGTAAACATGATGAAGATACAAGTTATTCATATATACAAGTTGATGAGGGAGAGAAGGTATTGAGAAATTTATCTTTTCCAGGCCAATCCTGGTCCGGGAAATACAATTCCAGCACCAATGCCTACCACGGGTACACAGGGAGGTATTCTTATGTCCCAAACAAATACCATGGCGATGGGTGGTGGTCAAATAACGCAGAATGTTATATCTAATAACACTGTCCCGCAAACTTTAAGTTCAACTGTTCCGCAAACTCAAATAAATATGCAGGTAATTCTAGTATGTGAATTTCTAAAGAGTTTTTCAAGTAATTCATCATGATGTGTGTATTAAATGTTATATTTACAGAACAGCGGTATTAGTGGACCTCAAGCAAATGCTGCCGCCGGAGGTATGATCACTCAGCAGAGGCCTCCGTTTGATGATTTGGAAATTGCTAGACATCAAAATTTACTAAAGATTCAACATTTAAGACAAACATTAGAGGCTGCGCAACAGCAAGAGGCGCAGTATAAATCACAATTAGAAGTAAACGTAAGTACATGCAATTTTATCACGAATAGAGAAAAGTTTCAACTATAAACTCTCACATTTATAATTGTGATTATTGTACAGATTCAACAGAATCTGGAGGTTGCGCAGCAACAAGAAATGCAATATAAGCAACAGCTTGAAGTGAGTAATTTTTAATCGTGAATAAATATTCTATATAACAAATATTTTAACACAGTATATGGCGCACCATTCAAACTAGAAAGATAATTATTTTATAAAATTACTTTTGTCATGTACAGCACATATCTATTGCTCTTAAGATTCTTCTTAATATTTTGGTTTGTTTTCCGATTAATGTTTAGTAAGAAAATCATTTTAGTATTCTGAATCATCATCTGATGTAATCTACAAAATCTACAAAACTGGTAAAAGATATAAAAATATTAAAAAATATCAAAAAAGTATTTTTAATACTTATATATATGAATATATATAAATAGAATGAATATACTTATATATATATATATATATATGTATATATATATGAATTACATGAGTTTTTACCTATAAATATTTTATTCACAACCATAATAATTTGTATTGAATTTTATGGATTTTGTTTTATAGTGAAAATATATAAATTCCAATATTTGTGAACAGCATAATTGCTTTTACAGGCGCAACAGGCACAAAGGGGCCTTAATCCAGCTGCCATGGCCAATCAACAAGCAAACACTCAAAGATTGATGCGTCCTGTCTCTGCTAGTAATCTTGGTCTTAGACATTTATTACAGCAGGTAAGAACTTAAAAAATAGTCTCAAGAAAACTTAAATTTCGTTTACATTATTATTTATGCGCGTTCCGAAGAATTGTAAAAAGTTTTCTAAAACGCGTATTGTAATTGATGCTTTTTTGCTGCAGCCACAATCTCAGTATAGACAACAAGTGTTCGGAGTGCAACAGCAAATGGTCGGTCCAAGAGGCCAACTAACAAGACCAATGGCACCGGGTAATACGCAAAATCAGCAGTTTGAGGATGTGCCGAATGACTTTATGTCTTTCTGAATTAAGTAATTTGTTAATAACAAGTGATTCATTAATGTTTAATTTGCAAACAGCGAGTAACATGAGAATCAAATGTCGAGTCAATCTTAACTTATAGTAAAATTGTTGTTATTTTACTTTATGATATTTTATAAGGAGAATAACAATCTCTTCTATTTTATCTTTCTAAGAATTTTATCTTTCTAAGAAGAAATACACATGCACGTGTTACATTACGATTTTGATGAATTTTACATATCAAGAAGTATAATAACCTTTCGCGCTAATAGTAAGCAATAAAGTCGCAAAAGATATTACTACATATCTCAGTCTCGAGAAAATCGATCTTTATTTCTGAGCAAATATCCCTGATGCGATGAGACATGACACTTGCGTGTGTTTTCTTGAAACAGATTTGTGCATTAAAATGTTTATTTAATTTATTAATGAGTTATTGATAAGTTATTTGTTATTTATTTAAGAAATAGAGATAATGATCAAAGATAGAATTTTTTCCAAGAATTTCTTTTTATGGACCATAACTGTGGTGTTAGCATTACCGAAGGTATACCACGGAGATTGCGCAGTCGAAATTATGCGAATTTGTATATGTACGAATTTGTATGCGCTTGAGGGCTGTTACAATCAAATATATAAAATCCATGTTTCTATGGAAACTCCTGTTATATATATTTCATGCCATGTATCACGATATATCGTAGACCTGTTCCGTTTTTGTAAGCGTGTTTTGCATTAAACTTTGCACAAAGTTCTTCGCAGTGTTTTAAGACTGCACGGAAAGTAGGAGCGAAAGATTCTAAACGAAAAAAAGAAAAAATGCAGGAAAATAGATCAGAAAACCGAAAAGCAGAGGAAGGGACACAGAAAAGCAATGAAAGGCAACACAAAGAGATTTACGATTCGAACGAATACATCTCTGGCGCAGTATGCGTAAAAGACGGGACAGTGCCTATGAATATTTTACGGCTTCAGTATCCTTTCAATTTCATATACATCCATATACGCATATGCATATAATACCTTACATATATATGCAAGTCATTCATTCTCATACGATTGTCAAAAATACTTCAATCTTTGTGTGGTAGAACCGAATGTTCTTATCTTCGTTTCTGGTAATATACTACATTTTTTAAACACTACAACAAATGAACTATGGTTTAGAAGAGGATCTACTGGTGGTGGGATTGGGCATGTGACGGTACCTTTTTTACATGATCTTTCTTTATATTCATTAAAATCGTCCATATGCTTGAATTATGATTATTATTTAAATTATTTTCTTTAATTTTTTCCGCAAATTGCAAACAGGATTTTCTTGAAAAGTGATATGATATTGATAATTTCTTTCTATATAAATATACGCAGAGAGGGAGAGAGAGAGAAATATGATCTTTCATGGTGTTTTGTCTGTTTAGAAAAATCCCGCATTTGATCATATTGCTGTTGCGGAAAATGGTTTGAAACCTCCAATAATAATATATAAATGGCCTTCAATGAATATCTTGACGATATTATATAATGGCACGTTGAAGCGTTACTCCCACTTAACATACAGGTTTTTCATAAAGGTTTTTTATAATATGCGAAATTACGTTCATAAATTTCTTATTATATAGTTTTATATATTTTGCAGTACGGATGGTTTGTTGTTAGTGTCGCAAGGAGGAGATCCGGATTATATGATTACACTTTGGAATTGGCAGAGGTCTCAAATAACATTAAAATGCAAGTCTTATAATCGGGATGTTTATAATGTTACAATATCTGCGTCATCATCTGAATATTTGGTGACTAGTGGATCTGGACACATAAAGTTTTGGAAAATCTCCAACACGTTTACTGGGCTAAAATTAAAAGGCGAAATTGGCAGATTTGGCCAGACAGAAATATCTGATATTATTGGTGTATATATCATGCCAGATGGAAAAGTAAATATTATACCATGCTTTGGCCTTGATTGTTTATTTAATATCATAAGTAACAATTGTATGATAAGAGTTGTATGAATTCGAAACAGACATACGAATATCTCAATTGTTAATCGTAATTACTTTTAGGTCGTATCAGGTTGTGAGTGGGGAAATATTTTACTGTGGGAAGAAGGCTTAATCAGTCTGGAAATATGCAGGAAACACAGACAGCCTTGTCATGCTAAACCAATTACACAATTTGAGTATTTAAACGGAGAACTGATATCAGTTGGTAATAATACCCCTTTATTTTGCATTTTCTTTATATTGATATAAAAATTAGGCCAGTATATATGTGAGTTACGTATATCGCGTGAAAAATATTGCATTCTTGATATTTTCATGTCAAAATTTTCTTACCGAATTACTTAAAGAATTTTATCTGAAAAAGTATTCCATAAAAATTAGATCACTTCATATATTGATCTAAATTAAAACAGAAAATGCGTAACATAAATCTTGAATAAATTTCTTGTATTATAAATGAATTGTAGGTATGGATGGATGGATTAGAGTTTGGTTCTACGAGACGATAGATCAAGCGGATATTCACGATGAGGATCGCTTTTTAGAAATCCAACCCGTTTATGAATTTCAAATCGGCGAAACGCTCAGTTCGATGCTTATGTGCATGTGTAAACAGGAGCCGGACAATCCGGAAAATACATTTTGGTATGCTCAAGTAAGTAACATATATATCTTTGTTATAATATTAATATTTATATTCATTTATTACATTTTATATTTCATACAATATTGTTACGTGTATAATATACTATTTATAATATTAATTTGACTGTTAATTTGATCAGAAAAATACATGTATATATAATATGAAGTTTCTAAATGCTAATGCTTTTTATATTTGTAGGATGGAAATGGTGGGATATGGTTAATTGATTTGCATATATCAAAGGCAGAAAGTCCACGGAAGATATTTACATGTCACGCGGGACCTGTGGTTGACATGGATAATGCAACATGGGGACCTTTTGTGGCAACGATTAGCAAAGCTGGACAATTACATATTTACAATTACATGGAAAAAAAATTAATTTTGGATCATAAATTCAATGACATCGGTAGTCAAGTCGTCTGGTTTCCATGTAAAGTAAATCACAATATCGAGTCCATACTACGGAAGTCTAACATATATATTGGAATGTTAAGAATTTGTTTATTTACAATGCGAAATATAGCTTATATAATATGACCGATTATAATACGTTTATGTAATTAACATGAGACAAAAAAGTCTTCAGTCGCTTTTCTTTTGATTTTTTATCATCTTCGATTTTTTATCGTATGTACATGTTTTCCTAATATTATCGGTATTAATGTATAATATGTTTTTACATATTTAAAAGATTGAAGCGACAGGATTAATGCTCGCTTGTGCTTTTGGGAGTGGTGTTATTCGGGTAATTGCCGTAACAATATCAGCAGCCAACGTCGACACTAAAAACGATTGTCTCAAATTGATACAGATTATAAGACCGCACAGAATGGCAATAACCGCGATGTCTCTAAACCCATCGTGCAAGTATGCCGAAAATATTAATAATTTTTGCGAGTTTAGTCAATTCAAATCGTTCATCTGCGTCAATTCACTTCTCCGCAGTTATACAGTTGTAAATGTCTATATAAGAATTAATAATATTTCATTTATATGTATCATAATTAATTTGTATTATATTTATATACATTTATATTAATATTTCAGCTTGCTGGTGACTGGTAGCGAAGACTCAACTGTGTTTAGTTTCTCTATCACGGTAACCGACACTCATCCAGTCATCGTACCAATTGGCTTCATCGAAGTACCTTCGGGAGTCACGTGTCTCACATGGAAGCCACATTGTGTAAATGAACAATGTTCCAGTCTCATTTTACATAGCAATTGCATTAGCAATCTTTCTAAATTTAATATGCTTTTTCTTGTAGGAAACGACATTGTTAATTGGATGCATAAGAGGAGATTGTGTAGAAGTTGTATTACCAAGCACACCTCAAACGTATACCACTGTCTCGTACAAACTTGTACAATGCTTGTTGAAAACATTTCAGTTCTATTCTGTAAAATCTGCCATTAGAAGGGAATTGATGCGTATAAAACGCGAGGAAGAAAGGAAGGAAAGAATGGCAAAGAGACGCGAAGAAGTAATTCGATTAATGGTCGAAAGTCCCGAAATGGAGATTAGCGAAGAAGAACTTTTCGGTAATTACGTCACTTATTAATTAACATCTAAAATAATATTGCGGTATGAGACAACCATATTTTTTCTTTTCTATTCGTTCACGTTAAAATAAAAGTAACTGCATAATTCACGACGATAATGAAACTGAAATAATCTTGTACTTATCACGCTATATAATCACATTATAATTACAGCGGATATTGAAGAAGAGCCGTTACCGGAAATATATATACCGAAAATACCAAACAAGATATTAACGGCGCAATACATCAGTCGTGATATCATTTGGTTGTCAATGGCGGGCTTCGACGCGGGGTACATATACGAGTACCCAAGTCCGGAATCTGTTGAAGAAGATGTTATCGGCAAGGAACCTGTTAGAAGTACCGTAATATATGACGCGGATGACATGGAAATACGAAGTTGGCTATTCTAGTAAGATCCGCTGAAATTATCGTAATTTCCTTTTTACACAAGGAGGAGTTAACTTTAGTCGTCAACTTTTACATGTACCCTAGTAAGCAGAGAAAATATTTATTTTTGGGAATGGAACACGGACAGATACGTGTTTGCAAATATAAATCCGAGGACTACACGGATCTCTCGGATTATTGGATACTTCCGATGCACGATAATTATAACGGCTATATTCCGAAAATGATTCTCAGCCACGACCAGAAGATGTTATTTACATGTGGACATGACGGAAACTTGTTTTCTTATGAGATAAACGACGACACATCACCAGAAGCAATCGAATTCGAGACGGCCGCGGAAACATCATCCTTGGTGCGTCCACAATTATATTTGTGTTGTTAATTTAAATTTATCGCGATATGCACAATAAGCAAGAGACCTTCTTCATGAATGTACCACCCAATAAGATATATTCCTACATGACACAGTCGTACGTATTCGGTATTGAAGATCTCGAGGAAATCGATACGTACGCGAGTCTAGAAGAGACGATTCAAAAAGCTGAACAGGACAGGGTTGCGAGGGAAGCGGGACAGTGTAAACGTCAAACTCGTGAGATATTGTTCAAACTGAGTGAGAAATACAGCAATATTGTGAAGAGGTTCGAGTTGTGCCAGATGTAGTAGTGAATCGATTGCTTCAAGTAAGGAAGGAACGATCAGGGTGCACTTATTTGCATTTTTTATATGTTAGGAATAACACACTATCGAAGCCTCATCAAATATCTCGCGAGGAACTAGAATTGGATTCCAGAATTACGGCTGATCTAAATCAGGAATTGGAAACGGAGATGGCCACAGTGCGAGAAAGATTCGCATTTAAAGTGGAGAGGAGTGAAATTGGATTGCAGAAACTCATGGAACACTTTATCCATTCTATCACAGGCTTGCCGTTCGTAGTCTACAAAATCTTGTAAGTAAACGTTGCTTCCATTCTTCGCGTTAGAAAATGTAACCGACTAATATTCAAATATTATATAAATAATAAATGAAGTATTATGTAATTAAGTACACTAATATGTAAGTATTTATAAAATTCGTCTGAACCTTTCCTTCCAAATTCTAATTATATTTACACTGCTATAGACAACCTAATAGTGCGGTCCATTCTCTGCGTCAGCACGTTTTGAACACCGATGGCATCCTGCCGCATGTGGATACGGTAAAACATGTACACACGCTCAATAAGCAAACTAATGGAGCCAGGTAATGCGTGCTATATGCTTGAGCAAGTATTAATAGAAAATACTATAATATTCATGAAACGTACTTGAACGAGTAGTGTAACGAAGGATCCGGTGCAGTATTATAAAAAAGAACAACAAGAAGAAGGGAAAACTGAAGAAGAAATTGAGACGGAAAAAATACAAGAACAAGCGATCGCGGACATCTTGAAAGGCGTGAATTACGAGGATGTAGATAGCAGCCAGAAAATTCGATTGAATCAAATGCTACGTAAATATATCTCGAGGAAGGCAAGGCTGAAGGAGCGCAAGAAACAAGTCAGTGTGTTATCGCGACTGAAATATTTAAAATTCTTTTTTCTATTTTTTATAATCATATAATTCTTTCGATACGAGTAGACGATACATATTGTTGACGTTAATTTGATTTGCTCGTAACTATCTTCAAATTTCCAAGAATTCTTGAAGTTTTCGCATAACACTTACACGTCTGAACAAAAAGAGATCTTTGTAAATATGCTCAACATTCAGATAAGCAAATAAGTGACGCATTTCTAAATAGAATTCTATGAAATTTAATGAATAGATATTGTTTTATTTGTATGTAGTGGAAAATTATACATCAAGAGAAACCGGATGCATCTGTTAATCACATACACGATATAGCCGCTATAGAAGAAGCAAAGAGAACTATCGGCGATTATAAATTGAAGACATTATCGACCTTTGATTCGTTATCGGAGGAACGAGATACTCTCCTTTCAAAGCACAGAGAACTGTTTAACTGTTGGAAAAAGGTTTTGTACATCATCGAATTTTTCGAAGAAGAGAAAAGAATGACATTTTTTTCATTAATTCCTATTTCTTTATTAATATTATTCTTTTGACAATTCTGATTTTTATTATTAGCTTTATTATCTGCAAGAAGCCTTCAACGAGAGATTGAAGGCCGTAAGAACAGAGAAAGAACAGTTATATGCGCAAGTTATATCCTTAATAAAAACTCTCAGAGAAATTCACGCCGAGATACCATCGAGAAGCATAAAAGCCTTCCCGTATATCCCTATGTTAAATACTGATGCAGAATTTCCTGAGAAAAAAATAGCTGTATGTATTAATATGTATCATGAATCGTAGTTGTAATATGCAAGTTTAAGCCATAATGTATAAAGACGCGCTTTCACTTTTACATAGCTTGAAAAGTATACGATAAAGGAGGAAAAAATGCAACGACCGCGATTATCTCTTCTTCCGGAGCCGATATTTATTTGCCCAGATGAGGAATACGAAGTGTTGCTCCTGGATGAAGAATTTCCGGAAACTATAGATATTTCTAGCGAAGAATTACCCTCTGTCTCGGAGAAAAAAATCAAACTTGATTCTATTGCGCAGGACGATACATCGTTGCTTCATTTGAGCGATGATTCCGACAGTCCGTGGGAATTAGAAATGAAAGCTGCTCGCGTGTTGCGCAGGATATATGAACAAGACTGTATATTGCGATACATACAAACCAGTTACGAAAATTTAGATAAGAAGTTAGATAAATTAGAGCATGACAGATTGGACATCGTCGCTGAGAATGTTAATATCAATTTATTTTTATTGACACTTCGTCAAGAATATATTATCCTGAAGGAATATGAAACAATGGAAAATATGTTGCATGACAAAGTTAATCGTAAAATAGACGAGATCATAGCAATAAAGCAAAAAGTTAGTTAACAGAAATATTATTAGTTCCATGCAATTGATGATAACTATCAAGAAATTTGTATCACACTATATTTGATATTTTTAGATACAGGAGATCACCGACAAGGCTGACAGTAAAATGAAGGAAATTACAAAGCTACGCAATCAAATTAAAGATATTACTTCAGAATATATGAAAAATATAAGCGAAGATGAATTTCGTAATTTTCTATGCAGGATATTTAAAAAGAAGTACAAAGAGTTGAAAGAGGATGATGGTAAGGGCATTTTAAAGCTTTTTTCGGATTATGATCCAGACAAAAGATCGGAATTAATCATATGACCGAGTTGTTCTAACATCTTGAAGTACAAAATTGTAGTGTTTAGTTTGTATGATGGTATATCGTTGCTCTAGAAACTACTACGACGACTGAAACAACGTCGGATGAAACTAACAGTGTCGATAGTAAAGAAACAGAGTTCATTTATTTCGATGTAAATACGTGCCCTGCGAAATGCGACAAAGAATTATACAAGCTAGCATTTTCGATGAGAGAGAAACGATATGCGTGCGAACACAAAATCAAAGATGCTCAGCATATTATGGAAACTCTTCAAAAGGAAGCTGAAATTCAGACGAAGAAGTTGAAAATCATAGAGAACGACTTAAAGGCGCATAAGGATGATTTGAAATTATTTATGGTATCGCTCGCATATTGAAAGCTAATTGCAACTATCAGGGAAATAACACTTCATTTGTCTAATTGTATTTCTCTTGACAGCTTGAGAAACAAGGGAAATTGAACAACGTAGATGTCACAGTGACAATGAAGTTGCATCAGTTGCAGTATCTCCAAGAATCCGATGTGCCGACTAAGGTGGACGATTGCGTTGTATTCGACAAAAAGAAATTGTCTAAACTGTACGCGAGAATACAGGAGTTGCACGAGGAGACGCTTGAGTTATATGCTAAATATAAGTATGTGTACATACATTTATATATCGTATATACGGAGAATTCACAAATAACAAATAAGACTCTTAATAACATACGCGATGATTGTAGACGTTCTAGAACGCACCTTCACAGAATAAAAATCGACTGTAATCACATGAGTGTTAATAATAAAAAACTGAAGAGTGAGATAAAGCAAAGGATAATGGAAAAATTCGGTCAGAATGTATCTGTGACTGAATTGTACGAAACGATACTACGTCGAATGGTATACGATATCAAGGCTGACTTAAACGAGACTACTATGCAATTTAGTAAACGAACTAATGGTGAGTTTGTTATATCTTCGTTCGTCTCAATCTTTTCATTTTCACACATATTCTCTGTATCCTGTATTTTACTGTTTTATTATAGAGATCAAGGAATGCTATGCTGAAGAATTAATTACATTTAAGAACATGATCCGGGAACACACACAAAAGTTGAGCTTCATGACACTTTTGGTGGAAGAACAATCGAAGCTTAAGAAACTCTTGAGACAACATATTGCATCGGGTGTAAGTCGCACAACATCCGTCGTTTAGAACGTTATCCGTCAAATATTTCTTTTTCACGAGAATTATCCTTTAATGGAACATAATCATTGATAAATCTCATAAAGAATTATTTACTGATACTGTTCGCAGGAGAAAATGTTAGAATTGGAGAAGACATACAAGAACGATATAATAAAGTTGGAAAGGATTCTCAAAAATCAAATGCGACAAAAGCATCTATTTCAGGAGGATATCAAGAATCTCAAATTGAAGACGAAATTGCAACACCCAATTCAGTTTAGGGATATAATGTCCTGGAACGATAGAGGTAACGAAAAAATTAGGAGAATCTTAATTTTGCCAAATAAAATCCGCCTTGTATAACTGAATCGTCTTATGCAAGTGGATATAAGTGAATATTACTGATATGTACCCCGATCGATGATTTTGATAAATTCCAAATCTATTTACTTTATTGGTCTTTTTCCATCATTAACCGCGATCTGATGGTCATTTAATGACATCGGATCATAACATTGTATTTTTCTATTTATACGCATATATAGAATATTTACTTTTTTTATATATATTATTTTATCGAATTATACTTTAATTTTGACATTAATAGTAATGAAATATTTTATGACATAGACATCAAGCCGGAGAGCGAAGAAAATTACGATGAGAATTGGCAAAATGACGAAGTAGAACATACAAAAAGTGACGAAAAGCCAGAGTTCCCTGTGGATGCAGAAGATATATTTGATTAGATTGAAAGATTTGATCATATTATATGAATTGATACATCACGAATTTTTTTATAAGTGCAATGTTCACATGGAGAATATAGAAAAATTCAAATTGTAAAACGATAAGACAAACAGATGAGGTATATATTAATAAATATTGCTAAATTATATATACATATAGAAGCACATTCATTTTCATATATACATATATAATTTCACTTATCATTCCAGAAAATAAATAATATTTGATTAAATACTTCGGCAACAAGTAATATGCAACAAAACTCTGCATTCGACTGCGAAATAAATTCCACGAGATACTCACTTATTTAGACTTATTGGTTAACAACACTTGTTTTTTGTTCGTTGTATTTTATTTATGGCTTATATATAACGACTATATGACAGCTGTACAAATACATAACTTTCATTTGCTATTTAAGAAGATCTAATAATAAATATATATATATATACTATATATATATGTATATATATATATATGTAACAACATATACGCTCTTATCATAATACAAAGATATCGCAATAAGTCTATATTTCTCGTGTACGAATTATATCGCTTAATTTTTTTATTATTTTATGTGCAAAATGTTTCAAAGAGATGAACTTATACATTATCTTGGATCCTGACTAAGCCAAAAAAATAGAAACAAAGTAAAAGGCTTCTTCGGTGAACGTTTTCAAAATAGTTTAACTTATACAAATGATATTTACCCTTTACGTCAACATTCACACTATAAACTCTTTAAATATGAATAACAAGAGCTATCGGAATGTTAAGATACATTAAAATGCAGCTGTACGTCGTTTCAATTCATGGACTAGAGATGGGTGATAGTTTGTGATGAAAATTAAACGGTGTTCTTATAAGGACGAATACACTCGAATCTCGATGTGATATGCATCGCAATAGTATTATGATAGAAACGTGAAAATATAGATTTATCGTAGCGGAATTGGGTAACACAATAGTTCCCACTTGCGTTACGGTAACAAACTTAGTCCTGACAACGTTGCGGTCTCTAATTCGGCATATTATATCGTTATAAAAAAAAAAGTCAATTATGATTCAGATGTGCATATAGTTTGAAACAATCAGCGAAACTGTAAATGACACTATACACAATTGTTACTCGTTATGTAATGTCTCTTGCGAAGAGTCCTACATCGAGATCCGAGCGAGACTAAGAACAATAATAATTGCAGTAATGATAGAAATAATAATTATATAACAGCGCAGTATTAATATCAGTATTATTAATTTGAATAGTAATAGTAGTGATACCACAATGATAGTGTTAACAATATAATAGCGGTGGCATTAATAGTAATAATAGCGATTGTAGCAGTGGTGGCAGCAGCCAATAATAGTAGCATTAACAACATGCGTTCTTTTGCCCAGTATCTATAATTAATTAATATTTCCAATCTGAAGCGTTCACATACTGACTGTAATAATATAATGATGTTCAGAATGTATTTGTTCTTGTCAAAGTTACTGTATGTATGCGTTGAAATGTTGGTAAACAAATTCGTACTAGTCTCAATAGATGCTTAATTTTCCGCGAGTAGGAGAGAAGAGACTAAAAAGCAAGAAAAAGCGAATGTGCGTTGATTATGGGATCTTAATGTGCAGTTAATCAACAATTGTATCGAGGAAAAAAGCTCGGATTTAGAATTAACAAATCATGGTTTTTACGTTCTGTACTTTGCGGTACAGTTCTCTAAAACGAAGGAACAACGAACAGGTAGTAGTACCTCGTGCAATCTCATGTGAACAAACGTGCAAGACGCTGTTTGTTATCGTCACAGTTGTGAAAAATAGACGGCGAAGAGGGACTTGGAGTGACCAGTGGATCAACTGAATTTCTGCAAACAAAATCTATCAAAATCAGGCATGAATAAATTGGCTGCATTGTCTCGCAAAGTAATCGGCGGACAAGCGACAATTGATATCGGCATTGTTGGACATGTAGCGCACAGAAAGTCAATGAATTGTGAAAACCATTTTGGGTACGGAAACTTCATGTCAAGAATGATGAGGAATATATTATTATACTAAAGCTCGGGTACGTGAAGTCTTAAAAATGCGACGAAAAATACCTCTCCCCTCTAATGAAGGGAGAGGTATTTTTCATTGCATTCTTCAGAATCAGAATATTCTATATCTGCCAATTCAATAAGGATTCGTTCCTTTATTTGCGTCCGACTTGCACAGGAAGATACCAATTAATTCGTTTTGTGTTTCGTCGATTGTCCTAGACAGGATATCCTTACAACTTTATTAATGAAGCTGAATGGCCGTTATGGAAACAGCCTTGCTCTAATTGTTGCGGATAAATAATGTCCGCACTAAAGCATATAATCATAAGACATGGAAATTAAAATTCGCGCAGGATTAATTTCCAAGGATACTAAAAAAAAAAAAAAATTAACCTGTAAAAAAATTAACCTGTGGTCCAAAATTCTCATACATTGTGTCTTTGTTCGCTGAACGGAACACGAACTACAATTCGTTATAGAGATTTGTAAAAGATTTAAAGAAAAAATTTCTTAAGTTATTTCAATAAATTATGTGTACATTTCTCAAGAGAAAAAGAGAGAGAAAGAGAGAAACCGAAAGCCTCGAGAAAAATTACGAAGCTGCAAAATTGTTCGATTATTTACATATCCGATTTGAATAAGTCGAATTAGTAGAGAACCGCATAATTCGTAAGCTGTTAGGCCCATATACAAAATCTTGTCCTATTCTTCCTAAAAGAGAGTGCAACCCATCATCATAACTCGATTGTACAAATTCTTTATAATTATAAATTCAATGTGTCTTGCTTTATTCTATTCCGAATGTATTCGTCTCCTCTACGGCCAACAGTAACTTCTCGTATAAAATTTCAGGCGTAGGATAAGGTGGAAGATCCAAGCGATTGAAACATGTATGTGCCCTGAAACAATAAGAATAGAAATATGTGACAATGTTCTAATTTGTGATAATTGCACCAGTTTTCTTTAACAAATCAGCTAATACGGACCCACATTTATCCTTAAACACGTGTTACTTAATTTAACGTTTGTATCATTAGTCATAACTTTCGGATAAAATTAAAAACCATAGTAAATAATAAAACATAATATAACTATACTACTTCTTTCAAAATTAAATTAATTTTTACTACGAATTACATCAAGAAATACATTCAAATCATTTTGAAACTCAGTTCATCAACGTACACAACTGCAAATGTAACGTTTAGAGTCAATAAGGATACCGAGGAAACGAGAACTTATTAAATACCTTGGTAAACTGTTCGGCCTTCCCCACTTCTCGATGCAGAACTTCCTCGGTCCTGTAGAACCTCGCAGCGCCGCGAATCCTTCGTACGGAATACTTGAAGTGCCGGTAACAAACTGCAGTAGTCTCAAACGTTGCTCATTGGTGAACCGACTTATGCTGCTCCAGAACCATTCCACTACTGGATGCGCGTCGTGATATCCGCTCCTGTACTCGGTATGCGTCCGCCAATCATTCAGATCGATCTCAGCCGCACCGGCGATCACCAATTCCAACTCACGAGCATCAAAGACCGACACCAAGCGTGGATCTACCACTTCGTAGAAACCGCGAACCAACGATTCCGTTTGCTCGGCCACACCGCGCTCCAGACGCCAACGTACCACTCTCTCGAGATATTCCTTCTTGTTCTTTTCGGTGACCGCGATGTTTCTACCGCCTGGCTTGAGCTCGCGCTCGGCGACTCGTCCCAGCAGCTCCTCTGTTACCGAGAAAGTCAACTCCAACGGTTCGATGCTTATGTCCTTCTCTTTGATCCACATTAGACTCTGATGAAATTCCTGATCCAAACTCTCAAGGTCACTCAAACTTGCCGGTATCCTCAAGAGTGCTTTGTAAAACGGCCTGGTGAAAAACGCATCAAGCAGATATTGATGGACTAACGCTAGACCTAGAACTCTGCCCGAGAATCGAAACCAATCGTGATAGTTATCCACGAAGGCCGACATTGGTGAAATTTGCACTGTATAAGTATCATTGGCCGAATATTCGAACAATCCGTAATAAGGATTGAACAGCTCACGCGATAAGTGAAAGAAAAATTCTCGAGACGGCCCGCCGTAGTCCAAGCCTTCTTCGTGGTCGAAAATCACCACCAGTTTACCTTTCTGCAGGTCCTTTTTCGACGCAGCCATTATACGCGTAAAAGCATCCTCAAGCAAATGTTCTCTCCTGATGTGCAATCTGTGCATAAACATATAAACAAAAGTGTAAAAGTCTCGTAACAGAATAATAATTATAATAATAACAGAAATAATAATTATATATATTTGCATCCTAGAAACTTAAGATAGCTGAAACGTACTTCAATTTACCCGGCCCTTGTCCGTAGCCTTTGCTCTCCAGCTTTCGGTAAAACGTCCGGAGCTTAGCTTCAAAATCTCTTCTATACGGTGCGGGCGCTCTGGCGGATGCCCTCGTCAAGCCGGGCGATGCGTGTGGACTACCGAGCGGAGATCTACCCATGCTGCCAGGTACATACGACATTATCTCTTGCTCGAATAAACTGCAAATAATGATACAACGTTGACGGAATGGCTCCAGCGCGATTAGATATGTAATCTGTCATTCCTCATAAGAAAGCAGCAAGGCCAACTATAAATTTACCATTGAATATATATCTCTCTCCTCTGCCTGCATTTCCTACCTCAGTAACAACGCCAATGGAACATCGTGACCCATTCTCTGCAACGCCGTAGTCCCCTCGACTCTTATAGTGTTAACCTTCTCTCGCAGCGCGATATTCTGCCCTAATGCGGAATGTCTCTCCTTCAGGATATCCATTATATTAGGCTGACGTAGGAAAGCAACTACTTTGTCATTGTAGGCCACAGGTATGTCGGGCATAGCGGTCACGGACGATTGCTGCGGTCTAGGCGGCGGTACGGGAGCTTCGTCCAGCAACGTTCGTACGTGAGCAGCTTCGGTAGGTAATCGTGGATCGATAAAGGACGTCGCCTTTCTAGCATGACATATAAAAAATCTCTGAAATTACAATTTCGTTTGGTTACAATGACATTACCAACATTATCACGCTGTGTTGTATGGAGGGGCAAGGGGTGGCATTAATACGGAGGACATAGGGAGATTTCGGCTCCCATGAGCCATGAGGAATTACAGGCCGGCGATGTAGCTCACCTTGCCTGTTCTATCGAGCTTCGACTCGTAGCCTCGTGGGAGCTCCTTGCTCGAGTCAGCGAAGTAATTAATCAAGGCGACCAGGTCCCTATTGTGCTCGTATCTCGGGAAAATCAACGGGTTTCTTCGGACTCGGCTGATCATGTGCTTCAAGCTCGGATTACGATTGTATACTTCCATTGCGTCCGTGTTGGTGTGCAGCACGGTGAAGAAGTCGGACCGCGTCAAGAACAACACTGGCGGTATCGTGGTGATGTCAAACGGCTCGGGCTCGCTCCTGTCGATACGCTCGCCCGCAGTCCGTTCGCTGGCGTTCTCGAAGTGATTGCCGTTCGCGTTCGAGTTGTGGGCTTCGCGGTCGATGTTGTCGGGGCGCGAGATCGTGCGTCGTACACTTTGGTAACGTCTGTCCAATTGTTGCCGTCGTAGATCACAGCCGGTGTTGCGCGTCGTCAACCGTGTCGGCCTCTGCCATGTCGTGGTGCGATTAATGTGATCTATGTAAAACACTCGACCGTGACTGTCGATCCTGGCTTCCCATGCTGAAACATATATAGCGATTGATATCGGAATCCAAGAAGGGAAGAACGTATTGAACAAGTTCGTACTCTTACACAGAAACAAAAAGTTCAGTTCGTGTAATTGAATGAGCAAAATGAGGAGAATATCGGCCGGAAATATTTGTCAAACATTGTTATTCTCCCATGATTTAATAGTTATTTGCACAAAAAGCCTACGATTGATTCAGTAATTCTCTTAGCTTGATTGTAGACCATAAAGCTTGTCTATGTATATATTGTGAAAATATTTGTCTAAACATTCAATTGTATTAAAATGTGCCGATCGATTGCACTAATGGACTTGTTTCTCTCGTACATCTCCAACACGGGCGATCTCAAAGCATCACTTACATGGTGGCAGCGGTTCTTCCGAAGATAACGACACGTTTGACGTTTGGCACACAGGCAACGGACAGAGAGGTTTGGGTCGATGCGTTGGCGTTGGTGGGCACTCTAACTGATTAGCCAGTATCGATTCCGGCCCCGGTGGTCCTGATCCTGGTCCTGGTCCCGGTCCCGGTACTGGTCCTGGTCCTGACCCTGCCTCTGGTCTCTCTCGTTGTCTGTGCGATCTTGGCGAGCTCAATAACGCGATGCTCTTCGTGACCGCTGTCCTCAACTGAAATGTTAGACGATCTATATATTACGGTCTATACACGTGCGAAGTATATGCGTCGAGTGCGAAGAGAACTCGGGTCGTAGGAGATAATCTGTCAACCTTAAGGTTCGAGGCCTCGTCAACGTCCACAATCTCGAATCCGAAGCAATCCTCGGGATGCAGCGGTGTAGGGTGTCTTTGAGAATGTCTTTTAGGTAATTCCGGCGCGCCGCTTGGTAAAGCGTTGCTTCGATGCAACGGCCGATGTGCGGCCCTCGGTGGGAGCGGCGGCGGCATCGGGTACAAGGTCTCATATAAGGATTCCGGAGACGACAGTCCACCTCTGCTGCGCCACAGCTGATAATACTCCACTCCTTCCTGCGTCACAACTCCATTGGGCCTGCACTGCCTCTTCTTCACGTCATTACGGCTTACACTCGCATGCTGAGACTCCATGTCCGAATTGCTCTCTTCGCTGCTGTTCGATGAACGTGGCTCCAGGTCTAAACAACGCACTTCCTCCAACTGATCTTGCCTGGAGAATGACGATTCTAAGAGCGCTACTGCGTTTTCCTCGATCTCAGCTGGTTGAGCATTGGCAGTTTTGTGCATCTTCTCTAAAATTGGCAGTTTGAACGGCTTGCTTGTGCTCGCGGTGTCATTGTAATGCGACAATGTGCACGCCGCGTCTCGCGACGTCAACATTTCCTTGCGAACGTGCTCGGGTAAAACAGCCGCTTCGTTCCCGTCGATTGTATCTTCTAGCGAATTTCTAATCTTATTATTATTGTCCAGTGTACTTGAAGATACTACAGCGTCAGTCGCGTCGCTGTAATGTGTCGATAAAACACTTTGCGAATTTGACGGTTCTTTGAATGCGTGCGAAGGAAGAGGTGCTAACCCGTCTGTTAATAAATTCGCGTCGCTATGTATATCATCATCATCATCATCATCATCATCATCATCATCATCATCATCATCATCATCATCATCATCATCATCATCATCATCATCGTCGTCGTCATCGTCGTCGTCGTCGTCATCGTCTTCGTTGTTTTCGCTAGACGTTTTTAACAATATGCTCGTTAGTCGACTGTGGTACATAACGGGACCGTCGTCTTTTAAGGATACTTTGCATGATAATGGCACCGTGTTGTTCACTGATTTATGTCCCATGTCTGACATATCATTATTAGACCCATTTTTACATGAATTATCCGCATTTTCTTGAAATTCACACTGTGCAATAGTATCGTCGCTTCCCTCAGACTCCATTAGTGTACTTTTGCCACAAGCTTCTTCATCTGAGAGACTGTCAGAATGTGTCGTTAATTCTAAGATGTTCTGATGAATTTCAGAAATATTTTCCACTAGCAAGCATTTCTTTCTGGACAGATTTTTGTGAGCAAGGACAATTGATTTTTTATTCGCATTATTGTTATTTCCTTCAGTTTGTTTAGCCACTGCATTTGTAATATCCAATGATACATACTCGTCACCTTCATCGTCAACCTTTGAATCTGAAAATTAAACAAATTTGAAACTCTCTAACAAATATGAAAAGAACTTGGAAATAGTTGGAGGTATTAACATTGACATTACTTGTCATATCTTTGTGGCACAAAGTCTCCACTTCCAGCGAATCACTTTTTGCTATAGAGCTAGCAGTGGCTAATGAGACTGCATTTCCAGTTGAGTGTACATGTTTAGTTCTGATATCTGATACAGGTATATTATCCCTATTAACATTTGCTACATGAGTATTAATATGATTTGTTGATGCATTTGTTACTTCTTGAATTGTAGAATTTAAAGTCCTTAATGTAACAGACTGTTCATTAGATTTCTCAGCATCATCCTCTTGCTTGGAAACACTGCCCATGGCATTTGTTTCTGATGGCATTTTTCTTCAAAACATAGTTAAAGTAAAAAATGTTATAAAATCCTGCAAACAAGAATGGCAATATAAACTTTAACAAATAAAACCTGAGAATCTTTGAAGTAGAACAAGTGCTTTTTCCTTGTATCGATGGCATAAATAAAAAATAAACATATGCACATGCGCATGTAAAATATCTGTGTATAAATAATAGATCCCTAATGGATTTGTATTCTTTGTATTACAATATAATTGTGATGCAATATGTGATCAAGTAATGACAAGTAATGAAATCAACAATTAGATGATAATTAGGTAACAAAATCGAGCGAAATGCAAAAATAGGTTAAAAATAATTGTATTGAGGCAAATTAACAATATGTAAGATCACACAGCGCGGAAGTTAATGAAAGTCAATAGCTGACAAACATAGAAGCGTTATCGATATATCTAATTGTTTGTTTGCAACTTGATAATAATTAATATATTTCGCTGTATACATACGCAAAGTGAAAGTGCATCAAAGAAGTATTGTACGAAAATTGCTTACCGGTTAATATCGCATTTTTAACATGTCAAGTAACAAGATACGTTCAAACAGTCATTTTACTTCATATTTGCTCGCTCATTTACGTGTGACTTTACTCCTATTAATTACACACGACATGCGTGAACAGATAATTTTGACAGCAAACGCAGCAGACACAGTGTCATATAACTGAACATAGTGCATAGGTGCTTGGGGGAACACCTTCATTTTCAGAATAGCCGCTAGTTGGCGTTAAGAAATACTAGATTTACTTAAACCTACGATACACGTTTGGTTTTCTTATTAGATCTCATACGAGCTGGTCAATTACTAGAAATGCACCATACAGAAAGCTGTATTTCTAGTATGTTATTAAGGCTGCGTTCCGATATCCACTGCCAGTACTGAAAATACATAGTTTGTGTCACGTATACTATAGATTTTCAGTGTTGACAGTGAATATCGGAACGCAGCCTAAATTGCATACAATCTAAGGCCATTAACACGAAACAAGTACGTATGTCGTAGGCTTAATTTTTCATAAAGGGCAAGCCTATTATCGCTCATCTAGAGAATATATTTTCAAAGAAAGTGACTACGGTATCTTTTCTGTTCTCTTCGGGGAGCTCGTTGCAGGATGTTAAAGAGTGTTTGGAGATCAATTTGGAGGTCTGAATACCTTCTACGTACCGTGCCTCTTTGAGGAAATAGATTACTTACGAAACTGCACAATTCCATCAAATATATTAATTATGAGGTTTGCACGAGATTTAGCAAGCATTTGTTAGCAAAGAAATATACGTTATAACCATTATTTGAAAAATCATATAAATTTTTACTAGAATGTTAATTATGATGAATTATGACTACCATAATGTTATATTTCAAATTAATCTTAGAGGTGAAGTAATGATTCGCAATTATGAAACAATCAAACCACTGTCACTGATTAAACTACTATCTAATCTATTTAATATACTATTTAATATTTTATGTTGATACTATTACATATTGATATATTAGTCAGATAAATTTGTACTTATATAACTGAAATTTTCAGAGTTCCATAAAAACTAATGAAAAGCTTGTCCAGTAATAAGAATTTATAAAAAATGCCAGTTGGTGTGTTTCCAGTTCTTAAATTGTCTGTGCTTTTCATCAAGCAGATCAGCAAACCTTTGGCTAAATTTCTTGTTAATCAAGCAAAGAATCATCCAGTTTTTAGAACTTATATTATTGTACCACCTGCTCAGTGTAAGTATATTTTTCTGTTTCCAAGAATTTATGTACTAAATACTATTAAATATTTCTCAATATTTTTATATGCATAGTGTATCACTGGGCGGAGGTAAAAGCAAAAATGTACATTATGAATATTGGTAAGCCAACAAAAGTAGCAAAATTAAATGAAGCTATGGCAATTGACTTAGGTGCTAGTTTGATGAGTGAGGTAATTATTTTTGGTGTGGCTGGTGGATGTTTAATACTAGAATACAACAGACAGACAATAAAGGAGGCTAAGAAAGAAGAAGTTAGACAAATGCAGTTACAAAAGTTCACAGATGACATACAGGCATTATATAGTACCTCATTGCAACAAGAAGCCCGTATTCAATATTTACAGAGTGCAATTAATGAATTAGCAAACCATACAAAGCATAAATTACAAACGCCTGAACCAGTATTACAAGTAAACAATAATGATAATTTGAATGACAGTAATAATGAGAATCTTAGTAAAAACAACAAAAATAGGATGGAAGCAGATACAGAGAATAAGAGTAGATCACTCATAGAACGTGCTATAATGTACTACGATAAAGATTTGAAAACAGATAAATTAAGTTAGTAGATACTTATATTTTGTGTATGTATATATATACATATGTATATATGTATGTGTATATGTATATACATATATATATATATATACACATATATAGAGAAAAATGTGCAACATGAAGATTAACAAATTATATTAATCAGTGTGTAAGATCTTGCATAATAGAATTACATAATAGATTTATAATATATGTTGTAATTTATTGCTTTAATTTGTAATTTATGATAGTTACATGTACAGATTCAGGTATGTATATTATGTAAGGTAACATTTAATTATACTTATTTAGATTGATAATTTTAAAATGAGCATAGACATATAATAAAATAAAATTTATAGAAAAAACATTGTAACTTTTCATGTAATTTTACATTTTAAGTGCAGGAAATATAAAAGGGTGTAACAACTTGTATTCGCAATTATAAAATTTTGGTCTGTTTGGCGATTGATAAAACCGTATGGCGTATTCAAGTGAATGGTTTTAAACCACCCGGGATCAATTAACCCAGGTTCTTGGGTCGAATATACGCGAGTAGGTTTTGTGATTGGCTAGTAAAGTCTTGTGACGTCATGAATCGATTCCGGATGCGTTCCGATATTCACTGCTAGCACCAAAAATCTATAGTATACATGACACAAATTATGTATTTTTAGTACTGGCAGTGAATATCGGAACGCAGCCATAAATGCATATGTATAGCATAAGCTCACTTCGACTAATGAGTGTCCAGGAAAAAGTTATTATTTTGATTTATAGAACATAACTCGGTGACATACATAACTTTCATAGGCCGGTATTCAAAGTTGGATCTTATATTTAAAGGTGCCAATACATGGGAGCGTCGAGCATCGAGCGTCAAAGCGTCCAACCAATCAAAGTTCCTTGTTTTTATCCGTGAAATAAGAAATGAAAAACTGATTGGTTGGACGCTCGACGCTCCCATGTATTGGCACACGCGCCATTGAGACCATCTTAAGTTCACCTTCAGATGCTGTATAAATTATTTCATTGGCTACGGGATATCTGAAGATGAATTTAAGACTGTCTTAAATATAAGAGGCCTTCTACAATAAGCAATTAGTCATAAGCTATAAGCAAATTGACCAATCACAATTGGTCATTTCAAAAATAATCGACTGTGATTGGTCAATTTGGTTACATCTTATAATTAATAGCTTATTGTAGAAGGCCCATAAGGCTATAAAGGCTTATAAAGGCTCGTCTACAATAGCTGTAAGAGTAAGGCTGTAAGGCTGTAACGTAAGCTGTCAGCGAATGAAAATATTTCATTTTGTGTCTTGCAACCTTACAGCCTTACTCTTACAGCTAATGTAGACGAGCCTTTACTCTTACAGCTAATGTAGACGAGCCTTAAGATCTGACTATGATGGTATACCGGCCCTAGACGCTCATTAGCCGAGATGATTTTATGCTATGCATCTATGTCATTTTGTATGCGACGGCCTTCACTCTTACGACGAAAAGTGCAACTTATTTAATTAAAAAGTGCAAGTCTAAATAAAAATGGCGTCTTGTTGAGTATATTGTTTGATTGTTATATTTGTCAATCGTGTGTAAATTCTGTAAATTCTAAACTTTATTGAAAATGTTCACGAAGAAATTATTTGACGTAGCGAATCGTGAATCATCCAACTCTAAAAAATATGAGCTGGATGAAACATGGATCAAAACAAGTAGCAATTGTCTATTTAGTTTATGGGGTTTAATTGTGCATTTAATTTTACTATGGGGCGTGCTAGACGTTAATTTCCACTCGCCTATTATTAAGGAATTACCAGCTATAACGGCACCACATGGAGCACCAGCTAAAAGAGTGTTTCTTTTCGTGGCGGATGGTTTAAGATTTCAAACATTTATAGATAAGCCACCACTTTATCTCAGGTATTCTTGATAACTCAAGTATTTTTATTCAAAGATATATAAAATATTTTATATATCAAAGATATATAAAAAATTTTGCTTTTATTTGCATATTATTTAGTCTTTTTTTGTCAGTTTTATGATTTTTTTAGTCAAGAATTTTACTTTTGACTAACAAGCATTCTGTACCTCAATAACATTTATTTTTTAATTCAATAATTGTTTTAATCCATTTTATTTTGTAGAAACATAATGAAGAACAAAGGTGTTTGGGGAATATCTCATACAAGAGTACCTACAGAATCAAGGCCAGGTCATGTTGCAATTGCCGCAGGATTATATGAGGATCCTAGTGCTATTTTTAAAGGATGGCAGGAAAATCCAGTAGACTTTGATTCTGTCTTTAATCAAAGTCATTCTACTTGGGCCTGGGGTAGTCCAGATATAATTCCAATATTTACAAGAGGTATTCCAAAAAGAAGTAATTATATTGATCTTTGTTATTTTTTGTGTTCATATTGAAATCTCCAAAAGTCAGGTAGCAAACAGAATGTTCATGGAAAGACTTATCCTTCGGCATGGCAAGACTTTGATGCAAACTTGAGTAATCAGACAATGCGCTTGGATTCCTGGGTATTTAATGCTTATTTAGAATGGTTACATTCTACTATAGCTGATGGAATTAAAGATGAAAAAGGAATTATTTTCTTTTTTCATTTACTTGGATGTGACACTTTGGGACATGCTAAAAAGCCATATTCCAGGTATTTATAAACCATTTAACAAAATTGCTGTAACCATCAAATATAATTGCAGATTTGTTAATCAGAACAAAATTTTATACACAGGGAATATACGGAAAATATGAACTATGTCAGTCAAAGGATTGAAGAGATTGTTAATGTGACAGAAAGGTTTTTTAAAAACGGCACTACTGCTTATGTCTTTACGGCAGATCATGGAATGACCGATTGGGGGTCCCACGGGAGCGGTTTGTTGTCAGAGACTGAAACACCATTGATTCTTTGGGGAGCTGGAATAAAAAAGTCTGGATACCGTCAAGACGTGGAACAAGCAAGCATAGCTCCATTGATAGCATCTTTAATAGGAATACCTATCCCTGTAAATAACGAAGTAAGTTATTCGCAATTCTGATTCAATTTGAATCATACTTAAATGAGTAATATTTTATGTAATTTATTTTATATAACATACTGCACACCAAATTTTTATAGGGTTTATTACCGTGGCAGTATTTTGATAGCAATTATCACGAGTACATTGGTCGCGCTTTACTTGGCAATGTGAAGCAGCTTGCATATCAAGTAACAGGAAATCGTGCAATAAATTGCGGAAACGGTGGTCTTCTCGATTGGCGGGAAGATCAATTAAAAGACAAAATTCGTAAAATTGAACAGCTCCTCGATAGAGGAGACGTGACAGAAGGAATCCGCAAGGGTGACGCTGCAATCATTTTCGCCAAGGAAGCTTTATCATATTTTCGACAGTATCAGCGAATACGATTCTTGACTTATTTATCGATAATGTGGTTTGCCTGGATAACTGTGTTATTCTTGAAGATTGCTGGCGCGGAACGCCAATATCGTCGAATCTCTCTGTTACTGTTAACAAACATTGGATTCGTGAGCCTGCTGATAATAACATTAGTGGGGCATATAGGTAACATAAAATATATTAAATATATTTTGTATATATCCGTAAAAAAATAAACACTTTATAGGCAAATTTCTGTCGATAGTGTCCGATTGCGGTAACTGGAGATTGCCATGCTACGCGTCTTTCGCTATAATATCAGTTTGGCTCGCCGTCAATACTCTAATTACATCAACGCCTGTATTCGTGGTAAAAAATAAGAGACAGCTTTTCATAGAGATTGGAGGCACACTATTTCTGTTGATGACATTATTTTTCGGGCTGACGTACAGACTTGCCCTTAGCATCGGTATGCTATCTACCGTGTTGATACGGAAAATACAATCGGGAAACCTACAGTCTCCTATGTTTCTTTGGACGTCCTTGGCGCTGTGCGTATTTCCCTTGTTACCAGTTGTGGAGCCATACCCACGCGTTTACATCGTGTGAGTTATGATTTTGCATATTATTGAAGTTCAATGAAGAGATCAAATCAAACAGAATATTAATGTATTTTCATCATTGATGATTTCAGGATAATTAGTATTTGCCTGACTATTTCGATAGTGGTTCTCCGTGAGACCTCACGGAGTCGGAGGATTATGGAGATCTTACGTTTAGTCATCACAGGTTTCGTATACACAAAATTCATCGACGGTCGATACTTGGTATCATGGATTATTTTGTTGACAACACCGTTATGTATCTGGCAATATCCAACTGAAGTCAAAACAAGAATGTTGGGCATAACACTTGGACTTTTTTGTCCGTTCGCATTATTGTCCGCGTCGTACGAGCCGCTTTTTTTACTGACACTGACAGGCAATTTATATTGTTGGTTAACGGCTGCTCCGGCCACTCCAAAGTATTCAAAAAGAAGTACATTGTCCACAGAGGACATGATCGAAGCAGCATTTTTTGTATCCTTTTCTCTGTGCGAATTTATCTTATTAATTTGCATATTTAAAATATGACAACTCTATACGGCAGATCTTACATATGATAATTTTAAATTTCAGCAATTATTTCTGATTTGTATTTTCTTAACATGTTTTATTACAGATGTTGTATACATTATTATGCTTTTTCGGCACAGGAAATATGGCGAGTATCAGCTCGTTCGATCCATCTTGGACACGCCATTTCGTCACAGTTTTCTCCCCATTTCTAATGACATCTTTAATCCTTCTTAAACTTAGTATTCCTTTGATATTAGTCGGCTGCGCAAATCACGCTTTAGGAACGAAGTCCATTTCTTTGGCAGTTCTTTTCTTGGGAGATTGCTTATCGCTACCTTTAATGTATTCCGTTACGCCGTACGGCAGTTGGCTCGACATTGGTAGCGCTATTAGTAAATTTATAATTGCTATTTCTCTTCCGTGTCTTTTGCTATTGTTACAGCGTCTTTCATATCTGCTTATGAAAATAGATTCGAGATTATTCCAAGTAAGTTTAGTTTCTCAGAAAACGCACATTGTATAATTTTCTGAATACTTATATAGATGCAATATGTTATAAAATGTCTTATATGCAAGACAGCGAGACTGGTTTACTTATAATATATCATCAGTTTGATAATGATTGAAACTTGATTGATTAATAATATAAATAAACATGGACAACTGTCTCTTATGTCTTATATCTTTTATATGTCAAACATGATAAAATAAGTAGAAATAAAGAAGTTGAATAGAAGAAATCGATTGTTCCCAATCTGCTTTTCAAATTTACTCGATTTTCATTACGGAAGTATGCATACTCAATACAATGAAACAAATATGTGTAAAACATTTGCTCAGCAAAATCAAATATACTTTCCTGCACAGAGAAAAAGATTATTTTCTCTCTCTCTCTCTCTCTCTCTCTCTCTCTCTCTCTCTCTTCTCTCCCCCCTCCCCCCCTCTCTCTCTCTCTCTCTCTCTCTCTCTCTCTCTCTCTCTCTCTCTCTCTCTACTGTTGAAGAAAGCTATTATTTATTTCTATTAATAATACGAATTAAAAACTTCTATCGTCCTTCATTAAAATATGGGCGTGTAATTAAATGTACGCGCGTTTCGTTAATAGAAAAAAAATTATCTTTGTAATAATAATTTAATATATTTATAGTTATCTATCAATTCATGAATCGAAAGTCACTAATAAGTAAGGCGATTTATGATAGGTTTCACAAAAGTATCGAAGTTTTAAAATCAAAACAAGAGACCAGTAAAAAAAGTTTAAATAATATAACAATTATATAATATTCAAGTATATTATAAGATTTGTAAAGTATCGTATAACTGTACGTTATGTCAAAAGCAATTTACTTACTACACTATAGTACATAATTGGAGGTGACATGACATCTAAAACTTAAATTCTTTATATTTCTTAGACGTCTTTGTGTCCTGGATTTGCTGACGTTTGCGTTTGCTCTGAAACAGAAATAGATGTTCTAATATCGAAAGATTTCTCAATCTCGAATTAAAGCAGTGAAAAATATGTGACTTCCTATACATTTTATCCTTAATATATTAATGTTAATCATTAACACAATCTATATATTTGTCATATGATGATTATATACCTTTTGTCGTTGTACGTGATCTTGAAGCATGTCTGATAGGTCCTCTCTTCTTAAATGCGCCTGTCTCGACCTCATCGTTTCTTCGTACCTGGATGCCATGGCTTCTGAGTCAAGATCCAATTCACTGGGATCCAATGTCAATTCTACCGCGCCATCCTTCTCCGCTCTGGCAGCATCGCTAGGACCACCAGCGCTGATCGCACCGCCGCGACGAGCAGCTATGACAGAAGGTGGCGCCTGACCACCTGCTGCACCTGTCATATCATATACATGTGTGCTGCCCATCATACTGGCACCAAGACCTTCCGTTCTACGTTCTTGCAATACTGTGTACAACGCGGGTGTATCACCACCCTCCATCTCGCTCTCTATCTTCTTCTTCCTCAGCTCGATCGTCTCCGGTGTCTCTAAGCCCGCCGGAATCGACGTGATTCCGCTGGGTGTGATCAGACCCTCGGCACCTGGTGTAACCAGACCGCTCGCGTCGCCGTCCGCGTCCTTGCCATCGTTCTCACCAGCCTCACCGCCCTCCTCGCCATCTTCGTCATCGTCTTCGTCACCGGACGATTCCGACTCAGGTTCACCCCACATGCCGCGGTCTACCTCTTCGTCCATGGCATCTGCGCCGGACGTTCGTGAGATGCCAAACACGTCACCATAGAGTGGTCGTCCGGTCTCGTCCACTGGTGGTTTGCCCCAACCTCCTGCGTGATAACCGAATGCGCAACCTTCTGGAATAGGTGCGTTCAAACCGGGTATCTTGAGGTTTGGGTAACTCGGCGGCGGGCCATATCGTTGCATCGCGATCAGCCACGGTGGCGGTACTTTCTGACAGTTCGGGCCCACTGGCATACCCAGCGCCGTGCGTAGTTCGTCCGACAGCTCGCCCGGCTTCTTTTCTTTCAGACGTGTTTCAAACTCTTTGCCCTCGTAGTAGAGATCGCCGTGGATTGTCATGCGCGGCTTCGTTTGCCATTTGAAGAACGCGTCGTGCAACTTCTGGTAGTCGATGTCGATTTTGCCTAGTTTCGGTCTCGCTCGTTCCCGCATCTTCGCCTTCAGTGTTCGCGTGTCGTCGCGTTCCTGTAGGCTAGCACGCATTTCTGTGATGCCGGTGCGTTTGATGAAATCGGGCAAGTCGAACGGTGGCTTCTCGATACCACGTTTGCCCTGCAGGTATTTACGTTTGAAGCACCAGTGTCGTGGTACCGGTACCGTATTTCGATGCGCTTTCAATTGCACGAGCAGCTTTGGGTCTCGTGCGGTGACATCATGCATCTCCACGACATCAGGACGACCTACTAGTTGCTTCAGTTCCGCCACGCTCAACCGCGTAAGCCTCTTCAGCTTTCGCTTGGATAAACGCGGTGCACCATTCTCACCTGTGCCTTGTTGCTGCTGTTGCTGATTCGTCTCATCGTCGAAATCGTCCAATAACGGCACTTTGTTCGGTACATTGCCGGTGGTCTGTATACTGGTCACTGGTGGATATTGTCCGATTGGTTCACCCTTGTCGGCCGCGTCGTTTGGACTCGGTTCAGGCTCCACTAGTTTGAAAGCCTCAAAAACTCGAGCGAATTGACGATACATTGGTTCTAAGTCATTGATGCTTGGTATCTCTTGTATGTACTCTATTTCAGGCATATCCTCCTTGTTCTTTGTTTCCTCTGTACTATCCTTTTTCTGATCTATGTCTTTCTTCTCCAAGTTATGCCTCTTCCTCTTTGACTTTTTCTTTTTCTTTGTTTTACTCAATTTGCCATCTGTCTTCTCTGTGGATGGCTCTATCTCTGTTATAACATCTTCTATATGAGAAACATCTTCGCCATCATCTTTTGGTGATTTATTCGCAAGTACAACATCATTGGGGTCACCACCTACTTCCTTAGCTCTCTCTGTTTTGAACGCTAAGGCTTGTTCCAATGCAGCAGGAAGCTTGACCGAACTACTGTCTCCTTCTCCAACTCCATTGTCGACATTTTGATTTTGTAACTCTGATGGAGGAGTTACTTTTAGACTCAACAGACTAGGTAAAGTTTTTGTATCCATATTGAATATCTAAAAAAAAAGACTGACTTAATATAAATTTAATGAAGTACAAATTTGTAGTTTATGATACAAAATTATTTACTTTATGTTATTATTTACTTTATATTTGTTTGATACGCAAACTAAAATAATGCAGGTTAATTGTTAAATCAGATTGCATATTTTGTAACCCTTTCTTGCATAATACAATGTGTACCTATCTCTTGGTTATTACAATCAACTAACCTAACTTTATAAAATATTAACATTGAACCATTAATTCGTTCACATTATTAAAACCAAGTCAATTTATCACGAATATAGAAATTGATACGCGTATTAAACAATCGGTATAAATTAGCCATAAATAATAATTTACATGTTCAATATATAATTAGATGCATTCAGTATCTAACCGCTCATTAAAGTTTCTCTTTCCTCGCTGCAGCCATTTTGAATGACATCAGAAGCGAGAATGCAAGAAGCGGTTTAGAAATATACTGCCGATTACAAATGTCACTTTATAAGCAATATTTTACTTTAATGTAATTTGTAAGAATTTTTAACATGGATTTTGTTATCAACCAAAAATTTTGCAGCGAAGGCTAGGCACTTCAAGTGATTGTAATATTAAATACACACTTGTAAGTTGAAACAAGTTTTTATCAATGTTAGGTTATATGCGAGTTCGTAACAAAGCATCATGCTTAATTCGGTTTCCGGATTGGTATCGTGTTCATCGTGAACTGGAATGTTCACAAAACAAATCGAAAACAAATCTACGATGTACACGGTGCTAACCCGGAAAGCAATCAAGCATTTTTCCACATCGCAGGTTTAAAATATGAATCAAGCGTCACGTTTACACATACCTTAACAATGGAACCACCACATAAATCACAAATTTGGAAGGCGTGTTATAACGAATATAACAATTTAATATATATGCGACAAATGCAAATTTCTTTATATTTATCAGTGTTCGAAACGATTAAAACAATTCGTTCACACACGACGTGAGAGAAGAAATTTTTTCTTACACACGTCTAAAATTGTCACTAGAGCTTTCAACCAATCGATTTCTATTCTGTTTGCAATATCGTGTTTTTCATGTAGCGTGCAAAACCGTACTGTAGAGTACTGCCATCTAGAGGAAGATCACGAAAATTCGAGTCTGGAGTTTTCACATTATCGCTTGTAGATGGTCCATAATTCAGTTGATTTATAGACTGCTATGGATGTGGATGTGCTACGAGTGTACGAGACTTTACGAAATACGATTACTTGAACGCATACGAAAAGGTTGGTTTACTCATAATATATCATCAATAACATTAATAATCTGCTTAATTAATTTATCGTCGAGGAGAAACGCACAGAGATAATTGTCGATCTTTTTTTCGATTATGCCGAGCTCGATGTCGTTATTCTGATATCTCGCGTCGCCGGATAATTTTCGTGCTTGAAAAAAAAAAACAAAATGGAAGAAACACAAGATATTTATGGATCACACGTTCCATGTTACACGTATATCTGTCGTGATGGCGTTTCGACAAATATGAAAAACGCGTTTTATATATTTCGAATGATGCTTTATTGCATAAAATGCATATTCGGAGTATTTACTAATCATGTCATTTCTCATTCATCTGACGCTATTTTGCTCGAGTAATTACCTGTCAATCGTTTTCTAAATCGTTTTGTAGAATGAGCAGTGAATAATACAAGTAACATTTTTGAAGCCTCAATGGAGAATCACATTCAGGACCATCTGTATTCACGTTTCGATTAATTCGCTTCTTAGATTAAAGTACGAAGGTCGTTGTGGTGGAACACTTTTAAGCAATTGGTGACGTCACTTGTACGTCATTTTCAAAAATAACAAGTGTAACTATGCGATCTCGTGTTCTTTCATTCGATAGCGTTATCCATTCACTTTTAAATTTAATTATATGTAATTAGTGTCATAACAGAAAAAAATTTAATTTATACTGAAAAGCGTGAAAAAAGACATGATGGGGCTCTGATAATCTCCCTTGATGGAAGAAGGTAGGAAAAAAAATTGAGTTAAATTTAAATGATCACACATATACTATTAGCTTAGTGCTACTGAACCTTCTCCCGTCTGTCGCAGAGTTATTTTTATCACACACATGTCACATGTCTCTGACAAATTATAGAATCTTTGTTACACAATGTAGCAAATTCGATACTAACTATCGATATTACTAACGATATCGACTAGATATTTGTAATATTATATATATCTTTTTTTGTGATTTGTTAAGTTAATTAAATTAGTGAAATATTAAATGAGTATTTATGCTTTTTAATAAATATCATACATTAGTCAGATTTTATAGTACATTCTTTTAACTTTGTGTAAATATCATTCTTGGAGATATCTATACCATATATCATCACATGTATGCATACATGTATATGATAAAAATATAGTATATCTTAGTAGTTACAGTTGTTATAGTAGTTATAATAGTACAGTAGTTAATTGTTGCATGACTATGCACAAATTAAGACATCCGCTGTTGTTTATCTTTCAAGGCGGGTGGCAATTATCATATTATGACGTACGAGAAGAAGTACATGCTCGAGTAGAAACTGCAGTTTTTAGCAAGTTATAATATTTTTTCACACATATCACATACACATATACATGCAGGCATGCATGTGCATATACGCACATGTGTATATAAACACAGTTTATATATATTTATTTAAATTTATAAAATAAAATGAATCTGATTCCATATAATAATAAATAAAATTTTCCGTGTAAAAATCTCTGTTATCAAAATCTGAATCTGCCCTACTAAAATGCTTAGAGTAGATTGCTACATTGCTATTATTAATCTTAAATAGTAATATCACAGATAAAATGTTCCGTTGTCATATAGTCACATGCTAAATGAAAGATGAGATTAGATTAGAGACACTCAGTTGAGTGGACAAAGTCACTTATTTACTATTCTATTTTCATCACTTATACATGCTTTCCTACATAGTAACAATATAACAAAAACAGCATGTGTATCAAACGATGTATAATATAATATCTTATACAGTTGAACAGAAATTTGTCGATATAGAAATATTTTTAGTCATGTATGTCATATATTTTATGTCATGTATTTTAAACATATATGTCAGCTTGTAAACAGCTTGCTAAAAGAGATTACTTAATCGCCATATGCAATCGCCACGTATACATTATGTTTCAAAACATAAACGAGTATATGATTTTTTTTATTTATGTAAGGATCACTAAGTTTGCAAGTCACTATCGTGACTTGTATGAACATTTATTAATGTTTGATAACCTTGTATCGCTGTAGACTATATTTTAGAAAGTTTTCATCTCATTTCAATGTTATTTACGCTAACTATATATATCATGAATTCAAAAGTGTTTTACATCATAAAAGATATATCATAAAAGATAAGGTCTTGAGTGTTTTATATAATTATATAATTGTAGTTTCTTTTTTGTATGCTTATAAGATATATGTCAAGATTGGGATGTTTTAAATTATAGTTCTATTTTATAAAAAAAAGACAAAACGTATGTGTTAGTTCTTTCAGTTTTTATACTTTAAGCCCTTCAAGCTGTACTTAATTCGATTCTGTTTTTTATTTATCCATGTAATATATAAAAAAATCATTTTAATCTTTGCATCTATTTTTATGTTTTAGTGATAATAAACTATGAATACATTTATTATATCTAATATATATTTATTAAATTGATTATTAAACTATTTATTTGATTTGACTTAATGATCTTTTTTTATTAACTTTTTAAAGTTAATAAACTTTTAAAGTTTTAAACTTTTTAAAATTTTCTTTTTAAATATAATCCGAAGTTACGTAACAGAGGTTTCTTTTTTAATAATGAATTAATTTTAATTGTGTGGAAAGAAAGGGGAATAAGTTATTTACTTCTTGAAAGACATCAAGTGATAAGATAAGAGGATTAGATAGAAGAAGAACAGGAAAGCATAGAAAAGCTTGACGAGATGAAGTCTGTTTGCAGCACTGCGTTACATCAGTCTGCGTGCATACGTGACGCACAGGAGACGCGAGACGATTTGCATGAGAACTCATTATAAACGAAGCTAAGTGCGCCATAGATGAGCGGGCATGCTGCAGCCCGTCCAGCCGAAAGTAGTCAAGCTGTCCTCGAGCGCCTTCAGGTGCTACCGATCTCCGGAAAACACGCAGTGACGTTGTCTTCATCAGCTGCACCAATGGATAAGCAAAATGCAGCTGTCGCGGTAAGATAATATGTTTAACCAGTTCCACAACTTGCTTTAAACGGAGTTTAAAGCTAAATGACCGATGGTTAAAAGCAATAGTATATGCGCATATACTATTGTATATACGCATATACTATTGCTTTTAATACTATTGCGCATATACTATGTAACTTTTGTAGTTCAAATTTCTCTCAGTCTTCATCAGTTTATCTCCGTAGTCTCTTAGAAATATTTCAGAGATTCTGAAATGTTTTGGATAACTCAAATTGTACATAATACACTGCTGTATGTTAAATATTATTAAAAATAAATGTTATTAAAAAGCACAACAGTGCGAAGAGTTAGCATTCGATTATTATGCCTTGTTATTCACAATAAATTTTACATATTGATACCGTAACTATATTGTAAGTTATCGTAGGTAATCGATAAATGTTTCCATATATTATAGGACAAAGAGGACACACAAATGGATAATATTACGAACGCCCAAAGAGTTTGGACGAGCTTGGTGGCCGGTGCGATAGCAGGCGCGTTAGCAAAAACTACAATAGCACCGTTAGACCGTACGAAAATAAACTTTCAAATCTCAAAACAACCCTACTCGGCCAGAGCGGCGATAGATTTCTTAGTCAAAACTATGCGTACCGAAGGCCTCTTCAGTCTCTGGCGTGGAAACAGCGCTACCATGGTTCGAATTGTGCCATATTCCGCGGTGCAATTCACGGCGCACGAACAGTGGAAGAGAATCCTGGGAGTGGATGGTTCAGAAAGGTACTTGTGTACAATGAGACAAACATACTGCAGTTGTTCAGCGGAAAAAAATATCATACTCTCCTGCACAGAAAAAATTGACGAAAGTTATTTAGCTTGTTTCTTACTATTTTATTATTTTAAATAATGGTTATCTTCAACAAATAATAATTTCTAGATAATAGTCTAAAAATATCACAATCATCACAAATTGTAAAGAAGTTTATTATCATCAAAAAAATAATTTATTCTCTTTACAAGAATACTATAAAACTTATATTACATGTAGATGCTATAACCGAATGTTCTTTTTTTATTTAATATTCTTGTTTTAATTTTCAAAATTTTTAGTTAAAATATTAAATTAAGATTCAAAATATACTTTAAATAAGTTTGATGCTTATAATGGATCTACAGATATATAAACTTATGAAATACTTAAAACATTTACTCTAGTACAGTATGTAATATTCTGTGTACCAAGATCGCCACTCTGCATCCGGATTCACTGCTTTAATTATTGATGTGCTGCAAATGTTTGCAGTAAAAAGCCATGGGTGAGCTTTCTTGCCGGTTCTCTCGCGGGTGTAACTTCGCAGACTATGACTTACCCACTGGATATGATGAGGGCTAGGATGGCGGTGACTCTAAAGGCCGAATATAAGACGTTGCGGCAGGTATTCTGGCGCATCTATAAAGATGAGGGTATCCTGGCATATTATCGCGGCTTCAACGCCACGATTCTCGGTGCCATTCCATATGCTGGTTGCAGCTTCTTCACGTACGACATGTTGAGAAACTTATTGCCTGGTGAGTTGCGTGATTCATCCACGAGTTATACTTGATACTCGGTATTTACACGCAAAGCAAAACAAAGCAGTAAACACGTATAAAATAACGTACACTCGTGGGTGAAAACGGGGGGTCTGTTTCCCCGTTATTGGGACTTGGGTATTTACTCTTTAATAGCCCGACAACGGCGACGTATTTCGAAGCGTGCGTGCTTCATGTTCGATGATGATGGCTGACGTGTCGATGAACAGCGCACACGGTGGCTATTCCGGGATTCTCAACCTCGCTCATTTGTGGTGGCATTGCTGGAGTGGTCGGTCAGACGAGCAGCTATCCACTGGACATCGTGAGGCGAAGAATGCAGACATCGGCGGTCAAAGGACAGCATTATCACACGACTAGATCGACCATCATGAAAATCTACACGTAAGTATCATACAAGTTGCGAATTAGAGAAGTTAGACGTAATGTATGGATTTTTTAATAAATACCCTGAAGTATATATTTTTGCTATTTATATAGCAAACACTGTTACTTATTTGTAAATATAGTAAAGTACAAAATTATTAAGTCTTGTTAAACTATTATTCTAATATTTTATATTTTATAGGGAAGAAGGAATAATGGCATTTTACAAAAGCTTAAGTATGAATTGGGTCAAAGGTCCTATCGCAGTTGGAATCAGCTTTGCCACGCATGATACGATCCGAGATACACTTAGAGAAATTATTGCCGAAGATATAACGTAAAGTTAACAGAATGAAGTATAGCGTTTATAAAACAAGCACCATATGTCATCTTCATCATTTAACGGTTGACAGTCTTTATCGATGAATATGCATGCCAACATTAGTTTCTTAAAAAACTGTTCAACGAAAAAAGAAGCTCTAAAAGCACAAAATATTATTAATAATAAAGCGTTATATTACAGTAGATATATTGTAATAATAATATAAGAAAATAGTATTTTGTTATTTTGAGAGGGCATTTCTGAAAGCAGAAAGTCATTAGTACAAATTGTTAAATATTCTGTACATATTGTTATTTCAAAAGCTATAGGGATCGTTGAAGTTATATAACAAGATATATGTATACGTGCATGTGCGAAAAACAATGGTTTGTTCTTTTTTGAAGAACTTTTGAACTAATGTATACTAGTGCAATAAATTAAAATGAGAGAAAGAGTATATCTGTTTCACTTCAACTTATCGCACTAGTTCAGAAATCCTTCGAAAAAGAACAGGCCTATTGACAGGCGTTCTCAATCCTCACGTTGACAGCCTGTACATTTGCAAGGAGATATTTCTAATTTGCTATGGAAAAAATCGTCTTGCAAATATAAAAATAAATATGGTATGATAAAAACGATCAAGTTGATATATTTTGCGAAAGTCATGTGCTCGAACGTAGTACTTTTAAGGTACTTTTCATTTTGAAAATGACAATATTCTAGAGAATGTTCGAGAAAAAAATGATGACACATATAGGTCATGTATAATATATTATATATTTTCCAAGATAGAAAAGAGAATTGCGTTTAAAATGGCGCTATTATTTGATCATTCGTTTTATTATATTTTATTTAGTTGTTAAATTTATAACGCGATCAATTAACAGCTTTTGTATCATAATTATTAACAACTCAATATAATATCTTGAGCAACTACTAGTTGGTAGCAACAATAAAATTTAAAGCTAAAAACATCATGAAGAAAAAAAATGTAAAATTGTACAAAGAATAAAAAGATTAATAAGGTTCATAATTATAGTTCTTTTATAATTTTTAAAAAAGGTTTAATTGGAATATGAAATTATAATTGATCAAAGGCAAAATTGTAAAGAAAAGATTAATTTAATAATATGATTATATCTGAGTATTTTGTTTAACGAAATACTTTTAATATATTGTACATACTTATAAGTGCTTTACTATTTTTGCTAGGAATCAGAGGTATGAAATTAATGTAATGAAAAGTGTAGAAAGAAATTATATTCCATATTGATAAAAAAAAATAATTTTTTTATTTGTAGCATTTTATGCTTAAACAAATTTGTCCAGAAACTGCTACCTCTTTGATATGTATGTATATATATTGTATATAATACACACATACATATTTTTTTAGTCATTTTCATGATTTTCTAGCAGATATTTCTGGAAATAATGTTAATTACAACGTACGTATTATAAATATGATTATTTGGTTATTTATTTCTTTGAATTTTGTAGCTTGTTTGCAATAATTATATTAATTACTGTGTGGTCATTTAGTAAATATAAAAATTGTATACAGTAGGTATAGTTTCTTTTTACTTTATCCAATTTTGTAATTTCTACAGTTACCTAAATATAATTCTTTCCAAATATTAAATTTTAGTTCTTTTCTTTCAAAATCACACGATTAAGTTGTATTATATATGTGTAATATGTTATATGAAATTTGTAATCTCTTTTGTGTCATTAACTATTGATGACTAGTTTTATTGTATAAGGCTGTGAATTTAATACAACTGAATAAAGGAACCAATTATTTTTATTAAGAATATCTTTAAAAAATTGATACACATACTTCGATATATGATAAAATAAATAAAACTACTTGCATGTGTGAAAGTATCGATATTGAATGTTGAAAGGAAAGTATTTGTGTCACAATTAAGTCAATAAAGACAGAAAATTTCGGTAAAAAGTATTTTATTGAAAATTTACTAGCCTAGTAATCATTTACTATTTATCATGCTTCGCGTATAAATTAATTCAGTCAGAGTATTTATTTACAATTAACGTTATTCACAGAATAAGTTTCTCTTTGAAATAGAGCAGAATTACGTTTTTCATGAATTTTTTTGATGTACGATATCGCGAATTTATAACCATATTCCGTTATGTCTATTCTCTTTAGCTGTGTTATATCCAACGCCCTCAAAGTGAAATATTAGTATATAGTCATGCATTGAGGGGAAAGATCATAAAGACAAAAATAAAAAAAAACCAGCTAAAAAGAGTAGACTTGATATAATTTATTACTGACTCCTTACACAATTTATTATGTAATGGTCAGTACTGTTACTTAGGCTTGGTTTCCTGATCGTTAACATATCTTATATAAATCTCTCTTTCATCATTACCACCAGGTGGAATTTCAGCTTCGTTCAAATATGATACACCTATCGCGAGTACAGAGCCATCGTGGCTAAAACTAAGTGCAGCTACGCCAGCATTATACCGGTGAAATTGGCACAGACGTTTCTTGTTAAAACCATCCCAAATATTAACATAGCCGTCCGAACCACCAGTAGCAAATGTATTGTATGCAGAATGAAAACTAATAGCATTCACTGGATAGATATGCTCCACATTATTATCCTTGATTCTATGACACTTAAACGCATATTTCTTTTTTTGAGCCTCTGGCATTGTATCAAGGTATTCAACAGCAACTCGACCTTCTATGCTACTCAATACATAGCCCTGGAACATGATAAACAAAAAGGGAGTAAAATGTGAAAAAAAATGTGTCTAATAATGTGTGCATAGTGTTTGACCACACTAATGAGAAATATCATTACTTGTATTTTTTTTTCTAAAAGTTGTTTTTGGTTATCAATTACAATAACAGCATATGACATATATACAAAAGTGCAGAGATCAGAATTACAAGATTTTTTAATATATACTGCAGATAAAATTATATTAAAAAGTGATATAACTGAAAATATATAATTAAGAATATAATGTAAAATTTCTTATTAATTAGGCAAATTTTTATTAATATTATCAAATTGAAGGAATTACATGACAATTTTAAAAAATAAAGCACCTGTTCGTTAGGAAAGCCTTTGATGCAGCGTGTTTGATATTTCAGACTACTTTCTCGTCTTTGAAACATGCCTGCCATATTTCTTAAATCCCAAATACAAACTTTTCGTTTTGCAGTTCCTACTACAAACTTGTCTCCACAAACAGAGAGAGCAAGAATCACATCTGGTTGCAAATAACTGCCCACACATGTAGGTGATCGTGGATCCCACAATTTTACTGCAGCATCCCAACCACCAGTCAATATTGCATTCACTGCTGCACAGAACTCAATTTTTCTGATTGCCTTATCATGTGTACCCATTACTGTTTCTGTAAATAAATCCTATTTTTTAGTATATATAATTTATAATTATAATGATACATGTAAAATATCTAAACAGTGAAATCTAAAATAAGAAAAATATAACAGTACCAGTGTTACTATTTATATCAAACATTTTCAGTGTACTTCCTAGACCACCACTATATGCATGAACAGCATCCTATAAAAGATAATTTTACATTATAAGGATATTATTATAGAGAGAATTTTATGTCATTTTTATCTTATTCTGCAGCTTTTACTTACCTGAAATGCGACATCTAATACTGGTAAATCATGATTGTATTTCATTCGCATTGTATTTGCATGAATGTCATACAATCTTACTGTACTGTCCCATGATGATACTAATAGGAACTGTGTGGAGTTTGGTCCAAATTCTACTGCAGAAATCGCATCTGTCGGTGGTGATTTTATTTTAAATTCAGTCCTAGACTCCATTCTATATAAAAAAAGACAAGTACTTGATTATAAATTGCCACAAATAGAATTGTTAGCTTTGACTAGTTCACTGAAATATTTTTTTCTTTTATATATCATATAATATTTAGCTATATTATTAGCTACAGAAATAAAAATAATTTATTAATGAAGACTAATCGCGCATATTAACACAAATACTTATATTTATGCCAATATAAGTCTTTTGCAAACATAACATAACCTATAAACATATTCAACCGGTTTATACTACGTACTCACTCAAAACAAAGTTGTGTTAAAAAGTGAACTTTAAGTTCTTGTACTCCCGTATCAGAAGTATATATTTTTCAGTATAATTGATAGAATATATGTCAGTCTTTATAAATTTACGTATATATTATGTGGATATGTATATACATACAATAATCGTACCACTCACGATCGGGAATCAAACTGCAGATGTATATTAGAACAAATTTTAGTAGCGCTTTATGGGCAACAAAATTCCTCTTATCTTGATTGGTCGAGAATTATAATTCTCAATAGGCGATTTTAATGTGACCTGGACTACGTTCCAAAATCCACTGCCACTACTGAAAATACATAATTTGTGTCACGTATACTATAGACTTTCAGTGCTGGCAGTGAATATCGGAACGCAGTCCTCATTATTGGTCTGTTCTTTTGTTCTGCACCGCTGCGTTGTCTTATACGAGCTTGATATCCATTAGCAACTAAAAAGAACAAACCCAAAGACTGCGCACTGCACTGATCGTACTTTGCCATCTCGTTATATATGACGTCATGATCTTGTTGTAGAACCTACGTGTTTCGGCGGTGTTAGTTAATTTGAGTCACGCCGACGTTTTTTACCAATCAATTACAGCTGTATGTTGAAAATGACGTATCATTTGTTATTCATATTGTCACATGAATTCAAAGAACATATAGCTTCGGATTTACACGTAACTAAACTCTTTCTATTTTCGCAGGTAAGTGAATCCAATTTACACGATATATTCTTTTGTCGGCAAACGAGCTGCTCATTATTGAGGCTGAAATCAAGTTGAAAGTTTGCGGTAATAAGTCTTTTCTAAATTTATGATAAGGAAAATAAGCATATACGTTTATGAGGTGAATATGACGCGAGTAGTCTGGAAACTGCAAAGTTAATTGCCTCTCTGTGACGTTTCGTGTGCATTAAATAGATACATAAATATAAATATAACATATCAATGCATTAATATAAAAGATATGATAATGAAAGAGATTAATAAATAAAATTAGCTAGTAATTTTTTATGATTTATAGGTTTGATGCATTGCTGTCATTGATAATGTTCCATGATACATCACACTGAAGGTTGAATGTAGTCTGTATATGTATGTAAAGATATAAGCTGTACAATGTGGTCCTTTTTTTCAAAAGATCCTGCCAAAGATTTCCCATATGATATTGGGGAACCTATTTTAGGCCTGGAAAATAAAAGTATCTGGACATTACACAGAGCCAAGAGAAAGGTAATTTGAGATATAATAATAATTAAATTATACAAATATCACATATGTGTATATACCATGCAATATTCTGTTTATTTTATTAATCTAACAGCAAATAATCTAACAGCAGAAATATTATATTAAGTTTTTCTACAGGGTACCACAGCAGGAGAAGATGTTTCAGTTTTTGTTTTTGATGTTAAGAATGGAGGAGAGCAACAGTTGGACATAGCCCGTTCGGCAGTGAAAAGACTTAAGACACTGAGGCATCCAAGTATACTTGCATATCTTGATAGTCTTGAGGTATGACCTGTATCGTATTTTTATACTAACATAATTATAACTTAAAATAAAAGCATAACTGTATAAATATAAATGTGTAATCTGCATTTTATTACTTTAGACTGACAAAATGGTTTACTTAGCAACAGAACGTGTAGAGCCATTACATAATCGTTTGACACGGAAATATGATTCTGAGAGTGGTTTTAAGAATGAATTGTATTTCTCCTGGGGTATATTTCAAATTACAGTATGTATAAACAAGTATGCACATCATATATCAGAAATTTCTAAGCAATGCATAATACTGAATACAGGAAAAAATCTATAATATATATTACTTCAATTTGATGGCAGAGAGCACTTAACTTCTTAAATAATGATGGGAATTTACGGCATAATAATGTCAATCTATGGACAGTGTTTGTTAATGAAGAGAGCGGAGAATGGAAACTTGGTGGGGTTGAGTACATGACTGCTGTGGATACGCTTTATAATTTGTTACCTTTTACTTTCCAAGTATATCAACCACCAGATGCTAAAGAAAATGAAAAGCCAGTAACTAAATGGTAAACTTTATATTATATTAATTTTATTAAAACAAATATATTTAGCCACATAATAAAACTCACTGCATATTTACATCTACTTGATAAAGAAGAATATTAAAAACAGTAACTTTTCTATCAATCCTTGCACTTTAATAAATATCCTATAATTAGTTGAGTAAGTTTTTCATACTTATTATTATCCTAAAATACCAGCTTCTATATGTAAACGTTTAGGTTTAATATTAACACTATGAAACTGATGTGAATAAATAAAAAATAGCTCAGTCGACATGTGGGGACTCGGTTGCCTGATTTGGGAAACATATAATGGTGTGCTCAACACCATATTACAGTTAAAAAATACAGACAAAGTAAGTTTGCTATTTACTATTTTATATTACAGCTATTTATTACTTATATTATAAGTAATGATATATCATAGTAATAATAATACAGCTATTTATTACTTATATTATAAGTTTATGATATATCATAGTCTTAAATTATTCCAAGATTCCGAAGCAAATAATGGCAGTCTACCGAGAATTAACTGGCGGTAATCCAGAAGGAAGACCGAATCCTGCGGATGTGATAGCTCGTTGTCGCAGTAACGGCGGCTTCTTCAAGAACGATCTCGTGGATGCTCTGTTGTTCCTAGAGGAGATCCAGATGAAGGAAAGGGGCGAGAAAGGACGATTCTTTGCGCAATTAGCAGCCCAACTGGATTCATTTCCTGACGGTGTTGGTCGATACAAAATCCTACCGCAGTTACTGGCCGCCTTTGAATTCGGGGACGCCGGTAGTGCGGTATTACCGCCGCTATTGCAACTAGGTTGTCAATTACCCGACGCCGAGTACCAGCGCCGTGTGGTGCCGTGTGTTGTGAAGCTCTTTGCGTCAAACGATAGAGCGACGAGATTGCGTTTGCTGCAGCAACTAGATCGTTTTGTCGATCATCTACAATCAGCAACCGTTAATGAGGCCATCTTCCCACAGGTAATAGTTTCATCGATTAGAAACTTGAGAATATATTAAACATTAAAAAACAATAAGAGATTAAAACAATATGATATAAATACTTGTGAGCAAATTTAATTAGATAATAAGAATCGTATAAAATATATTTATAAAAGAGTATTCTAATTGTATTGCGTGTTATATATATATATATATTTCTTATAGGTAGCAAGAGGTTTTCTCGACACGAATGCAGCTATCAGGGGTCAAACGATCAAGTCGGTCGTATATTTAGCGCCAAAGTTAGATTACAATAATCTCAATGTCGAGATCCTAAGATACTTCGCGAAGCTTCAGTCGAAGGATGAACACGGTGGTATTCGTACAAATACCACGGTTTGCCTTGGAAAAATTGCTCAACATCTTCACCCACAAATTAGACAGAAGGTAATGTCGATTGGCACTTGGTACTCCCAGCTGTGTTCAACCGATAACTACTATTCTTCTTCTTCTTCTTCAATGGATATCTGTTCCACTTGGGACACAACCACTTGTTCTTTCATCTTCCTATCCCCCTTTTTTCCAGATTACTTTATTTTTGGATTTCTCTTCCTATTGATCGGGGTAGGTTCTTCATGGAAAAGTTTTTTCTGTGTCTTAAAAAAATGTGACTTTGTACTAATTCAGTTCAATGCCACAATATTCGTAAGAATATGTAGTTATACAAAATATAAAATGTAGGAAGCAGTTTTATTTTGTAACTTTTCATTATCGAGTCTTCTACGCTGTTTGGTTTAGTAATATTTGTTAAGTTACCAAAAATTATCATTTTTTAGGTATTGATTGGCGCTTTTATCCGTGGCACTCGCGACCCGTTTCCACCGGCCAGAACAGCGAGTATATTGGCTCTGGCTGCAACGCAACAGTACTATCTACTGCAGGAAGTAGCTAATCGCATCCTACCGGCTCTGTGCCCACTCACCACAGATGTGGACAAAGGAGTAAGGGACAATGCGTTCCGAACCATTCGTGGTTTTCTGTCTAAACTCGAGAGAGTTTCAGAAGACCCCGGTCTTCGTGAATCAATGGGTAAATGCGCGTTTTTATTTTTATAACATTTGTGCTAACTGACGCAGCTAGCCAATACAACATATTAATATTACGAATATAAAATAAAAGTTTACATTTCTTTAATATTAAATAAAAATTTACGATACATTTTTGCGAAAAAGGTTTAAGAAGAGAAAATGTATTAAAATACTAAAATAAATGTATTAAAATACACTGTATTAAAATTAATTCGAGAATTATGTTATATTTGGAATTTTTGTAGAGGCGGACGTGAATACCGCGACGCCCAGTCTTAGTAATGCTGCGGCTACGTGGGCTGGATGGGCTGTCACCGCAGTCACAGCGAAGTTCTATCGTAGTCAGTCGGATACACCAAAATCATCAAATGCCCAGAACACATCTAGGATCTTATTGAATAAACCTGCTTCTTTAGGTTTGCATTTGTTGCTTTTATTGTTAGATTGCTTGAGACATTTTTTCTTTCTATTTTTTGATTATATAAATTATATAAAAAAGAAAAACGATGCGTCTATTCTTTAATAACGATACTTCCACTCAACTTCAGAACAAGCCAGCAGCTCGCAGAGCAGTGCAAGCACAACTGCCACGACGAGTAGCGCTACGAGCACGACCTCCCTCGATCCCGACTATGAGCACGATACGCAAAATACGCAGAATACGAATTCCGATTGCGATTGGGATTGTTGGGATGCCGATAACTGGGGGGACATGGAACAGCAACCCGCTACTACGCAATCGTCGGTGCCGTTGAATCTAGCCAGTAGTATATCACCGTCCGGCCACTCCCCCAAGGCCAATGAACAGTGGACCAGCCTTGAAGAGGAACCGGTTTGTCACTTGGCATTTTACAAAACTTTTATATGCTAAGTCAAGGTTCTCACTGGTTATCCTATCCAACTCGATACGTGTTAGTGCGTGCGATACACATGTGACGCAAACTTGCTCCTAAGCCTCCACGTAGCAAAATCGCTCAACCGGTTTAGAGCTGATTTCTCCTTAATAAAAATATCAAAGTACTTATAGCTTAGGTCACAAACAATCGAAAATAAAAGATTCTTCGCAAGCTAAAAACATCAGGTAGACATTTTTATTTAAAACTTGATAATTAGATATTTGATATCAAATAATTAATGATAGTGGAGAGAATTTAAGTTTTCTAAATAAATTTTTGTTAATTTTAACTTATATAAAAGTGCTCCAGAAGAAGTTAATTGCAGTACATAATTCGTGGAATAGTCGGTATATATAAATACAAGTACGTTTACATAGATAAAAAGTGAGATAATAAGAAAAGAATGGTTGTGGTTAACAAGTATTTTGATATCGTTGTCAGCAGTATGTATAAACTTTTGTATATTACAGGAGGAAGAAGCAGCCCAAGGTGTTCAAGAAAAAAATGATTCTTCCGAAGTAGGATGGGAAGATTCGGAGTTTCAGCCTTTCGAGGACGTTCAACCTATAGAACAACCAGGTATATTTGATTTGTTTCCAGAATATCATCTTGAAAATGAAAAATCTATCTTACTAAATTTATATCTACTAACCAACAATTTTTTCTTATAATAGGCGTTCCTAGTGGAAATAATAAATTTGAAGAAGCAAAGAGGAAAAGAGAAGAACGCAAATTAGCTAGGCAAAGGCAAATGGAGGCAAAACGAGCAGTAAAATTGCGAACCAATCCAGCCGCTAAGAAGATTTAAATGAAATAATTATACTCCGTATATTATTGAACATTCTATTGTACATTAAGCAAATTAAATACTACGAGTAATATGATGAAAGTATTTTCTGTATTTATAACTTATCCAATGTAAGAAAGAGAGAAAGAGAGATTCATCCAAAACTGTTTTCTACAACATTATTTATTAATATTATATGCATGGAAAAATACATATGTTGAGAAAAATTAATTATTTTATTTAACAATTGTTTGTTTTTACAACCTATACAGTCTATGGTATAAAGTTATTGATAAGATATTTTATGTACATATATAGAATCTTTTATGATCAGGATAAATGGTGTATATATATATATATATATATATATATATATAAATTAAATAATTTGAAATATAAAATACTTGTCAGCACATATGTTAACCACATACCAATATACAAGCAAATGTCTATATTATAGATATCTTACAGATAGAGTATACACTTTTTTAAATTTTTATTAATTAATCAGATATTTTCTCCATAAAAATGTAATTGATTGTTATATCTCTAAAACTGAATACTTAAATGGATAAGAATTTCAATTAATCATTATAGTAGATAAGGCCTCGTTAAAATGGTTGTTCTATTGCTATAAATGAGATTGTTCAGTAACATTGTCACCTGGAAACCGCATATTAAGATGGTTTGCATTGTTAGGTTCTCGTTTAAAACCTATATTTTCATAAAATGACACTAAACGGTCTGTGCAATCCAAAGATAATTTATAACAGTGAAAATAGCGTGATAACTGCACTATGATTGTTACTACTAGTTTGCCTAATGATTTTCCTCTATAATTGTTATTAACCACAACATCTTCTAAACGACCTCTCTGTAAGAAATTTTATAAGTATATAATTTATGTATTTCATATCATTCTACCTGCTTTGTTTTAAGAGTAATACAGAAAATACATAGAAAGGTACATACCACACCACAGTTATGAATAAATTTCTGCTCCACAACTAGTGTTGCACAAGCAATTACTTTTCCAGTGTATATGTCCTCAATAACAACAATATAGTAACCACCTGCAGCCTTCATGTTATAGAATCTATCTGAATGATATAAGAATAATGATTATTATCATTTCTTTTGTAAATAGGGGATCAATTTGATGACTTACTTAAAAATTGTTCCTTGGTAACATTTCCAACATCAGTCAATTGAGACAAAAGAACCAAGAAACCTGATGATACAAAATATTTATAACAAATATTTGCATATAGCATATAGTATAATTTTTGCATATTTTCATGTATGAAAAACAATCATATTTTGTGTAAAAGAAAAAATGATATCTAATGTACCTTTTTCATAATCTGTACTGTTTAGAGGTCTTATAAGTAATCCATCTGTAGGTGGTAATGTCAATCTTTCTAATATAGTAGGATTAAAAAGATTAACTTCATCCTTTTTAAGGAATTTTTCCTGTATAATAATTATTCACTGTAAAATTTCAGTAATATTAAGGGATTTTATTACAACTACTAAAGAGTTCCTTTTCTCAGTTTCTTGTGTCTGTTAATTTAATAATACAGTTAATACTTTTGTAGATATATATTTTAAATATCAGAGAATCAAAAAACTAGAAGACTGGAACTATATGAAATTTCATCTTTGTTAAATTGCGATATGTTAAACGTTAACGTATGGATACTTTACCTGTGCTTTACTCATTTTTGTCTTCCAGCCTGGCTGTCACACTTGCTAAACTCGTCGTTAAATCGCACCTGCGACACCTGAGTAACTCGATGACTGAGAGAATGTGAACTTTTAGAATTGTATTCGATCTACTCAAGTACTCGTCAAACTACGTAAGATGGCGCTGTCTTCGAATTTTTCCTTCCATCGGAAGTGCTCGAAAAATAAAGATGTTACTATAAATTTGTAAAGCAATTATTTTGTGGTATTTTTGTAGAAGAAAACTTGTGGGTGGCGCCATCTTATACAGTTTAAAGAATATTAAAAGTTTACAAAAAGCTTCTAGTTTAATTTTCGTTAAATTTTATAGAAGTCGGTAAATTGTGGTTCATGTCTTGACTAAAATCTGTTTTAGCGATTATAAAAAATTTATATATTTTTTTATCGATTTCTTAGAAGCCAATTATTTTCTTCAACACTGCCCGTTCCTTATGTGAGCTTATTTTTGTGTTTCTTGCATCTATGAGTGCGGTCCGGCAACCGCTACAAATGCTTTGAAGCGTTTCTCTTTCTCGTTCTATTTCTCGGATGCAAACAAAGAAAGAGAGAGAAGTAAAAACGCTTCGAAGCATTTGTAGCGATTGATGGACCGCACCCTATTTGTCATGCTTGTAATGCTTATAACGCTCATAGTGGTATATGTATGTACTAATTTCCATCATGGCAACATATAGCGTTAATAAATGGTGTTAGTAAACACGAAATTGGGGAAGGAATTTATATTTTGACAGTTAATATCTTGAATAATGTGTGAAAATAATAGTATATGATTATTATAGGTAAGATATAACTAAACAAGATTATAATGCTAAAATACTTTTCATTATCAAATAATTAATTTATACTCTCACAAACATCATTGTTTAATAAATAAGAAGTAATAACTTATATAATATAACTTAATGAGAAATTATACATATATATAAGTTATTTTAATGATATATGTATATAATCTAATATATTTATATATAATAGATCAACGATGAGTCCCAATAAAAGAAGAATGATTGTGTCAGATGAGTCAAGCGAAGATGATACTTTCAAGCATCGGCGTAGCTCTTTGAGAGTTAATTTAAGTTACTTTACAAATTTTACGGATTCTGGTAATGAATCTCTCGGAAGAACGGAAGCTGAGAATGACGAAAAAAGGATGGACAAATCACAAATTGATAGAAGATCATCAAGGAACAAACATCTATCTAATAGTCATAATAAAACTTTAAGAGCCACAGGTAAAAAAGGCAAATATACTGAAAATAAAGACAGCAAAGTATCTCTACAAGTCAAAGGAATACAATTAAAACATCTTACAATAAATCTAGAGGACATAAGTGCTAAGGAACATGTTCTCGATACAAATTGCAAACGTTTAAAAGATGCCATTTTAAATAAGACTAAAGAAATATTTGATAAACAAGATGAGCTTACTGTAAAAACTACAAAGATATTGGCAAACCAAGAAAATTGCTCTATAAGTAATATGATACATAATTTAAATGCTGATAAATCAACTAGTCAGCATTCTGAAAACAAAAAGTCTATGATATGCAATCAATATATTGATATTGCAAACAAACAACGGAAAGAGAACGAATGCCTTAATATTGATGCTACACCAAAGAATGGTGAAAGACGAAATTCTGAAAAAGTTGTAGATAGATCTAAAGTAACTCCAAAATATTTATTTGCTGAAAAAAGGAAAAAACAAGGATGTAGGATTATAACTGATGTTATTGTGGATAAACCGTTTTCACTATTCCCTCTCAAACAGGTAGATCAGTGTGGTAGTCCTATAATAAGTGGCAGTAATAGAAGACTGCGGTTATCAAGATCACGGTCTAAGTTATTTTCACAAAATCAATCTGAAAATTATAATAAGACACACTTGACTGCATATTCTGATCACAGTATTAATATAGGACAACCTATTACTTCTTCTACTTTTATTGAAAATAATACAAAGAATGAAGAAGGAAGTCATCATGATGAAGTAAACCAGCAAAGTAATATTAATATATCTCAGCCTATGCATACAATAAACACATTAGTATCTATGAATATGACAGAAACGCATGGTGGTATTCAATTTAGAGAGAAATATTCGTCTTTGTCAAGTGGAAATTCATGTAACAGTATTATCACCACAGAGAAAGAGGAATTCAACAATAAAAATATGGAGCAAGATAAGAATGGGATATCTGCACAGGTATTACAGAATATTGATAATTCTTTCAACAAGCTTATTTTGCAGAATAGTAGTACACATTCAGATATTGCAAATAATTCAAATGCAATAGATGTGTGCTCGAAAACAAGAATTATATCCACACAATCAGCATCTGCGGAAGAAATGACATTCACCACAAGGACATGTGATGCATTACAAGCTCAAAAACAGAATAATCAGATCATGAAACAAAATAAGAAACAATGTACCTTGAATCTCTCTGATAATAATTCAATTCGATCGTCTTTAAATGTAAATACATCATTGGATGCAGTAATTGGAAACAGCAAAGAAAAAAATATAAAAGAACTAGATGACCATGGAATTACTGATCGATGCCTTAAAATCACAATTAATGATAAGGAATCAATAATTTTGGATAATCAGCGTGAAAGTACAAATACGAATCGCACTTCGTTGCAAGTGAATACATCGATAGATTCTATATGCGACACGTGGCGAAGGAAAAATAATCATTTTAATGAACAATCTTTGATTGAAAATAAAAAGAATAAACATCCAATAGATTGTGCAAGTACAGATAATCGAACTTCATTAATAGCTGATAATATGCAAGTAAATGATGTAGATTCTTTGGAGAACATCAGTTTAATTGAGAGATTAAGAAATATCACTATGTGGGATAAAGTTCCTCACAACGATAAATGGAAAATTCCCGAAATGGAAAATAAAGAAAGAACGGATATTAAATCTAGCAACGTAATAAGTGCTAAATTTCAAAGTAGTGATTCTGCAAATAATAACAGTAGAGACAGTCATAGCTACGTCGAAGGAACTCCCTATCCAATTAGTCGTTCAGTCTTATTCAAAATGCAATTGAAACATAAAACACAAAATTCAAATAATAATGAAGAGAATAACGATAGAACTAATTCGAATGATTCGTAAGTATATGTATAAATATATAATGAATTATTATACAATATAATTATTGTATTATATAAATTATTGTATTACTAATTATTACAAATCATTAAGTAGGTTGATACAACTTTTTTCCTTATATTACCAGGAATCTGACATCCATCTCAAATAATATGCATATGTCAACTGAAACATCGAAAGAGATTGAAAATGATACAGTTATTTTAAAAGACTCAGCACTCAACTGTAATTTTTCCCTTAATCAAGAGAAACCAACGATTATTGAAGATACACTGAATAAAACAGGACTTGAAATAAATGAAGGGAACACAACTATTTTACAAAACGCAGAATATGTTCCAAAAAAAAGAGGTAAGAGGAAATTATTGCCACTTAACGAAAATTCTCAATTGTGTTCCATCGAGTTAATAAAGGAACATAGCGATACGTCTGAAAAATCTGTGTCTATAAGAAGAAATAAAAAGAAGCTAAAAAAGAAACGACCAAAAAAGAAACCGATAGATCCTAAAAACGATGCAAGTAGTGTTGAGGATAATATTGTAAGCAAACAAGTGTCCTCAGACGACGACTATGATTATGACATACCTGAAAATAAGAAAAAAACAAATAAGAAAACGCAGAAACCAAAGAAAATTGTTAGTAAGAAAATTGTCATTAAAAAATTCGTGAATGAAAATATGTTGAGTATGATAGCAAAAGATAGACAAGATAAGGGAAATCTGTCAACGGAAAACAGAAATTCCATAGACGATTTCGTGGCACATCGAATGATATCCACCCAATGGAATAAGTATAAGTCGCAAAATATCGTTATTGTAACAACTGGATTATCGATAGGGTAATACTAATTTAATCTCTACTTAAAACTCTTTATTATTAATTGAAATAATTGTTGATATTATTTAATAATATAATTTGATAATGTGATATAATTTGATTTATGTATGTAATTGCCTTTATAATACGTTTTATATTTTTTACTTATATAGGGATAAAAGTTTGGTGAAGAGTATCGTGAAATCTCTTGGCATGGCAAAAATGGAGTTGAACGTATCTAGACATACAACTCATGTAGTGAGTACAGGTGTACGTACAGTGAATCTACTTCGAGGGATAATAAGAGGATGCTGGCTTATTACATTAGAATGGGTTCTCAAATCTTTGGAAAGTAATGTGTGGTTGAATCCTGAGGAATTTGAGATGAAACATTTCTCTAAAGCTGTGATGGTAAAGTTTCATGTGTGCATACACGTTTACATGTTTGTATTTATGTATTATGTAGTACATATATATATATATATATATATTGTATATTTTGTAGGAAAATCGGGAGGACAGGCAATTATTTGGGCTGTCGTACATCCCAGAATTGTTCACTGCATGTGGATTCATATACGTAGAGCATAAAACCACGATGCCGTGCGATACGCTTAAAGAGCTTATAAAGACAGCAGGCGGGCATATTACTGAAAATCCTAAGCTCGCTAGAATTACTGTTGGCGCAAATGGTCTGAAGGAAACTTGGGTTATAGATTCTATCACAACGGGTGAATTACAGTCAACTAAACTTTATCAGAAAAAGTGAAGAGAGATCATGTCTTCTATGAGAATATATATATACATTTAAAATTATGTTTACTATAAAGTACAAAAAAGAGATTTGTATATCGAATAATTAACTTCTATATAATTTAGTTGATAAAGAATTATATATTTATAATTTGTATACATGGGTTGTATATACTGTACGTAACTATTAATAAATTTGTAAGAAATTTATGCTTTATGCTATTCATTGTTTTATTTTATATTTAACGAAACAATATATATAACTTTTAAATTGAACAGAATACAAAATATTGAGGAAATACTAGGATATTTTTAAGAATATTTAATTTAAAAACATTTTTATTTCTATGTGATTGGTTTGTTATTTGTCCATATGCGCGTTCAGTTCAATATATGGCACCGGACAAATTGAGATACGTCCACACGCCATTCTCCTCATGTGCGCGTTCTCATCTGCAAATTTGTACAGGCCTTAAGGTCATTCTACAATGAATGCGGCCCGCTACAAATGCTTTGGAGCGTTTCTCTTTCTCGTTCATTTCTCGGATGCAAACGAAGAAAGAGAGAGAAGTAAAAACGCTTCGAAGCATTTATAGCGATTGATGGACCGCACCCTAAGTTGTAAGCCGTAAGAATTGGCGAATTAAGGCTCGTCTACAATAACTGTAAGAGTAAGGCTGTAACGTAAGCTGTCAGCGAATGAAAATATTTCATTTCGTGCCTTGCAACCTTACAGCCTTACTCTTACAGCTAATGTAGACGAGCCTTTACGGTTTACAACTTACGACTATATTGTATTGTAGAGTGACCTTTAAAGTCGAGTCAGGTTAGGTTAAGTTAGGATGACGTACAGGCCGAATACTTGTATGACATAGTGCACTTAACGTGCGATATGGTCCGATGTGTCACATTGACACACGTTCGCTAACATGTTCTTTCATACTATTTGTTTAACAGCATATTGATTTACGCGTCTCTGCTGACCATGGATTACACCTTTGAGAAGTAAGTAATAAGATCGAAGCACGTTAAACATCTATTCGTTTTTAATAATATCTTCATGGTTAACTACTCACTCTTTCGACGCTTATCGTATTTATCTCTCGCATCGTGTGCACAAACCGTGACTACTTTGTGCGTATCTGTGAATTATATTGGAATTAATTAACAGTGTTTCGTGAATTTATCACAATCTTATGTAAATTAAATTATGAAATGAAGTACGTTGTGCTATATCATTTGGATATCATATTTTAACATGTCTTTAACTGTACTCATATTTTTCTTTGTTACATTATAAAAGATAATATATATAACACCTTGTCGTAATTTATATCCTTATTTTACGATATTGTTTAATATTACAGTTTACGCGACACACCTTCCCCTGAAACATGCATTCCATTTCCCCGGAACAATAGAACAATCATCACAGATGTTTATGCAGGAATACCTGAGAATTTATTACTTAATGTAATAGGATTTTTGGTAAGATTTTAATCTTATTTTTATATATTCCTTGGATTGTACAAATTAAGATTAGTTATTTGTATATAGTGAGATTTTATATAATTATTCAATAATTTATGTTTAATAATTGATATTTAACAATGGTATTTACAATGATATTCTGTAGCTTTTAGTTAGTTTATTTGGCCTATTACGTAAGAAGGCATGGAACTATGGACGTCTTGCATTATTACACAAGTCCGATAATAGATGGATGGAGTTATTCTATGGTGTTAATGAGAATAGAGACACTGATCCTTTGTGTATAGAAGCTTCTGTTGATGCTCAATTCTCTCAATTGGATAAAGGATTTCTATCCTGGATTGTCACTGCTTTTAAAATTACGTTAGTTTACTTAAAGTACTTTATTAATTATATATATTATATATATATGTATATATATATATTTAGTATATACTTATAATTCATTTTTATAATTACAGTGACAATGAATTATTACAACGTGCAGGTCCTGATGGGTTATTATATATTTTGTTTGAGCGTTGCTTAATCATATTGACCAGTATGATGGTTATTGTGTCACTGTGTATAGCTTTACCAATAAATTTTCACGGAAATATGCAAGGGGATAGTGCGACATTCAGTCATACAACATTATCAAATTTAGAACCTACTTCTTCTTGGATTTGGGTTCATACAATATTGATCTTATCTTATTTGCCAGTTGGTGGGTTAGTCATGAGACGCTGTTTGAAGCAGGTATCAAATTAATTGATATAAAACACAGTATCGTATATAGTCCAAGTTACTTTGTTCTATATATGAAATACATTTGGCTTATATATAGTGTTATAAAAATTTGTATATATTTGCAGGTACGGGATACCAGACCTACTGGTGAATTAGCAGCAAGAACATTATTAATTACAGATATTCCAAAACATCAATGCACCATTGAAAATCTTACTGAATATTTCAAGTACGTGTAAAGAAAAAAGAATTCTGTTTAATTGTGAATCTTTTTTTAATTTTTCTAAATAGTATTTATTGCTAACTCAATTCAAGATAAATACATGAAAGATTTTTTATCAATTAAATATATTCTTTCTTAATATTTGTGCTGGTAATATTTAGATCTACATATGTTATTAATTCTTTTAGAGAAGCATTTCCTACTTTAACAGTGGAAGATATTACTTTGGCTCATGATATAAGACGTCTTTCAAAGTTGGATGCGGAAAGAGACTGTGCGGAACAAGCGCGTTTATATTGCGAGAATTATGCTAAGAAAAAAGAACCTTTGAAAATGTATCCTTATCCGTGTGGTCAAGTCCTTGGACATTGTTGTAAAAAGGTAAAATTATGAATACTTGGAAACAATTGTTTTAAGTAGATTATTACGTGAATTTGTTATGCATAATTTATAATTAATCGTTTATAAAATGTGTAGCAAGTAGATGCTCAAGAGTTCTACACCAATGAAGAGATACGACTAACGGCATTAGTTGAAGAAGAAAAAAAGGTAGCACTCAGTAAACCTCTTGGAGTAGCTTTTGTTACTTTAGGTATTTAATCGTTATATATATAAACATATATGTTATGTTTCTTTTTTATAATTAACAAAATAAATCATGAACGATAATTATAATAGGAACACCTGGCGCGGCCAAAACTATGCGTAAACAGCTGAGATCTGCACCATCTCCAAAATGGATTGTAGATTACGCACCAACACCGTCAGATATATTTTGGGAGAATTTGAGTATTGCTAGGCCGTGCTGGTATCTAAACGCTGTACTAATAAATTTCGCTCTGGGACTTATATTATTTTTCCTTACTACACCGGCTGTAAGTTGATTTTTTCCTTCATAAGGTCATATACGTTACAAAAGAGCTTACTATAGAGCTAAATAAAAAGTTGAGTTTATGTAAAAAAACAAATAGCAAAATTATTGTTTTCTGACGTAATCAGTAATATAATAATGCATCATTGCCAATTTATGTTTTTCGAAGAATTCTTTCGTGATTTTATTTACATTTTGTAAGAATTTTGTAAGAATTGTTAGAAAATATGTAATATATTGTTACTCACTTTTTACTTTAGGTTATAGTAACAGCTGTTAATAAATTACCAATTACTGGAGAAATTAGGAATCTGAGCCCGATAGTTTCATCCTTCTTGCCTACCGTATTATTGATAAGTGTAGCTGCACTAATGCCTGTATTGGTTGCAAGAAGTGAATCGCTCGTTAGGCATTGGACTAGAAGCAGTTTAAATCGTGCTGTAATGAGGAAAACGTTGCTTCTCCTGCTATTGATGGTGCTTATATTACCTAGTTTAGGATTAACTAGTGCTCAAGCATTTCTTGATTGGACAGTAAATGCTCGGAATAATACAGCAAGATGGGAATGCGTGTTTTTGCCAGATCAGGTAAAATGAATATTCTTACAACATTCTTCAATATTTGCGTGAAAAAAATTAAAAAAAATTTTTAATTTACAGGGTGCACTTTTTGTAAATTACGTTATAACAGCGGCTTTACTTGGAAGCGGATTGGAATTGGTCAGATTTCCAGAACTTGCGTTGTACACCTTCAGACTGTGCATGGCTCGTAGCAGGGCAGAAAGGATACATGTTAGGAAAGCGGTGTTGTGGGAATTTCCACTGGGAGCTCATTACGCGTGGTTATTATTAGTCTTCACTATGACGACCGTGTACAGCCTAGCGTGTCCTTTGATCACTCCTTTTGGCTTACTATATCTCGTAGTTAAACACTTGGTATGTTAGAACTATATAATTGAAACTGAAACATGTTTTAGCAAAACTCTTGATGGATTATTTAAATTTTTTGTTTCTTGATTTAAAAACTTTTTGTCTCTCGTAGTATCTCTTGTAGTAAAAATATCTTGTTTAGGTGGATAGGCATAATTTATGCTTCGCTTATGGACCAAGCATCGGCGGTGGCCAATTGGCGGGAGCAGCGGTCGGTGCCGCAGGAGCCGCACCTGTTTTAGCGCAAGCTGCTCTTTTAGCCATAGGTCTGGTAAGAAGAGGTCTATCACCATTAGCTGCAGTGCAGCTCAGTGGCCTCGCTGCGAGTATTTTAGGCTTGGTGACTGGTGCTGCGTTACCATTTTCGAAATCTAAGGTACTTATAGGATTGTTATAGAAACAATTTTAAAATATACATTGCTTTACAGGCTATCGCTGGCTTCATGATTGATTAACCGATTTCTTATTAGGCACAAGCACCGAAGAGAGATCTCTCGACGGGCCAAAATTTCGTCGCACCAGTATTGAGAAAAAATCAGTTGTCTATAGAGGAAACTATATCGACTGCTTCAGATTCGAACTTACCAAGCCCAAGGAGCACCACTTCCACTTTACAAGAAAGCCCAAAGCTTTACCAAAACTATGGCAATGAACAAAGAGTTTAATAACTGTGTTTGTAATACTCTGTCTGATATTCGGATATAAAATATTCCATAAACTTATTTAACAAATTTGTTTTAATCATTAATATTAAACGATTGTGCAATTGGCAGAAATTGTATAAATAATGTACATTTCTTACACGAAATTGTTACATGTCATAATACAAAGTAGAGCAATTTAAGAGAAAAATTACAAAGAATACTACTTTACACCACTTCTCACTTTCTTCACGCATTATGCTTGACAGTTTGTGATAAGAGGAAATAAGGATATTATATTTAACATACTCTACATTTATAAGAAGTATTACATTTTAAGAATTATATAAAGCCTTATTAACGATATTCTTCAGGTAATCACACGTTACTTAAGAAATCTCACAAACCAAGAGAGCAAATAGAGCTATTTTATCGTTTCAAATTGGTTTGTGTAGAAAGATGGAACGTTTATTAAATAATTTATTTCAATATTATAACTTTGTATCATACTAAGTGTTAACACATACATAATATTGCTAAGTAACAATATTAGCAAAGCTAAACTCGCTCTTGTACGCATTTTACTTGCGAATAATGCTTAATTAATTATGAGTTACCTTTTGTTCTCACTCAACACAAGTACTGATATTATTTTTTTACAAGTCTCTGCAAAAAGATCTTTATAATATGTACATATCACATTCATTCTTTAAATTATGAAAAAAATGATTTGGTAAATCGACTCTTTTTAATCCTAGGATGCATAAGTAAGCTTTATGATTCTATATTTATTTTCACGTTGTTATATTTATATTTTTAATTGAACTCAGATGATCTTCAGATCCGGAGAAAAATGATTATATATAATGGTATATAAAATTATATCTGAGTACATATAAATATAAAATAATAAATTGAGCTACACACATACGCACATATGTATATATATTTTATCTCTATATGGTCATATATATAATCATATATAATTATGTGTGTCCGCAAGAAAAAAGCGTTGAATTTTTTTAAGAAGAAAATAATTTCGGTTAAACGTCATTATGAGCTCATTATGGGCTTACAAGTCACATAAGTATTTATCTCAATTATTTTTATCACAATATTTTTTCAATGTGGACAATTCTGTGTGATTATATGTAGCCATATAAAAACAAAATTCATATATAATCATTTTCTGCCATAGTATAATTTTAAACTACTACTATGTAGTATCCTCATAGTAAGTTGACATTATTTTATCTTTATTTAAATTTTCTTTTACAGGCTTTTGTCAAGAATCTTTGCTTCCTAGGATTAAATTAGATTTTATTGCGATTATCGGGACATAGAAAAGGTAGATGTAAGCAGGATGTTCTACTTTGTTTAGTTGTAAGATGAAAAAATGCAGTATGTAATTTTATGTAATTTTTATCCCTGTTTATACCTGGAAGTACTTTACAATTACATATATGTATACATAATAAAAATTTCGGCATTAATATATATATAATGTGTGTGTGTGTGTGTATACATATACATACACATCTTTAAATTTCGAATTTCGACTTGATTTTTTCTGAAGTTTTTATTTTTTACAAATAATTTTGTGTACATTATATGTACATGTGATTTCTTAAATATTTATATGATTGTGGCATAATTATTAACTATTTGTGTTCGTCATTCGCAGTTTATATATATCAATTTAATGCTACAGAACTTATTTTGTACACGACTTCTACTACGATGTTTCACTACAAGCGCTTTATTATGGAAAAAATTAAAAAGTTTAAATCTCAAATTTTAAACTTTAAAGTTTAAATTTCAAAATTTAAACTTACTAAGTAAAATTTGAAAAATATGTATAGCATAATTGTTTACATCTTATTATTTCTGCTCAATAAAGCTTTTCCCGAATGTAAGGCAGTGAAGATAGTTTATTGCTTAACTCGGTTTATAAGATAATTGATACAGAAGTAATATAAATTCAATGCATCCTACAGTGCATCGCTCTGACGCATTTATATTATACTTAAATAGATATAAATAAATAGACGATAAAATTCCAGGAATAATATATCACATACATGAAATCTATAATACATAAATATAATCGAACTTAGAAGTTTTCTTATTTTGTCTTATCAAGGCACTAGTTACCATGTAATATTCTTATGATAATAAATACTTGCAACTTAAAAGTTCAAATGTCAATTTTGTTTTTCAAATTATTTTTGAGATTAATAGGTACATAACATATATTAAAGAAGTCACAGAAAGGCATATTGCAAAATATTGTGAAATATTTATGTTATATATTTATATAATGTGTAAATATGTTATTTATTATATAGTGATGGAGTGTTTATTCATACAAACTACCGCCAATTATAGCTTCCAATTGACTAGATGTAAGATTATTTAATTCCTCTGCCTGACTTTCTTTCTTCTGCAATTTAAAAGACAAACGATGAAATGTCTTTTTCTTCGTTGCCATTGAATTTTTATCATACGATGTAAAACTAGTCTCAAGATTGTTTTCTTCTTCCTCCATTTGAGATTCTTCACTTTCTTCGCTGCTTAGATGAACCTGTGAGGTACATTGCCGTTTAAGACGACCCTTGCTTTAATAATGCATTATTTGAATAATTTAGAATAATGTGACAAAATATACCAAATTAATGACAAGATATATTGCATGAAACTTGATTGACATTTAAATATAATTTCTAAGCATTGATTGAAATTGATTGACATATTAAAATCCGTATAATTTCGGGAACATTTTCGTAATAATTTAGAATTGTTACTCACCATGTTAAGTCTCGGAGTTAAGCAAATAATAATAATGAATGAAGCAATGTTTCTTACAATAACTGTGATTAATACATTCACTTATTACTATAATTATCTGCATACAAATTCAATTACAATATACTGAAAAAAACACTCACTGGTGGACGTGAAGTTAAATAATTTTTTTTTTTTTTTCGTTAGGTGTCACACTATTGCCAATTCGAGGGAAGGGATGCTGGGAACAATGAAAAATAATTAAAAAAAAAAAAAAGTTTAGGCGTCTTTTGTTTTGCATTTTTTCGAAACATGCTCTACCTTCCAATATTACAACATAATCTTCACAATATTATAACAATGATCATTGTTTCTGGCATACAGTATCACTGCGACATAGATTCAAATAAAACATCGATGTATAACGTAATACAGATAAAATAGTCGCTTTCAAAAGGTATAATTTTCTGTACTACAATTTCTATGCGCAAACTACAATTTGGATCTAGACCTCTGTAAATATAATTTTTGTAAACATGGATTTAGCATAAAACAACACGAGTTGTTACAATAAAGCAAACGAAAATTCATAGAGCACTTTGATAAATTACGAAGGCATTCACTCATTTTTATACAATCTCAGGTTTTAGCCTCGGGTGAATCTTTCAACATAAATTCTCTCTTTCATGCTCTACCACCACCAAAATAATATGCAGCCAATTAAATTGTGCGAAAATAATACGGAAATTTACAAATAAGGATAAAAAGAACGTTAATTGCATTTGATACACGATGCATTTGATGCAAGTGTACTACGCGAAGCTATACGATATGCAATTACAATATCGTGTGATTATCTGATGATCTTCGCATCGATTTATGTGATGACACAGATAGAGTGTAAGGTTTCATCTCACCTCTACGATAGCAACTCTTGGTAATGGTTCTCGCGTAGTAATTTTTTCCATCACAATCGAACTATTGGAGCTTGAACTCGTGGAAGAATACTCTCTGTCGGTTTCGTTATCGTTATCATTATCCGAATATTCTTTCTCGCCCTCGACAGATTTCTGTACATCCGCATTTACATGCAATTTACACACCACGCCACTCTTTTCGCTATGTTCGAACAAGTTTCCATCGAGATGAACTGAAAATAAAAGTAATAATGTTAATCTTTACGATGCATATAATTATATCATACATATATAATGTTTTGAAACCATCAGATATCTTTTGAATTCTTAAGTTCAAAATCTCAAATCTTAAATTTAAATCGTATTGATATTTAGAAGTGTACAGTGTCCGAGATTGTTCAATGTGCATTTATCTTATATATATTTTTTCTGAAGTATAACATGAATATAATTTTATCATTTACTTGCAGTTTCCAACTTTCTCCCCTCCTATATAGATACGTTTATAGTGATCGCATAATTTAAAATCATAAATTATCATCAAGTCTAATAGACTAATGTTTTAGCTTAAGAATTAAGCGTATTTTTTTCAAATACATTCTGTGCAAATATGCGATAATTGTATTTGAATTACCTTGGCAAAAGGCAGTGCTACAGAATGAACAATGTGCTGATGTTCGACGACCGCACTCTAAACAGTAATGCCAGGGACAACTGAATTTCGATTCCACGCCATCGAAGGTTACACATGTCCTGTGATACTTTTTTTTACACGTTCTTTGTTGGCAGATTAACAGTTCGCTCGAACTTGATATTGCTTGCCCGCACTGCCAACACATATACTTTATCGATCTAAATCGGGAAAAATAAAAGGCGTTAGCAACACTGGTCATACAATTAGAAGGATAATTGGATGAACCGTGTATAATGAAATGTATAATATACCTTTTGTGTCGTTTTTCTAGCTTTCTATGTAAGAGAGTCTTTTCGAGAGTCTTTTCGACTTTCTTTGGTTGTGGAGTTGATTTTGGTTGCACAGCTGGCTGCATCGCTGGCAATTGCTGTTTCTGTGCCTTCAAACCAATGAATCCGCTACAGTTCGACGCGCCGCAGAGGCACGCTTTCCGAGTTTCTCCGTCGGACGCTAAATTATAATTAAATGTCAGCTCCTCTCCGGATTCTATGTCACGTAACGCAAATAATCCGATGCGTGTGTCGCCGTTTACCGTCCATTTCTGTGTTTCACAGTTCGGTGCACATGAATGATCTACGTACAGAAAAGCAATGACGTAATTATGAAATGAAAAAAAGGAAGATATAAAGATATGCCAATCAAATGCAAGTGATAATACGAATAAATTCAGGTATTTTATACAACTTCAGACTGACCACTAACTGGTTCATTTTTAGAGATAAAACAGAGAATAGGAAAGAAAAAGTTCATATTAAAAAAAAAAAAAATAAATAAAAAAATAAAAAAAAGGACGTTAAAGCGTCAAGTTCAGACACAATAATTTTTTAAGTATGTTGCAAAGTTACAGTAGCATACTCACTCATAAACCGACTCAAATTCCCTTTCGGCTCTGCGTCAATCGTTCTGTTATTATCAATTGTTAGGAAGTAAAAGTTCTCATTTTTCAGTTCCTTTTTTCTATGCAACCTGTGCTTGTATTCTGCCTCGTCAATAACCTCACCCACATACTCGATCACAAATTGTCCTGCCTTGATATCTTCCAGAGATTTTAAACCCCAACCACGACCGGTGGTATGGAATGGTTCCATCGCTGGATATTTTCGCAACACAAATGACTGATTGTTGCACTTGGACCCAGCCGGACAAATACCAGGGCTACATTCAACCAATAGTATGCGATTCAAGCAATCTGTTCCTGGTGCGCAAGGATCGTCCCAGGCCGGATCGCATTCACACGCAACGATACTTTCGACTTCTGCTGGTTTGACGTTACCAACAGGTTTATTGACCTGTCACACAATAACTTTATTAATGCCTATAACTTCCATCGTAAACTATAAATATTGGAATTAAAAAAATCATACGAATTTTCTTATGTATATACTATATAAATACAAACTTTCATCTTTGAATTCGTCTTTATATAAGAAAGCTGTTTTAATTTCTAGTAGAATAGTAATACAATAATATATCGTAAGAATGATGATTGAAGACTGGTTGGTTATCGCCTTTGACATAACGCAAACCAACAGAGCTTTTTAATCTAGTTTTTCATTTTAAAGCTTTTAAGACCATACTTTTAATTTTACATAAGGTGGTGGCTTCAATCCTTTTGGCTCTTTTGTCGCAGACCGTTTCTCTTTTAATTGTTGATGTATTTCGTTAGCCTCTTCTAAAGCTTTCCGATATATATCTGTAAAAGACTTTTTACCTATAGCCGGTGTCATATTTGCATCACCGTCTTGATATAAAAAAGCTCGGCCTCTAAAAAAATTTGATCATTACATTAAAAGATAGATAGTTATTAATTCGTGTTGATTGTACTCTACATAATAAGCACTTTTATTTACCTGTGTACCCAATAATAATCATAAGATCCCAAAAACATTACACAAAAAGTACCAGCTCTATGTGGAATGGCCTCTACTTTATCAGGTACTTCTACCGGATAACATATACGAGCTGGCCACCATCGGTAACTACCTAATTTTACCCATACAATTTCCCCATATAAAGGTAATCTTCCCGTCTCGCAATCTTCGCAGAAGAATGCACCATCAGGTGCATCTATACCTAAATTATCAATGCATTACAATATACATATACATTAGCAATATATATTAATAATTCATTAACATAAAATCAAAATTATAATATACAGAAGCGACTATATACTTTTATGTTATATACTGCAAAAGTGATTTATTATATATATATATATATATATATATATATATGTGCTGCATTTTGTATCAATCTAATAAATTTAAATGTAGTTACTAAAGAAACATTAATTTCTAATAAACTTACCGAGGCATTCTAAGTGAAACGAAGTTGGACATGTGTCGCAGCATATAAGACTACCACCGCGAGTACATAAGAAGCACCATGCTGCATTTAATGGAGGATGATGCGCCTTGTAGTGCTTCGGGCATACAATCTGACTACCAGTCAAAATCACTGAGCCAGCTGGTAAACACAATGTGGATGTATGATAAGATGATGGGCAACGGACACATTTTGCCATTTTCTCATTTGGTGCGCGCGAGTGACTGTCTTGTGGATTATCTGAGCTGCACGTATGACACAAGTGATACGGACAGGTCAAACGTCCACCTTGCCAATGCGACTAATAGTGAAGTAAAATATTGTCGTTAGACACGTAATAATACAACGTAATAATATGATATGGAATAGTGGCATAAAAATAGTGGAATAATAAAATAAACAATATAGCAATAGAACTTTACCTGAGGCCATGATTTTAGACACATGGAATGATAATGTTTTCCGCAAGCCATTACTGAACATCTTATTCTGTCACCCTCCCTCTCGTTGCATATAAAACAAGCAGGCGCTACTCCAGACAGACAATCGATACACTTGAACATCTCGTCCTCTTGTTCCTCATTTTTAACTGAATTAATGATATATTAATCAATAATAGAAAAAAATGGTTAACTAAAACGTTTAACATTATTAAATTATTGATATTTTAAGTTAAAGTTCGAATCTGAGATTAATAATAATCTGCCATTACAATTACCATTATCGTCTCTATCATTGATGCTTCTCTTAATTACGTTTACGTCGTCGATTATTTTATCTTCCGATGTATTATCGTCTACAGAATGCTCTGGACTAGATTCACCAGGTTTTACACAGGGCAAATGAAAATAAGAATAACAAGGCCCTTTACACCTCGTTAGCTTGCCTGTCTTTTCGCAAATCTGACAAACCTTTTCCTGTTTCATACCTTTAAAGAGATTTTGCGGTTTAGCTCGTTTTGTTTCTAAGATTAAACTCTCATCTTTGTCAACCTTATTTTTTGTCTTTTTACTCTCTTTCACGCTCGTATCAGTACATACGGATGCTTCGTCATGATCGTCATGATCTGAAGAACTTTCTTTCGAATGTTCGCTATTGTCACGTGTCATGTACGACCGATACTTTTTCCGGAATGCCGGGTCCATGTTGTCCCAAGTATTTCGTAAATACTTTTTAATGTCATGTTCTGATGCATCAGGATATTCGTCCTCTAACATATCTCTGTTCCGTTCATAATAAATTTCGAACACACCATCTTCTTCCTCCTCGTTTCTATCAACTTTTGTATTGGAGGAATTGTCGTTTTGAGATCTGTGACTCGAAGGAGACGAAGATCTACCGTCTGAAGTTAGTTTTGCATCATATTTACCATTTACAATAAATCGTGAGCTTTTCAATTTTGTTCCTTCCGATTTGCGCGGCGACTTTTCCGTATTATCGTGCTTGATGCGTTTCGAATCAGGGACATCTTGATCGTTCGAGTTTTTTCTCTTATTATTCTTACTCTTTTCATCAACGGTAGATGATTTTGAACTTGTAGATTTCGAGGCTTTAACTTTTGGAGCGAAAGTTTTAGCTCTCTCTTCAATCGTCATTGATTTTACCTCTAAAGCTTCCTCGACAGCACTTTCCCATTTCGATTTGATCCCTTGTTTTACAGTAAAAGCTGCAACATATTTAGGGGCTTTCTTTTTTGAATCTAATATTGCTAATTCTGCTACTTTTTTAAAGTCAGCAAGACTTGTAAATTCCATCATACAGTTTGAAGAAACCCAACTGTGACGTCCTCTGTCACCAAAATATTGAACATGTATCATTAATATATGTGATCTGCGCCTGGCTGTAAAAGAAAACACAAAAAAACTGTTCAACAATTTATAACTATCGATGTACTTTTTGATGACGATTATTTTGTAATTTTATAACAATAATTATAACATTTAATTAAACTATAATTTCATCATTTCTTCACTTCTATACATGTTTAATAACTTATTAGATATCAGACAATTTAAAAAAACAAAATATATATTGTACATTTTATAAATTTACCTATAAATTTGTAATATATCATTGAATTTGGATCAGGTGTTACAACACAAGGCCAAAATGGAAAATTTCCAACTCTAGCCCATGCTAAATGGCCTGCAACCCAGTTGCACTCCATAGGACTAATTGTTCTCGAAGGTAAGTTCTCTTCTGTTTTGTTTGGATTTGTGGAAGTGTCATTAGCTTCATCTGCTGTGTTACCTACATTATTTTCATGTATATTTTCATTATTATTATCAGTGGAGTTTTGATGTCTACGTGTCTTTGGCATTGTTGAATTCTGAGATCATAAAAATGGCACATATTATATTATGTAAACATAAATTTCAAATCAGAATATACAATATTTTCAATAATGATAAAATATATGTATGTAATATATATATATAGTAAAATTATATGTATTTGTCACATATCACAAATTATTTCTATTTAATATCTACTCATTTTCTCGTCATTATTTCTACTCAATTTTTTTCATATTGACATGAAATTTTTTTTATATTTAAAAAATAGTAGCAATAAATTTAAAAAGGACAAATAAAAGTTAAAATTATAATGTTACATATAAGGATTCTACAAAATTACATACTATTACATCAAATTACATACTAGTATAAAAGTCAAATTATATATATATATATATTATATATATGTATATATAAATTAATGTATATATATGGTTTATGAATTAAAAAGTATATAGAATCAATATGATAATGATGATTAAGATACTATGAACATGTTGAAACTTAGACAAAGAAGGAACAGCATACTTGTGGCGAATTAGCAATATTGATAGATTTGAGCTTAATTTTTCTGCCATAACGGCTTCTACCAAGTTGGCTATCAGGGCAATTATTATCATACGAGCTCTCTTGACTATCACACGCATCCTCGCCTGCAACCTTGGTTTGCTCTTCAGTCTCTGTCTGAGCATGGCTAGTTGGCGTAGATGCCTTGCTAGTGCTTGTGTTGATGGTACTCATAACGCAGCGATTAGTAAATCATCTTTACACTTTCCAAATCCAAACGCTGTAAATCATGAAAGTATATGAGATTTTGCAACAATGACCGCTGACGAGGATCGCAGGATACCAGCAGCAAAGGTGCACATGTCGAAAATATTACTCTTTACCGCTAGCATTGAGCGACCTACCTCTGATTTTCGAGGGTTACCTTCTCTTTCACCAATAACTTAATCTGCCTCAGCCAAAGCCCCACACTAACTTCTACACGGCACCAGCATTCACGCGAACCTGCTTGTCACCAGTCAAGTCGCTGCAACTGTTAATAATATGGAATTACGGGCGAACCTCACGGGCCTCTAGAAGAGAGGACGCGTTTCCCGCGATTTTAGGCGATCCACATAGCTGCGTTCGTTTTTCCCGAGAAAATCACTAGATTCATAGAATGCTCATGCATATCTTTTTCTGCGAAGCACCGACCGACATTAGCGCCACTCCATTTTTTAGTTCTAGGGATAGTCTAGGAGGTCTAGGAATGTCTCATCAAACATGTCGTATTTGAAGTTCACACTTTGACCTAAACGTCAAGACCAGACGTAGAGACCAGAATATATGTATATTTTATATATATATATATATGATTTATCGAAAAAAATATTATATACGTATAACCGAGATATTTTTTAGTCGCAATTGAATTATGTTTATTTGACAGGCTATACTAACGTCATCTGCGGCGTAATGTCGAATTACATTGAATGATCTTTTTTTACAGAGGGAGGTGGAACATCTATACATTTTATTCATTGCCTATAAAGAAGGGGAAGTTTCATACATAAGATTACGAGAAATTCTCGTAATAACACCGCGTCGAGATGCGCAAGCGCGCGCGCACGGTTATAAGATTTCAGGCTGTGTGGCGTGTGACAGCATCAAAAGAGGAAAAGAGTGAGTGGTGGAACGGCAGTGGAGGAGAGAGCGAGAGGAAGTTTGAGTTAAATCAGATTCTTTTTTCTCTCCTTACCGCGTATGTACATACGTGTATACTCTCTGCAGTGCGCGATGCTTCGGTGAGTCGAGTGTGTCATCTCTTACGAGGACTGGAGTAAATGGAGATCTGTCAGATGCGGCGTAACGACGCAGTCATCGCGGCCGAAAGGCGAGTAGTTTGCACGTTATCGCATACAAATTACCGATAACGCCGGTTTGATGGCTTACCGGATATACCTTGTCACAAGGACTCACAAGCGTCGCAAGTCAAGGCGAGTTCTTAGACTCAGAGTCCCGTATCGGAAGCGATGAAGTCTCGCTACCATGTAACTGCACTTATTGTCATAAAAGATGCAGTATTTGTTATTGTTATTAGGTCTACTTATTTGACAGATTGGTTCAATTGTTCTTGATTGGATAAATAAAATTGATATTCTGACAAAATTGATCTTTTTATTTCTAGAACTAATACAAGCGAAAGATCAGTAAAATCAGTTTGTTATAAACGTTGAAAGTAGATACGCGCTGCTTCAATTTTTATCTATGTAAATGTGGTGTCAGATAAGAATGTGTACATATACATTTAGAGTAATGTTATTTAAATAGCCAGGTTCATTATCATACATTTTATGGTTATTATATTTATGTCGTCATGGAGATTTATTGAAACATTTAAAACTGGCATGTTCATGTGTTTCTAAATATCAGGAATATAGAAATCTATTATAAGACCAGTCATAAAGTTCTATATACCAATTACAGCCAGTAGTAAAAGTGAAGTCTTACAGTCTTTATTGTAGCAACTGTATCAGTAATGGCTCAAGTATACATGTATAATATAATAGATATATATATATATATGTATGTATATACATACATATAATAGAATTGAGACATCAGCTGTAAACTAATTAATTTGTAAAACAACAAAATGTTCTCAATAATATATATATATTTTTTATAAATTTAAGTTTATTTTGAATATTCTTACAATTTGAAGATTTTAATAAATTGATTATATGTTGTAAAATATCAATATCTATTGACAAAATACATAATATATTCCATAAGAAATTATGTATCAGCAATCCAAATTTGTATGAAAATAAAAAAAAGTTTCTTCCAAGATATATTCACTATTGGATATATTTTGTTGTTTTACAAATTAATTAGTTTACAGCTAATGTTTCAATTCTATTTTTATAAAATTATAGGTTTAACAATTTTTTCATCAGCATGTTTATAATTTATAGGATGACCAATATATTAAAGCATGTGTTTTATATTATTAACGTATTTGTTATTAAATGTTTGAAAAATATTTATATATGAATTCAAATGAGTTAAGAGCTAAATTACAATATAATATGGAGATAATATCATAAGAGTGATAATATTCTCATGTGTGTCATTAATCTTTATATATTTAGCTGTGCAAAAATGTCATGTTTTGTATAAAAGGACTTCATATTTTGTGTTTGTTAATAATGTACTTAAAAATTTTGAACAAATTAAAAAGATATTTATTTCTTTCCTGATACAGATGGACAGATTACGACTACTGCCTGTGGATTTACCTGCAATCACTGTCAGTAATACTGGAAATATTAAAGGCAAGGCATCTTTCGTTCGACGATTGGCAATAGGATTTGTAATTTTGGCTATACTAGGCCTTTTATATGTGCCAGCATACCACTCTGCTCAGAGTCCATTCTTAGGATTAGGTGAGACTCCATCTCCTGCAGAACCTCTTGGCAGTTCACATTCGATAGCATCCGTGGGTATGCATCCATTGCTTAACACACACTCTTCATTTATGATAATACAAGTTTGATCAATTGTGAGAATGATCAATTGCAACATAAATATTAATTAAACAGTATAGTTGAGAAATATATAAATTCTTTAAATTTGAAAATCAATAAATGATAATGTGAATGCTTCCTTTGTGTCTGGATGCAATATTTTTGGGTGTATTTATGATTGACTCACCATGATGATGATATGTATGTATATAGCATGACTATAGAGCAGTGTATTTTCATTTAAGAAGCAGGAAAATGCTTCTTGCTGATATCTATACACGATATCAAAGTTTCTAATACATTAATTAATTTGTAGCACAACTACCTGGATGGTCATATAATACTTCAAGAGATCTCTGTGTTTATATTCATCCAGAAAATACTACATCAATTCTTAATCCTACCAACATCTGTTCACCATCGCCATATTTGTTAATAATTATATGCTCGGCAGTCGCAAATCATGAGGCTCGTGCTGCTATCAGGAACACATGGGCCAACAAGTATAATTTAGATCATTTATATAATTCTGCAGTGAAAATAGCATTTCTATTAGGACAAAGTGACAATGACACACTCAATGTAAGTACATCTTGTTGCTTTGTTCTTTTGTACGGAATTTTGCATTGAGCATTCCATCATTCACACGTTGCGCGTTGTGTTGTGTTTCTTCTAGAATTTAATTATTGAAGAAAGTTCTCAGTATAATGATATTGTACAAGAACGTTTTTTCGACACATACAACAATCTAACGTTGAAATCAGTCATGATGCTAAAATGGGTGACATCGAATTGCAATCAAGCCAAGTACCTAATGAAAACGGACGACGATATGTTCGTGAATATTCCGTTGCTCCTGCAAACATTGCGTTCGAAAACGCAAAATACCGAAACCCTGCTGCTAGGTTCTCTTATTTGTAATGCTAGACCAATATTAGATCCTAAGAACAAGTGGTGAGTGCCTGACTTATATCCATCGAAACATCACTGTGATATTTTGAAGTGAGATGTTAATCATTTTATTTGCATACAGGTATACACCAAAGTATATGTACCCGGAGAAAACATATCCGAATTATTTATCAGGCACGGGGTATGTTATGAGCACGAGTGTAGCATTTAAATTATATCAAGCAGCGTTAGTGACACCATTGCTGCATTTAGAAGACGTTTACATCACAGGTTTATGCGCGAAACGCGCGAAGATCCGACCTGTCAATCATCCGGGATTCAGTTACATACCTCGTAAGTTAGATCCCTGCGTACTAAGGAACGCCATTACCACGCACAAAGTTAATGCGTCCAATATGTATGTGATTTGGGTGAAGCTAAACGACACGAGCGTCACATGCAGCAATCACACTCGCATTGACAGAAAGCCGGTTACGTTGAGTCGAAGCGGTAGGAATGCCGGCTACTATGTTTTCAAAAGGAAAACTATAAACCGATGCATTTAAATGTTTTCTGATAACATTCTTTTCACGATTGATTACGTCACACGGATTGTGGTGTGAAAGTAATAAGATGGGTTTTGTAATCTCGAAACTGGCAACGCTAGATGAATACGAGCAACATGATTCGGCAGCTATATTTCTTTATCTGTCTGTGATGTGATGATATTGAATTGATTACTCAACCGATCTTTCTAAAATGCCGTTTCGTGTGTTACTCGCTTTTTGTCTCATCGTGTCGAATGCGAATGGTGAATCATTAAATGTCGAAAAAATCTGAAATCAATGAATCTCCCATTCTAATACCAGGCTGTGTCTACTTCTCATTACTAGTTTATGATTGATAGCGAGCCTTTAAGTTTCGCATAAGACTACGGCTGACTTATACTGACAGTCTGACTGATCGTCGGTTAGCGATTTATTGTCTCCCTGCAGATCATGGTTTTATGCGTAGTGTAGACACACAGCGACAGAAAGAATTTAATTAACTAGAATTAACGTTAACTGATATTGGTGCAACCGGCCCTATGCATATTTGGGAAGAGGAGTCGAACAGACGTTCGGATGGTATCCGAAGGTGTTTTGTATATTTTTCTATTTAGACCAAAGTAGTATTTAAGGATACGCTGTCAATTAGATCTTTTACATAATTTGACCGTTTCGCCTCTGTGTCAGGCACAACGATTTAATAACGAGAGAATCTTCGACACATGATTTTTGAAGAAATGATTCACGTGTCACAAATGATTTAGTTAAGTATTAGGCTTATCGATTAATATTTTCTAATCACACGTATAACATATTTAATCATGCATGGAAAATTCTTCATGCGCAACACTATTCCTAAATTTTGTGCAATATACAAAGATTAAAAGATTAAAAAAGATTGAATAGTCATTATCCGAAAGTTGCAAGAGAGTAGGGGGAAGATGAGAGACAATGTCTTTATTTTACAGATAATCTCCATAGAATGTTGTATTGCTTCTAGGTACTTATGTCAAATCATTTAAGAATATAACAACACGATCATCCTTCTCTCTCTCTCTCTCTCTCTCTCTCTCTCTCTCTCCTTCTAAGATTAATAGAGTAATTAATCTATATATTTCAGAATCTCTCGTATAGCCTTGTTTCCTGAGCATATACACTTGGTTTTAAAATAGTTTGAATACTTTCTCTTCGGTGCAGTTTAGAATGTAGTTAATGATATAATGAAAGAGAATTTCTGGGAATTAATCAAAACCCACTTCTCTCTAAGTATTTAAACTGTTTTGAAACCGAATGCATGCAATATATAAACTATAACATAAGAAAATTGCTTCCTTGATGTGGTAATGTAAGATATAGATATCGTTTTATATCTAAATAACAAACTATAATGTTAATGATTGAATCTGAAACATCTGACATAATGATATTATCAAGTATAAATTGATATTCTTATTATTTATATCCCTTAAATATTTGCGTCGACTCTACTACCAATGAGTCTACTGATAATGTATATTATTGTGTTTTGTAAATTTTAAAACTAAATTCTTACTTTTAGAATTTGTATTCCTATTTTATACATACATATGAAAGGGAAATAATGTGATATATTTAAATTAAAATTTTACAGTATTTTTGTTTGTGCTAATAGGAACAGTTTTACAAATAGCATGATATATTTATTTATTGTGTTATACATTATTTACGAGGATATATTAATATTGTGTGCTAACGGAAATGTTTATTAAAATATCTAAAAGAATCTATTTTAAAGATTCAAAAAAGAAAATCTGTTTTATTTTAAAATGTAACTTGATAAAATTCTAAAAATATGTAAGTATATTTTGTGAATATTCTGTAGATAGAAATAATACTTTCTTTACATCTATTCGACTTCTGTACATTAAAAGTTGGGCTATTTGCATATCGCAATATTTCACTTTTTGAAATTATTTCTCCTTTTAAGACAAATTTTATATAAAATTCATATGTTTATGTCATGGCATGTATTATATTTGTATATAACATGTGATTATACTCTTCCAACAAAAAGATCTGTATGCATGAATTTGTCTTTAATGATATCGAAAGATCGCACGTAACATTTGTTACAACTGAATTGAACGAACGTCAAAGAATATCATAATGTGTGGCGAACGGTTTAGTTTAAATAATAATTAAATATCTGTACTATAAGTATACCAGCAGAATATTGTTTGGAATGCACAATGTTGTGTGTGCATTTTTTCCAATGGACTTCAAGCCATATATTCGTCACTATTTATAAATTTTTAATATATATATATAATTATACGATCGCAAAAAATACAAACAGGCAGTTAGCCATTAAGAGCTTGATAATGTAGCCTAATATTCTTGCTAGAATCTTTGATCTGATGTATGATAAGAATTTGTTATAACTTAGTATTTACATATAATCGGATTAAAAACGAGCAATTTGTGTAATCGCGTAGTCATTTTCGTCATATCAGAATTGTGAATTTGGAACGGCAAATCAGTTTGTAAATCATACAATTATTAGGTATGTATACTCATGTGCTTCAAAATTCATATATTCCACGACGAGACATTTGTAACCTTGCGGCAAGATGAAAATTACAAAAACAATCACGTGGAATATCCTAGTGGCCTTAGAAACTTTGCTTCATTTTATAAAACCAGACCGATCCAACGTTAAATTTATCGTATTATTTTTATTATTTACGTTGAGAAAAAAATCTTTGTTACCCCACACTGTAATATCCGATGCTATTTAACATGTAAACGTTCGAAACACTACATAAGTGTAATACAAAATATAGTCATCCTACAAGTAATTTTCGTCAGTCTTCATGTTAAAAATAAAGTCAACTAAGATAGTATAGCATTTGAAGCTTCTTTCTTTTTGAGACACGTGAATTTTGACGATTGCGTAACGTAATTAAGAGAAATAGGATATAAATAATACACCAATTTATATATATTTTTTTTTATGATAGCATTTGTGCTATTTATATTACACCGAAAGCGTTTTTAACATTTTAAATAAGAATGTGAACCTCTATGTTTATCTGAATGTACAGCAGGAATTGCGCATAAGATTGTCGTTTAATGACAATGTAAATATTGTTACGTTGCATTTCGAATAAAGAACAAGGAACTGACATGAAAATAAATGCTTTCAGAATATTATTTATTAAAAATATAAGTACACATATATTTCGCTATATAATACGCTGCACATTTTTTGTTTTACAATAAGAATTTTGTACATATATGAGAATTTTTATAATACAGAATTACCAAGTATACACTAATGGCACCTACAATTAAATATATTATCAAAAAAATGCTTACTTATAAAGAGTAAGAATAAAAATGATATTAGGTGTACAAATGAATAATCCAAATTATTTTAAGCAGTTATGAAATCAATTTTAAATTGAATAGATTTTCCCGCTCTCTTATGATTATGCAATGTTGATATATAGCTATTAAAAAGAACAAAGGGCCAGTGGTGCGATTCTTTAACTCGTTATTGGAGTTAACGACAGTTTCGTTATCGTTGCGCAGCTTTTCTACGGTATACAAAAGCTGCGCAACGATAACGAAAGTGTCGTTAACTCCAATAACGAGTTAAAGAATCGCGCCGCAGAGCACAGGCTTCTGCATAACGCATAATACACAATGCATAAGAGAATCAACCAATCAGAGTTCTTCATTTCTGCCCTGAGGAGGGAAATGAAGAAAACCAATTGGTTTATTCTCTTATGCATTATGTATTATGTGTTATGCAAAAGCCTGCCGTAGCTGATGCAATAGATTTTTGTACAAGTGATTTAAAATATCCCGATTTCGCAGATTCCGCACAAACAACACGCTTTATACGTTTTATTAATGATCTCTTTGATATCTTTAATTCGATAAATATACGACAAAAAGGATTTACAACCATTACATGAAAATAATAGTTTTAGTATTATTAACAGACTAAACGAAGGTTTTATTTATCTATCACAATTACGATCGGAAAACGGTATATTGTTAATGCAATCAAAAAGCAAATGTGGAGTTATTGGTTTTATGACGTGTATAGGAAGTTTATTATTAATTTACAACAATTTTTTAGTTTTTTGTATTAAGAGTGAAAAAGCTTTATTTCTTTTAAGATGTTGAAATATATAACATTCCGTGACACTAGCGACTGTCGCCATCTTGGTCTCATATCCGTTACAATAGACATTTCTTTCCCCTCATCCTTCATGGCTCACCCCCGCAGCTCTATGCTCCATCCATATATTCTTACGTCCATGGAGTCTTTTGTTCGCCTCCGTGGCGGTTGGATGTGGTTCCTGTAACTACGCATATTTTTTGATCGTTGGGACTGCGTACGCGTTGTCCCTGTTTTCTTTTACCTCTGCTGGAAAATAGCCTTACAGAATTTAATCTATCTACACCGTGAGAGTGGCGTTGGAGCAGTAACTTATTTTGCTCAGAGCCATTTATTGAATTGAATTGAATTGAATCTTACGTCCATGGGCGAAAGACCCAACATAACCTTCAAAAGTATTCAGTTTAATACAGTTGAAAATGGCAACAGATAAGGTGCATATCCGACACTGCATTCTTTACGAATTCCAACAAGGAAAAAATGCTGCAAGAGCGTGCGAATCGATTTGTTCCTTTCTCGGCGAAGGTGTTGTATCGTATGATGTGTGTGCATTTTGGTTTAAGCGGTTTAAAAGCGGTGATTTCAGTCTAATCGACAAACAACGTCCTGGAGGCCCTCGGAAGTGCGATAATGATGATTTGGAACAACTGCTTGCTGAGAATTCAGCACAAACACAAAAAGAGCTTGCAGAACAGTTGGGAGTAACGCAGCAAACGATTTCCAAACGCCTACATGAGATGAAAAAGATCCAGAAAGAAGAAAGATCCAGAAAGAAGAAGAAAATGGGTTTCGCATGAACTTACTGAAACCAACAAAAATCAACAAGTGGCAGCGTGTCTTTCTCTTCTCAATAAGCAGCGTCGAAAGTCTTTCTTGTGGAAAATCGTTACGGGCGATGAGAAATGGATACTCTATGACAATCCGAAACGCAGAAAGTCATGGGTAAATCCCGGCGAATCATCAAAATCGGTCGCAAAACCCAATCGCTTTGGAAAGAAGGTTCGTCTCTGCATTTGATGGGATATCAAGGGCGTGCTTTATTATGAGTTGTTGGAACCGGGTGAAACAGTTACTACGGACTGCTACCAACGTCAATTAATCTGCTTGAGTCAAGAATTGGAACGAAAACGCCCGTATACTGGCAAAGGAGAACCAGGAGTCCAGTGAAATTATTGCATGACAACACTAGGCCACACATTGCTTCTAATACAAAAGACACCATAATGAGTCTTGGCTGGGATGTCTTGCAGCACGGCCGGCGTATTCACCAGACATTGCTTCATCCGATTATCACTTGTTCCGGTCGATGTAACACGCCTTGTCCGATATGCACTTCCAATCAGTGAATGAAATCCGAAAATGGCTTGACGACTTTATCGTGTCCAAAGACGTAACATTTTTCCGAGATGGAATTCATCAGCTGCCTGAAAGATGGCTTAAAGTTATAGAAAGCAACGGCGAATACTTTGATTGAACAATTTAATTTACTTTCTTTTAAAATAAACCTTGAATGTAGTTGAAAAAATTGGATTATTCATTTGTACACCTAATATATACATGATCAAAAAGTAGCTATAGATTTTATTTCAAATTTTTATAGATCATGATCATAATCTTTCTGTAATTAGTACAATAAATACACACACACATACACACGCACACACACACACGAGAATTAAAAATACAATAAAATATAAAATATATAATAAAATTGTTATGTATATGTTATGTGTCGATATACATATATCAAATATTAGTTATATCTAAAAAAATATAACTATAATTTCGTTAATGAATGATTGAAATCATTCTAATAATTGAGGAAGACATTGAATTTTATTAAATATATTTCCTGTGCTTACTTTAGATGATTTACAATTTGAAATAATTTGAAACAGAATGTCATTTATAAGTTTATAACTAACTTGAACATATGAAAAATATAGGAAAATCTGTGTATGTGTATGCGTGTATTATGTTTGTCATTATTATATTTACTTTTTACGAGCATGTATTTCTTTGATAATACATTTAATTGTAGGTGTCGTTAGTGTGTACTTGCTAATTCTGTATTATAAAAATGTTCATATATGTACAAAGTACTTACTGTAAAATAAAAAATGTGCAACGTGTTATACAGCACAATACGTATATACATATATCTTTAATAAATAATACTCTAAAAGCATTTATTTTTATGCCAGTTTTTGTTCTTTATTCAAAATGTAACGTAGCAATATTTACATTGTCAATTACATTAAACGATAATCTTATACACAATTCCTGTTTGTTTCAAATTATTTAAAATTATAAATCATCTAAATTGGGCACAGGAAATATGAATGTTTAATTTAATAAAGCTCAGTTTTCCTCGATTAGTAGCGGAATTATTTCAATTATTATAGTTATATTTTTTCAGATGTAACTAATAATATCTCGTGTATGTATATAAATATATCACAATTTTATTATATATTTTATTTTTTATTATATTTTTAATTATTATTCTCACATATGTATGCTTACTTATACATATGTATACTTACTAATTGCAGAAAGAATATATGTGTATGATTATAAATCTATAAAAATTTGAAACAAAATTTATAGCTACAATTGTCCAATTTATTTAAATCATGAAAAAATTTGTGTATGTGTGTATGAATATACATTTATAGATATAAATCTAATCATTCCAATATTTTCTTATAAATAAAATTCTGTTGTAAATAGATTGTCCAAAATATGCTTGATACATTTTAATAAATATGTATAATAGCAAAATATTTTGTTCTACTTTATATTTGTATGTGTGTATAAAAGATAAAGATAGGACACTGAGTATTCTATAAAAAGAAATATTAGATTAACTTCTTTTCAAAGTGTAAAATCATAAATAATATATAAATACAATTTAATATAAATAATTATTACTGCTATATTAGGGATTGCTATACTGGAGGAACTATGAATAGCTGGAATTTATACTTTGTCTTGATAAGGAATTTATTTGTTTACAATTCAATTACTAAGATATGTATGTATAAAATTTATTTTTTAATAATTATATTCGAATAATGTTATTATTAATAACACAAATGTTATTTGTGAAAATGTTATTACAGCCTATCTTGAACGGTGTTATTCCAAATAGTATTAACATACAGCCTATCTTGAACGGTTTTATTCCAAATAGTATATAACATTCTTCTCCGTTTTGCTCCCTTCTCTGTTTAGTTGGATATTCTTCACCTTGATTCATTGTTTGTTTATTTGAATATCCTTTCGTCATACATAGTTGTGCGATTTCTTTCATAAATTGTACAGTCAGGCTTTCTTCTCATTTTTAAGCATACTTTTCTATTTTTCTTCACTTATTTTGTGTTTGAATCTCTTTAAGTTTTTTTGAAATATAACATAAGTTTAAGTAAACTTCTTTTTAATCGTTGTACTTACATCTTCTGTAAGTTTAATTTCTTTTAGAGCTTTTGATACAACATCCACGGCATTCGCATTTTGTTTATTTACAATATTTTGGATCACGTCGTTTATTCTCAAATTCTGACGTCTCTTATTTTTTTTATTTTTTATAGATTTTTTTAAATATACTGTATTTGCAATTCTTGCGGCTGAGCCATCATTTTCATGCTGTAATGCTCTATACTTCATTGAAGGTAATAAACAGGTGGATTGTTTTATGATTTGCTCAAGTGGTAATTTACAGTTTTCTTCTTTGGACAAAATTGCATCGCGTATATTGAACGGATTTATTCCAAGTAGTCTACATTCTTCTTCGTTTTGCTCCCTTGTCTGTTTAGTTGGATATTCTTCATCTTGATTTATTGTTTGTTTATTTGAATATTCTTTCGTCATACATGGTTGTGCGATTTCTTTCACAAATTGTACACAGTCAGGCTTTCTTCTCATTTTTAAGCATTCTTTTCTATTTTTCTTCACTTTTTGCAATTTCTTATTGTCCACAAAGTCTACTTTTTTGTCACTTTCTTTTATATTACAGGAGGTTAATTGTTGTATTATATCGTTTATCTTTTTGTTATGTCTTCTGTCTCCAAACTTAGATTTGAAGATAAAAGGTTCTAGAGATTTTACCATTAATGTATTGTTATTTGTATTATATACACCCCCTTCTTTACATGGCGCACCAGACATGTATTGCTCATACATGTTTGTCGCCTCATCTTTCAAAGAGATATCTAATTTATCATTGGATTTGTAATGCCAATTGATATCTGGTGTAAAGTATCTGGTGTATGTACCTCCGAGAGGCAAAGATAATCCTCGCGAGATGTACTTGAGAGCTACAGGGAATGATGAAGTACGGTCGGGAGGTAAAGAAAGATTTGGCACAGGAGGACGGAACGTCGAATCGTCACACATCGGTGGACTGTTGCTTCTTAAACTACACTCTGGACAATAGATTCTTGAAGTAGTTTTCATTTTAGATAATAATGCATCCTGCGTCTTAATTCTCTCTAGTTTTGCATATGATAGACTTGCGTACAATTCTTTTACTTCTTTACTTGATTCCTTTTTAGGAAACATTAATTTTTCAATGGGTGATAAAATAGTATCTGTTGTAGTTACTTCCTCTTTTTTTGACATTGCAGAGTCATCTTGCACTAAAGAATTATTATGGACAGAGGATTTCTGGAAATTTCCATACCCTAATTGAGCGTTAGATTTCTTGGAGAAATCCGAATTATCATCGACTGCAGATAAAGAAACTTTATTTTCAGATGTGTTAACCATTATGTTGTTAAGGGCTGTCTCATAAACTTTATCCCACCAATTATCAGATTCTTTCTTGTATCCGAGACCACTTGAATCAGATTTTAATATAGGTTTTATAGGTTTTGTGATGCCATTCTCATCCTTTCCAAGTCCTTTTCCTGTGTTATAAAAATAAAAATTTAAGTTGTATCAAACACATAATAATTTTAAATCTTTTCACAATTCTTTATTACTTTAACTGTTACATGGAATTCACATACAAGTTTCTCCAGGTCCAAATTCTTAGTATCGTTACTAATATTTTGATGTTTTTATTAAATAATTAGTACAATCATATTTAATCAGTTAAGTAAAAATATCACCTATAAACAGATAATATATAATACCTGGAAGATCTCATGTAACATCCAGATACAGATGATGTAATAGTCTATTGGTCTGTTCTTTTCAGCTGCACTACTGAACTGGTATAATAAGTTAAAGTGAGAAAAAATATAGTTGTCTCATTCTAACTTATTGCACTAGTTCCGCAGTGCAGCTGAAAAGAACAGACCAAATGTATATTGACCTCAGAATACAAGCTTAGGTTTATATGAAGTAATATATATACTTTGATTTTTATTTGTTTAGTAATTATTTTAGAGATGTTTGTTTTTATTTAAATTATAGTTTTGTATATATTTCTAGAGATTTTAGCTATAAGGATACTTGTAAGATTTATAATGATTACATCAGCAAATTCATTATCAGTAGTACATGAAATAAAAATTTTCTATAGTTGGTTTCTATGATTAGGCTTTTAGATTTACAAATTATATCTAAAAAGTTATATCTAACAAATTATATCCCAAAAGTTGATCATTCAGTTATTGTGCTGAACATAACTAATTTTTTTGAGACTAGAGAGGTCAGCTATATTCAGCAGAGAAAATTATTCAGTAAGCAGTTAGTGATTATTGTATGTGACTAGAGTATTTTTTGATCCTTGATAGATTCAGAGATAGAATGTACCATAAACAATAATTATTAAGGATGCTCATTCAGTAATTCTACTGCTAGGTACAAGCAGTAAAGAAGTCTTCAAATAAATCGGATATATCAGATGAATCCAATGGATCTAATATCTTATTTCTTAATAATCTTTCAAGCAGATATATGCATTGTAAATATATTGTGTAAAACATGATTTTGTATATTTTATATTTTTTCATTCTTTTGTTTTCTTTAAAGTAACAAATATTTATTTCGTTCGTTGTTTTCGATTTTCAACTTTACATGTTTGAGATTGAAAGTCTTAGAAAATAAATATATGTTCAAATAAAATAAGACTAAAAAATAAGTGTTAAAATATGTATACAGTGCAGCAAGAAAAAGTACGAGTAGTAATATGTTAGTGAGGTTAAATTATCGTGAACAACAATACAATGTTTATTCGTATTAAGATACTTATTGGATTTTACCTTCTTCCCAACCGAATTTTTGTAATTGCGCTTTTGCAAAGTCGGACATATTTATGTAAAATATAGAAATTATCTTATAACAATTATTAACGTTTCAAAGTACAGTAATCCAATGTTGATACACGTCGTGAGGACAGAGATCAAATAGATTGAATGGTCTAAATGGTTAAAGGTGCAGCCAGAGAGAAAAAGGAGAGAGGTAGGTCGCTTTTAGCAGAGCCAAGTGCGAAGCGCTCTCTATACAACCGTGCACTAAACTATGATGCCTATTGGTCTGTTTTTTTCAGCTGCACTACTGAACTGGTGCAATAAGTTAAAGTGAGAAAAAATATAGTTGTCTCATTCTAACTTATTGCACTAGTTCCGCAGTGCAGCTGAAAAGAACAGACCATATGGCTGCATTCAGCAGACTCAACAGTTGGACAACATTACTAGATTATCCACTGAATCTCGCTTCTGATTGGTCAATATTTCTAGATCTATGAAGAATCTAAAAGAATGCTCCAATCACAGACAATAATCACTAAGCGCTCTCTGATCACTTTGTTCTACTGAACGCGGCCATTGGCTGCATTCAGCAGACTCAACAGTTGGACAACATTACTAGATTTTCCATTGAATCTCGCTCCTGATTGGTCAATATTTCTGGATCTATGAAGAATCTAAAAGAATGCTCCAATCACAGACAGTAATCACTAAGCGCTCTCTGATCACTTTGTTCTACTGAACGCGGCCAATGTCCACGATTCTTTACTGGTTGCGTTCCGATATTCACTGCCAACACTGAAAATCTATAGGGCCAGCAGGCTTATTCTGAAATTTTTTTGCGTTATAACTTCATTAACGAAATTTGCGTTAACTTACAACGCATTATTCTTGAGAATCCTATTCTATAAAGCCAGCGGCACACGGTGCTTGTTTTCGTGCTGGATTGCTTGCTGGATGAAAATACTGCGTTCTGATTGGTGCATTTCCGAAGATGGATGGAAATGCACCAATCAGAACGCAGTATTTTCATCCAGCAAGCAATCCAGCACGAAAACAAGCACCGTGTGCCGCTCGCTTAAGCTACGTTAGTGCCTTGCGTTATGAGTCGTCTGTTCTTCGGGCATCTTCGGGAATATAATGCAAATTGCGAAGGAACTAGGAGGTAATGATGACGCAATAATCTATATACCAATCATAGCGAAAGATTTAAAATATTTCAATCGGCTTAAGTAAAGTTGTTTGTTCCGGATTATTGAAGAAATCCGATTACGAAAGAAGAAGAAGAGGCTGTTTACGCTGTTTGTACACATATACCAAAGAAAAACAAGGTTATGTATATTTTCAAGGTTATGTATATTTTACTTACTATATATATAACATATATTAGGCTATGTGCACACATTTGTAATAAATAAATTGTAGTGAGTAATTAATTTGTTTTTACGCAATGTACGAAAAAAATAGATACATAACCTGACTTAACTAATGAACAATATGTTCTTACAGTATGGAAGTTGCACAGAAAAAGAAAAAAGCCCCTAAAACAACAAACAAGCAATTAGATTTCCTTATTACATATATGGAAAACCATACTGCGTTTGCCACAGGCAAATTATCAGGAGCAAGAGGAAAGCCAGTTTACGACTTACAATGGCAGCAATTAATTGAATAGTTAAATTGCTTCGACGGCCCATCAAAAGGTACAGAAGGTTGGAGAAAAGTAAGTTTTATTGTATATTTCTATCATAATTAAAGTATTATTTCCTCACATTGTTTTCTTTATTATTAAAATGCTATTTTTTTATAATGTTAGTATAACGTTATGCATCTTGTAGCTCTGGTGCATCTGTGATAGGTGTCATCAGCCAAGGTTCCAAACCTGCATCGCCTATAATCAAATAAACATTTTTATGTACATTATTAGGTAAATAAATATAAAATAATCGTGATACTTATCCAATGCGTTATACTTATAACGCATGCGTTAAAAAGTTTCAGAATAAGCCTGCAGAGCACAGACTTCTGCATAACGCATAATACACAACGTATAAGAGAATCAACCAATCAGAGTTCTTCATTTCTATCCTGAGGAAGGAAATGAAGAAAACTAATTGGTTGATTCTCTTATGTGTTATGTATTATGTGTTATGTAAAAGCCTGTGCTTTTGCCCATAGTATATACATTGAAATATAACTATACTGGAAGGAGCACTGCCCTATTTCCTCCACTATACCAAGCGGTTAGAGAGAGATAGTTAAGCTGGGACTGGCTGGGACCGTGTTGTCTCTTTCTAGCGTCAACTACCGTGGCTGAAAACATTGGTCTCGTCCTGTACATGCGTGTGTATAGTGCGTGTGACGAATCCAAAGAGCCAATAGCTCATATTTACAGTCTGGATTTATATATGTAACATCATCTTAAATAATTGTAAGATAATGTTAAACACAATAAAGTTAAGTATTATTAATTTCATATTATTTAGTTATTACTTAATATGTAAATTTATTTCTCCTGCATTTTTATATATTGTATATTATTTTAATAAATATATATATCCACAAAATTAGATTTGTACATTGCTATGTGTATACAATTTCATTTTTTGCTATATACATATATGCAATTTTATTATATGCGATTCCGAAAATTATTATTTATTAAAAATCTTCTTTGATCAAATAAATTTTAGGTGTGTGGAAAATGTTTGCAAAGGCAAATGTTTTCAGACTGAATAATATTGGGTTTGGGAAAAAGTTCATGGCGTTTTTTTAGTAAAATTCAACTGGTTTTCTTATAGTGTGAAAATGAATTTATTTAAACCAAATATGCTCCATTATTATCGACAATGTTTCGCCATTTTTCGGGTAGAGCCATGATGCCATCGGTGAAGAACTTCTGTGGTTTCTGGTTGAAAAACTGAATCAAGTGGTTTTCACAGGCTTCTTTTGAAACCAGCTTAATTCCATTGAGAGAGTTCTGCAGAGATCGGAAGAAGTGATAGTCAGAGGGTGCTATGTCTGGACTATACGGTGGATGCATCAAAACTTCCCAACCAAGCTCTCGCAATTTTTGACGGGTCATCAAAGAAGTGTGGTCGGGTGTAGTCATGATAGAAGACACCTTTCCTATTATTCAATTTGGGCTGTTTTCTTTCAATTGCCTGGCGTAATCTCTCTAATTGTCCACAGTAGAGTTGAGAATTAATCGTCTGACCAACTGGAAGTAGCTCATAGTGGACGATTCCCTTCCAGTCCCACCACACACACAGCATCACCTTTTTCGGCGTCAATCCTGGCTTCGCGAACGCTTGTGACGGCTCACCATCCCTTGTCCACGATCTTTGACGCTTCCGATTGTCGTACGTGATCCATTTTTCATCACCGGTTATGACACGTTTCAGAAATGGCTCGATTTCATTGCGTTTCAGCAGCGCATCGCAGATGTTAATTCGGTCTATCATGTTTTTCGCGCTCAACTCATGAGGAACCCATAGATCGAGCTTCTTTTTGTAGCCAGCTTTGTGTAAATGGTTCAAAACAGTTTTGTGGTCAATGCCTAGCTCCATACCAATATCGACATTGCTGATATGCTTATCTTGCTGGACTTTTTCAAGAACGCCACAAACATTTTCCAAGACCCAATATATCGAGTCACGTGATCGCTGCAGTTAGACAAGGGTAACACGGTCCCAGCTTAACTATCTCTCTCACTCAGCTCTGACCGCACGAGACAAAGGAGTGCTCCTTCCAGTATGGTTATATTTCAATGAGTATATATGTGACACAAACTATGTATTGGCTCGGCTAAAAGCGGCCCTCTCCTTTTTCTCTTTGATAAATATTTATAGTTCATGTACATTCAAAAAATAATAAAAAAAATTATGAATGAAAACTCATCCATCCTAGTAATAGAAGGTAACAAAAACATCATAATATTCAAGAGTTAAAGATTATTGATAATTTATCGCATATATCGAATAGTTATCGAAACGAGAGAATTGACTAATTGTTCTCGATAATTCTCGAGATAATTCTCGATAATTCTCGAGAATTGTTCTCGATATTTCTGAAACGCAATCGAATACTAAACATTGAGATTTCTAACACAAGCGCGCAAATTGTTAGCTAAAATGTGTAGAGGAAGTATATTATTCATCATACTCTACTCTTACTTATTCGTAACGCAATTTTCTTTCGTTTCACAATCTTCTTTCGTATCGCTTTAATTTCTTTCTTTACGTTCTTTAGGCATAAATGGTCGTGATTTTTAAGGCTGTATCAAAAGCGTTATTGGTGCGCTTTGTTTAGAAACATTAGCGATTGCCGTTTGAATTAGCCGCCGATAAAATCAGTCGAAGGCTAGTCAAGCTGGCAACTGTAACGATATATCAAGCGTAATGTTAGCAATCGTCGTCGTTCCGCTCTGTTTCTTAATGCCGATACCGAAGATCACTGCGCATATTTCAAGTGGGACAGGTATGTATCTCACATTTGTTTTGAACGTATAATATTTCTCAAAAATACATATATCGAATTATGTATATCGATCATTGGTGTCTGTGCGCTTGCGAAGACTTTATTTCCAGCAAAGAATAATATCTGTCTTAGCCGACGCTTAATGACTAATTTCTTAAGATATTAATCCATAATTGCTATCAAATAACTTCAATTTACATTCGCGAATGTGTACGAAATCGCAAATAATTATCCGCTGAAATTAATTTCTTTTGATAACGATTGAGATTCATATTTCGACGGGGAATAATTATACGGGGGATTCACTGACGAAGATCCTTTTATACAAAACTTTTTTTGCGTCTTTCGTATGTGCTCATAAATTAATGATCGATATTGTCAAACAATTTAAACAGTTTATGATATATACTCCGCAGACTTACCATTCGACACGCATATCTTCGTCCACGATAATACGGAATATATTTTGTGCAACTACGGTGTCACCTGGCATGAGGCTCGTGTTATATGTTCGAGTTACAAAGCTGAGCTTGCGACGGTGGACAGCGATCGACGAGCGCAAGCTGCGAGTCGCGCGATCACCGACAGTGATATATGTAAGTATGAGAGCTCAGTCGGGATCGAGGGAAACTCCAGTGGAAATTCACTCGAAGAGGAGGTGCATCCTGAGTTTCCGATTGTAACTCAATCGTGAGGAAACCTTTGATGAACACAGGCTGAAGATGCAAAATCTCAAGAATGGTAATAACTGTGCAAACAGCGATCAGCGATCATGTGTGGATCGGAGCGCGCGAGGACTCTCCCGACTCCTGGTTTTGGCTCTCGGGCGGAAACAGAATGATGATCCTGAGGAATGTATCGCGACGAAACGTCGTTTTACGGTATTCAAATTCCTCCGACGAGGACTTACGATGCCTGAGCATAGACCGAGTGAGTCACGATGCATCGGTTTTCGTCTCGTTGCGATGCAACCAACGGAAACCCTTCATGTGTCAACGAGGTAACGACCATTTCTGCCTCTTCTTTAATACGAACAACGAACAGAATAAAATTTTTTTTGGCTGCATAGTCTAACTTCCTTTGCAAGGTAAAGAGAAGTCTAGCGATGCAAGTATGAAGATGATGAGTTCCACTCGCATCGACAAGGAAGAATTTATTTTGTATTCTACGAGACTCACTTGGCCGGAAGCTGTGATGAGCTGTCGCAAGGAAGGTTTGCAGATTGCTGAAGTCAAGACGACGGCAGAAGCTCAGTCCTTGGCGTTTCTCATGATACGAGCTCGGCCTGGTATTTTGTGTAAACGATATCACGCGTGATTTTTCGAAAATTTGGCGAAATTATCCGAGCAACTGTATCTGTCTAGAACTTAATTACTTTGATTCGCAATATTAGACGTCCTGTCAATCTATATTTGCACAAAATTTCTAAGTAAATAATTAATAAGATTCTTATTTAAATTTCTTTAAATAAGAAGAATCTTTATTGGAGTAAATTCTTATTACTCGTCTGGAGATCGTAACAAAGATTGATGATTTCAGAATCGATCGAGAATGCATGGATCGGCGGTTATGCGAACGATAATACATGGAAGTGGTTGCCGTCCGGCAGCAACATTTCGAACAATGATTTATGGAGAGACGACAACGGAGAATCTCACGGTTGCCTTTTGTTGGACAGGCACGTGTGCGAATTACCGGTTTACCTGGGGGCCAAGTGCGACCGCAAACGCGATGTTATATGTCAAAAGCCATGTAAGGATCATGACTGCAAAATTAACGTAGAAGTAACGTAGAATTTATTGAATTATGCATGGCGTACTATCTCATCTAAAAAGATCGACTGTCTCATGCACAAAGTTAATCATCTCTCGTAAATCTCAATATTTTCTAAATATCTTTTCTTTTTTCGTGAAGTGTTCGGAAGATTTTGCTGTGCAACATCGTTCTCGGGAATTAGGAAAACTCGCGTAAAATCGCTGTGCTTAAGTGAATCTGAAGTCACTCGCAATCGTATTTACAAAGAGTAATCCGTTTCGAAGGTAGTTTGAATCTTAATTGCAGCTTTCAAGAAGTGGATAAGCGAAAAGCCCGTTCCGGTTTACATCGGAGGATGCTCTTATTGGATCGGATTCCGCGAGCTTACATGGTTCCAAGCTCAGCTTTCGTGTAAAGAATTGAACGCCTCGCTCGTCATACTGGATTCCCCGAGAGTAATTAGCCATATGATATCTCTGATGGAGGATAACAGAGGAGGTAAAATGATGCGCGCACGTCATAAATAATATATTAAAAAAAAATTTAACAGATTATATCACACGTTCAAAGTCAAGTCTTTGTCTTCGCGTAGGACACATACACACACACACACACATACACATATGTTGCAGAAACGACACGTAACATTAAAACATAAAAGTGACGCTACTTACAAGAGAAGTGCGTTCCAATGAATGTCAAGAGTCAATTACTTATTTCGCGCGTTAACGATGATTACCTCACGTCATGACCTCACGTCACGTTGCAGAATTACGACACATTTGGACCGATGGTCGGCGAAAGTTGATGAAACTTGACGGCACGACGACGCGCAGGTGGATTTGGGAAAGCAGCGGTGAACCAGTCTCGGAAATAGGGGCGAGCTTCGTTCCATGGTGCACAACTGGGCAATGTCACAATGATAACGGGAATTGCTTGAACGTGGATCGCGCAGATCACGATACTCCTATCGTGTACGGACTATCTTGCAAGCAGAGCCAGACGTACGTGTGTCAACCTTGTAAGTACATCACGTTGCTTTCTCCGACTGGACATCTGGAGAATACATTCCAGCTCTCTCTAGAAGGAGCCAGGACGATTATTATGGAAATATTCAGAATAGTTTCCGATTCGAATAATTCCGTCTTCGTCAGACAATGTTACAAGACGTCCAAGAACTGTAATTCTTCCGATCGGAATCCGAATAGTTTCGTAATAAGGATGCCGGACTGGCGTTGGGAATCTTGAATTTTCTAACTCGATGCGATAGCTCGTAAATAAAACGTCGGACGAATCAGACTCGGACTTTCGCGTCAGTCCCAAGAAATATTGAATAGTCAATAGTCAGTCAATAGTCAGTCAATAGTCAATAGTCAATAGTCAATAGAACAGTCACGGGCATAATTATGCGAAGGGATGACAGCAAATAAAATTGATGACCGACGAAATTGAAGGGTCGGGAGCGTGCGTGGCCCGAAGAACGAACTCGAAGGAGAGTCCCGCGTCGTTACACGACAACAATCATCTGCCACGGCTACTTCCGTCAGCAGAGACAACGACGACGTCTCATCAGGACGAAGAAGTTAATCGGGAGGAGACTCTTCGTGCCATTGTGCCTTCGTCGATCAATGCGAGTCGAAGTCTTCCGTCGAAGTCAACGAGTCGGTTTAACGATTTGCTCGGTAACAACAACACGCCTTTGTTAAAGAATAACGAGACTTTCGACGGAATGATACTCAGACTGAAGCACTCGCCGTTCAGAGTGTTTGATGGGAGATCAATGCTTTATGGTAATGTCAGAATGTATCCATGGGCGTTTCGTCCTTTTGTCCTCTATCCTTTGATTGGTCGATATTATTATTATTATTATCCACGACATTACCTCCGATCTGATAAAAGAAAAATAATGTTATATCGGTAACATTGGATATATAAGATTGGAAAGACGGGAAGAATTATGTCACGATACAAAGAAGTTAAGTCACTTAGTATTAGAACTGTTAAGAATTAGTACATCCGGTTTCTATCGGTTGAAACGGTGGATTTTTGAAAAAATACATTGTGCAAGGGCAAACTGTTTAACTATTCCTTTTAGTTTTTTGTTCAGCGTTCATTAAAAATATGGAATATATAGATTTACATAAATCTGAATAATTTTTATAAGAAATTATAAGATACGAACCGATAATTTTTACCATTCTGATTGTTTTAGAGACGTTGAGAGACGATTTATTATTTTTCCTAATGAAAGAATTTGCAGCAATACTCATACTTATTCCGCATTATTTTCCTGATAAAATAAATTTGCTGTCGTATAGAATTTTTGTTCCTAGAAGAAATTATCCCCTACGATGAATGCTCAGTACTACGTTAATGATTTTGCGTCCTACGGTTATTTTGAGAAATTTATAAGAGATATTCGACGAGAATCTTGTGAATAAATGGTAACTTATCTGATACTGAAGGCACACTGAAGTCATCGCATGGCGCATTGCCGTCGGGCGCTGAAGCTGTCTACAGAGAATTTAAAGTCAAGAATAATAATATGCAGCAAACAGAGCGGGTAACGGCCCATCCACATAGGTCGCAACACGCAAAACGCTAATGGCAGGACGTAGAAATTAACGAATCATAGTCCATCATTTTTCTCACATTTGATTGTAATTAATCAATTTTTGCGTCCTGCGATCTGTGTTTTGTGTGTTGCGACCTATGTAGATGGGCCATTAGAGGGAACAACGGATGACTTGCCTGGCGCACGTCTTTAAAAATTAATGAACCCTAATAATGCCGTATACCGTTGACGTCGTTACTAATGCAGGGACATTGGCGGGAATTGCCGTTGGCAGAATTCCAAGCTGATGACACGTTATATCCTGCCATTGTCGGAGAGAGATTTTCTCTTATGTTGAACGTGACATTAAAAATATGGACTTTTTGCCGATGAATTTCTGCGTCTTTCGCTTGTGCGGCGCATGGAAAAAGCGGAAGGAGAGCAACTTGATAATACGCTTTGCTAGTTTTTGTCACAGGTACAATTGGTAAAAACAGTTTTACCGCCGATATGTTAAAATCTATTGTATTCGTCATTCGAGCGATATAGATTTCTCGATATTACGCACACATTTTTCTTTTTCTTTCTTTTATGTGTTTCTTCGTAGGTACGCCATCGTCATCTCAATATATTACTTCACGGCATCCATGATAATTCGGCTCGTACATATAAGAAATAACATCGAGGAATTAATGGAAAGTTTGTTCATTACTCTGACTTTCGTGCATCTGTGCCTGAAGTATACGAACTTTTTGGCGCGGCAGTTCGAAGTGCGCGCTCTGTTAGACTCCTTTCACGCCAAGCTATGTCAGCCAAAGAACAGTGCGGAGGAATCGATTCTGAAGCGATACAGTCGCAAAGGTATTTTTATTAATTTTAATATGTTAAACGGTCAAACGATTACGTAAGTTAAATGTAAAAATATGTTAGTGATTTAAATCTTACTAAGGAAACGTCATATATACGTTAGAAAAAGAGAGAGAGAGAGAGAGAGAGAGAGAGAGAGAGAGAGAGAAATACATAAATGCGCATACGAATATACAAAAATTTCATCTCTCAGAACTCGAATTCATTACCAGTGATGAAAAATGATCTCCAGACGGAGAGATTTTATTTGATTCAGATTGTATTGTTAAGAATAGATATTTCTACGAAGTCATCCTTGGACCTCACAAAATCCAATTATCTATGTTGCAAACTCCACTCATCTTGTGACGCGCTGCGAACGAAGCTAACCAGATAGCCTGGTTCTACATGATCTTATGTCAAATGACGGGCCTGTTTTTTATCATTTCACCTGTCTTAGCTTCGGACAAGAGACCTTTGCCGTATAAAGTGTACGTACCATACTCTATCGCACCGCTGTTTCCTTACGTGTTGACATATATCCAGCAAGCCACAACCCTAACTTGCTCGATTGCTTTGAACACGTCTTGCGATACCCTCATTTATGGTCTCATTATTTACACCTGCGGACAAATCGAGCTCCTGTGCCATCGAATGATGGAGACGTTCAGATATCTTGGTGAGAACGAGATCGAGGCAAGAAAAATCAACGCGATTGAGAACGTCGTTATCGCAGAATGCGTGAAGCACCATATATCGATGTACAACATCATATATAAAATACAGTCATTGTTTGTGTGGACTGTCGCTATTTTGTTCTTCTTCAGTCTCGTTACTCTCTGCACCACTATCTACCAGATGTCCAAAGTAAGCATATCTACTCTGAGAGAAGGAATATTTAAGAAATATAGAAAGTATTTACTCGGTGGGTATTAATAGCATATTTACTTACACTAATACACATATATTTTTACACTAAGAGAACATTTTTTTTTCGGATGAGAAGATGTACATTCTTTTGAAAATGCAACTTTTCATAAGAAATAAATTTTTATTTAAATTCTTATTTCATTTAAATATCAAAAATTATATTTAAGTAAATATGTTATTGATACTTACCGAAAAAATATTTTTTATTTTTTATATATTTTTTCTCAGTATACATGTTAGAAGCATAAAATTTGATCTGATGAAATCTAAGTCGAACCAACATGCAAATCACATGGTGATGATATGTCTGTTGCAGAAAAATTTGTTCAGTCTTGAGTTCATCACTCTTACGTTGTACCTAGGAGCGATGCTGTTTCAAACATTCTTATATTGCTGGTACAGTAATGAGCTCGACTTGAAGGTATAGTTAATGATGAATCTTGTCACTTGACACTCTCTGCCTTATTTGATAATCTTCCGCATTCACGGAAGTCCACATTTCCGGTGTTATCATTTGTTTTATTTAGGCTAAATATATCGCGCACGCTATCTACGCCAGCAACTGGACTGTAATTTCGGCCAAGCAACGTAAAAGTTTGCTGCTCGTGATGATGATAAGCCAACGAGGAAAAATACTCTCCACTTACGGAATTTTCGCTTTGCTTCTCAGCACCTTTACGTGGGTGAGTACGCGCCACTTACGTGACTTGAGACTGTGAAGCATGCACAGTTGGAAAACATGTGCGATACAGATTCCATAAGAATCACGCTATAAATCACACGTTCGTTCTTTGTACTTGCGTAGATCTTGAAGACGTCCTACGCCGCTTTCAACTTGCTGCAGCAAACTTCGAGTTAGTACCTCGCGCGCTGGTAATAAAACATACGGTGGCATTTATTGTTCCTTGTTTCGAACTTATCAGTATCGGAATCATATCGAATGTATTTTCGTATCATATTTATAGATGTAGTAGTTTATATCGCATGTTTATGTAGAATACCAATAGAATCGTATTTTTATACTAGATGCTTGTTCCTTAGACTGTTTTGAACGCATCTCGTGTGTCCTATCGTAAGTGGAAAAGAATAAAGTGAGATTCCCTGTTGAGTAATCTTCCGAGCAACTTGAACATATAAACAAATCTGAAAACGTAGCTGCAAAGTCCGCTCCGCGCACTTCCACTGACATTTTCTGGATTATATTCCTCTCGTAAAACTCCCATCCGCTGTTTAGCTTCGCTGACAAGCGAGCGAAATTCGCAGATGAATTGCTCGCAAATAAACCCCACTGATAATAACGACACTTCGATGCTTTCCTCGGATTCGCGCAATATTCCTTCACATCTTTTACCACGCATCTTTATTTCCCAATAATGTAAAATTGTGCAACCTCATGATTTATAAAAAATAACGTACAGATTCGCATACTTTTGTCCTGAGAGAGAGAGAGAGAGAGAGGAGTATATTATTCAAAATTAATACGACGGTTAGGGGGGAAATATGCGGCTAGAAGAAGAAATCCTCGTAGTCCCGCGCGCTCTCTTCGACGACACATTAAATGTTAAAGAACGCTCTAATGGCGTACCATTACTAATTCATGAGAATAGGCGTTGACAACATATGCTTTGCTGTATTTTCTTCTCCGTAACCTGAGTTGTAACATTTCAAAGTACAGCAAGATATGAGAGGGTCATTACTGCCCGAGTGAGACTTTATCGAAACGCAGGCCCGGAGAATTATGGACATACTGCCGCTAAACTTTCGAGTTTTATCGTTTTGCGGCGCGTGGAGCGAACAAAAAGGCAGCAATTCTTTCGTCCGTTTTTTAAGTCTCTGCTACAGGTATGATAATGGCGCGTTATTCGCCCAGGTGAACTGATTTGTATCATGATTTGTATCACGTTTTCGCGACATGGTTATACGATAACGACCATATTCAAAAATATTTTGTCACTGCTCTCTTTATTTTTTCACAATTTTTCTCTGATTAACTATTTTTTTTGTAGTGTCTGAACTAGACTATACGTTTCTACTGTAAATGTTAGAACGCAGTGAAATTTTTAGGTACTCTATAGTGTTATTAATATACGAGTTTACGATATCGGAAGTGATCGAACTCGTGAGGACGCGCGACCACGTTGAAGATATAACAGAAGGACTCTTTGTAACTCTGACTTATGTAGCCCTGTGCTTTAAGTACGGAAATTTCCTGGTGCGTCGAGACGAGATGTCTGCATTGTTGAACTGTTTTCGAGGTCAGACGTGCCAGCCGAAGAACTCCGAGGAACAGATGATCCTGATCAAATACGACCGCAAAGGTAGTCTAAGGGGAATTTTTTCTTGTTCTTTTTTCCATTCGGATGCTCTAACCATTCTCTAGATTCTCTTTACAAATTGCGTCCAAATTTTGTGATCCAAATGAACAATTGACATCATTAATTCAACGTCACTCGCGTCTCAAGATCTCGTGATTTTGAAATTGGCTTGACCTGAATAAAAACTTTCTTGACAACATTTCCTTTTTTATTAAATATACTAGAATGTGGTGTAGATTGAAAAATATATGTTTCTTGCAGCTAGGTGGTGCGTTAGAACCTTCATGAGCATGTCCCAAGCTACCTGCTTGGCCTTTGTGTTCGCTCCTATTGTGGGACCGCAAGACACCGACAGGCCGTTGCCTTTCAAGACGTATATACCATATTCCATATCCGATTGGTACATATACGTGCTGACGTACTTGCAGCAAACAGCTGCTCCATTTTACGGGGTTCTGCTTAGCGTCTCCTTCGACGCCCTTGTTTACGGCTTTACTCTTCGTACTTGTGGACAGATCGAGTTGCTGTGCCACCGTCTGTCGGAGATCTTCGAGGATCAATTCAATGTAAATCAGTATCGGATTAAATCGAACAAGACAGTGGTAATCGGCGAGTGCGTGAGGCATCATCTGCGCGTGCACGAGCTCGTCAGCAGGATACAGTCGTTGTTCGTGTGGACTGTCACGATCTTGTTCATATTCAGCATGGTCACCCTGTGCACCAGTATTTTTCAAATGTCCAAGGTTGTACTAATTTCGCGTCACGGTCGTTCATCATTTCTGGCGATCTGATGGCCGTCATCGATATTGAATAGATTAGAGCTTGTTTTTATTATCGTACAATATACAACGTGTCGTCGATAAAATAAACTACGTTAGCACTTCACTGCTGAAGTATCAAGCTCGCGATGTTAGGCATATCGTCTTAACTATGCATGTATACTCATTGAAAGTTTCTTCACAGAAGAGACTTCTCAGCGTCGGATTCCTCTCATTGGTCCTGTACTTCGGATGCATGCTGTTCCAAGTGTTTTTCTACTGCTGGTACGGAAACGAGCTGCAGCTGAAGGTGACGGGTTAGCGCCCGCCCCGAAGTTTATTTCTCGGACAATCTCTGACTCGAGGGACAGTAACACGCGTTATGCATTTTATTTTGTTTCTTATTTTTTTCGTCTCGTTTTATTTTCCTTCTTACGTGTCTTTTGAAATGTTTTCTTCCTAGTTTTGAGTTCCCTCCATTGTGTATAGTTTGTAGTTACAATTTCGCCTCGAATTACACATATAGATTGTCTGAAATATGCTTGGGAGCTGATCGGTGGCCGATTAGGAACTTTTTTTCATCCATTGCATGCGTAGAGCAAGAGCATCAGCGACGCTATTTATTCGAGCAATTGGACGACCGCCACGTTGCAAGATCGCAGGAGTTTGCTGTTCGTGATGACTATCAGTCAGAGAGGATTGATGCTGTCCTATTACGGCATCTTCAACTTGGCCCTCGACACTTTCACCTGGGTAAAATTTACGTGAACGATGACACTCAGTCATTGCGATACAGCGACCAAACGGAGATCAATGTTTTTTATTGCAGATATTGAAGACGTCCTATTCCGTCTTTAATGTTCTGCAACAGGCATCGGTGTGACAGAGTAGATCAGAGTGTATCATTAGAAGGAACAACACGTTGTACGATACTATGCCGCCCTTTTCACGTGCGTGTATCTTAGGCAAATGTAAAAATTCTTCGAAATAGAATCTTTTCTAGATTTTCTGGTTCTCTATTGAAACTTTTAATGTACATATGTATATATTAAATAGTATAATTTTCTGTTCGTCTCGTACGAGGCAATCTTCCTCTGGTAGCAAGCAGCCGCATGTTCTCTACTGCTTCTATGACTGTTTATTCGCAAAGTATAGAAAACGTCGATATTTAATAATTCATCAAATATTAACAACAAGCCTCAGTGAATACATCTTGGTCTGCACGAATGACATACCGCGCTGTCTATTACGGTAATCTTGTTATTACATCAAAAACATGTCACTCATGAAAACGAAAGTGCTCTTTTTTCTTCTGCCTATAATGTGGAGTAAAAAGGAACAGAAAGGAACATGCTGTGGCTGTATTAAAATTTTAAATACGCTCGACGATATCGCACACGTGTCATTGTTAATGCAGAGATGGAATGACATGGGCGATTTCTCATCAGTATTTTCGGACGAACGTCTCGGTTATTCTCGTATATTATCGAGGCACATTGGAAAAAATATGTACCGACTGAGTTGGGATTAACTAAAACGACACGTGATAAGGGTGATAAGGTGAAAGGATTATGGATATCTTACCGATGAACTTCAAAGTTCTGTGGTTCTGCGGCGCGTGGAGCGAACGAAAAGAGAGCAATTCTCTCGTTCGTTTCTTAAGTCTCTGCTACAGGTATAACAATATCGCGTTATTCGGTGAATGTATTTGCATCGTGTTTTTACGATGGTTATGAGATACAACTTCAGCATATTTTGTCACTAGTTTGTAATTTTTCGTCGACTAACTGCTTGTTGCAGTAGTGTCTTACTACTGTACTGTCTGACCTACACTATACGTTTCTACTGTAAATGTTAGAACGTAGTGAAATTTTTAGGTACTCTATATTGTTATTAATATACGAGTTTACGATATCGGAAGTGATCGAACTCGTGAGGACGCGCGACCACGTTGAAGATATAACAGAAGGACTCTTTGTAACTCTGACTTATGTAGCCCTGTGCTTTAAGTACGGAAATTTCCTGGTGCGACGAGACGAGATGTCTGCATTGTTGAACTGTTTTCGAGGTCAGACGTGCCAGCCGAAGAACTCCGAGGAACGGACGATTCTGATTAAATACGACCGCAAAGGTAGTCTAAGAAGAATTTTTTTTTGCTTTTTTTTTGCTTTTTTTTCCATTCTCTAGATTCTCTTTACAAATTGCGTCCAAATTTTGTGATCCAAATGAACAATTGGCATCATTAATTCAACGTCACTCGCGTCTCAAGATCTCGTAATTTTGAAATTGGCTTGACCTGAATAGAAATTTTCTTGACAATATTTTCTTTCCTACTAATTATACTCGAATGTGGTACAGATTGAAAAATATATGTTTCTTGCAGCTAGGTGGTGCGTTAGAACCTTCATGAGCATGTGCCAAGCTGCCTGCTTGGCCTTTGTGTTGGCTCCTATTGTGGGACCGCAAGACACCGACAGGCCGTTGCCTTTTAAGACGTATATACCATATTCCATATCCGATTGGTATATATACGTGCTGACGTACTTGCAGCATGCAGCTGCTACATTTTACGGAATCCTGCTTAACGTCTCCTTCGACGCCCTTGTTTATGGCTTTACTCTTCACGCTTGCGGACAGATCGAGTTGCTGTGCCACCGTCTGTCGGAGATCTTCGAGGATCATCTCAATGTAAATCAGTATCGGATCAAATCGAACAAGGCGGTGGTAATCGGCGAATGCGTGAGGCATCATCTGCGCGTGCACGAGCTCGTCAACAGGATACAGTCGTTGTTCGTGTGGACTGTGACGATCTTGTTCATTTTCAGCATGGTCACCCTGTGCACCAGTATTTTCCAAATGTCCAAGGTTGTACGAATCGAATTTGGCGTCACGATCGTTCATCACTCCTGGCGATCTGACGGCCGTCGTCGAGTAGACATCGAGTAGACTAGAGCTTGTTTTTATGTATAGCGCACAATACAAATGTCGGTAAAATAAGATACGTCAGCATTTCATTGTTGAAGTATCTAGCTGTGCGATGTTCGGCATATCGCCGTGCCAGCGGGAATATACTGACCGGAAGTTTGCTTCGCAGAAGAGGCTCCTCAGTGTCGGATTCCTCTCATTGGTCCTGTACCTCGGATGCATGCTGTTCCAAGTGTTCTTCTACTGCTGGTACGGAAACGAGCTGCAGCTGAAGGTGATCGGAAGGTGACGAGTTCGGAGCGTCCGCTCCGAAGTTTATTTCTCAGACGATCTCTGACTCGAGAGGAAATAATAACGCGCGTTATGCATTTTATTTTGTTTTTTATTTTTTTTCGTCTCGTTTTATTTTCCTTCTTACGTGTCTTTTGAAATTTTTTCTTCCTAGTTTTGAGTTCCCTCCATTGTGTATAGTTTGTAGTTACAATTTCGCCTCGAATTACACGTATAGATCGTCTGAAATATGCTTGGGAGCTGATCGGTGACCGATGAGGGACTTTTTTTCATCCATTGCATGCGTAGAGCAAGAGCATCAGCGACGCTATTTATTCGAGCAATTGGACGACCGCCACGTTGCAAGATCGTAGGAGCTTGCTATTCGTGATGACTATCAGTCAGAGGGGATTGAAGCTGTCCTATTACGGCATCTTCAACTTGGCTCTCGACACTTTCACCTGGGTAAAATTTACGTGAACGATGATGCTCAGTCAATGCGATACAGCGATGACCAAGCAGAGATCGATATTTTTTATTGCAGGTATTGAAGACGTCTTATTCCGTCTTTAACGTTCTGCAACAGGCATCGGTGACAGAGTAGATCAGAGTGTATCATTAGAAGGAACAACACGTAATACGATACTATGCCGCTCTTTTCACGTGCATGTATCCTAGGCAAATGTAAAAATTCTTCGAAATAGAATCTTTTCTAGATTTTCCAGATTCTCTATTGAAACTTTTAATGTACATATGTATATATTAAATAGTATAATTTTCTGTTCGTCTCGTACGAGGCAATCTTCCTCTGGTAGCAAGCAGCCGCATGTCCTCTACTGCTTCTATGACTGTTTATTCGCAAAGTATAGAAAACGTCGATATTTAATAATTCATCAAATATTAACAGCAAGCCTCATTGAATACATCTTGGTCTGCACGCATGACATACCGCGCTGTCTATTACGGTAATCTTGTTATTACATCGAAAACATGTCGCTCGTGAAAACGAAAGTGCTCTTTTTTTCTTCTGCCTATAATGTGGAGTAAGAAGGAACAGATAGGAACATACTGTGGCTGTATTAAAATTTCAAATACGCTCGACGATGTCGCACACGTGTCATTGTTAATGCAGAAATGGAATGACGTGGGCCATTTCTCGTCAGTTATTTTCGGATGAATGTCTCGGTTATTCTCGTATATTATCGAGGCACATTGGAAAAAATATGTACCGGCTGAGTTAGGATCAAGTAAAACGACACATGATAAGGGTAATAAGGTGAAAGGATTATGGACATCCTACCGGTGAACTTCAAAGTTCTGTGGTTCTGCGGCGTGTGGAGCGAACGAAAAGAGAGCGATCCTCTCGTTCGTTTCTTAAGTCTCTGCTACAGGTATAACAATGTCGCGTTATTCGGTGAATGTATTTGCATCATGTTTTTACGATGGTTATGAGATACAACTTCAGCATATTTTGTCACTTTTTTGTAATTTTTCGTCGACTAACTGCTTGTTGCAGTAGTGTCTTACTGCTGTACTGTCTGACCTACACTATACGTTTTTACTGTAAATTTTTAGGTACTCTATAGTGTTATTAATATACGAGTTTACGATATCGGAAGTGATTGAACTTGTGAGGACGCGCGACCACATTGAAGATATAACAGAGGGACTCTTCCTAACTCTGACTTATGTAGCCCTGTGCATTAAATACGGAAATTTTCTGGTGCGACGGGACGAGATGTCTGCATTGTTGGACTGTTTTCGAGGTGAGACGTGCCAGCCGAAGAACTCCGAGGAACAGATGATCCTGATCAAATACGACCGTAAAGGTAGTCAAAGAGTCTTTTTCTTGCTTTTTCCTTCATTCATATGGCAAATCGTTCTCCAGATTCTCCTTACAAATTATGTTCGAATTTGTGCGCGGTGTCCAATAGATGATGGACATTAATATTCCTAACGCAACATGATATCAATGATTTCTTCTTTTGAGAAATATACTTGAACGTGGCATCGATCAAAAGATATACGTTGCTTGCAGTCAAGTGGTGCGTCAGAACTTTCATGAGCATGTCCCAAGCTACCTGCTGGGCCCTTGTATTCGCTCCTATTGTGGGACCGCAAGACACCGATAGGCCGTTGCCTTTCAAGACTTACATGCCATACTCTATATCCGATTGGTACTTATACGTACTGACGTACTTGCAGCATGTGGCTGCTATATTTTACGGGGTCCTGCTCAACGTCTCCTTCGATTCTCTCGTTTACGGCTTCACTCTTCACGCCTGCGGACAGATCGAGTTGCTGTGCCACCGTCTGTCGGAGATCTTCGAGGATCACCTCAATGTAAATCAGTATCGGATCAAATCGAACAAGGCGGTGGTAATCGGCGAGTGCGTGAGGCATCATCTGCGCGTGCACGAGCTCGTCAGCAGGATACAGTCGTTGTTCGTGTGGACTGTGACGATCTTGTTCATTTTCAGCATGGTCACCCTGTGCACCAGTATTTTCCAAATGTCCAAGGTTGTACGAATCGAATTTCGCGTCACGATCGTTCATCACTCCTGGCGATCTGACGGCCGTCGTCGAGTAGACATTGAGTAGACTAGAGCTTGCCTTTGTTATCGTATAGCGCACAATACAAAATGTCGGTAAAATAAGATACGTCAGCATTTCATTGTTGAAGTATCTAGCTTGTGCGATGTTCGGCATATCGCCGTGCTAGCGGGAATATACTGACCGGAAGTTTGCTTCGCAGAAGAGGCTCCTCAGCGTCGGATTCCTGTCATTGGTCCTGTACCTCGGATGCATGCTGTTCCAAGTGTTCTTCTACTGCTGGTACGGAAACGAGCTGCAGCTGAAGGTGATCGGAAGGTGACGAGTTCGGAGCGTCCGCTCCGAAGTTTATTTCTCAGACGATCTCTGACTCGAGAGGAAATAATAACGCGCGTTATGCATTTTATTTTGTTTTTTATTTTTTTTCGTCTCGTTTTATTTTCCTTCTTACGTGTCTTTTGAAATTTTTTCTTCCTAGTTTTGAGTTCCCTCCATTGTGTTTAGTTTGTAGTTACAATTTCGCCTCGAATTACACATATAGTTCGTCTGAAATATGCTTGGGAGCTGATCGGTGACCGATGAGGGACTTTTTTTCATCCATTGCATGCGTAGAGCAAGAGCATCAGCGACGCTATTTATTCGAGCAATTGGACGACCGCCACGTTGCAAGATCGCAGGAGTTTACTGTTCGTGATGACTATCAGTCAGAGGGGATTGAAGCTGTCCTATTACGGCATCTTCAACTTGGCTCTCGATACTTTCACCTGGGTAAAATTTACGTGGACGATCATTGACACTCAGTCAATGCGATACAGCGATGACCAAACGGAGATCATTGTTTTTATTGCAGATATTGAAAACTTCCTATTCCGCCTTCAACGTTCTGCAACAGGCGTCAATGTGACAAAGAAGATCTTGTATCATTAAAAGGAACAATACGTTGTACGACGCTACGTACGATTTTCACATCCATGTTTCTCAGGCAAACGTAAAAATCCTTCGAAGTAGAATCTTCTGCAGATTGTAGACATTTTTAAGCATATGTACATATTAAGTAATATAAGTTTCTTCATGTCTCATACAAGGCGATCTTCTTGCGGTAGCAAGTCGCTGTTTGTTCTTTACTCTTTCTATACGCAGTTTATTCGCGAAGCATAGAGAACGTCGATGTTTAATAATTCATCAAATATTAATGACTAGCCTTATTGAATACATCTCTGTCCGCGACGCGGACGACATACCGCGCTGTTTATTATGGTAATCTTGTTGTTACATGGAAAACATATCGCATACGGAAATGGCTACTCTTTTTTCCCCTCTCCATAATGCGGAGATAAATAGTCGGGTAGGAACACCCCGTGGCTGTATTAAAATTTCAAATACGCTCGAGGATGTCGCACGCGTGTCATTATTAATGCAGTTCGCATTGACGGAATAACACGGGCGATTTCTCGTCAGTTATTTTCGGACGCGCGTCTCGGTTCTTCGCATATATTATCAAGGCATGTTGGGAAAAGTAAGTACCGACTGAGTTGAGATTAGAAACGTGAAACGACTTGTAGTAAGACGAGGGAATTATGGACATCCTACCGGTGAACTTCAAAGTTCTGTGGTTCTGCGGCGCGTGGAAGGAGCGGAAAGACGAGAATATAGTTCTCGCGTTCTTGTATACTTGTTACAGGTAGTTATGAGCAACGTTCAATTAGAAAATAAAAATGGAAATTGGAAGAAAGTTGGATTAAAGGTGCAGGTCGCATGCAATTTTATTCGAGCGTGGGAATTTGTAGAAAATGAACGTTTCGGAGATAAAAATCCTCCCGACCTCGAAGAATTGGCTCAAGCTTATTTTGATTACGATGTTGATGTTCGCAGGTACGCGGTTTTCCTTTTGATATACGAGTCCACGATATTCGAGGTGATAGAATTATTTCGCACGCGCAATCATATGAGCGACGTGACGGAAGGACTCTTCCTGACGTCGACTTTTGTAACGTTGTGCCTGAAATACGCGAACTTCCTGCTGCGAAGAAACGAACTGTCGGCGCTGTTGGAATATCTGCGTATGAAAATATGCCAGCCGAGGAATTTCAAGGAGAGACTAATAATAGACGCACATAGTCGGAAAGGTAATAGAATAATCGTCGCGATCCTGATGTCAGGATCTGCATGTTCGTGCCATTCGATCGTCCATGCGAAATAAATTCCCGACGATCGGGCGATCACGACCGTGTAATTTTCGCTTGCGATTAAAAAAAATTCTTAAAGTCATTTGTGCGACTTTCCGTATGGTAAAGGGGAAAAAGAAGAGGAATCAAATTTATTAATAATTATAATTCTTAAATAAAAAATAAATAATAAGAATCGGATTGACCGATAAAAATCGACAGCTGGTTTTGGAGAGAACGAGAAATTGCCTTCGCGGATACGTTCCTGCCATTCTAATTTAACCGATATATTTATGACACCGAAAATGAATGATACAGCAAGTGGTCGAAACGTACGTTTGCGTGGAGGAAAGTTTTCACTTCACTTCTTGTTCGATGCAACGAAACATTTCTGTGCGCTCCAAGATTGGCCGTCCTGTTAAAAAATCACGTCCTCTAATCACACCGATCGAAATAATTCGTCACAGCCAAGTGGAGCGCTCTCTCCTTCCTGATAATCTCGCAGGCGACTAGTCTGGCCTTGATGATCGCGCCAGTTCTGGAAACAAATGCAGAAGAACGAGTGCTGCCCCTGAAATTGTATGTCCCTTATTCTATCACGAGATTGTTCCCGTACGCGGCTACGTATCTGCAGCACGTTCTAACGCTTTTCTACGCGGTGATGCTCAACGTCTCCTTCGACTCTCTCGTTTACGGCCTGACGATACACGCGTGCGGGCAGATCGAGTTGCTCGGTCGCCGATTAAAGGACGATCTCGCAGCCTCGGAGACTCTCGAGATGAGACCGGGCTCGAACACGTCGATCGAAGAGTGCGTCAGGCATCATGTACTCATGCACGCTTTTGTGAAGAGAGTAGGAGCGCTGTTCGTATGGACGGTCGCGGTCCTCTTCTTCTTCAGTCTGATCATTTTCTGCACCAGCATTTTCCTCATAACGAAGGTGGAGAGACAGAAGTATATTCGTACGGGATTAACACGCAGTTGATCTAGCTTTCACTTACGACCAAGTCAAGCTTTTTACAGTAGATATACATGTCACTCCGTGCGGTAGAGAGCTTCACGGTTTGTATGTCCCGTCGCGTGTTCTTTCGTGCGTTCCTCAATTCTGCCTATTTTCTTTTGCAGACGAAACTCTTCAGCGTCGAGTTTTTTTCTCTGATATTATACTTTAGCGGTATAATGTTGCAAATATTTTTTTACTGCTGGTACGGGAATGAGCTTGAACTGAAGGTGAAACGATTAATGCAATATTTTCATGTTTTACGTTCAGTGTCGTTACTCGTGGAGAGCGTCGTTTATCCTGCGAAAAGATGTCATATTAACGTACAGATGAAGACGTGCGGTTTCTGTTTGCAGAGCAGTGGAATCGCGAGAGCTATTTATTTTAGCAATTGGACGATGGTGACGCCGCAGGAACGCAAGTCTTTGATGCTCATTATGATAAACTGTCAGAAGGGATTCGTATTTTCCTATCATGGGACATTCACGTTGTGTCTGGACACTTTTACTTGGGTAAGCCGGCAGCAGCAACTAGATAGCAGCAATAAGTATGTGTTTAAATTGATCGTCAGTTTGCCACAGTCAGAGCCAATGGCTCTCGGGCTTATTGCTATCGCTACTGCTATTTATCTCCAAGTGAATGTGAGAAAGAAGGCGAAGCAAGAACTACACGGATATAGAGATATCGTGATGACGTAACTCGAATTTCGTTTCCTCAGATTTTCAAGACGTCTTACTCGGCTTTCAATCTTCTGCAGCAAGCGTCGGATTAATCAACGTTCGCATCAACGTGTGTCTAGCGTGAGGGAGAGACATGATGTTTATTTTGTACGTAGTTGTGCGTATACATATATATTTTATTAACATATATACACGGCACTCTCGTGTGTATACAAACCTGTGTAAAAATTGCATCCGGATCATTACGAAAGTCGAACAATTAACGCAAGCGTGACTAAGTGCCGTCCATGTCACGCTTCGTAGTGATGAGAATTCAACTTTGTTTCGTTCCGCAAGAAGAGTCTCGCCGGAAGAGCAATTTATTGGACATGCGCGAAAAGAAGAGATGCCTACGCGTCGTTAACGGACGTGATGAGGTAGTAGAGATGTACGATTTTAATAATTCTACTAATTAACACACACCGCCCGGAAGCATACCGAGGAAGCGAGTGTGCGCGTGAACGCGAACTTGCGTGCAAGAATTAAGAGCACATGTTGCATTAACGCAAACAGTTTTATCTCTGATAACGATTTACGTCACGAGAATTTATTTGCGCAGGTGTATGACAAGGCGGTGTGCGTAATTATAATTTTCTTAGATATTCTTCTAACAAATATATTCTGATAAATTAGCGATTAGGTGAGATAATTTCAGAGATAAAGCCATCAGGAGTGAAATTATCAGAATATAAATATACGCGTATATGGCACTGTTCTGGCGATGTATTTGTATTAAATCGATGATGCGTACTGATAAAGAGACCGAGAGGCTAAAGATACTTTCCATAGTTCTCTCGTGATTCGTCGTCCTTAGCCGACAGACGGTCCTCAGCTGGACAATCCGGCCAACTTCGTCACGAAGACGTCCCATTTGGCATGCCACCGGGTTATGGCGTTTTGCTTCTCCGACCTGTTCATGCTGCTGTAGGCAAACGAGTTCAGCGCCAGTTTCTTGAGACTTCTGAGATCCGAACCCGCGCTCATAATGCCCATGAAAGCCTCGTAAAAGTCGTAGCTCAGTCCTTTAGCGCCCCAGAGCGCGGGGTCGTCGTTGGAGATCACCATCGGCGACCCCGACGCGAACAGGTTGGCCGCCGGGTGATTCCTCATGTCGTTCACGAGGCCGAGAACCTGATTCGAGATGGGGCAGACCTCTACGGCGATTCCCAGATGCTTCACGAGATCCCACAGGAGCGGGTGCTTCGTCAACGCGTACCTGAAGAAGTACAGCCGTTGACGTTTCGAAACTCCGTCTGCTTTACACCGATTGTTAATAATGCGAAGCGAGCCAAGGAGTATCCTTGTGCAAATCATACTTCTTACATCATACTTCTCTCCTTGAACCTTTGAGCCGACAATCAGACGAGACGCGAGATCCCGTTGAATAATTTCGCAGATAATTAGAAAGATCGAAAACACCGACCTTTCGACTTCTCGTTGTTTCCGATTAAATTTTTTTCTTATTGAAACTTTGCGGTCGACTCTTGCTTGTCTCATGCATAGAGCAGCAGCCGCTGATACTAACCCGTGGCCGATGCGTCTAGTGTTGAGCAAGAAAGCGTCGAGGATATTCATGTCGGTGGACCATCCGTTCCAGTTGGTTTCCCCGGCGTGGAAGAAGAACTGAATTTGCGGGTCGACGGAGTTCAGCTTGTCCGCGAACGCGATGAGGGGTTGGCCTTTGTCCTCCTGGCCGACCAGGTCGAAACCAACCACGAAGTTCGGGTAACGTTTCCTCAGCTGCGCCATTATTTCCAGATAATTGTCCACTTGTTCGACGTCAACGGCTCGAGACGGGGCGTATATGAGCTTAACACCGATGAAATCGGGATGGTCGTTCGTGAATCTGTATGTGCATCTGTTCATCACATCTGCTCCTACACGTGCAACTTTTTTTTTTCCTTTCTAACACGTAACCGGCGTAAATTGCGCAAAACTACACCGAGATAGCCGTAGTAATTGTTTCCGACGATAAAAGAAGAATTGTTGCATAACAATATCAGTAAAGTCAGTAGAGTATGCTGTCTATCTCGAGGAATTCCTCTCTTTATCGGAGAGGTAGGATAACGTGAGATAGCCGGCTAGATCGAATTCTACAGACCCAAGTATAAAATGAATTCGAATTGAAGTGTATTAAAAAGTATTGACATTTTGAATACGTCTGAGTTCTGCTTTCTGATCCGAAGAAAGGGATCGAAAAGTATTGGTTCCCATTAAATTTCACCGCGCTAAATGCAGTGACGGCGGTGGTGAATGCTTCGCATTAAAAAGGATTCGATTCATTCCGAATATGCCTTGCATTCAATCGCAATCGATAATTTTCAAATGCGAACTTTCGCATTTGAAAAGTATTCACTTCTTCTCCTAATTGTTTTCGGATTCAGAGGCATACAAGATTTTCACGTTCTATTCCCCGTAGCATTGAAAAGTATTGGCCCGCGATCCAATCCGAGATTTCCAGCAAAGCAGAATTCACGACGAAATCTCGTGAATGCGAAACAATACTTTGAAATACGACGTTTTATACAGGGGGAACAAGATACTGAAAATATTTCACCTCTCGGCGATGTCCTTGTGGATCTGCACGGTTTCCAGCGGGCTGTACGTCTTGCCATCGAGATCGTACAACGTGGCCAAGGTCGTTCGCACTTCCACGTACATGACGTTGTCATCGTAGAACTCCTGCAGGGCCTGGTAGAACTGGTCCTCGTAGACGGGTTTGTAGGTCAGCATGGGCGTGATGAAGCTGAAGATTCTGTTGAACTTCTTCCACGCCTTATCAACGGTGTCGTAGGCGTTCCGAGGATTTTGCGTTATCATCGTCATCTCCTTCGCGATTCTATCGTTGATGGCGTCAGCCTGCTTCGGGTCCTGTCGCAAGTCGCTCAGCAATCGCCAGTCGCACTTGTCGTCGGGAGCGTCAAAGAACCTGGCGTGCAGGGTGCCGTTCTCGTCGCAGATGTACAAGTTGTCGCGGTAAGTGATATTGTGCAGCTTGTAGTCGTGGGAGACGATAGCGGTGTCGTGGCAGTGGAGGATGCCGCCTTTGGGTAGGTCGCGCAGGATCTTGAAGACCTGGGATTTTTCGATTTCCGGTATCACCTCCATAAAATTCCGCGCCGGCAGGAAACTGTCGTTGTGGAAACCTGCGAAGGGACACGGGGAGGTTTGTGCGTTCAGTGTCAATGAGATATGTTGTGAGTGAATAAGTCGCCCGACACGCGTCCGTCGCAACACTCAATAGTGTTGTTTCGCGTGGCCATGTGGTTTCGCGGTTTTACACGAAGCCGTTGATAATTGACCGTCACACAAGGCCGTTGATAAGTTGATAGTTATATTATACGGTTGCAATTACAACTGATAGTGATATAACTTCAGTATGTTAATTACGAAGTAGCCTGCTGCGTTTCCCGTGACGTAAATAAATCTAGGAACTGAATCATACGATAGAGCGCTATCGATCTTTTGGATCGGCAAGTTTGCATCGCGCGAGGGGATTCAGGCGATTAAAAACAAATGACCGGTACCTTAAATTTTTTAGGGAATTCTTCAAACTGTTTCATACTTGCGACGGAGCTCGCGAATCTGTCTTACCGGATGTTTCGCGATAGACCAGAATGATTGAATAGACTAGAAAGCTATAATCAGAAAGATTGTAAAATCAACTTTCCCGTTCATGCAAAGACATTTCATTCTATGCTCTCTACTTATTAATTTATGTGGAATCCTCGGTCGCGTCAGTTGTTATAAAATACTTTGTATAGAAAAAAAAGGAAAATAAAAAAAGAAAAAACAAGGAAAAATAAAAAAGAAGAAAAAAAGAAAAAATAAGAAAAAATCTGGCAACATTCCTCTCAAACGGCCATTCCTTCCATCGGCTCTATCTTCTAACTCGCGCACATGCTCCAAGAGATTCTCACTTATTCAGACAACCGACAAACACGAATTTTAACGTACGCACGATTACGATGTACGTGATCCCAAAAATGTACGACTATCAGTCACGGGACTGGTCGCGGACCGATCGCAAAGGAAAAACATCGAACCATTGTAGATCTCTAGATCCTTGGCCGCCATCAGGACCTGATTAGCTTTGGTTTCGACGGGCCCCAATTCCAAATCGCCGCCCAACGACTGCCGTTTCTCGTCCATTAGCAATTGCCTCCGTAATTGCCAGTAACTGGATTGTTTTATCATCGCATGAATCGCGTCGCCGCTCATCAGGATCGGCAAGGCGAGCAACAGCAATCTGGCCATGATTGTGGTCTCCGGAGCAACTTGTTGAGTCGCGCGTTGGAAAATCGATCTTGCCGAGATGCAGCGAATTCTGCATGCGGGTCTGATGCGAGCGTCACGGCCGCTCAAACTCTACTGAATGACTCCTTTCCACCGGGAGACGACGAGCGATGCGTGAAGCGCACTTGCAACCAGTAGTTCGATAACGAACACTCACCGCCCGTTCTCGGTCAGCGTGTACTTTCTCATCGCTTTTCCCATAAATTAACACGAAAATTTAGTTAAACACACCGTGAACGCATCGTGCGTCCGCTTATGGTCTTTAGATCACCGCTCACGTTTGGTCAGATTTCTACCTGTTCCCCCTGACTTCTCCATTTCACCGGACAAACGGAAAACTCAAAAAAGAAAAATAAGAGTCTAAAGTTCTTTTCGTTGCGTTTCCATCAGAGCTGACTAAACCCATAAGAGTGAAAGTTTCCTCGACGAGGCAATTTACGATGAAAACGAGTACGTCCCGAATTAATCTGTATCTGGGAATGAAGGGCACACACATCGAAAATCGTCGGAAAACGAATGAGAGGATGAATGTACGAAGATATATTTCATGCTTTGTATGAGAAAACATTAAAGTATCAAATATCCCTCAAAACTTACAATAATCCTAATTTTATATTTTTACTTGCGGAAACACGAGAGGACAGCCTATTTATTTTCGATGGATGTTAAGACACTCAATGTCTTAATATCGCCTCGTTGCTTACTGAAGATTGTTCCTAATAGTTTCCAAGAAAATAACTTGAACACACTGCGCGCGAATCAGTCGCATAGTGTGTTCGTTTGGACCATTAATAAAAATAGCGTGACGTGTGCACAATCAAGATAGTTGCCAGATAAACATATCGAATTACATGTGGATCGATAGAAGTGTTATTTTTTTCATTCATGTTGAAGAGCAATAACTGCGCAGCTATTGAATTTGCGCATACGTGTATAGATTGATCGAGGTTCAGAGATAAGTGCTGTTGTGTCGTTGAATATAAATAACTTAATCTTATCTCCATTAAGTTATTACATGTGATAATTGGGATACAATAAAATATGCATGCGGGAGCAGGTAATTACAATATGAAAGGGCGAAACATTGTTTTGTTGAAAATAATAACATAGGTCAAATCCAATATATATAAAGTTACATAATGTCTGCTTATCGATGCAACTTACTTTCTAAAGTCGATAAATTGAAAATGCACAAGACGGCAACTTATTTCTGAAATATCTTTGTATTCCTACATCATCCTTTAGACGTTTGTTCCTCGAATCGTTGCAGATTTCTCGTTTATGCCACTTTGAAAACCTATGGATTACATCATGAATCGGTAGAAGAGCGGTACCGTCTCTCGTTTTAATTAACATATCCTGGAGAATAAATACATTCGAACGAATGCAATCGTACAAGTGCGCGGGAAGCTGACGGAAAAATGATGGCGAACAAAAAACACCAGTATGTCGCACGACACATATATTGAATCATTATACAAAATAGTCTACACATTTTTACACGTATAACTTAACGAAAAATATCTTTTCGTAGTATCCCGAGAGAACGGGGGACCTTCAAGTCACGTACAAAGATCGAAACATTTGTGATTATCCGTCGTGTTTGAGAAACATTTAATATCGCAGTTAAATTACACGCGATTTACAAAAACACCATCGCGTAACATCTTGAAAATCGTGATCTCAGATTTGATTGACGTTGACACTGTATTTAAAAATATCATTTTTCTTGCTGCATGTGTAACTAATAAAATATTAAAGCTTTCTATAAACAGGCCACAATAAATATTACGTTGCTATCCGCGACATAGTGCAAATAGTCAGAATGCCTTCATTCGTTTGAGTGTACCTGCTGTAAAACTTTCATAAATTGTTGTCAAGGTTATTCGATGAAGACGATACAGATATTAATAATAAGTCAATAGAGATATTAATTATAAATTAATAGAGAAAGGAACCAGCCGATATAAATCTTATTAGCTGTTGTCAGTGCGAAAATTTCATACTAAGCCTTCATACTTACTGAACGTCAAACGTTTTAACGTCTTTACGTTTAATCGTAAAAAATAGCATCCCACGACATTTAACTCCTACGTTTGAAATCATGCATTGCTTTGGTATTTTTATAACAATCACACATATACACAACTCAATTGATAATAGGATGACAAATGCTCGCTCTCGTGTAAGTTCAATCTTGCGCCCGTGCCTCGCGCTTCGCGTATATATTTGGCGCGAGATCCTACCATATCTTTGAATGAAAAGTCTCGCATACATTCTAATCCAAGTCTTTCAGCAAATTAAATCCTTTCACCTCTCGCTATCTCCCAGATTTCACACACAGATATAAGGGAGCCTCATACACATGTTCACATACAATTGCAACCAGGGGATATATACCATATACCCGTGTATAAAAGATTTTTTTTGTCGTTGATTATTACATCAGTTACAGAGGAATGCACACGTTACTCTTGGTCGTTATCCGTTCTCCAATGCAATTCGTATCACGAGTGGGGAAATTGGTCAAAGCTAGGAATCGTTCAACTTCAAGACGGCGATGCGATTATCTTAAATTACATCTATCAGTCCAGCTGTAATAAAGATGTAACGACGAAATTATAAAACAGGATCGAACGTCGATTATCTCAGAGTGACTCTCGGCTCGTTTTGTCTCGCATTCTGATAAGTACAACTTTCTTTATTCATTGAATCTTACGGAATTTTAACAAATAAGCCGTAAAAACTTCTTTTTTGACTTTTTAGGCGTTCGAAATTTAAAATGTACATTGTAACATGATAAATAATACATATATTAAGTTCTGCTAATTTTACATTTTGTGTAATGAATGTATTGTCAATGTCATCGATATATACATATACATATATTTGTGCTAATTCAACTGTGTCATATAGGAATACAGCGAAACATTAATCATTAAAACAAAACTAAAGGAATTAAATATAAATTCTATTTACAACAAAAAATAAATATATATTTTATGCCCGAAAAAAATAATATAAGCCTTGCTCATGAAACATATAACGTTATTTATCAATTTCGTTCATGTATATCTCGTGTCTCTTATTGTCTCGTTACTCTCGTACAATCGCGCATTATATAAAGAATCGCAAGTGTTGCATGTTGATCGATACCTTCGATACAATTTCGACCCTACCGTACAATGATTGCTTTCCCGTGGTCAGAAAGCGAATCCGCTTGGATGTTTGATTAAATGTCTTGAATACAAATGCTTATTCTGGTATTGGACCGTAACTTGCTGGCGTAAATCATCACGAAAATAAATTCTTACTTTGAAGTCGCCAAGTTACGACTTGATCATATGTGAATCACTTTCGCGTAAGTATAAATAGTTTAAGTAGAAATATTCGTCTCCGTCCGCGGCTGTGCAACCTTCTACAAGGTTGCATCAGTTGCCTCATTGGTAGTGCCGTTTTTAAACCATTACCATCAAAATGCAGTAGTAGCAAATAAATATCAGTTAAGTCGCACAATCGCCCAGGATGGCGTGGCACAATTTAACCTATCGTTTAAAATATATCGTCTAACGTGAGAAATTATTGTACATCGCGTTGTGTGCATTAGCTTTATCAATATGAATTCATCAGGGTGGATCAAGACACTCTTGATCTACCCGGTATTCAAATATGCAGTTTTTGTTGTTTAAGATTAACCCATTATATCCCACAGAATAAGGTTGCAATTTACAGATATACATATACATTGTGGACGAGTAAGATATTTTTGACCATCATGATATGGAATATCAATGGATTAAATGTTATACATTAATTGTATCACATATGCACCTAATTTTTTTTACATATCATACGATATGCAATAAAAATAAATTAAATTAGACCGATTTTCGTAATTCTGATATTTCTAGTAATTTGATACGCGGTACACGTACGATATTGTGTAATTTAATGTTATCTGTATTACATAATATCTATGAATCATTACATGATAATGTATGCGCGAATACGTGATATTACAATTTTATGAAAAAATTTCCCTCCCATGCGCAATATGTAAATATAATATAATAATCGGCGATAAAGTTGGATTTGTGAAACACAGTGTGTCGTCTTGTGTGTGATTTGTTTATAAATTCATTTAGAAAAGTATTATTTACAAAATTTGTAATATACATTCGAGTACACTAGTTAAATTATAGATTTGCGAAACAATGAGTTCGATTTTAATCGATTTCTTCGCAAATCCAACGTTATAACTGACCAGACACTTTTTCACTTTATCAATTCCAGGTTAAACGACGCGTATGCAATGTTTGTACAGCGGCGATCTTCCATATCGATAAAGCTAATATAATCCTAAATTGTAATTGAGACGCGTTTTTATATAAATACAGTAAGTTGATATATAGCCTATGAATATACGTACTGTACATAAATACAGATTATCAGTGAGGAATACAGAAAATTTTTCGTATTGCATTGAACTCACATTCATTGTGTGTACATATATCGTAATCGCTTGTACAGTGAGCACCACTAGCAACCTGTTAACGACCATCGAAGGCCCTGTTATCAAACCGCTGCTCTATAGAAGATCCCTGAGGAAGAAGCGTCAATATTAGTAAAATATTAAAAATCCACTTCGTTTCTCGCTGTTTTCTCCGGGAAATTAGGCTGTCTAATTTTGTTACGCTAAATTGTACGCGACAATAAAAACTTCACTAACTGTAACCTCATGTATAAAGAGATGCGAGCAACAATTTGGTTGGCGTCCCAAAACCACCTTTAATTTCAAAGTTGCCTATCATCAGTGAGCAAACGTCTCTTATTGTACAGTCGTATTTATCACTTGTTTCTCCTGTATCGTTTGTGAAAGTAAATGCAATTCCTCTCTCTCTCTCTCTCTCTCTCTCTCTCTCTCTGCATGTACCGTGAAATGAAAAGTACCAAACGTTTTTCTACAATGTACTACCGTCTCTTCAGTATCCTTGATACATCATCTCGTTGTAGATAACTTTAGCTGCCTAAAAGGGCAACCAACGGGGTCAAGTGCAGTGTTGACTGATCTTAAGAGACCACAATGCGTGATACGTTTGGCAATCAACGTTCAATAATCCGAGTACATTAACCGAGCTAAATTAGGTTAAGAGGCTTTCAAAGCTTTGTCTGCGTGCGCTAGGGTCAGAGATCCCACAAGAGACACCAGCGTTCGATCCAGCCATGTTATAGGATTTGGATACAGAAGACCTCCTTCGTAAAAACCTAGATGACCTCCATGCGCTAATTCCACATATAACGTGTTTAAGCGATTTACTGGCGATGAAAAAAACCACAATATTAGTTGATTCTAAACGTGTCGTTCCACTTACCGCGCGCGTATGTTACGCGAGTGGCACACTTACCCGCGTGTTCTTTAATTGGATTTAGCAGCACTTCTGGTACGATCGGATCGTCTAACGCATTAATGAATACCATAGGCGTTGTAATATTGTCCAGATAAAAGACGCAACTGCTCCACTTGTACAGCTCTTGTACAGACCTAAAGTTATGTACCTGAAACGCGGGAGAATATTTTTAAATATGATATTCGTCGATTAGAGGATGCTAATAAGATATTATTTCTCTTTTTCTCTTCTTTTTTTTTTTTAAGCAGAAGGATTTTACCTACCCTTCTCGTGTACGCTTCATCCAATTCGGGTAATGTCGCAGCGGATATTATATCGCGCTCGTTCAAGTTACATTTCTGTTTTACGTCCTCCGACAAAAGCACGTTTTTATGTCGAAGTATAAGATTCTTCATTGACTCTGTCATTGCGTAAAGGTAGAAGCGTCTGAAGTTCTGCCAGTTTAACAGAATCTTCGTCCCTCTGAAACGCGGATTAATTATACATCTCTATTTCCCTCCTCTCGCGTCGTCTCGCGATTTATCTTCGTTATTATATTTGACATATAGTGAAATGAATTTCTGCTTAGGCTTACTCGAGAGCATTGTATCCTTGGCAGATTGATATACCGCCTATAATGTTGGACAATTTGTTAGAACCGCGTTCTCCTAGATATTTCGTTACTAAATTACCGCCCAAACTGTATCCGATACAAACTATCCTGGTGTTGGGATGCTTCTCCACCAAACTTTGCAGCATCATACTGTAATCTTCCGTGTGACCTGTTTACAAAATAGTATAATAGCAGCGCGATAGAAAATCGATTAATTCAAGATACTTGTCCGCTCGAATGAAAATTGTTCCCTTCGTCGAAAATTCCCCTACATAAGCACAGTATATATTATAAAATATAACCGAATATGAAATTATTATCTTTCTCTTTCGAACATGTCAACATTCTATTCGCAAAGTGTTTCGACGTCAGTCATCAGTCATCTTTATGCGTGCAATTAGAAATCATACGACAGCTTAACCCAGAAACTTTGTAGACACTGCTGTTTGCGTTCCCTTTTTATTTGCCCACACTCGCGTGTTGTGGACACTCGGTTATTATCCGCTGACTTTCCTCGATCGACCGCCTCGAAGCTCCGGGACAGAAGTCTTATCGATCGCCACGTACCGTAAGAGAATATTCTAGGCGCTGTGATCTTGACACTGGATAGGGCCCCGACGTGATTAAGTACCGCACATCGATAACCGTGGCATTGCACGAAGTGCACGAACGTCCTGATGTAAACACTCTCCGAGCTGTTTCCGATTCCGGGACAGATGGCTATCGTTATGTCATCTGAAACACGGTAGAGCAGTATATACTTGTAGTTTCATCGATTCTCCCTCCAAATCTCCGAACTTCCTCTTGCGGAAGCGTGCCATTCTTCTTCATCGTCGAGCGCGCTCAAGAAGTAAATACCAACATAACACAAAGGATCGATTGTTTGTCAGTGCACAAGGCTTTCACTGTTTCGTTCTTCTTTTCAGTTATCTGGTCGTAGTTTTAGATCGAGCTTGCTTGCGCGTGCGTCCGCTCGACACGATAAACGCTCAATCATGATTAATTATACGATTTTTATAAATTAAAGTTTACAACGCACATTCTAACGGTTTTGCTTTTTTTATCACTGAATCGAAAGCAAGGATTGAATATTAATTTTAAGATTGACAAATTTTAACGATATAGACGGATATCGGAGAAGATTGGATTCATTGGCGCGATAAGAACGTCTTTCAGGCTCCAACTGGCCGACTTCTATATTTATCGATCGAACATATCAACGAGTTTAATTTTTCCACAAAAAATTTGGTCTCTATTTCACAGATGAGATATAAGCGCATCGCTATAAAGGACTCCTATAGTTAGTTAGTTCTTTCTGGATAATCACGCGTCACGAGTTTACGCACCTTCATGCCCGTGGGTGAGGGGTTGATAAAGATCGTACGTAAGCGTGGTCTCGTCCGGAAGAGTGATATACACGCGTTCGCCAATGGGCCAAGGGCACCGAACGCGCCCTATGACGCTGTGGATGATGGTTTGTACGTGCCCGCTGAAACCCCACAACCTTGTCGGCTTGTATCTGAAACGGGTCAAGGACCGTCACCATTTTAGCTTGCACCGAAACTGCTCATCATTCGTTAAGAGCTTACAACTGCTTTTTAACTTTCCCGATTTCCGTGAATTATTCCGCTTATACTCTCGACAACCGACCCGCCGAAGGCCTATGAATTATTTCAAGGGAACTTCACGATGGAATAGAATAGCGAAATAACGTCAATTATAACGCCCGAGCGTTTTTAACGGTAAATTGTTTTTGGAAAGCGTCCATGACACATTTTGTTCAAGAGACATTGGTCGTTTAAGGAAACGGATGAGAAACCTTTCTCTCTCTCTCTCTCTCTCTCTCTCTCTCTCTCTCTCTCTCTCTCTCTCTCTCTCTGTCACTCATAGTTCCTTTATGACACTCTGCAAACACAGATAAAGCGTAACTCTTATTCATGAGTTTCCGGGTACTCTAGATTGTCTTATAATTATATAGCGTTGCAATGATATTCAAAGCGTCTTAATGAACGCAGTCGGGTGAAAGCCTTAGAAAATCGATGTCAAGTTAATATTTCCAATTGACACAAAGCCGGTACATGTGAATTATATATTGTGCGCGATAAGCAAATGTTTAAATAAATTTACAATGAAATATGCAGCGCGTTCCTCCTAAGTCGTCCGAATAAGTCCGAATAAGTCACAATAGGTCATCGATAATGAAAATGTGTCGGGCACATGACAACGAACAAATATCGATCTCTCAAGACACATTTATGAGAAATATCTCATTCTGTCCCGTTATTTGATTACTTTCGAGACTGGAAGAGCGGAAAATTGTTAACGCTAACACAGCGCGACACAATGTACCATTCGCATTTCTCTCGAAATCCGAGCGATGCGAAACGGTGAAAAGCGAAGTCGAACAATGCGCCGCATCGTTAAACTTGTTCATAGGGAATTGCAAGAAGTCGCAGTAGATCAGTGGAGCACGGCTGGGCACGCTAAGTAAAACAAACATGCGAAAAGAACGGTTTATTATCACGGGACGAAGAGATTCTCGCGCACCAGACACGGTTTTCCGTGAAAACGCGCTCTTTACGATCACTGTAAATCATGGCGCGCGCCTGTCTGGCGTTAAAATTCATGTTCACCGACAAGAAAACTGCAGAGCCGGTCGTGAACGTAGCGAAATAACAATCATCCATTCCAGGCGAACGTCCCGAATTTACGACAATTCCCGACTCATGGACGAGAAATCGTATAAATTTTACCGTACCGAAAAGTGTCTCGAACGCGTTTCTCCTGCCGTTGCCGCTTTTCGCAAGTCGCGCGAAAATTGCGATGGCACCCAACAATTGCCCGAGCAGCAATAATAAAATGGAAATATTGGCTAAAATCCATGCGCACCCACAAATGTCGAAGGACGTATGGAGGTTGTTTGACGATTATTAATTCGATGGCACATGCACGGAAGATCGCATCGCGCGTCTCTAACTGTTGCATTTTAATGAGAGAAATATGTAAAGTTGCATACGACAACGGATCGATAAAATACGCTGACGCGGCATCGATTGCCCCTCGAACGAAGCCTGCTCGCGGGAAATGCGCGCGACTCGCTTTTACTCGCGGGAGTTATTTATCGTCATCCTCATCTCTGAGAAAGCGCATTTAAATACAAAAGATGCGCGATCCTCGCAAAGAGGACCATCCTCCGTGCAGCCGCACGAGGAGGGGGTTGGATCTTGAATTAATCGAAAGTTGTCGGAGCAAAAAAATTACCGGGAGGAGCGTCACAATTACGAGGATGCTCTACATATTACACGTGGAAATTTCATACGTCGCTGTTCACATTCACCTCGCGTCCACCTGGACTGCTTTATTAGCGCGAGCGGCTCCGCGATTCGACGGATCGCTCGTAACTGCCGTTTTCCACTACGCCTAATGCGTTCCCTAATACCACGTTTTCACTGGTGCCGCAAACGATACAAAATATCGAACTTAATTGGTCTAACAAGCGTCCCGGACGCTTTTCTACGCTTCTTTTCTATCCTGTGCTCTCGTACTTTCTATTCAATTCGGTTTTTCTCGAGCAGGCGCGAGAGGCGCTAGAAGAGAAAAGATCTCCCGCAAATTACAGGCCGAAGTAAAATTCCTCTCTCACATACGATGAGTCGGCGCTTAAAAGTTACGACGCAGTCGCAGCCGACAAAACGTCGCAATATGCCATTGTAATTTCTGCGAGGAGAAATGTGTCAATACTGGCTGTCGCGGTCATCGCGAAGTCATCGCGCGAATTAGACGCTATAGGGAAAAGTAGGGTAAACTACGCCAGGCCGCTAAACTGCCAAAGACAGCAGAAAGAGCTCTGCTCTTTCCATAACGACCGCCTTCCGTTACGGTTGTTACTCCATTTTTTCGTCGATAAAACGGCCGGGAAACCTTCGCCGTGGAATGACTCTATCTTTCATCCCGCCCATCCTGCGACGATACACGCTTCTTTGCAGGGGGAACGAAGGAATTTATGCCGCACTAAGGCGATAGCAACAACGACGTATGTTGCTCGTCGGAGGATTAGACGTCTCCTTTCGCAATTCCCTGAGAGAAAAAACTGATGCATTTTCGGGAATTTTCCACGAAGGAACGCGCGCGATGAAATTAAGCAAGTACATGATTACATTCTCGGTGGAGGAATTAACAGAAGCAAAAAGGTAGGATATTAAAAATGACATGGAAAGAAAAGGATAAAGGATTACAGGAAAAGGGGAAAAGAAAGGGAAATCAAAAGAATAATTAAAGGTAAGAAATGAATAAGAGTAAATATGATCAATGTGACTTTAGGCGATAAATAGAAGAATATATAATAAAGGGAAGGAAAATGTGTAAATAGCGATTAATAAGGTGCAGACAAATATAGCAGACAAGAGAGATGTAAGATATAAGAAATAAATGATTCAATGCGAAAGAATAGGATAGGGTATAGGATTAAGAAGAACAAAGGCAGAATAGGAGAGTGTAATAGAAGGCAAGGGTGACGTAGGAATGGATGGACGGATGAGTGTGGATAATTTGCAAAGTCTACTCTTGGCGGTAAGCTGAAGAATAAATATACATAACTACATTCTTCACGGCTTTATCGTTCTTTCTAAAAACGAACAAAACAAAAAGGAGGAAGGTAAAAGGAAAAAAAAGGAAAACCTCGAGTAACCTCGAGTACGCAAATGAAACGCATCATCGACATATCGGGCGAAGTAAGTTCGCGAACATTTCTGAAAGCATTCTGAAGCATTATGAAACAATCCGCCGAAAAGAAGCGCAACGGGAACGTCGAATTTACATTTTCGATTTACGTTATTACGGCAACCGCGACGTTTGTTGTCGCGGCCAGGAATACATCGGTTTATGTTATGGCCGACAAAAATATTCCGCCGCGTACTTTGTCGAGGGAACGTGTCCTTCCTTTTATCGGTCTGTGCAATCGCATTTATTAAAAAGGTAAACTTGCGTTAGATAGGTCGCAACGTGCAGTTTTCACAGTCACGGTCATGGGTGGTATTATCGATCAGGACGCCTGGAAGCTATCCACATTCGCCGGACGTTATTGCGCCGTTCGTGCAGGTATGCTGACCATTTTTCCAGGAGCATTACCTGGATAGCCCGCGCGAACTCTCGACGATCCACTTGTTCGACATTCTGCATTAGTAATTAAAGCGCATCGGCCAGGTAAAATTTACGTCATCGAGGAGCACCGACGAGGAGACTCGATCATAAACTTCAACTCCATATACATGTAAGTGCTCAGGCGTAATATTAATGCACGCTTCGGCCGTTTTAACTTTAGCCGACCTCATGCCGCGTTAAATTCTCTAATACGACTTTGCGTGACTTCTTGCTCGGATCGCAATTCAATTTTTTTCGCGCACATGTGGAGTTGCCTCACGGCGACTCGGAGACCGCCGAGTCACCGGGGTGAGATATGAAACACGCGCGTGACTTGGAAGGACGGCTGCCCCTTCTCCGCTCTTTTTATTTTTCTTTTTATTCCCGTGTGGACGAAAAGAAAAAAAGTCAACCGACATGCGGTATGATACAGGAGACCGGCGCGTTGCCGGTCGCGGATTAGTTATTGGAAAGAAGAAACGGACGGTAATGACGGAGAGAGAAGTCGCTCGTTCTCATGCCGTTCTCTCGTTCGCTCGCTCGCCCATGAAGATGACTTCGTGCGACTTACAGGCCGCGAGCAATTTAGTTTTTCGTGACGCGAGGTCAGTCAAGGATGAACGAGCTGGAGACCTGGAAGAGCGTGAGCGCGCGATCATCACGCGCGGAATCTGCAATTTCCAATTCCCCCGGATTCGAGAGCGTTCTCGACTCGTTCTCGGCGATGGCAGCGCGGAACGATCACGCACGGAGAGAGCAGAAGCGCGCGAAGCCAACAGGTTGACGACGATCTTGGAGGAACTTGGGCTTCGTCTCAAGCTGGACTGCAGAAGACCCTCCGCGAAGTCGCGAAGTCGGATGATCGATCGATCAGCCATAGTGCTCGCGATGGATAAAGCGGCCTTGGGAATTACTGCGATTACGGATAGATATTACGGAATCGATATCTATACGCTGGCTACTTGCCGGCTATCACTTCGCCTTACTGCGACGTTGATAAGAGTTCGGCGAAGTCGTTATCTGCGACTCTGGTCGCAGAACGCGCGCGCGAGTTGCGTGACCATACTTCGACTTCGATTGAATTCGCCGGTGACACGGACGAGCGAGCACGCTCGCATGCTGTTGTTCCGCATGAGACAATGCTACGAATTGTGCATTGCGTGTTTCCGCTTTCTTAAGCGCTTTCACGCGACGCGATCGAGAGAGGAAAGAAATCGTAATTAGCGATGCGCTCGTCCGACTGATGTTTCAGTCAAGTTTCGCCTTAAATTCCGACCGAGATGATTATTCCGCGGGCGTATTCGGCGTTACGCCGGGGAACTTCTAAATGACTATCGATGCGCTTTCGCGTAGTCGATGATTCGCGAAAGAAAGAGCATACACGTGTGCATCCAGCCGGCGCGGGCGGGCGGATAGGAAAAACGACGCGGTGATAAAATAGAAGTATGACTCACGATAATTGTCATAAATCCGACAAGCCCGTGACGTATTAACATTAGCATTCGACGAGGCGAGTATCGCCTCGACAACGGAAATCAGAGCCGTAATTTTAACGATAAGCCGTCCGCATCATCGATTTCATCTCCGCTGAGAAGTGAAACTATATAATACCCCCCGTTGTATCTAAACGTCATGATATAATTTGGCAAAAAATGCCGGAAAACACGAAGTACGCGCGCTCAAACGCGAAACTTTTACGTAAGTCTTATCGATAATTCAAAGTATTAATTATCCGTTGTCCATCGTAAGCTAATTTTATTTCCTTCGTTGGTAGCTTCGAAGTAAGAAGGTTTATTTTGCAACTTGTAACTTACGACGATGTACACACGCTGTTACATCCGCCGACAAATCCCGATATCCGAAATGGATACAGTTTCTATCTCCGCGCGTTAAAAATTGCAGACTAAACGTCAAGTTTTACATTTCGGTTAATCTCGATCTGCTTCTGGAACGACAAAATTAAAAATGTGAGAATCGATAAACTCGCTGGTAATTTCAGCGAGTTCGATGGATGCGTGTTACGTAACGGTTAAAGTGTAACATAAGCTTGCTCTTATTCTATTTGCATCATATGATCCGAACGTGATCTCGTCGAATGGGATAGAGATTTATGATACGCGAATGACACACACGCGACACACATGATGTACTTCTCTTTCGCACGCAAGCAATGATAAAAGGCAGCAATGTTTACGTTTCTTTTCGTGACACGGAAGTTACACTGATTGCGTGGTGTTTCATCCATGGTAATGGACAGAAAATTCCGTTAGAACATTAACTTTTCCCTATCGGCGGTTCACGCGTTCTCTCGAAGCTCACCGCGTTGGAATCTTGTATAGCTAAAGATAAATCGAGACAATCAAGCTTGCATTAAGCAACTTCAGACCTTTCACACTTGAGAAATCGCATCTCTGTCAAACTTTGTCGAACATTTTCTTGCAATGATTCTTGCATACGATTTTAATATGTACCTTTCAAGTACGAATTTCGTACGATTGATTGCACAATGTGAAAGCAATAAACACTGTTTGTTACTTTCACAAGCCACTGTATATTTCCTTCAAGCGTATCTTTCTGAAGCAGACGAAATAGAGATGAGTGTTATCTCATCTCATCCCGATTGCAAACGTTATTTATAAAGGTAAACATATGCGAGTAATTAATGAAACACTCGCATCGTTTTCTGCATATCAACTGTGTGATTTAGTAAATAGAAGGAAGCATGTATTATCTCACTTAGATAATATGATATCTTTATTATATATTTTTAGAATTTACTAAATGATTTAGTGCCACTGTCTATATGTCAATTTAAGGTTTCATAATGGTAGAAAAATATGCCTTTCAAGAATGTGCATTCTCAATTATAGGATTATTCTCTGTACTGTACTTTACTCCACCACTACAACCATGTATTATTCCTCCTAATAAGTACCGTAAACATGGTTCATGACTCATCATGCAAGTGTTTCCTAACCATCTCAAATATCATTGCATGGGAATATCCATTATATTCATCCCAAAGTAATCACAATGACACGAGACACAGTAACCCATGTATCATGTGAGAATAGCTATACAACTAAAATACAGTTCTATGCTTTTACTACCAATTTCTATTCTATTCAGAAACACACAACGTTTTTTTTTTAATTACTGACATAAGTATAATTAATAATGACTGAATAATTCTCACCCGTAAGCACCATATCTGACATTAGTTAAGCACTGTGGTCAGTTAAACTCCATGTGTAACGTACAAAATGAAGCACAAGTCTTATAATTACACATAAACAATGCTCAGTCCTTCCTCTTTGAGTCCTTACAATTTCCTCATTATAAAATGAAGAAACAACGAAACAATAAAATGCAGCTGATATTTCTGCCACTGTATACAATTTCTTGCTCACACATAATGTTTAGAGGTAAGAATTGCGTTTCCTCATGCGTCCACGCACATCGCACGTAGCGTGTTGTGATAATGTTAATATTCTAAAATGAAAAATCTTGACTCGTGGAGGAAACGACACGCTCACTCATCGGTGCCGGAGCGTCGACCGGCGTCGAACGCCAACCTAACCTCGCTCGCCCGGCGAACGCAGGCTCCGAAATCTAGAAAGATTCTTATTTCTCGTGTGTCAACGGTTCTCACCGACAAAATTTGAAGCGATTCAACGAATTCACGTGCGCAAAATATATATATATATACATATATATATATATATATATATATACATATATATGTCGACTTACGGTTCGGCGATAACCGGCGCGATTTTCAGTACTGTTGACAAGAAGAACTGATCCTTGCAGACGAGGACAGGTCGGTGCGGCGAGCTGTTCACGTTCAATATCCTGAAGAGGATGCAGAGAATCACAGCGAACACGGCCAACAACGCCGTGGACATTTTTCTTCTCTCGTTAACCTGCGACAAGAGGAATCCCACATTTTTCTCCTCGCTCTCTGTATCTCCTCCGAACTGTGTCCGAAATCGACTGAATTCTGCCTGGCTTTTAAAGACTACTCTGCTTGCGTAGTACACCCCCTTGAACGAGAAAAAGGAATACTGTTTTCTATATACATTTACCTCCTTATAATCTCCCTCACCAAGTGGATTTTGCTGTTTACTCCTGCAAATCCCTCAGAACGACAAAAGGTCGGAGGCTGCTGCAGCGGCCGTGCAACGGCACTGACTCATGCGGCCGACGTTTCTGTCAACGTGACCTGGAAGCAGAATTTACAGCTCATTAGGAGCCGTAACGTGCCGACACGTCGATTGATAGGTACTCGTCGGCGCTCGTCACACCGGAGATGCGGAATGACGTGTGAACGCGCGCGCGGCAGGAAGTAGCTGTGCGAGCGCACAAGTCGGCAAGGACCGCTCGCACGCGTTTGTAACGCGAGCAACAGAGACGATGTTGCTGGCGGCGAGCGTGTAAACAGATCAATCAGACATCACACATCACACATCGTTTTGCACTTCCAGCACGCGTGTAATCGCGACACGTATGTGCGCCGCGCAAGAGGCGTATGCGAAGCGATACGAAAAATCGCGAGAGAGCGACGAATATGCGTGTCTGCCTGTGCGCGCGACTTCACGCATTTTCTTTCTTCTCTCAACGTAAGAGAGACCTGCGTGGAGAACGTGTCTGCGATCGCCGTGCGTTTTTGTGACAAGCCGTCTGCAAAACCGTGCGGGAATACCGCGAGCGCTTTGACACTTCGGGGATCACGTTTCGCATGAACGGTCAATTCGCGCGAGGTGAATCGAGCATGCGACTCTTCGACACACCGCGAAATCAATCTTGGCGCGGCGCGATCGCGGCATATCGGTAAATTTATCGTGAAAAATTATGTTCTTTGACGTATCATACTGACAACGAGCAAGTTGTTGTTTCCTTATAATGAAACTCTCGAGTTATTTTCAATCGTCAAGTTACGACGTCGTCAATCCGGCAGCGGGTACGACTGGACACGATTGAATTAAGCCCCTTCCTTTTGAAATCGACGTAATTCCTACTAGGTGTGAGTCTCACCGCCGACTCCCGACTCGTCGCCGATTCCCGTCCTTTCCTCCGGCACGATTTCGGGGTCTCAACGCTTAGCGGGACACAATCTCGCAAGTCCGACAATTCATGACCGCTGACGGACGAAAACCAAACATATATAACTAAAAAGAGTACAATCGGTTAGGTATCTCGACTAGAAATTCGAAAAGTGAGAGACAACTCCGACGACGACGACAACGACGATCACGGAGCCATCGTCTGGAGCGTGATTGTGTGTGCCGCAATCGCGCAATCAACTGATCAGAGCACACCGGCCATCCTGTCCCTCAGCAAACACGAAAATCAAGCACCGAATGTCGTTTTGCTCGCTTTCCTCGGAATTATCGAGCGCACGCGAGATGCAGTCACGCAGGAGACGGACGTGCACCAAGTGCGCGCACTCGTTACGCAGAGGAATCTCTACTCACCGGATGATCTTTCAGTCGACTGACTGATCCGCGAGCGACCGGCGACTTGGTCGTTCGACAGACACGTCACTGTGCGCTCTCCGGCTCACCGGCTCACCTCACGAAACGCGAAGCTTGTATACGGTGAATACAGGTGAACTGGCGCCTCGTCGAACGTACCTGTACACGTCCGATCATATCGAGCCTCGCCGGACGACTGACATCTGTACACGCCCGCAAAAATCATAGCAGCGCGCCGCCGCGTCGTGGCGCGCCGACGAAAGGCGGCGATTGTGATGGTGTTAGAACTGAAGTCGGCATCGGTGGAAGCCGTTAAGCCCTTCAACAAAGTGTTCCAGCCGCCAGTTGATCTGACTCGTTAACTATGAAACGATCTCGCACGCGTATGGAAGGACTGTAAAACGACCCGGTGACTCGCACTCTCGGCACTTTTTGCAGATTGAACATTGCGAATTGAAGTCGGAACCGTCTCGGACGCATCTCGAGACGAAGAGAGTCAACGTCGAGAGAGATCGATCGAGATTCAATTCAATACTCTCGCGCGTTCCCCAATGGTGTGCAAAGAAAAAAAGCAGGAGCCGCATCGTGAGGTTCTCCTCGTCAGGGAAAATCGACAAAAGATTAAGGTCGCCGTTAAAGTGTTTCGACATTTGCATACCAGACGCAGGTACGAGCGGTTGGTGGTAAGCGGTAAGCGAACAGAATATTTGCGCACTCGATTTTTTCCTACAGGTCGTGAGAAATCCGGAACGGAGATTCGAGCGCAGGAAATTGAATCGATAAGAGGGACAATTGGGCGATCTGTTCGTCGCGTTTAAAAGGCGAGTGAATTTAAAGCGATTAACGCTTGCCACGTAATTATATCCAAATAAATATCGCGCTTGTCCTGGATGCGTGTCTTGTAAAAGTCTGTAGTGAATTCATATTATGGCGTTTAGGCGCCAAGTATTTCAGCCTGTGTTTCAACTGTTTATCACAGCGTTATTTCGCTGAGACTGGAGATTCTTTGAATGATAATCGCAAAGCGATGAGTACGTACGTCGACCTCCGGTCGGTCTCGGTTCACGTTATGTCGGGTAACGGTCAGTAGTCAAGGTCGAATTACGCGAGAACATGTCCATGTGAATTTCGAACGCTATACACGTGAAGGTCGACGCTATACAAGCAAGACAAAACGTAAATTATATAGTTTTCTAGCCAAGCAATGAGAGCCGAAGTAAAAGCCGAATGAAAGTTCATATTTTACGTGTAAATCTAATTCTTGGTGTCAGTTATTCTTTGACTAAGTTCTTTTGGCCTTTTCTTACGTAAGATTTGTATAAATGTCTCCTTACTAATTGAATATTTATTAAATTATGTAAATATTTAAAAATGATGTCACATAGAGACGCAATCATGCCTTTTCCTGAATTTCGATAAAATAAACGCAGTGTCCTTGTAACCAAAACTATAAAAAAGTGTTGATTATAAAGAAAAAAAAAAAAACTTGTAAAAGTCAAAGATTCTCTCGTGGAGCAAATGATATATAACTTTGCGCATAAGGAAAGTAGATATATTTTAAAGAGAGTTTTCAACAGAAATATATGTAAGTAAATTATCGGTGTCTCGCGCCATCCTTTTATTAAGTCTAAAAAGTTAACGAGTCTCGCATAATCAATGCTCGCGCGTTACCTCGTTGATCAGCGACTGAAGCTGTAGCAACGGGTGTTACGAGTTGACATAGCAACGGGAGTTCCGGCTCATTCCGGTTTCTTTCTAGCAGAATGCGACAGAAATCACAATGTGGTGAAGAGAAATTAATTAATAAACGAGTTTGAGTTGAACGGTAATTAACAAGCAACTATTATATGTATAAATAAGTAAATAAATACATACATATATACTTATAAACAAACGACTCTCGCTGCAAATAAGTTTTTTTTTCCAATGTGACTCGCACAATCTCAGGTATTAATGAAATAATCGTTCACAATGGCAACGCGTGGCAAGAGCAAGAAAAAAGTTGCTGGCGCGAAAACCAATGGAAAAAACAATGGGAAAGGCGCTAAAGGTGGCAATGGCGGCAAGAGTAAGGGGTCGAAAAAATCAAGAAGAAGCGGAGGAAAAGCGCGATTTGCTATGGATATTTTCAACGAGGAAATGATGGAAAATGCTTATTACACCTGCCACAACATCATGGACGTGCTGAAGTGTCGGGGCTTTCCGTGGCCAGATGCTCAGAAGAAAAAGAAAGGAAAAAGGAAGAAGTAGATACATATTTCTTCAAAGATCTAGAAATATCTACTTTTATGCAGGAGAAGAATTTGATATAATCATCAATTTATATAGAAAAATAACTGTCTTAACTGAAACATTGCTTAGTATACGTACACACATTACAAGACAAACTCTGTAATAGTAAGTATTACTACTCAGTATTAGTAAGATAAAAAAAAATACACTTTTTCTCATATCGATAGTAACTTGTATAAGTTTTAAGTTTTACACATAATAAGTTATAAGTTTTACACAGTTTATAAACCTATCAAGAAGTTTTGAATTTCAATACATACATAATATACAAAAATAAAAATGTTTTCTTATTAACACACTAATATTTTTTTTTTCGTATTTACATGTTTCATGTGTTTCATCATCGTCAGTCAAAATACTGCTTTTAGTTCTCCTTTTACATCTCCCTTTAATTATAGCGACTTGACATGATTGCAGTAAGCTTCTGTATCAAATTCAAAATCTTTACCATTCAAATGAACAGCTGGTCCATTGTAGACACAGTGCACAGTCACAGTGTCGGTGTATGTTAAATCAGGTAGTAGCTGTTAAAATAACACGATTAGTGAAGATTAACTCGCTTTGCCAGATCTACATTTACTACATCGTCGTTGTACTTACTTTTGGCGTGAGTAGAAAATATTGAGAACTGCCTCGTCTTCCTGTCATTTTGACGAGCAAGTCGAAAATACGTTTTTCATTAGTCGCGTCCATACCCTGACAAAGTCATTATCAGTGTAATATGTTTAAATGAACATGGAATATGTGTTTCCGATATTAGCAATGAGCAACAAACCTGATTAATTTCATCAACACAGCGAAATGGCACACGGGTTAATTCCTGCAGCGCGATCATATAAATGGCAGTAGTTACAGTTCGTTCTCCGCCGCTCTGAAAATGCCTTGTTAATTCTTGCAGTTCGTCGGCATCTCGGAATTTTACTCTAATTTTTAAACCATACTCATCAAAATCCAACTGGAAAAACACATGTTTGCTCGTTAAAATATCTTTATATTATATTTAACTTGATCAAAACGGAAGAGCTTTTACGCAAATGTGTATATACTTACATCATTTTCACCATGCGAAAGTGTAACTTCGCCAGCGCATTCCATCGCGGAAAAGTATTCGCTGAAATTTACGTTTATTTTCTCGACTAATTTTTCTAACGGTTTTAACCACTGTCCCTTCAATTCTTCAATCTTCTGATTTATTACGTTTACTTCGGCAATTTTTTTTTCGACAATCTCAGTCAACATATTGATATTATGTATTACATCTTTGTATTCAGACATTACCTAAGGATATAAGAAAGAAAGGAAACATAAGTATTTAGATACATTCTCTAATTATTCAACTAGATAGTAAGTATGAATAACGAGCCAGTTATCGAGATATTTGGTGCAACGATATAAAATGGCTTAAAAAGAATACTCATAATTTCGATTAGAGCAATACTTTACAACATGCTAGATTATGTAAAGAATGATATCTTTCATTGCACTTACATTTTCCACATTTACATTTTTTCCCATACAGAAAACTTTTGCCTGAGCGGTACCCATCTCTTTGTTTATGTCCTCTATAGTAGCTGGTAATTTTTCAAAAAGTTTATTTAAAAACTTGAACGCTGGATTTTGCGGACTTATATTATCTGTAGTTAGTAATGCTTCATTATACAAATCTCCAGCTGCCTTTTTTAACGGTTGGAATTCCTCATCATGTTGTTTATATATTTTCTCTGCCGCTATATATTTGTCCTTCAACACTATGGTTTCGTTTTCTGTGGTCGCTAAAGTTTCTTGTAATAATGATAATGCAAATTTGATCTCTTCGTTGCTCATGACACAGTCGAAGTATTCTTTTAGAACTGTATTATACTGTTTGTATCTATTTAGTTGTTCCTTTATTATAACCTGAGGGAAATTTATCAGATGTAAATATATATTCCATATATATAATATATATGTACAAAGCTAAACTTAGGTTTTTAAAGTAATATATATTATAAAAGAAAACCTTAATTTCTTTTGTGCATGCTGCTTTTATATTATCTATGCTTGTCCGTTCCTTCTCCATACTCTTGATATTGTTCTCAGTCATATGTATTCTTCCTTTCAGTACCTCAATTTGTTGAATATTTTGTTGATATTTATTCCTGTCGAGCCGATACTTCTCTAATACATTGTTCTCCTCGCCTATCCTTTCATCTATCTTTTGAATGTTACTCGAAATTTCTCCCTTCTTTCTCTGCAAAATCTGTAATCTAAAACATATTTTTCAATAAGTACAACATTTTTTTTTTATTATTATCTGCTATGTATCTGCTTTTGTTCACACGACATACTTTTCTTGAAGCTTATATAGCTTTTGTTTATCTGAAATAATTGATAATGTTTGATTTCCAGAGACTTGTGATATTCTAGTGGACGTTGCACGAGTATACTTAGACGTACTGACGAAGTAAACATTATTTGCTGCAAAAGCAATTTTATGAATTAAAAATCATTTTAAAATATTTTAAAAGCCGATATCGATATAAAAAGTGATACAAACCACTAAAGTAACAGGTTATACTACGAGGTACATTTTCTACGTTATCCTCGACATCACTGGTTCCCACAGGAATGTTGTGCAAGTGATACATTGAGATTAGATATTTCATTATAGTGGGTGGCATTTCTACAAGGGATGATAAGTAATGTCTGAAGCCCAATTTCTGAATACTTTCTATCGGTATAGTCGGTTGCATAGCAACTCTCTTCATAGGATCGGAATGAACTACGTTGACTTGTAGCCTCTGTTGTTCTCTCAAATATTTTATCAGCAAATTCATATCGTCCTTGTTTTCACACGTGAACGCAATTAAATCTCGTAGTGGTATTACGGTTTCCAAATACTTGGCATATGAGGCATCTTTTACGTTAATATTAAGTAACATGGGTTCGTGCACTGGTGCCGAAAATTTATCACGATTCTCTCGTAACCAAAGCACACCTTTATACGCATCTAAACTCTTTTGTCTTAAGAGTTCCATACGTTTTGTATTGATATTCAGAGACTGATGTTCTGCTTCTGCAGCTGTGGTTAAATGTATAATTTCAATTAGAAAAATTAAATAGGTAATAGATACAGGATATACATTTCAAACAATATATTTGTTTGTATGTGCAAATATATACCTCTAATTTCACGATTGAGATTTTCTTCTTGGTACTTTAATGATATATGTTCAGCACTGAGTTTATTAATTACAACTTTGTGTTGTTCCATATGATGTGTTGTACCTTCCATTTGTTCTCTTAAGCTTCCCTCTGAAATACGATATATTGTAATGTATTAACATTTATTACTATTATAAATACTGAAATCAATTTACAAACCTGATCCAATTTCATTAATCATAAGGGATAAGTCGTTCTCAAATTTGCACTTTTTCTGTTGTAAGAGTTTAATATCCTGATCTCGAGTCTGTTCTGCCTGACATCGACACGAACAAGTATTTTCTGCTTCTTTAATTTTATTTTCACTGCAGAGAATCTTGTCCATAATACTTCTCAAATGTGTGTTTTTAACATGAGTTTTTTTGTTCTAAAATTGATTAACATATAATAAAATACTATAAAATCATCAGATATCTTTAGCAGAGCCTTATTTTTTTCTTTATTATACTTACATGATTATTTAGAGAATCTTTTAATATTTTTATCTCAGATGTCATCTTTCTAACTTTTTTATTTAATGGTTCCAATGAAGTTTCTACAGATTGCATATCTTTTACTGCATTGTCCCTTCTGTTCTTCGACTGTTAGCAAGAAGAAAATCAATTAATTTTAATAATCAAACAATAGAATAAATGTTAGTAAAATTTGAAATAGACTTTCTATACCTCTACTAATTTTCTACGTGCTTGATCATATAATATCCATGCTTTCTTTTGTTTCAGTGTCGTAATTTTTTTCTTTATCATTTTCCTCTCTTTTATTGTACTAACTATTTCTTTCATTCTATCACGTGCTTGAGTTTTAGATTCTAACAATCGTTTTTTACTGTTTATTTCAACTTCTAGTTGTTTGAAACTAGTTCTGTACTCTTTTAACTTTTGATGATTTTGGAGTAATATTGGAGATCCAACAGATCTTTCTGTATTCTCTAACAATGTTTGAGCATCCATTTTTGAAAAATCTTGCACTCTGTCTTGTGGCAGAAATTGACAAAAATTGTCAACCTTAAAAAAGAAACAATTAATGTTATAAAGTAAATTTTATATAAAAATTGTATTGTAGGTAAAAGGTACAAATATCTACTTGAATATCTAAACTAGCTGCGAAACATTGCACAGCCTTTGTAGTTGATGGTGCATCATCAATCATCCATGTGGACTTTCCTTGTTTAGTAAATATCCTGGTTATCACACGATCCCGTTTTCTACCATACATTAGATGAATCTCTATTTTTGCTGTTTCACATCCATATTTGACATATTCTCCCACATGAGGTGCTCTACCAATAATATTGGTCTTACCGCCTAAACCAAGAACAATAGCAGCGACAATGGTGGACTTGCCAGATCCATTAGGCCCAATAATAACATTCAGATATCTACCAGGCTTTATTGTGACTTTATCATAAGTACTGTAAAATTGAAAAAGAGATTAAAATTAAAAATTATACGATAAGATAGATATATATATGTGTATATATATATATATATTTATATATATATATATCAATATATATATATCAATATATATATATATATATTGATGTTTTGAATAAAAAGATCATAATACTATCAGATATTGATATCTTTCACACTTACACAAAATTCTCCAAATATATGCGAGTAATGACTCCTCTTTCGATATCATCCATTATGATTAGGTTAAGAACAATAACGTAGATACCAAATGCTGCAAAATGCAACAAATGACGTTTGCCGATAACAATAGAAGAGTTATTAAAGGAAGAAAGAGCAAGAAAAAATTTATCTTCTCTCTTATTCCGTTACACAATTACACCAAGCACACACTAGATTACAATAAACAACGTCCACTAAACTACTAAAATATAGCATTGTTATGGTTCAGTAGGTTCAGCAATGCCGCCAAAAGAGCTAAGGTCTATTCTTTTTAGATGAACCAAGTTGCACTTTTTGCCGTTAGAGTGAAATAAATATATACATATTGCATTGAAGAGAGAAGGAACGAAATTTCAGTGCAGCACTATTTCGGCTAAAAGGAACAGACCTCTACACAGATAGCCGCAGAACTATCGATATGCTACTCCATCGATAATTATAAAGTCTGTTTTTTATCGCCGAATTAGTGTATTCATGGAATTTAGAATTAACTAAATAAACTTAAAAAGAAACAAAATTAAATAACTTAAAGAAAACAGATTGAGAGTTAATGGGAGAAAGGGAGAAAGAGAATCAAAATAGTGCATCCACTTCAACAATAGAAAATAGAGTTCGTAATGACTATCGATAGTTTTCGATAGTGTGTCCCAGATTGACTTTAGTAGCTTCATGCGGCGAGAATACGAAACAGCACTTCTATGCGTAAGTGTATTCATATTCATGCCAGAGAGAAGCCTGAGAGCAGAGAGAAGCCTGAGAGCGGGCATGGCTGCATTTACAGCGTTATGGAAAAGTTGGCTGATTCGAAGCGCTAACTGGGTCCATTTTTCATGGACATGAACTACTAAGCCAATGTCCACGATTTGTCGGTACTATTCCGTGCTATGTCCACAATTTTTGGTTCTGTTTTGTGCTATGTTCACGAGCGAGCTAGATTAGTTAGATAAAAACGAAGAATCGGTCTTTGTCTCACCACCAGCGAATAGACAATCGCGACGAAGCGAGCCAGCAGCGATGTTATCGTAAGGCAGACGTCGCTGTCCCCCCTTTCACTCCCTTCTTTTCCTTTCCGCATTGTTTTGTATTCATAATTCGGGAAGAAAATAATTTCGAGAGTTCGAACGATTTCTAGCAATGACGCGACAGAGATAACGCGCGGCCACATTAATTTGTCATGACTTTTATATTACTTATAATTACATAAACGCCCATATATACAAATTATAGATAATTATTGCGCGTATGTTTTAATATTGTACAATATGGCATATAATCTTAAAAAAATACTGCAAGAAATGAAGTTGTTGTTATTATATGCCATATTGTACAATATTAAAACATACGCGCAATAATTATCTATAATTTGCACATATGGGCGTTTATGTAATTATAAGTAATATAAAAGTCATGACAAATTAATGTGGCCGCGCGTTATCTCTGTCGCGTCATTGCTAGAAATCGTCCGAACTCTCGAAATTATTTTCTTCCCGAATTATGAATATAAAACAATGCGGAAAGGAAAACAAGAGAGTGAAAGGGGGGACGGCGACGTCTGCCTTACGATAACATCGCTGCTGGCTCGCTTCGTCGCGATTGTCTATTCGCTGGTGGTGAGACGAAGACCGATTCTTCGTTTTTATCTAACTAATCTAGCTCGCTCGTGAACATAGCACAGAACAGAACCAAATAATTGTGGACATAGCACGGAATAGTACTGACAAATCGTGGACATTGGCTTAGTAGTTCATGTCCATGAAAAATGGACCCAGTTGGCGCTGCGAATCAGCCAACTTTTCCATAACGCTGTAAATGCAGCCATGCCCGCTTTCAGGCTTTTCTCTGCTAGTACTTGCAGTGGCGCCACCGTTCTGCTATTATCATATCCGTAAAATTTAGACGTTTCTAACCTATAATTCAGTTGACGGTTTGTACCTATTCAACTAGTTTTGTTTGCACATTATTTTAAAAGAAGTTATTTTGTGAGAAAATGATTTCGGGCAATGATTTTTTACGATTACAAATATAGTATAACTCCAAAACAATGTATCGATCGACTTCATTTGGCTTTTGGGGATGAAGCACCATCCAATAGGACTGTTTGTAATTGGTTTGTCGAATTCCAACATGGACGTACTTTTTTAGTAACGAGTTTCGTGGAGGTCGTCCATCCAACGTCTGTTGTTGCCACTAATGTTGTTGATGCTGCGCGTGAAATAATTAAGCGAGATCAGCATATGACATACCGCGAGATTCAGGCATCCTTGGGCATTGATATGAAAGCAATACACACGATTTTACATGATCACTTGAACGTACTTTGCAGTCTTTGGATCCCACACAATTTGACCGAAGCTCAAAAACAGACTCGTGTGAAATAGTGTAAAGAAATGCTCAAGAAATTTCAAATGTCAAATTGATGACTCATTGTCCGTATTCACCTGATTTATCACCTAATGACTTCTTTTTGTTCCCAAACGTCAAACATAAGATGCATGGTGAGCGATTTGTGTCGCTTGAAGCAGCTGTTGAAACGTTCCGAACATTGGTTTCTGAGATTACAGCCTCAGAGTGGAGAAAATGTTTCGAAAATTGGTTCGAGCGTATGCAAAAGTGTATCGATCTTAAAGGCGAATACTTCGAAAAACAATAAAGCCATTTACCGAATTTTACATGTTTTTTTTTTTTTTTCATATCGTTTGCAGTAACTTTTCCAGCAGCCTATACCGTATACCGACCTCCATAAAATTTGGCCGAGAATTGAATTACAATGAGAAGGAAATTAAATAAACGCGTAATAAGTATGACTAAATGATTAAATGGCTAAATAAATTGCTAATTTCTGAATTAAGCTATTTTGAGAATATTCGGTGTTTCATCTTTTACAGTCAGATCTAACCTTCTTTTTCATTACTGTCAACACTTAGCTTCGCTATTTGACAATTGCTGGAACTTGATTTAGTGAGCATTACTTTATTAATAACTTGTTTTTGAATGTTCTTAATTTTGTTTTTTTTTTGTTTTTCATCCAATAAGGTTACGCAGGTTTTTCCGGCCATTTTGTATTTAGACGTATCAGTAGCTGGCTTTTGAACCATTACTGGTTGCGTGTATTTTAGTATGGTTTGCTCACCGATCTTGTCCGTCGATATCCTTTTTGATTTTACTTAAGAACAATTGTAGTTGCCGAGGATGGTCCAAAGTTAGGACCGAAATGTTCAAGAATTTTATATTTCTATATGTTAATATTATTTACGCGTTTATATCTGCGTCTTGGCTCTTATTAGGCTCGATGTCTACAGTATTGTGTCTGCTCTCCCGTATATACAACGTAATACATTTTCAGACGTGAGGAATTACAAACTTGACAATTACTTCGATCTAAAAATATACATAATGCCATTCACTCGCCATTCACAATGTTTTATTCTGATATTAAGGTCATTAGTCAATAACCTTAAGATTATGTAGATATATTTGAATATTTTCTAAGTAGTCCATTATAAAATTGCATTCTTGTCCGTCTACGCGTTACGCGCCGCACACATTTAAGTGTCTTTCATGCATAAATATTTGATCATACACAACGATATAATTACCATATTATTATCGTGTGTTTCATGCGTAAAATGTGCGTAACACGCAATTTTATAGGACATCTGATTACGCACAAACGCAAGGGTATTTAAAGTACGTTTGCAGCAGATGCATTAAGTCGAGAAGAATTGCGCGAAATGGTCATAAAAATGTGATGCATTTATCGTTATGAGTAACGCAAATCTAGTCGAGCGGCAACCTATTTTGAGAATATCTATTTATACTCGAAGAACTTTTTGATTTTTATTAACGTTAAATAAATGCACTTAGTAGTATATTTAGCGTGCCTTTATCTTTTCTAAAAATACACGGTAATTATTTGACTTCGTCACACAAAAGCTCATATACATATAAAGCAAATGTTTGCAAAGTGGTGCATCTTTTATATTTGCATGTTGAACAAAAATCAACGATAAAAATACCAAGTGAATAAGAAATAATAACAATAATAATAATTTATTCTTGTCCATTCTTCGTTCTTTTCCCCAATTATCTTTTTCCCTTTTTACTGGGAATATATAGGAATACAATCATACACTTAGAGTGGATTGAATGTTTAACTAGGTGAGACGAGTGCCGAGGAAATTTGCGCACTTGATGGTCTCGTTCATCAGCGAGAATTTAATGAGTTTTCGGTGAGATGTCGACGTGATGTCGAATCGAGGCATTACCGTAATGATAATGTTCGTGTCCCTTGCATCGCGCACTCTCTTGTTACCGCTGAAATACTTAAGATTAGTCGCCTTGAGGTAATTTATCGGTCGGCGTACGTGTCTGTTAACAATTTCACCAGGCAGGGGGAATATGTCGATTAATTCTAATTTAGATAATAGCATTGTCCTTGCATCATGACTCGGTTTATCGACATTATATTTGTTACGCGTGTGCCTTTCACGCCGATCTATATCAGTGTTTCTCAAAACCGGCGTAGCGCGCGACTCGACGACGTTCGAGCGTGCGATATTACTCACGAATCGTGTGCATTCGGCTGCAGTTCTTCCATTCTCACTTTAAACTCATCTTTAATTTATCGAGAGCGAGATTGACTTGTCATTCACAGACGAGATACTTTCGATCGAGGAAAAGGGAGGGCATCCCGCCTCCAAAACACAGAGAGTCATCCGATGTTGAATACGACAAAACTTCCAGAGACGTTCTCGCGCGCCTGAAATCACAAGAACGGAATCGCGCGAAGCTTCGATCCTGAAGCATCAGCATGTAGAGACTTCAGACCACGAGACTCTCGGCTTCAAACATTAACCGGGTGGACCGTCCGCGTGGACCTTTGAGAGCTACTGATCGCGGGCTGGATACTGCACGTTGAATGCCTCCTCTTGCCTCATCGTCGTCGTCGTCGTCGTCGTACGCACACACGATCTCGTCTCGCGCGATCTAGATGCGCAAGATGATGGGTCATATGTCACAGCAATTACATGTCATTACGTTATGCGCTGCATCCCAGGGGTGGCAAGGGCCGATCGAAGAGCGCCATGGTTACTCCACGGCTAACAAATGATCCCTGTGTCCTGGCTCGCGGTTCGAGGTGTACAACGGTACACCTCGCAGTTTTGAACACGCCGCGAGCTGGTGGACTACCTCGCGCACGAGGACGACTCTCATGCTCGACTCGCTGCTCCGCGCTTCGTGACGGAGCAGACTCGAGAGCGAGACTCGCAGAGTCGGCCGATCGTCGTCCCTCTTCTTCTCTTCGCCCTCGAGTTCCTCCGGGCTATGGTCCACGGGTGATTCTGTCCTCTCATGACACTCCACTGACGCCATGTTCCGTTCGCTGTCGACGAAGAAGTTGCCGCGGTCCAAGAGCAGAGCGCTACAGAGGTGGCGGCTGTTCCACGCCACGGACTTTCAGTCCTTGATGTTTCCCTGTTTCACCTTCTGCCGCTTGGTCGGCATATTCCCGTACAAGATCAACACATCGACCTTTGTGAGCTCGAGGGAGCGCTACATACTCTCCACCATCGTCCTCATCGTCTTCTGCGGCTACGGGCTGGTGGTGTTCTATCAGACGGACTTTTCCGACAGGTTGATGTACGACACCGTGCCCAGCGCCCTTCAGGGTAATTGCTACTTCATCCTTGGCGGTATCATAACAATCGTCACGTACATCATGAACGGCCCGCGAATGCGTCTCCTTCAGACGCTGCAGGAGATCTCGTCGAGACTACCGCCGGAGTCGTATCACAAGCTGTCTTGGCTGATCCATGCCAAGGACATCTGCGGCTTCTTCTTCCTGGTCGCCCAAGTGCCGAACGTTTACTCGCCGGACGTTTTTCAAGCCTTGGTGAAGGTGTACACGCTGTACATCACCTTGCTGGTGTTTCAGATCGACATGCTCTACATGAATTGCGTGTGCGTGCTGAAGGCCTGCTTCAAGCGGCTCAACGACAACCTGGCGAATCTGCGGGAGCTCGTGGTGAACGACGAGCCACATCTCCTCAGGAGGGTCTACCACGAGCAGCGAAATCCGTTCCTACTGATGGAGCTCAAGGCCCTGAAGAAGAGGCATCTGTTCGTTAGCGACACGGTGCAGATGCTCAACTCGACCTTTAGCCTGCAGCTTCTCGCTACCGTCGTCATGACCTTCGCCGAGATCACCTTCAGCCTGTACTTCTACATACTGCAATGGCAAGGGAATGTCATTATAGACCCGGAGAAACGGATCTGGTATTCGTACTTCACCATGTCGATAGGATATTTCTTTGTGAAAATGGTGCTGATGGTGTGGGCCTGCGAGACCGGCAAGGATCAGGCTTCGGAGATCGGCACCACCGTGCACGAGGTGATCATCAATACCAGCGACAAGCAGATCAAGGACGAGGTAGCGAGATGTTAATCTGCACGGAAAGAATTTTTTTTTCAGGACACGTTAACATTCGTGCACTGAGAAAGTACCAAAGTGTTAGCTAAAGTCCGGCTGGGATATACTCATAGTCGTCGAAACATTTGCAGATAGCATGGCGGACTGTTTCTCAAGAGCGGTGTAAATTTTCATATCGCCAAGTTGGACAGATATCCGAATATATTGTTGATTGATTACCGTATAACGTATAACGTATAAATTTGCATCTCGATATGAATATATCTCAGTTATGCGATACATATGTATAGTATATATTATGCAGTACAAATTTTCTCCACGTGTTCCTTTTTTACGAAAGCGCTGCGGCCTTTCGCGCGCCGATCTCGCCGGGCATTCGTAAGCCCGTCGATTTTTCGACTTTTGATTCTGCGTCTGATCCGTTCCGCATGTGTCTGACATTGCAGTTGCAGCTGTTCTCCTTGCAAATACTGCACCGTGAAAATACATTCTCCGCGAAAGGTCTCACCGTGGACGCGAGCCTTCTCACCGCGGTAAGCGATAGCCGCAAGCCTCATTCGCGAGTTCACTAAACAAGCGTGTTTATTCTCGCGTGTATCTTTCGCGGCTGTCGACAATCATCATCTCGCGGTTTTCTCTTTACAGATAGTGGGGAGCATCACTACGTACTTGTTAATCTTAATACAATTCTTGGTCACGTCGAGTACGAATTGCGACAAGGAAGCGCCATCAAACGTTACGGAGTTTTAATTGACAGCCGAAAGGCGCGTTAATTCGATTGAACGACGCATCGTCGAACGGAAGGATTTGTGCGTCCTCTTTTGATGTTTTTTTTTTTTTTTTAATCCGAGATACGTACCACTGTTATTAATAAGTAACAAGCGCGATGTTTCATACAAAGATACGTTGTACAGTAACCAAGTATAAATAAAAATACTATTTTTAATATGTCTTGTACATAAATAACTGAGTGCGTGTGTGTGTGTATCATGTGAGATGTAATACACGTATTTCTGGCAAATACCGCCCCGGTGCTCATCATATCACATTTTCTATCGCTCTCGCCTGTTTGAAATTAAAACGAGCCGGCGCAAATGCCGACATATGAATATAATCTGAAATTCATTTCCGATGTGAGCAAAAATTAGCGCATGACCTTTATTAATATTTTAAACCACCAGCGGATAAACACGTGCGTGCGTGTGCGCGTGTGTATGTGCGTTCTATATTGCTTACGACTGAAGAAATGATATAAATATAACCTAGATATGAATAAAAGGAACTAGTTAGGCTTTCATTTCATTGACGCCATCGGCGCGGTATCAGCGCGGAAATTCAGCGATAAGCGCAATCGCCGCCGTCGAGCAGCCGAGAATTCATTTCAGCGCTCTGCGCCGCGGACGATCGTCGCGTCGCGTCGCGTCGGCGTCGGCGTCGGCGAGCAGGTTTCGGTCTCGTCATTAATGTTGCGGGAGCAACATAATTTTCAGATATTTCCTTTGTTATCGTTGCGAGACCTTATCCTTATCTGCAGATAAGGCCGAGTGACCTGCGATGGCAACTGCCGATCTGCCGCTTTGTTATCGCCAATTCCAACTTCTCCGTCGTCTTCGTCTGCCAAGTTGCTGATTGATGTTTCCTTTTAACATTCCGACGCTTTTATCGACTCTTCGGCGTGCGTTATCTCGCGATCGTCGGGAGAAAAATGAATGAGGCGGTGTCCCCGTTATTGCCTCGTCCGTCGCTTAGCCGAGATCAAAATGGAGAACGATCAAGCGGATTCACAAGGACGGTGGTCGCGATACGAAAAACAACGAATATACTCGACGACGACGGGTCGCCGTATTACGTATATATGCAGCATTAATGAGCCGGTATTGCGCCGCTCGGCCGTGTGCTTGTATTATTTAACAGCGATTCGTCCGTCGCGGCCATGAAAGAGTCGTTTTCGTTCGCCGACGCAGAGGGGTGTGACTCGCCGACGATCTATTGTCGTCAAGATTAATGTTCCACCGCGCGATAAAATTCACGCACAGACGCAAAAGGTTTATTCAAAACCAAAAAGCTAGACGCGTTAATGATCGCACGACCCCCCCCTCCTCCCCTCTCTCTCTCTCTCTCTCCCTCTTTCTTTCGCGGGAAGCGACAAAAAGCAACTCGCGCCGGAGGAGAGGCGTCTGCCGCGAGAGACGATTATCGACGTCGGATGGCGAAATATCGAGAGAATGAATGGGCGCGCTCGCAAAGACAGTTTGAGCGTGTCGATCGGTCAAAATTGCTACATACGCCACGTCGGTCGTACACCCAAAAGAAGTATTCTATTTGTAAAGTGATTTTTCCCATAGTCTTATATTCTAAGCGAAGCCTCTTACAGAAAAAGAATTCCTCTTTCGCGATAAAGCGATTAAGGTGAGCCATTCATTTAAAATTTATTAGATATTATTCTAACGGTTTTCCTCTTACTTCTACATTAGGAGGATTTCCTCTTATGTGAAGAGGAATATGTTGATTGAAATGTCGGCTTCTTTTGTTCAGTCATGCTCTACCTCCAGACATGAGGTCTCGGTTGCATTATACATATCACATATAATCCCTCGAACTTTAAGAATAATGTGTTTATAATATTTTCCTCTTAATGTGCTTATAATATTCTCCTCTTAATCTCAGAGGAATCCTCTTGAGGCCATATATATTATATAAGAATAAAATCCTCTAAAATTTAGATGATTCCGCTTGTTCTGAAATTACTTTTTTTGAGCGCACGATCCGGTCAGCGGCGGCGATTATGCAATTTCAAAGCGGTAAAAATAAAACGACCGTCGGCGTGTAGACACGGGAGAAGCGACTAGCAGCGAGATTCTGGAATATCAACGGGCCAATTAGCGGGCTGTCACAAACGCCGAGCGATATTCATGAATTACAGAATACACACAAGGAGCGCGGCTCCGGCGTTACGCGATAAAAATACGCGGCCCAACGCAAAACTTTTTTCTCGCTTCCTTGTCTTTTTCTTCCCTATCGCCTTGCACGCAGCCGATCGCGGCAGTCACTCGCGACTCTATTTGACGAGCCAGCACCGGAGTGCATATCGGAATAAATCGGCAAGCAACAGTCTCGTTCGTGCGTGTTGCAGGCTCCTCCTCGTCTCTACCAGCCGCGCTTCGAATTGGACGATATTTCATGCCGGGAACGAAAATCATCATGACGTTCACCGCGACGTTCTCGCTGACGGCGAATTTGCCGAAAAATCCACGAGAGACGAGAGACGAGTCGGCGGGGCCGCGGCAATGACGAATAAATCTCGCCGTGAGACACCGCGTGAGTGAACAGAGCGTATTCGCTCGGCAGCGAAATTTCAATCGCTCCAACAACGACGGTGAAGCAGCCGCACGAGAGCGGATTATTGAGACGAAAAAATCACCGCCGCGCGAGGCTCTTCGTATTTTTACACGAACGCCGAGTAAAACTCCAATGAGATCGACGAGCGTTTCTGCGCTCTTGCGCAATGCGCCTCCGGAAAAACCTGTCACTTGAGTCGCTCGGCCGCGAAATAGGACGCATTAATCGCGGCAAGTGCGCGGTGTTTGTGGCGCGCGAACATGCGCGATTGATATCGTCCGTGCCGGTGCGGCGTGCGCGTGCCGCGCGTTATTGGCGTTTCTACACGCGCCGTAATCCTCTCGGGCAGGCTGGGGAATTAATTAATCGTTCTTTTGTCTAATTCTGGCGGCACGTGGGGACAGAAATGGTGCATCACGCGGCGCGCGCGCGCTCGCTCGCGTAGGCGAGCGCGCGCGCGCGCGATTGCGCGCGCCAGTCTCATCGGCCGCGGCGCGGCGTCTCGTTTTGACCGATACGCAGTATTGTCAGTTTTGCGCCGACTGCCGCGCCGAGTGAACGTAAGGGGGTGTGCTCTCACGCGCCGTCCGTCGCGACTCGATCGCGAGGTACGAGAAACGAGCGATACACTACGCGTCGCGATCGCGTTTCTCGCGATTCGCGCAGTGCGACGGAGGAAACTCGGCGGATGAATGCGACGGTTTGAACGAACCGACAGGAGAGATCCGACGGAGGATCGACGGAGGAAAGGCACGAGAGAAGAGAAGAAAAAACGGACAACGTGCACGGAGCACTTTGGTCCCGTTAGAGAAACTCGAAGCGAGGAGCAACGACGAGTGCCGAGAGAGTTCGACAGTGACGGTTCGGACTTGCGTGCGTGCGTGCGTGCGCACGCGAGTGCAATCGCGTGTGCGCGCGCGGGTCCCCGCGTTGATGAACGAACGTGCGAATTAATGAACGAGAAATTGCGAGTCTCGCGTCGCGGCTCGGCACTGCCGATTAGATAAAACGGCTGTGGAGCGACCGGCCCGTGTGAAGTTTAAGCGAATGCAAAGTCCGCGCGAGCGAGCGCCGCGCTCGGCCTGATAATCGATGCAAAAACGCGGCCTTGCCTGCGGATCTTTCATGCCGTCGCGCGGCGGCACCGGCTTCTTTCGTATTCGTATCCGCGGTAACGGACTCGACGTCGCATCTGGGATACAAACTAGCAGAGACACATAATCGGCGCGTGAGATGCTGTGATTTTCGTCCTCGCGTGAGAAGGAAAGTGAGAGGGGCAGAGAGAGAGAGAGAGAGAGAGAAAGGGCAAGAGCTGTCGATTTACGTCGCGCGGCTTCGCTTCCGGAGGTGCGAGGGACTTGACACTCATTCCTGCCCAGAAAAGTAAGTCACCGCGATGAAGGGGTTCTGTGATTCTTCCGAGATGCTTCAGGCATTCAGATGTTTGTCGGCGTTTGCTTGCGAATCGAGTCATCGTTTACCGTGACGAAAACGCTCTTCGGCGCTTTTGCATTGGAGTTAATTATCTTTAATTTTAACGAGATCTTTGGGAGTAAAAAGGAGAAGAAAAGAAGCTTGACAAGCCGCCGGCGACGGGGCTTTTAGACGGACGACGCGAATGCAGTCGACAGCGCGTTTTCGTTTCAAACGACGAAATCGACGTATTCGGGAAGTTGACGTAGTTTCGTCCGGTATCTTATTCGTTAAAAACTTATCGCACATTACCGCATGACCGCGTTGAACGTATAATTCTCGTCTGTTTTTTGTATTCGAAATGCAATTAAAATTATCGTTGGCGGAACTCAATTATCGCCAGCTCCAGCGTAGTAAGTCGCGATTATTTTCGTAATGCAGTGTTTTTCACGAGCGTATTTACTCGAGCCCGCTCGTGAATCACCTGTTCGGTTTCTTGAAAAGTTTCCCTCCGGTACGAGCGGATCTGTCGCTTCTACATTGCGTTTCGCTCGCATCGGACTTGTAGTAGATCGATGTTTCTAACAACACGCGCTCTGTTTATAAATCGTCGTTATCGGCGAGAGAGAGAGAGAGAGAGAGAGAGAGAGAGAGAGAGAGAGAGAGAGAGAGAGAGAGAGAGAGAGAGATAAACGGTAAAACAGACAATGCAGCGGAAAATCAGGTTCGTGCTATATTTACGTCGTCGAGGGTATTATATCGCCGAAGCCCGAGTGAGCTACGACGTGCCAAGAAATGTGTGGTAAAGCATTTGGCGCACTTTGCGGAATTGTTGGGGCACTGTCTCTCGTCATAATAATAAGTGCGTGAACCGTCTAACTCGTGCACGGGCAATAACAATCGTCCGTCCTAATCAACTCAATATCGCACACAAAGTCCCACCTTCGGCAAAATAGATCGGTGATGCAAGCCGCCGCGAGGTCCTCCTCCCTAAGAAACATGCGCGACGCTCTGCGCGGAATATATTCAAAGCGTCCCGAACAAGCGGGATGTACAAATCCAGAAAAATATTCGACAGCCGTCTATCCAACTTCGGCATTAAGATATTTAAATCGACGGCGGGACGATTCATTACCCTGAAAGAAGGATTGACATCTCGCGACGCGTGTTAGCTTTTCCAGACCTTTTACGTGACGATAAACGTGACGTTTCCGTTAGGAGCGCTCGGCCGCGTAATAGCATCTTTGAGTTATTGTACGATTAGCAGAGACTTAACGAGAATTTATGAACGTGACAATGAGTCGTCTAGTCTAGCCGACGAGAGGACGCGACTGCCTCGTACCGTTGACTCCACGCGCCGCGTTCTATTTCAAACACAGTTCCCGACAATCGATCATCGCATTCTCTCTTTCTCACGATGATGCTTTCTTTAGTAATATTGTCTACCGACGTGGGCCTGCTGGTCTATTTGAAGCTGATGCCGCGTCGAATGCTGTTGGCGATCTCGAGGTGTCTCGAAAATCGCAGTCGTCGATGAGCGTTGGAACGTTGGAAGTGGCTCTAGCAGCTTTGCGACATCATCTCGAGCATCGTCGTTGTACTTCCTTCCGCATCGCTTGTTCCTCGAACGATTCGATATCACGAAATCCTCGAAAGCTCCGATCAATCTTTATGACCGCAACATTTTCCGATTCAAAACTGCGATTCAAAGCGGCGCCCGCTTAACCCAGTGCTGCGCTTTGATCGATGGAAGTCTCGGCTGTTGATTAAAATAATCGGCAAATCACTGACCCGAATAACTCACTCCACCGATCAAGCCAATCGTTAAAATCAGTGCGCGTAATCGATCAAATGCTAGCGACGATCGGTCGCAACACGATCGTTACACGCGAATCTACTGCGCGATTCAGCCGATCTTCACGTTGGGGTGAAGGGATATATCTGTCGCAGTATCTGACGGCAATCAGAAAATTAGTATGTGCTGACGGGAAATAATATAAATGCAGATGCTATCTCTCAGTGAATTTATCAACGATCGATCGTTCTTTCGCCAAAAGCCATAGAGGTGCATACTTAATTAATGTTTATTTTAACACAAAAGTATCAAATTGGGTATTTCTTCTCTGCTGATCGCCAAATATTGGAGTTTTCTTTTACAATAATTATTATTTTCATTCATTATTGTTAAAATAAACAGTAAATATTTCTTTTCAAAGTGATACCGCATACCGGGACTTTTACCTTATATCTCAGCCCAGCAACATTTCAGTCGATCGATGCCCAAGCACCAGCAGCAGCAGCGCGGCGAGGTCGAGCGGCGTTTGACTCGCCTTTATTCTTGCGCAAAGCTGTCATTGGCTGCGAGGCGCATCGAAAATGCGCGCCTCGGCGACGGGCCGAGTCAACTTGCGTCAATGTTGTGTCGTACGACGAATTCGGCGCGAACAACAGCCACGCGGCGCTCCATTATCATCCTGGGCGAAACTTGCGCATACACCCATCTTTTAGAGATGTTTTAATTCTCACCCAAGGTTCTTTCGCCTGTGTGTACAGCGGAGCCGCCGCCGCCGCCGCCGCTCGCGAGCCGATGATCGCGAAAGTGGCGTGAATGAAAGACGCGAACTCGCGTCCTTTTCCCCTTTTGTCTCTTCTCTCTCTCTCTCTCTCTCTCTCTCTCTCTCTCTCTCTCTCTCTCTCTCTCTCCCTCCCTCTCCTCCTGTCTCCTCCTCCCTCGCGAGTCGAGCGAGAGGCGCGGCGCGAGGCGATCTCGCGAATTCTCCCCGACCCTGCGTGTCGCGGCGAATCGTTGAGTTATTACGCCGAGTTGATTGCCGTCACTCGCATTTATTATCCGCCACCGTGGCACGCGCGCGCGATAAAGCGCGACTATTAGGGACGCTCGTGAGCGACAGTGTTATCCATCCACGCTCTGCGCTCTGTGTGTGCGCGCACACGTGTGGATTATCTACCTCCGAACGATTGTCTTCCTTTCCTTGGTAAATTGCAATCGCGCGCTATCTTTGGATCGCTGCTTTCCAAGACGAGCAGGAAAAAGAAAAGAAGCAGCAGGAAAACAGCAGGAGACGCGTGTTCCTGATACGAGCTCGAGGAATTTCCCCCCTCCCCTCCCCCCGTACAAACGGTACGCGTACCTAGTTTTCTCTTCCTTTCCAACAGAACCGACCTCTTCGCACCTCTCCACCCGCATACCCGCGGAGAATCGATGAAAAGGCCAATCAGGGTAGGACGCGCTGCCGCCGCTGCGTCGAGTCTCGAGACTCGAGTATTCCGAGCAATTCGCGCCGAGTTACTAACCATTCGTTCGCGGGTCGCCGATGGAATTCGTGACGTCAGCGGCGAGCGGCCGGGAAAACGATAACGCGCGAGAATCGATTTCCGAAGTAATGGTCGGTGCCATGTAATTGCGCGCTCGGCCTCGCTCGTCGAGTAATTCGAGCGGGCCGAGCCCGGCGGCCGGCGGACGGGGGACCGGGAGAGTGAGCGGGGACGCGATAATTTTCTCGAAAAAAAATAGCGAAACCGGCGGCGGCGGCCTCTTCTTTTTTGCTCGCGTTCCGCATTTCCGCTTTTGCGCAAGAGACGCGCAAGCTCCTTTGTGCGCGCACGGCGACCGCTCGCGACCTTGCCCTCCCGGCCGGCGACGGCCATTGTCGCGATTCCGATCGGCCGGGGCTGCCATCGAACGGACGATAATTCGCCCGACGAGAGACTCGCCGTTCGTGATCCGACGTCGCTCTCTCCCCTTCCCCTCCCCCCCTCTCTCTCTCTCTCTCTATCTGTCTGTCGAGACCACGGGTAATCAATTTACTTTCTCCGAGGTCGCGCACGCTCGATACGCGCGCTGCGCAGCGCGCAAGTTTAGATAACAACGTACCTGTTAACTCGCTCAATTTACCGAGACGATAATTCGTCGCGGAAAAAGAAGCTTCCCGCTCACGAGTCGTGTACACAACTCAAGGCGCTCGGGTAATCGGGAATTCTTCCAATTTCGATAACTCAGTCTTTTAATTGCGCGTGACGCACGCTCGCGCGCGCACATACACGCACTGAGAGCCGCGCGCGCGCGCGCGCGTGAGAGAGCCCCCCTCCGCCCGCTCCTCTCCCATTTTATATCGTCGTATGCCATTTATGCTCGTTTCAACACTACGTCGCTAAGAAATTACGAGCGACGCTGGGTTTTGCGTAGTTCCAATTGCGCTGTTAAGGCTTTCGATTTATCTCGCGTATATCTCATCGTACTTTGATTGCTTCACTTTGCCGTTGCTTCACCTCCTTCGGAATCCCGACTGCGACGCACGCAGCGCTCGGCCCGGCGTGCTCGGGCCTATTTGCGTAAAGATTCTCGACGAGGTTCCCCCGATCGTCGCCGGCGTCACCTTAATCGAGCACCTTTCATTCCCCGGATTGAGGTATTAATTATGCAAGGGGGAAAGAATCCGGTACACATAGATGCATGTACACGCGCGCGCACACACACACACACACACACACGTGCACGCGTGCAACGAACGCACGCGTGCGCGATTCGCACGCAAATCACGACCCCGTTGACATCACGAGGCATACGTTTACCGCGCGTTCCTGACTTTCCTTGTGGCCGGTATCGGCCTCAAGGCTAATCAAGACAACAGGCGTTCGCTCCGGAACTCTAAAAATTTAGAAAAGCACAAAAAAGTCTCGCCACGAATACGAGCCATTGTTTATCGTCGTTGCCTTCCCTGTTGTCTGAATCCCTGATCTCTGAAACATTCTCGTACACAAGGATCGTTTTTAAGGAATTAGGTGTGTGTCGCCGATTTCGACGAAATTTGGTATATTTGTAGAGTAGCCAAAAATAAGAAACCCATATTTTTTTTATCGGCAATGGCTCAGGTTCAAGGAATGAAACTGCCCCTCAAAGTTTCATCCCCTTTACACTATCTTGATAATTATTGCAGATAGGAAAAAAC